GTCTGTAACACCAACACACCTTGCTCACATCCAGGAGAAAGAAAATGGTCCAGGTCCAAGGGAAGTTTTCTTAGCATTGGTGCTGCAGTAATTGCTTGTAGAAATGATAGAGCACCTGACGGTTTGGTGGTTGATGCACACCTTTCAGATGGTTTGATGCATCTCATATTAATCAAAGACTGCTCTCATGCTCTCTATTTATGGTAATAATATCTGGCCCTTATCTCAATGCACCTTCATGTCTTCTCCCCTGACATAGTTTTCCACATTTAAATTTAAAATAATTGGGCTATAAACTGTTAGGGTGGGCACATTCGATGCTGCAGCAATCTTTTGATGACCTATCCAAGATCTTGATGGCAAAAGGATTTTTTATGATAAGTTTGAAAGGCTTACATCCTAAGTAACATGGTAGTTCAGAATCATCTGTTTCTTTTGAAAATTCTCAAGTGTTTTTCTATGTAGTGCACATAGAAAAACTTGAGTTTGTTGTGCTTGCAATGCCAACGAGTTAGGAGTTTCTTATAGAGGTTTTCGATGCCAAGTTCCTAAGGATTTACGCTTCTATAACTCCCTTCGCCAGCTTAAGGATTTATCTTGACTTCTTGTGCCTTCAAGTCATATTGACGAGTTTTGAGTTGCTTAAAGAGAGGTTTTGATGCAAAGTTCTGAAGATTTTATTGCTGATTGGCATCCAGTTTCATAGGTTGATAGTTTTTCACTGCTTTATCCATGAAGACCATAAAAAGTTGCTTATGCATATGATTAATTGATACACGCAGGCATCTTACCCAGCTTGCAAGGAAAGGAGGAAACCCCTTTGATTTCAAATTCGTCGAACATCACAAGGTAAGTGTTTCTCATCATGCGTTCATCACTCTTGTCTTGACAAAACTCATATTGCCTTTAATTGTTTCATATCTCTTGGGTGCACTGCAGACCACTGCATTTACATTTACTTCTTCTGGCAACGAGAGCGTGTGGAATTTGGACGGTGAGCTCTTTCAAGCACACCAACTATCAGCACAAGTATTTCGAGGCCTTGTCAGCTTGTTTGCATCCGGTCCAGAAGTTTGATACAAGACTAATGCTACTCCAGATAATTTTCCACTATGCCTATAATGTGTACAACATTTGTTTACTTATTTATTCCATGTTCGAGTTTTGTACCCTAATATTAATTTGGAAGGAATAAATCCAATATTTGCATTTTTCAAACTCAAATTAGTGAATTGAGCGTATTTCCCCTCCCCACCCAACCAAATGAAATCGTGTGAAACAAACTAGTAGTAACTAGCTAGTCGGCCCAATCAACAAACAGAGAGAGAAACTTGAAGGTCAAGGTTATGCAAAAACTACAAGGGAAGGAAAGGAAGGAAGCAAGAATCACAAGATCAACATTATTGATTGATTGATTGATATTATGCAGGCTCAAGAGACCTCGCCAATTTTATAATTAAGGGCATTTTACAACGTCCATAAAATAATGAACTCATAGTCTACCACATAATTTATATACATAATTATCGAATTGTCTACTAAATCTAAATGCTACACCTTCATGCCAAGCCAAGCCAGCCATTCTTCCCCATCTTCAAGGTTGAGCCGAACTAGGGGAAGTCGAACCTTCTTTTTCCAACACATCAACACCACAAGCATTGTTTAGTGTCCTTATCCACTGATTATACTCGTCGCAATCCGGATCAGATTTAAAGCCATCTCGACCAACACAATCGGGCTGCAAACGCATTAACTGCCAAAAGAAACCCCAAATAAATAAATCGTAGCACTCTAAACTTACAGAATATCAAAATCGGGGCCGAAAAACAAGAAAGGTGAATGAAAATAGTAGCACTTCAAACTTTTGATCAAGCATCATTCATGAGATTTCATCATTTTCTAAAAATTAAAATAAGTCCAAATTGAAATCCTAAAAAAATCTTAGTTACTTGTTGGGCAAGAGAAGACAAACATTAATTATAACTGAATGCATGCTTTTTCTTGTGTAATTAAGATAAAAATTTGTAATATAAACCTTTGCTTGAGATATGTTGAAAATAAAGCACAAACAAGCCATCTTTGCATCCTATAAATTAGAGAAAAAACAGCAATGTTAATGTACGTAGCAGGCACATGAGGATAAAGTTAAAGAGGATAAACATAATTCTCAGTTGACTAACATCGGGAACGGGAACTGCCCCCACCCATCTAATATATTGGGGCAGCAAGCAGCTACTAGCTAGCTAGCATGAATTTAGAGGACGGCCGTTTGTTTCGATCAAATATTAGGGTTAAAGCCAATGGGTTGATTTATTTATTTATAGGAATAATTATACTGTACTAGATGGAGGCGGAGGCAGTAACAAAAATTAGAATAGAAAATTAGTTACTTAATCATTAAGTGCAATATTTCAAGAGTCACAATTTAAATTAAGATATAATTAAGGGGGTTAATTAATTAATATAGTTATGGTCTGGCATCTGGCACCTCCATTCCAGGAGTACAAAGATTGTTCTTCTTTAATCTCTCTTCCTTATTAGCCCGTGCGAAAAAAGAAAAAAGAAAAGCCCAAAAATATGATGCATTGCAAGTACGGTTTTGAATAAAAGTTCTTTTTTCTAGACTGGATGAGCATCTTGATTAGTTAGCAAAACCATCTCGAAAGATCTAACTAAATCTATTTAGTTGGCAAGTCCTTATTTAGTTAGAATTTTGTTTTTTTATTCGTTTTTATAGTCCTATTATAATTGAGATTCATTTCCTTTGTACTTTTATTTATTTATAAATACCTCCATATTCCATATTGGAAAAGAATACATATATAGAAATATATGAAAATTCTCATACACTTTGTCTGACATAGTATGGGATGATTGATTGGGCTAAATTACTAGGCCTTTTACTCTTATCCCTTACTTAATATGTGGTGTTCACTTGTTGGGCTTGATTGCTTACCCTTACTCCTGACTCAATTCGTGGTGTTCACGTGTTTGGCTTGAATGCTTGACTCTGATATAGACTTGACTCCACGTGTGACCAACTATGTGATGGTCCTACATGAGGGGGCATGTTGAAGAATATAAAGTCCTACATCAAAAATTTGACAAATAAAAATACAACAAATAATGAATGAGTCCACTACTAGCAATACCGATATTGTCTTCAACTTAACTACATACAAAACCCAGTAGGTATGAAATTTCCAAAAATATAAGCACGGTTTAAGAATGGTTATTCAAATTCATGGTTTAATTGTTTTTGGATGTACACCTATTTCAAATGCACCTCAAACTCACAACAATAGCCAAGCTGCACCTATTCATGGTTTAATTGTTTTGAAGGGTATAAATAACTTCAGGGTGGGGGTGGTGAGCTCTCTTTGTACAAAAAAAAACTTATATGAAATGGATATATCACTGTTTTGCTATCCTCAATCAATCACAAACTGCTATATGAAAAATTTATCACGCGTGACATGCTGTGATTGACCGGAAATAGCAAAATACACAAGTGTTTCTCTTCTTTGTGAGTGGTAAAATTTTAATGCAAAATCAATAAGTTGGATAACATGAATGTGCATGATCATGAATTTGTTTGATGATTGACTTGTTAACGGGCATAGATTATTTGGAAATTAAATAATTAGTTGTGAATTAATCTGTTTTCTTGTGACCAATGCTCGACAGGTAAATCTGGACAATCGTTTTGATCTAAGCCATGCTCATTCTCATTGGCTTCGGCCCGCACTCCGCATTAAGAATTGAGGAGCCAGCCACAATATTATATGGGGGCTTTAAAGAAAGGAAGTTGATAAACCTTTAATAATCTTTTGGATATGAGGGTAATTTTTTTTACAATGAAACCTGAAATTTCTTGAATGGTACTCATAAATTTCATCACAAAACAAACTAATAATCCAAGAGGCCAACCAAAATGCAAGTTGAAAAAACTGAAATGCAGTGATATGGAATCAATGGCAAAAGAAAATTTAAAGACCTCTCAACAAAAACAACACAACTGCTATAGAACTACATGAGAGGAACCCATAAACAGAGTTACAAAAACATAAATACCAAACATTAAATTGTGAGCAAGAAAAAACAAGAAATCTTGTAAAAAGTATTTTATATAACACAAGTTGGTACAACCCAAATTGAAGGTAGTCTGCTCTTCTTTAGTAACAGTAATAGCTCAAGATTCAAGGAGAAGTCCATCCAAATGGAAGAGCTAAAGAGTGCAAGAGCTCAAGATTCTATGCTGATTTGTTTTTTTTCTTTTTTTTTTTTTTTTTTTTTTTTTTTTTTTTTTTTTTTTTTTTTTGGTGACAGGTGATGGAGACAATGATGGAGAATACGCATGAAGAGAGTGGGGGTGTATTTAAGGGTAGGTTGAGAAGATAGTGGAGTTTTATTAGAAATTATGAAAATTTAAATTAAAAGTTGAGGTGAACTTAGAACATGGGATGAACTAAGAGAAGTGTGGAGTTTAAATAGAAAATCTCTTCTTGAATTCCATTGCTCAAAGTCTAAAAATATTTTGGAATAAATACTTACTAAAAAAAAACCAATGCTTAGTTGATAAAACAATAAGTATACTAGTGTTAATGATTAATGTGGGTGGAGCACACTTTAGATTTTCGCCTTGGGCTTTTGAAAACTCAGGACCGGCCCTGGTTGCGGTCTCAAACAAAAACAATTAAATGCATAGACAAGTTTTCTACTGGGGTAGTTGCGGTCTCAAACAAAAACAATTAAATAAATAATAGAACTTGTATACGTGGTCAACGGTGAGTGGTAGTGGAAGAAAGACTTGGTTGAAACCAATGTAGTTTCTTCCATGACCCTTTCGTTGGGTTATTGAGACGACCCCAACGTCTCTTCTTTGGAGTTTTCAATACGTCCCCTTAAGGCTAAACAAATGACCGAGAGAATACATATTACATATAAAGCTGTATTAATTGGTTGCTCACTTAGTTTCTAGCTCCTCTTCTTTCATTGCAATGTCTACACCAGCGGAGTAAGCAACCTCTCTCTCTCTCTCTCTCTCTCTCTCTTAGAATTCAAATCATCTTTCTAATCAATTTGGTTTTGGATGATCTTATCATAGGAATCAAAGAACAACATGGTTGAAAGTTTTGATTAACTTGTTTATTTACTTTATCATACAACTGTAATAAGCATTAAAAACCACTACACCAATCAATTAAGGATTTGATCAACATTCTCCCAGTCAATAATAAATAAAACAATATGCTAAATTATGCTTTTCCTAATTCACTTTGCCAAATTATGTCATAAATTACAATCATTTTTATCCTTTCATGGATGCATGTAAGTTTTTTTAATTTTCCATGGAAATTAAAGAACCTCGTCTCTGCGCCTATGAATTTACAGATACTATCGATCGCTGCCACCAGTGAGCAAGACCTATGGAGTTGCCTGCTTTATGACTGCAGCTGCCTTGTACTTGCAACTTTATAATCCATGGAACATTGCGCTTGATTATGGCCTCGTCATAAAACGTTTCCAGGTAAAATTAAAATCTCAAAAATCTTCTCTAATTATTGATTATTCAAGGCCGAATTTCTTCTTTCTTCATTCAGATTGTTGTGCTTCTGATCATGCTTTGTGCTTTTCTTTTTCTTTTACTAATGATGATTAATGAAGGTTTGGAGGCTTATTACCAGTTTCTTCTTCCTGGGGCCCTTTTCATTCCCGTTTGCTTTTCGTCTTATAATAATGTGAGAAACATATATATATATATATATATATATGACTTTTCCATGGCATTAAGATAACATCATTAATTTGAATGATACAATAACTTGTCGCATTATCCATGCCCTATTTGTTTCCAATTTGCCTAGAGCAAGATATGGTGTGGGATTGGAGAGAGGACCGTTTGACAAGAGAACGGCAGACTATGTTTGGATGTTGGTATTTGGTGCCATTTCACTTCTGGTAAGCAAAACTATTTAATTTACTATTTGTTTCTCTCTGATTCTAATTGGACCAACATCGCCAAAGCATTCTATACATCTATTTTATTCCCAAACCTTGCTGTGCCGGCCTGCACTACTATTTTTTTGATTTTTTTTATTTTTTTTTTTTTTTTTTTTTTTTTTTTTTTTTTTTTTTGGCGTTCAGTCGTGCAAATTATGTTCAAATTATTAATGACACATGTATATATATATATGGATTATTTATAGGTGATGGCTGTTGTTCCATATTTGTTGTCTCCGTTTATGGGACCTTCTGTGGTTTTCATGATCGTGTATGTATGGTCCCGTGAGTTCCCAAATGCACGTATCAACATATATGGGCTTGTGTCCTTGAAGGTGCTCTCTCTCTCTCTCTCTCTCTCTCTCTCTCTTCAATTTTAAGTTGAGCAATCTCATTTTGGAAATCATATAACACATGTTGTGCGGTACATACAGGGATTTTATCTTCCTTGGGCACTGCTGGGTCTGGATTTGATATTTGGAGATCCTTTGAAGCCAGACATTCTAGGGATGGTTGCAGGACATCTCTATTACTTTCTAACCGTGCTTCATCCTCTTGCTGGTGGAAAATTAATGCTCAAGACTCCTCTCTGGGTGTATCCTTTTATGGATCGACAATATTTGATTTCATTAGTAATGAAGATTCAGTGGACATTAATAAATATATATATGCATAATTGTAGACCTTAATGATGAATAATTTGCAGGCACAAATTGGTATCCTTCTGGGGTGAGGGAACCCAAATCAATTCCCCGGTGGAACGCAATCCGCACGCCGGAGTTGCGTTCCGGGGAAGAAGCTTCCGACTCAATGGTCGAACAACCACTCCACCACAATCAACTCAGGAACCTTTTAATAATCAGCAACAGGCAGCAGCTGGTGGAGTTGCATTCCGTGGAAGAAGCCAGCGCCTCAACGGTCGTTAATTAGCTAATCATCTAGCCAGCGCCTACTCACATATGATATATCATGTATGAAATATTTCTATTTTCTAATCAACGTTGTGTACGTACCTTTGCATATACGAACCCTTTTCTATTCGGTATACATGCATGGTTACAATTTACAAACAAAGCTATGTTCAAAAGACTGGGGGCATGTGAAATCCGAATGCGTTGACCCGCGAGAACAAGAAGACCTACCAACAGAAATGAAACAAATGGAAAATGACTATTCCTATGTTGGCCATAGCAAAGCTAATCGACGACATGCATTGAAAAGGTTGAGCTACCAAGTCAACTTGTCCACATTGACTTGATAAATGTTGTTGCCCCTTTTTCAACTCTACTGTATATGCGACTTTATGAATCATATGATGTGAGGTTGAAATCCTTTTCTTTAATAAGAACGCGTTTATTTGATTTAGGCATTGCAGAGTCCATTGTACTTGTAGGTCCTCGTCATCAATGTGTTTCAAGTTTCTCTTTATTTGGTCACATGAGATGTTCGTGTTAGTGTTTGGTTGTTAACATTTTATTTTTACATAATTTTGCTCTAATTTCTGTGACAGTTTTATTATTAATACCCTTCCTTTTTATGAAAAACAAGAAAGGAAAATTGACAGCCCTATATATATATATATATATATATATATATATATTAACAGCTCATCAGCTATCAAATTAGATTCATGGTAGCTTAGATATGTCTTGAAAATAATATCAAAGACGTACGTTAAGAGGACGTATTTTCTATTTAAATTTGTAATAATGATCAAAACTTAAGAATCACCTTCCATAATTAAAAAAAGATATTGTAGATTTAAGTTTGACTATTAATACTTTTAAGAGAACTAGAAAGAAAAAGAAAAAAAAAGAAGCAAAGTGAAGTGAACCCTTGTCATAGGAACCTTTGAGATAAAAGTCATATGGTATGTCATCTTCTTGAAAACTATAACCACTCTGGGATTACAAAGTATCTTTGAAATCTCGTCCACATTAATCTATAGGACATATGGAAATGAAGTCAAGTTTCTGTGAGGCAGGCAGCCAATCAGTCAAGTCGAACTATAAGGAAGTGAAGTAATCTTCTTTGCAATTTTGGCATTGCCTATCTAATTCCCTCGTGTTTTTTATATTGCCCAACAACCAATGTCCCAAACCAAATCAGGAGAAGATTCGTGGTAGTTTACACAATGATCCCAACTTAGCAAACCCAAAATAAAAATAAAAAATAATAATATATAATCAAAGATTGCAACTTTGTTTCTTGCTGAGATAAATTAGAGTTCAAAAGAACTGTAAAAAAATAAAAATTACTTATATATAAAGCAGGTCCTCATTTAAATTAAAATTTGTAAATTAATGCAACTGATTGAGCAGTAGATACAAAATCAAGTTGCAGTCTCGTTGAAAACGAACAGAGATTGAAAAGTCATACCAGAGACTGAACAAATTGTTCTTTTTAATATAGTTAATCAACTTGCAAGTTGTTGATTTTAATCCACAGAGGAACCCAACACGAAAACTGCCGTAGCTTTCAGATACAGGGCAATGCCTCACGGAAACGTTGGCTCTTAATTTTTAAGAGGCAAAATAAGCTTTGGTGGCAGCTAAACTATTCCAACTCTGGAAATGGTGGTTGAATGTTCAAAATGGTTTTGCAGAGGGAGATATTTATGAATTTTTGTTCTCTTCTCAAGAGGATTTGAAGAAGAGCTCAAAGTTTGAGTCTTGACCCTTAAAAAACTGGTACGTTCTTATCTTCTTGTTGTGTTGTGTGGTTTTTCTTGTAAGTTGGCGTCTGTGTACTTTCTGGGTTTTTGAAATTTGTGAGCCTGTTTTTGGTTTTGAATGGCACTTTGCATATGTGTTTGCGAGCATGTCTTTGTGTATTCAAAATTTTGGTTCTTTTTGGTAGTTTGAGGCTTATTTCATGAAAATTCATTTCTGAGTCTGCCAATTTATCTCTCTCTCTCTCTCTCTCTCTCTCTCTCTCTCTCTCTCTCTCTCTCTCTCTTGTCGTAAGATTTATGTATTGCTGTGTAATTTGAATTGAAGAAGATTCATTCTCTTCAAGATATACCTACGTGAAGTTGTTATTTTAAATCCTTAACATTTTTATAATAAAATTCTGATTTATTTGATTTATCTGGTCTGTTGCGAGTAGTAATTGTGCTCTTGTGCTTTGCTTCTACATGTTACATGTTACAGAGGATTCAGTGTAACAGAGGAGTGGCAGAGTAATGGATGGGAGTGAAATTATTGAAGCACATGGCAGTGTCGCATTGGAGGCGGCACCTTCCCCTCTTTCAATTGTTGCCATTGCTATAAATGGGAACAGAAAGAGCAAATACATTGTTAGATGGGCTCTGGAGAAGTTTGTTCCAGAGGGAAATGTTTTCTTCAAGTTGATACATGTGCGCCCAAGGATTACTGGAGTTCCAACACCAAGTAAGTATAAACATGAGTATAAATTTGAGACATTCATAAACTGGGTTTAGCTCATGAATTCATTCATTTGGTGTTCAAATTTATTTTTTTTAATTACTGTTATGTTTACAAATTCTTGTTTTTGTTGTGAGTATAGTGGGAAATCTGATTCCATTGTCACAAGTACGAGAAGATGTAGTAGCTGCATATAGAAAGGAAATTGAGTGGCAGACAAGTGAGTTGCTTCTTCCATACAAGAAAATGTGTGCTCAAAAGAAGGTACAACTTTCTTATTTGTTGAAGTTTGATATTAAGAAAATCCAAGGTAACAAAAGTGTAAACCTCACTGTTTTGAATGTAGGTGCAAGTAGATGTTGTAGTCATTGAATCAGACGACGTGGCAAATGCAATAGCGGAGGAGATTGCTAAGTCTGCTATAAGCAATCTTGTCTTAGGTACCCCATCTCGTGGCATGTTTAAAAGGTATTTTGTTGGCATGTAGTTGTTCAAATGGATACTTTGATGACTGTGGTTTGTGTGGGGAAAGGGGATGGAAATTTCCATAGTTTGGCAGCCTTTGTATTTTGATTATTTGCATACAAATCCAATTGCGAGAGGATATAATTTTGGATACAGAATTCCTGCTTGTCATCTGGTAAATCATTTAACAGGTTCTAGATAGGTTCAAATTGAGCTTCCGGTGAACAGAAGGGTGAACAAAATATTCACGGAGGCATGTGTGCACTTGCACACACACACAAACAAGCACAAAAGAGAGTTTGTGCATGTTGAAAGAAAAATGAAAGAAACCTTTGTCATTTGTCTTATCAATATATTTCTACAGAACATAGAGAACCATCCATGTAATCCTCCTTGTATTTTGTGAAAAAGTATTTCTCAAAATTGCCTTGTGGTTGATCATGAACCATCCATGTAATCCTAGGAAACAGAAGGGACTGTCCTCAAAAATCTCAGCTTGCAGCCCGAGATTTTGCACCGTATATGCTGTTTCAAAAGGAAAATTGTCATCAGTACGCGCATCTGATTCCGAGTCAGTTGCAAGCATTAGAGATGACAATAGTGACACATGTTCTATCAACAGTTCTTCAAGTTATGCGTCCGGCTCACAGACAGGTAGTGCACATGACTGAGGTTGAGTGACATCTTGATATCATGTAATGTGCAACATATACATTCTTTAGAGAATGGGGGCTCTTGCAACCATAGCAATAAATGATAATGTACAATGTCAATGATGCTAACCATGTAAGCAGCTGAAATATTTAACTCAGTTCTTCTGTTTTCAAGGCACAGATCGTGGCTCGGTTGGTTCATACTCCCATTTCCGTTCTCCTTCCCTTCCAATGCAGCGATTTCAAGCTCTTACAACTATCAACCAGACCCTTCTTAGTACAAAGACAAATTCCAATGAAACCATTCATTCTAGATGCCAATCTCAGGATCTTGGGGAAGGGAAGGATGGTATGAATTCTTGTCCCAGCAATTCAGATGTTGTGCATACACCGAGTCAGCCCTCTAGTAGTGGAAGCTTCCTAACAGATAATCGGTCATGGACTTCTGATCAAGCGTCCACCTCAGACGTGGTTACAGATTATTCATCTGAGAGCCAGGTAGCACTTTCTGACTTCTTTTGACATGGTTAAATGGTGCTTTCCAATGAATTATGCAGAAAAATACATATTAGGAATTGCATACATGAGATGTGGTCTATGAATTACATAGTATGTAGCGCTCTTTGATTTCTAAACATCCTTCCTATGCTATTTTTATTCAGTTGAAAGTACTTGCCTGCAGAATTCATGGTCTCATGTGTTTTCAAATTGCTGAAAAGTTTATACTTAAACCATCTTAACATGTTAATAAGATGATTGAAAAGTGTGGGAGACCTTTTCTCAACCAATACCGCATTTTTTTTGAATTAAAACTCTTAATTATTACATATATGGAAACACGTCCCTTGGTCAGGTCAATAAGGGGAGCTGTATGTATTAAAGAAGTAATGGAGTTGTTCAATTTGCACTTCTTGCAGGCAAATATCAACTTGGAGCTAGAAAAGCTGAGAATTGAACTCAGACATGTCAAAGGAATGTATGCAATGGCTCAAAGTGAGACTATTGATGCTTCTAGGAAGGTAGGTATTCTTATCCTTGTTGACAGCAGTAAATACTTTTTGTTTCTTTATTTCCCCATCCAGTTTAGCTTCTGTAATAGTTAGCAAGATCTCTTAAGATCTTCGATTCGAATAGTAAGAAATATTTCTTTTTGATAATCAGATAAACAATTTAAATAAACGCCGATCAGAGGAAGCAATGAGGCTCAAGGAGATAAATTCAATGGAGGAGAAAGCCAAAGTATTTGCAACACAAGAGAAGGAGAAGTATGAAGCTGCTAAGATAGAGGCTGAGTATATGAGAGAATGTGTTGAAAGAGAAGTTTCGCAAAGGAGAGAAGCAGAGATGAAAGCCATGCATGATGCCGAGGAGAAAGAAAAGCTTGAAAGTGTACTTGTAGGTCCTGTGCAGCAATACCAGAAGTTCATGTGGGATGAGATTGTTACTGCCACCTCATCTTTCTCTGAGGATCTTCGGATTGGAATGGGCGCGTACGGAACTGTCTATAAGTGTAGTTTTCATCATACAACTGCAGCAGTGAAAGTTCTTCACTCTAAAGAGAATCGCCAAACTAAGCAATTCCAGCAGGAGGTATGTAACATGCATGACTAAATCTGGATAGTAGCTCATATAGATGTTGAACTATCCTTCCTGCATTAGTGTTGTTCACATTGAAACTAAAGGTGGTATTGAACCAAACAAAATGGCATATCAAAATATTTGTTGAAGAAATCGCCTGTTGTATAATCAAGAGCTCCTTAGGAGTTCAGTAGGTAATTTATCTATTTAGGTGTAGTTAAGTTTCCCAGTCTCTGCTCTTTAGTCCGAACTAAAAAAGAAAATAAGTATGTGCTCTTTAGAGTCTCTGCTTTTAATAATGCATGCAACCATTCTCATCTTGTGCTGTGTTGGTACTACACATCGCATAGAAGAAACTGTAAAATTGGGAACCTGTGATACCCAACTGAACACTGATTTACATTTTCCACTGGCTTGCAGCTTGAGATCCTGAGCAAAATCCGCCATCCCCACTTGCTTCTCCTTCTTGGTGCATGTCCTGAACACAGTTGCCTAGTGTATGAGTACATGGAGAACGGTAGCCTGGAGGACAGGTTGCTCCAGAAAAACAGTACACCTCCTATTCCTTGGTTTGAGAGGTTCCGAATTGCTTGGGAAGTAGCCTCAACTCTCATCTTTCTTCACAGCTCAAAGCCAAAACCAATCATCCATCGTGATCTGAAACCAGCAAACATCTTGCTTGATCATAACCTTGTGAGCAAGATTGGTGACGTTGGCCTTTCTACAATGCTTAACTTAGACCCTTCTATGTCCAGCATATACAATGACACAGGGCCTGTTGGGACTCTCTCTTACATAGACCCGGAGTATCAAAGGACTGGGATAATCTCTCCACAATCTGATGTTTATGCTTTTGGAATGGTGATCTTGCAGTTGCTGACTGCAAAACCAGCAAGAGCTTTAACCCATCTGGTGGAAACAGCTATTAGTGATAGAAATTTAATGGATGTTTTGGATCCTAAAGCTGGGGTTTGGCCAATGGAAGAGACGAGGCAGTTGGCTGAATTGGGATTGAGTTGTGCAGAGCTTCGACGCAGAGACAGACCTGACTTGAAAGAGCAAGTAGTTCCTCTGCTGGAGAGACTGAAAATGGTTGCTGATAAAGCAAGAGATTCAGCTTCCACAGTTCAGTGCCGCCTACCTCCTAACCACTTCCTCTGTCCAATTCTTAAGGTACACATAATCTTTAGTACCTATATTTATAGTATTGTTTAACCTGAAAGCCTTAGAATTTGGAATGGGGTTTTAACTCAATGACAGCTTAAGGAGAGATCCTACTCAATATCCTTAAAGCTTCACATTAGTCAGTCGCAGTCGGACAATTGTATTTTATCCACATTTCCTAAATTTCTAAGGGATTGTTTTTATGGTATAATTTATAATTTTGACCAAATGTTGGTGGCTTCAATTATTCTTCATGTCATTGTAAATCCCATATAATTGCTATTTTCTTTTGTCACAGGATGTAATGCAGGAACCTTGTGTGGCTGCGGATGGTTACACTTATGATCGCAAATCAATAGAGACATGGATTCAAGAGAACGATAAGTCGCCAATGACGAATTTGCCATTGCCAAATAAGAATCTAATACCAAATTATACTCTTCTTTCTGCCATTATGGAGTGGAAGTCCAGGGGACAATAGCATCTACTTTTGTTGATTGTTATTATTAAGGTTAACAATGATGGGTTAGTTTATTTGACCCCTTGCTCTTGCTGTAAAGCATAGTGAGGCATAGGGTAGCGTTTTAGAGTTGAATTTGTCACTGGTTTTGTTGTAGGAGTAAAGAAAAGGATTTCTAATTTCTCTGTTGTGCAAAAGAAGTAGAAAAAGATTCAAGAATTGAAGGCCAAGAAAATATTTATTCAGAAAACATGAAGACCAAAACTGAGGCAAGAGTGTTGGAATAATTGCATGTGGTCCTCTGTTATTTTATACCAATATGCCACGTGTCATGCCATGTACGTAAACAAATTATATATTTGTTTGATTGAGAAAAAGGTGTAGAAGGAGATTTTGACCAAAAAAGTGACAAGTTTCATCAAGTAGTGCAATGGTGCTTTTTAATCATAATAATGTCATCCCTCCACACCGCAGCTAAGCTAAGATAGCGATCTCTCATGGTGGTTGGACCCAGAACAACATAAACCCACCCACCACCCACCATGTTCTTATGTGGCAGCTAGAGATCATTAAGAGAGAGTGACAATCCAATTGAATTTTGGATTATAGATGAAACAGATTATTTTGGAGGTATGCCTTGTTAGTCTTCAAATTCATATGAAACTAGTTGACCAAGATTGTGTTTAATCTGCTATGAGAACTTGAAGCTTAAATTCTTAATTCAAAGTTGCAGACAACCTTGGGTCTAGAAGAAAAAAGCATAATTTCATTGCTCACTGTTGATTAAAGGTACCTTCTTTTTCTTTTTTGCTGAGTGATACCTTCCCTTAAAGATTTTGTGAAAGCTAGCTGGGACCATATGGAATTCATAGTCTCAAGCTGCTCATACTTAGCAATAAAGAAATCTACAATCTGACAAACTAAATCACCTACTTTTCGATCTTTGTCGGATGGCTGAAATCTGAAACTTTTGCTCAAAGTGTGTAACCATAAGCTGAAGTTTTCAGCTTTTTGGCTTCAAAGAGTATATATAACCATCTATATTTTTACTATACATGTCAAAGTCATCATGGTCATTGTTTTTGTCATGGCCATCAATCATGCTGATTTTGTAAAACAGAAATATTCTCAATCAAGGCACTATGACCTACCAAACAGTGCTCAAGTAGAGTGTTCAGTTACCAATCTCTTCAAGCTTCCATAGAACTTGCTTGGTGTTTGGTCTAAGTGATGGAGAAGGAGAACAGCATGTCATAGCAAGCTGAAAGAACTTGAGAATCTGCTCTTTAGTAACCGGGACTTCGTCGTCAATGCTGCTATTGAGAAGTAAATCTGGATGGAACAAGTCATGGATTCTATGTCCAAGGACTGCATTTCTCATAAAATCTGGCAAACTAAAATCCTCATCAGGTGTTGTTGGGTTTTGATTGATTGGTTCCTTCCCTGTGAGTAATTCAAGTAAGATAACCCCAAGGCTGTATATATCAGTCTCTTCATTTGCATCCCTCATTTTGATCAGCTCAGGGGCTTTGTAGCCTTGAGATGCTGAAAGTTCAAGCATTTCTTGGCCAGCAGTAGGATTCAACAGAAGATGTCGGCTGAAATCTGATATGAATGGTTGGTAATGGCGATCCAAAAGTACGTTTTTCAACTTGAGATTGCCATGAATTATGGGCTTCTCCAACCCAGTGTGAAGATGATCCAAACCTTTTGCTATACCAACTGAGATTCTATAGATTATGGCCCATTTGTGAGAGTCAGGATTTCTTTCTGTCATTGGAAGCAAAGTTTATCTATCAATTCTAAGTTATGGGAAGTTGGGAGCTAAAAATATACATACATAAAGAATTTTAATCAGAGAAGAGCTCTAAATTTGGTAATGACAAGCACAGATGTTTAATTTTGCTAAGGCATAGTCATCCTTATCTCAAGGGAACATGGGAGGAGAAACTGACAATGTTAGGTGCTGACAGGTGACAGATATAATTTATGAAGGAAAGAATCCAAATAGTGTTGTATAACGTGCAGAAAAAGAGATCAAAACTATGCAGACAAAAACAGATGAGTCAAAAGCAGAACAGGGAAATTGGAAATTAGAACAATACAGAATTTTATAAGTGATAGTGGTAAAAGACCTGCCAGAAGTTAACTTCCTGTTCCACAACACAAAGTTTGCAAATTTGAAATGAATGAGCAATCCAAACCCAGGTAAAAAAGAAAAGAATTTTTTTGAAGCCCTGGTTTCTCTCTGATCATTTAATTTTGTTCGAAGCCAATATCCAAAAGTTCTGAATTTGCCTCTTTTTTGGTTATATATTATTCACTTACCAAAACAAAAAAAAGGTTATGAATTTGATTGTTTTGAAACACTATGATAGCAGATATTCTTTTGTGTAAGCCTCTTAAGCCCAATTGAGTGAAGACTCAGTATCCTCATGTACCAAACAAAGAAAAAGAGATCAATCTTTCTTTTTCATTCTATGCATTTTCTTGGCAACCAAACATAAACAAACAGAAAGAAGATAGATCAAGAAGGCAAGAGAATCACCTCTTACAAACTGAGCCAGATTGCCACGCCAATAAAACGGATGAATCAAAAGCTTCTCACCCCTTGGCCCTGCATAAAATCCCAGAAGAGGCACCAAATTAGGATGCCTTGTACACCCCCAACAACTGAACCACTTCACCAAAATCTTCAACCTTTGCAGTGCACACAGGCCTCAAAAACCTCAGCAACCTCACTGAGTTGCTACTCTGCAACAAAGCCTTGTACAGTGTTCCATAGTTCGACTTTCCAATCACCTCCCCTGGAGCATCTAGTATGTCGCAAATTGTGAGGTCTTGGCCATCCTGAAAAGTCATCAAGTCCTCTACCTCCACATCATCTTCATGCTTCTGCTCTGAGTTTTCCACATCTTGTTGCTCATGTTTTGCACTTCTTTTGCAGTAAAAGTATATCAAAAATACAAAAGATACCAAAACTCCAGTTGAGGTCAGTACAAGAATCAAATTAAGCAGGTGGGTGTTCTTCATTCTGTCAAAATTGCAACTCGTTCATATCAAACATTGAAAACTTGGACTACGAAAGTGAGAAGTAACAAAAGATTAGGATCTGGTTTTGACATGAAGGATTGAGAAAGTGTTAAACATAATGCAGATATGGCTAGTTTTCATGTAGAACAGATTTCTTTCCATACAAGCAGGAGTAGAAGACAAGAAGATTGAGATGGGATGGTACTTTTGGGAGGAGAGGGTGTGTGTGGAACCCAAGATTTTTGGGAATTTTAAGGGGATCAAAATTAATCCTTTTATCTACTAGGAAAATGGACTCTGAGAGAGAGACTTGTGCACAAAGAAGTTATGGAGTTGAAGAGAGATCAGAGGATGAGCACATATACTAGGCTCAAAACTTGTAAGACAGATCTATGCCATGTGAATGTGATGTTGCATCTGTTTTTGACTCTGTGAAATTTCCCTTTTGCCACCAAATATTCCTCAATATCATTTTTGCATGCACCTTAGCATGTCATTTTCTGATTGATATGCTAATGCAAAAGAACAGTGAGATTTAGAAGATGGTGGAGACATTGTTGTTATAAAATAATAATAATAATAATAAAGTGGTATTTCTTCTCCTTTTTATAAATTTAAAAAAAAACAATGATTTTGGATTTGTTCATTTAAAAAGTAGAAGGGTCGCAAAGGACTCATTAGTGTTGTGGTTTGGAGTAATTACTCCCTTAAGCAGGATCTTGAGTTCAAATCCTAGTATATGTGTAGTGTGTGTGAGTTTAGTATATTATCGTTCATCTCAATAAAAAAAATATCCTTAATATATATATATATATATATATATAAAGTAATAAATAAAGTAAAGGGGTCAAGGAAGGAGAGATGTCACATCAACTACAAGCTATGGAGTTACTGTCATTTCTATTATAAATTTAAGAGGGCAGATGACTTTAGACAATTATTTTAGATGCAAAGTTGTCACAAATACGCGTTATTTTATCTTCCTTTACTTTAGAAACGATTTTTGACAATTTGTTCATATTTAGCGAGAAAAAAAAAGCTAAGGTTTTTGTCATTTGATTAAAAAAATTGGAGAGAATGAGAAACTGAAGATCATAATTTCAGATCCAAATATGTCATTATATCTATTTTTTTTTATATAAATTTTCTATTTTTTTTTTTTTTTTTTTTTTTTTTTTTTTTTTTTTTTTTTTTTTTTTTTTTTTTTTTTTTTTTTTTTTTTTTTTTTTTTTTTTTTTTTTTTTTTTTTTTTTTTTTTTTTTTTTTTTTTTTTTTTTTTTTTTTTTTTTTTTTTTTTTTTTTTTTTTTTTTTTTTTTTTTTTTTTTTTTTTTTTTTTTTTTTTTTTTTTTTTTTTTTTTTTTTTTTTTTTTTTTTTTTTTTTTTTTTTTTTTTTTTTTTTTTTTTTTTTTTTTTTTTTTTTTTTTTTTTTTTTTTTTTTTTTTTTTTTTTTTTTTTTTTTTTTTTTTTTTTTTTTTTTTTTTTTTTTTTTTTTTTTTTTTTTTTTTTTTTTTTTTTTTTTTTTTTTTTTTTTTTTTTTCCCCCATTGGTTTTATAACAGGATATCCATGACCATTGTTTCTCATAAAACAAACCACATAAGGAATTACTAACCATGGAGATATCAGCAGGCATCGCAGATAAAAATGCCTCCATTAACCGCCAAAATAGGCAAATTAGAATATTTGCATTTAATGCCTTCAAATTGGAGTCCAGCTTATCAAGGAATATTCTGCAATCCCAATTCAGCACGTCCTTATCGAACTACAGAAACAAGAAGGAAAATGGAACAACAAAGCTCATCAGCATCAATGTAAGACTACGAAAGTGAAATTTCTGGCTAGCTAAAGTGCTAAAAGATAAGCAATCTCGGATATGGTTTCTTTTTATAAAAAAATTACATTTATCTACAAATAATTTTCTCATACCTCCTCCATAGAGCTATCACCCATTGACTCAAATGCTTCCCATTCCGCCTTCAGTGCAGGAAAACCAACTTCAAAAAGGGCCAAAAATCCAGCAGATTCTGACACACAAAGAAAAGAGAACAAGAATCAATTATAGTAAGTGCCAAAAAAAAAAAGCAAGAGGAAGACAAGAAACACCAGAACTGGAGTCGCATGCAAGTTAGAAAGACACACATTGATACAGAAGAAATGCAAATCAGTAATTAGGCCAAGCAGGATAGAAGTACAAAAATTAGTAGAGAAGTCATTAAAGAATTCAATAGGATGGTTCAAAAGTCCACCAAAAAGGTCAGAGAGAGAGAGATAGAATGACTGATTGATTGAATCCTGGTTCAAAATGAAAAAGAGAACATACTATTCTTTTGAATGAGAAGCGTCTGCATCATCACCAAGAAGAACTGTGTCTTTGACAACTCAAAGTCATTAGAACTCTTAATAAGCCAAGGCATAAATTCTTCAGGGTGCAACGAGAACCTGCCAGCCAAACTTGCAATGGTGTCCATGTTAATTGAGGACAGGCTTCCTGCTTGCGATGTCTACAATTCAGAGTCACAACTTCAGAGTTACTCATTGCACATGAAATATAGATGCCAGGATGCATAACTAAAAAACTAAAAGCTGCAGAATCAAAAGAGAGATAGAGCCCACAGTCCATTCACAGTAACATTTTCCCCAACTCTTGATAATAAGAAGAAAAGAATTGATGAGCATACTGGAACTACCAAAGAGATAACTTACCAATGCTGTGTTGGAGGCACCTGCAAGATTCTCAAAAAGTGGCCACTTTACCTCCTTCGCTAATTCCAATGCTTTCAAATTTACCCTCTGTGTCTGTACTCGGTGAAACATAAATCTATTAATAAAAAGTTTGACTTGTTGGACAAACAATTTACTGGATACCAAATTAGTGCAAGAATTGCAGTATAGTTTATATAATTTAATATCCAGACAGAAAAGAAAAGAACCTTAGGTAGAACAAGGAGTAACGGAAAAATCATGGAAGCAAGTATATTGCAACATTCAATGTTATCATCGATAACAGAGCTAGCATTCTTCAGGCACAAAACAGAAACATCACATGCTAGACTGGTGTTCTCCAATGAACCTGCAAGAAAAACAGAATGCAAGATGATAAATGTGTATGCCAGAGTAAGGGAACCATAATTAGTTCCATGTCTGAACCGGGAAATGAGAGAATAAAATAATGGGGAAAGCATCCACAACATAACTACTCACTTGACATCAGAATGCCAATACATCTTTTAAGCACATTACCCAGTGCTTCAAAAAGGTCAGCAGAACTTATTATAGTGGACAATCTGTCTAAGGACAAAGCTGCCCGAACAACAGTAAGATCATCATCATGAAGTTGTCGCAGTATGACATCTTCGATGCTTACAAGACTCTGGTTCACAGGAAAATGAAATCACAAAAGTAAGCAGAATGATTTGAAACTGAAAGAAATGGAATTTCTTATACATATCTTCTTTAGATTAAGTAACCAAAAGAAACCTGTGGGTTTGTGGCCTTGGCTTCCAGAACACCCGATGTGCCTAATGCAGACAGTGTGCGACGGCGGACATCAGCCTAAGCCACATTCAAAAACATGATAGCAAAAGATTATGTTGATAGAAAATTATTCCAGACCTTATTGAAGCATACACATTTACAAATATAAATATTTAAAAAAATGCCACTAAATAATACCTTTGGATGGTGCAACCCAAACCAAATTTTTGACTCTGAGAAAGCTAGTGACATGTCCAAATTACCATCCAACATTTGACCCAAAATTTCATGTACTGAGCCCCCTTTCTTAGACTGTACATTCTTTTCCTGTTCAAGAAATCAACAATCAGAATACCCTGAACAAGAACAAGGAAGGCATGTGTGGGTACGAACTCATAATTAGAGAGAGAGAGAGAGAGAGAGAGGGTCGACTGGAAACATACATCAAGAAATTTGTGAACCGCTCCCTGTAGTTCAGATTGATATTTCTCATTCAGAACAACTAAGATCTTCTTCGCCCAACTTCCTAGAAGGCAACCCAAAAGAATGATGAAAAATACAAAACAAAGAGCTTAAAGATAGTCTTGCAGTCATAAGAATCGACCCATTTAAACAAGAATGTTCAAACAACGGGAGTGGCAGTAAAATGTCTACATATATATATATATATGAAAAATATAACATTTGTAAATAAAAAATTTGAGAACGAAAATACCTGATAAAGATGATGTTGAATTTTTTATTTTCTGTGAACTTTGCAAGCAGGATGATAGGACCTTAGAAACTGCATGTTGAACAAAATTCTTGGAAGGAATTGTCTCTAATATTGAGATCAAAGCAAGCTGGCATGATTCATTAGAAGAACTGCAAATAAATGATCAGAAGTTGAATGAAATAAGAAGGAATTAAGATATTTCTACCAGAATAAGTGAATACCAAAAGTGGTTTCTCACCTGTAGTCAACCAGAGAATCCAAAAGTACCCATACAAATCTATCAATATTGAACTCGTTAAACAGTCCCAAAAGTATAGCAGCAAAATCCCTTCAAATGGAAATAGAAAATAACCTTAGAGAATATGAAATTAATGACAAACACATGAAGGATACGAAACTGTTCAGACAATTAATGCTGTGAAGAACTACCTAATGTCCATCAAAATCTCCAAAGTCTTGATTGGGAAAATATCAACAGCTTGCAGCTGAAAAATTTATGGAAACTTTTAAGTAAAAGAAGGTTAAGAAAATATACATATAAATGCAGAACACAATATTATTAATTCAGGAAGTTGGGTAACTATTATAAAACGACTCTGACATGAAGGACGTTAATTTTTTTCTTTAAATACATTAAAGTAGAGGTTATAGAAATACCGCTGGATTAAGAGACATTGAGCAACACCCAACTAAGAAGATAATCCATTACACAGACATCATCCACTATTAAACCAGAAGTGATGCAGTAAAATTCAGGAATAATTGAATGATGCTACAACCTACTGCATATAAGAACAAAGCAGTACCTGAACAAGGTTGATCAAAGTCATAAGCGATAAGCGAAACAACTGAAGATCAGCCGACTCTTTTGCCTCCTCTCGAGCAATTTCAGCAATTGACCTCATCAAACTCTTGACAAGTTTGGGAGATAATGTAACTTTACTCGCTAGCAAACCAACAATCATCATGGCACCAGCCTACAAAAAGAACATATATTTTACACTTCATTGCTGAAAAGAGAAAAACCATAGAGGTACCCCAATGCAAGACATTGATAAGAAGAAATTAACCAGGCAATAATCAAAATTTAACTCATCCTTCAATAGTTTCTGCTTTCCTATCCCTTATGTGTCTTAAAAAGCATATTTAATCTTCTTTTCTTTGTACAGTTTAAGGCATGCAAAATACTTTGAGGAGCTGCTAAAATGTCCAAAATAATAATTTGTGGAACCTCACCTTGTTTTCTGAATGTCCTTTTGTGCCAGCCTCAAGTCCAGAAACAACAAGTGATAGGATTCTCTGCACAACATCACTGTCAACAGATGTGGAGGAACCCAAAACCTCGATAACTACTGCCGTGCAAAACCTTATCACAGGCCTTGAAGGCCTATACTTCTTCGACGGGGATGCCTATAGGAAAACAGTCATTAAAATGAACCATGACAAGATAGTAATCAAACAACCAATTAGAGTTGCAAACACTCACATAGTTGCATAAAATCTCCAAAACCCCCTTATCACGAATACATTGCTGGACAATAACCTTTCTAGGTGGTGGTGCACCAGAAACTTTTACGCCATCCATAAATCTCCATTTACTATTTCTAAACCACAAGGAACTATCAAGTCAGTATATGTTAACTTCACCAAATGACAAACAATATACAAGAATTACAAATTGACTAACCTCAAGCTAATTAATTGAACTATTCGAACAAATGTGTGGGTGTCATGGTATGGCAAAGCACACAAAATTAAGTCCTCGAAGTTGTACACATGAATCCTGAAATTCCAATATACACCAGATTACAACCAACAAAAGTATATACATAAAACAAAATTACAAAAAATGAAATGAGCACCTACTTATATCGGCGTATCAAGTACTCAAGTGTCTTGATTGACGATGGGAGTTCAAAGTGTCCTGAGAGTAATCGTAAGTATGAACTGATCGAAACATTAATGCCATTATTTCCTCTATGCCCATCAACTCTCTATCCAATTCTCTGCTTTTTTGGCTGAACAAGTCATTCTTGTATATTCTAAATCGCTCATCGGTACTTACAAGGACATCCAGACCTGAAAATAGAAAAACATATATTCAATTTCAACAACTAATTCCTTTCTAATACCTTGCAGAAAATAATAGAAACTAAGCTCTAAGTTTCTTTCTGTATAAAAACAAATGGAAAGAGAAAAGTGACCTTGGAGTGCAATAGAGAAAATGGTATCGATATCGATATCAGCAGCCTCTTTAGCGTCGAAGAGAATGGAAGGGCGAATGAAGGGCCTCTTGACCGACGGCTCTGTGTCGGCTTGTATCACGGATTTTATGGCTTCTAACTGAGACGCAATCGAGGTCGCCATGTCTCTCTCTCTCTCTGCCGCAGTTGGTAACTATTCAAACAATGAATATAACTGTGTGTGCTTTTGTTGCTGTTGTTGTTCTTGTTATTGTAGCTTAAGCCCTAATTCTCCTTTGGAAGACGAAGACGAAGACGAGAACCAGCTCCGGAAGGTTTTAGGGTTTTTGTTGAGGGACACAGAGGCGTTTTGGAGGGTTTAGGGTTTTTCTTTTTCTTTTTCTTTTTCTTTTTCTTTTTACAGAATAGACATCTAAAAATTTGAACCTGTTTTTTATTCTTCCTTTCGGGGTGGCTCGGTCAAAAACGGCATGTCGTTCGACGCATACACAGGCGCCAAGCGCCAATGCCCGCAAAGAATCAAAGTACGATACTGGGGATTTGGGCTGACTGATTTTAGGGTTCGGCCTTGTTGGGGGTGTTATCCAATTCAAACTTCTTTTGGTAACTCAATTTAAACTTAAAAAGACAAAAATCTAGTGGTATGTCAAGGATTCTGTAGTGAGGGTCTTATATATGGCATTTAAGTGAGGCCATATCTCTTAATTGTTATATCAAATTAGTTAGTCTAATTCAACGGTTAAAATATAGGACATCACATAATGGTCATATATAAGGCCCTCACTATAGAATGACTCATTCAGTTATCGACTTTTTAAAAGTATTTAAAATTTTGGCAATATCTAGTGGTGACTTTCAAAAAAAATTTAAAAGTTTGTGGTATCCAAGAAGTTTAAAAAGCTTAGTGCCCGTTTGGCATTGTTTATTTGGGGTGATAAGTGATTTTTGAAAAAATTTGATAAGCCCAACCCGTTTGGTAAACGGTAAGAAAATCATTTATTGTTAAAAATTGATGTGAGATAAAGCTATGAAGGAAATCAGCTAATGAGGTGCTTTCATTTTCTGATTATGCAGAAATCAGTTTCGAAGAGGCGCTTGATTTAATGATTATACGGCAATCATTTTATGATTATGTGTAAAATCAATACCAACAACACTTTTAACAAAAATTTTACCAAACGCCAAACTGTTTTATCTCACAGATGATTTCTCTCACAGCAAATCTGACATCAATTATTTTTACAGCACAGCAATGCCAAATTGGCCCTTAGTAAATGAATGGCTTTCGTTTATTTTAAGGCTAATTTTTATAATAATACAAAATTAGTGGTGTTGTTTGAAAATTAAAAAAAAATTTTAATTCTTTGAGACAGTTCTAGGTTAGGTTCACTTAGTCTATGATTATTAAATACTAATTATTATTTATACATAATTCAAGGCCAATCCAAAAGTGAGGCCCAAGTTCCAATCCACTAGCCTCACCTTCCATATAGCACTTGTGGGAAGGCTCACACTTACAAGAAGTAGAGACTTTCTATTCTTTTTAAATGTGGGACTTAAGCTCATGTATTTATGTACTCCAAAAGTATGTGATATTATTGAATCACATTATAACTTGGATTTTGGGTTTTGGAGGCTCAAATCCATTTTAGAATAATTAATTACTATTTATTAACTAATTCATGAAACTAATTAAAATATTAACAAATTTAAATAAAAATTTAAAATTATTTACTAATTAAAGTAATTTAATAATACTAAGATATTACTTGATAACAAAAAAATAATTTAAGTAACCTCTCTCGTTGAAATTTGCCGACATAAGACTAGTCCCAAAGAAATTTTGTCGCGACAGAACTATTTATATAAAAGGATTTTCTTCGCAATGCCTCGTGAACTATAATCATTTTTTCACTTTGCCTTATAAACCTTCAATTTGTTACGAGCACGATAATTGTTGAAAACGATTCAATGTGCCACTTGCGTTAAGTTTGTTAATTCCTCGATCAATTCCAATGACATTTTTATCCTTTTAAGTTAGGATTTGATTTAACCAACTTAAACCCTAATTGACTGGAGCCATCAAATCATATATTGACATAAGAAAAAAATTGAGAAAAATGAGGCTTTTATGGGTAAAATTGAACTCAAGTAATCAAATTTTGCATACATAAGTTTAGTCAAGTTGGCTAAAGCTGGGTTCGAATTCCTCTCATAGTAATTTAGATTAGATTTTAAAAAACAAAGTAGAATATTGCTTGTATTAAAAAATAATAATAATAAAGCGAATTGATTTTATTTAGCCGGTTGAAAGGGTTCGCCGGTTTTACAAAGCGAAGTTAAACGAGACCTTCCCTACAGTCTCTTCTCTTCTCACAGATCTCATCTCACTCCAAGTCCAAAACACTCTCCAGCAACAGTAACCACCACTACTTCAATACGTTTATTTCATAGCTGCAGTTTGAATTTGAAATATAAGTAGCAAAAAGTGCTCCGATAGCTTAACAGTAAGCTGGCGTTGTTAAACAAACGAATTTGAAACTTGCGTCTCAGAAAATTTGATCTGAATGTGAATGGAGTTCACAGAAGCTTACAAGCAGACTGGTCCTTGTTGTTTCTCACCCAATGCTCGTTACATTGCCGTCGCCGTCGATTATCGCCTCGTTATTCGGGACACTCTTTCCTTCAAGGTATTTCCCCAATTTTTTTTTCGTTTTTAAGTTTTTCTTAATAAATTTATTTCATGCTCCGTTTGGTTGCCGAGAAAATGCAAGGATATTGAAACTGAAAATGTTTAACTCGTTCGTTTCTCATCTACCTCTCTACATTTGCACGGATACCAAATGGTAGCTGGACCGATTGGCATTGGCTCCTGAATAGTTAAATTTATGTAGATCTCACCCTTTGCGTTTCGCTGTTGACAAAGCCAATGTAACTTCAATAAGCTGTAATATGTTTGATTGCTGAGAAATTAGAAGAAAAACAATTATAAACATCGATCTCCATTTTAAGGATCTAATCACATTTAGTTATGATAAGAGTTTTTCACCTTGTAGATATCTAACGCGATTCAAAGTGAATGTTGGCCGCTATATGTTCATGCATTTTACTGTTCTTAAACAAGTGTTTACATAGACTGAAGATTTTAATATGTTGAGGTTTCTCTTTGTTACTTAATATGAGCACTCTTCGTAACCATTCAATTAGACCATAAGAGTCATAAAAGGTACATTAGTACAAAGAATAATGCTCCATTGCGAGATGTTTGTATGGTAGGGTTCATGAGCAGTTATAAGTTTAGGCTTTTGTGGAGGTAGAAATATACCCTCAAAAGTTTGTACATAAGCAATAATGACTAAATGGTCGAAACAGTTATTTTCTTTGCATCCTATATTTGGTTTCTGCATGCCTCACACTCATTGCTGTTGTACAACAACTTCTGTCTGACTTAACAATTGATGTGCTAAACTCCATTGCGTACATCTTGAATGTAAGTTTATCGTATACATAATTAATTAATTCTAAATTTCTAATGCAGGTTGTGCAGCTGTTTTCATGCTTGGACAAGATAAGCTATATCGAATGGGCCCTCGATTCTGAGTACATTCTTTGTGGTCTATATAAAAGACCAATGATACAGGCATGGTCGTTGGCCCAACCTGAATGGACATGCAAGATAGATGAAGGTCCTGCTGGTATTGCATATGCTAGATGGAGCCCGGACAGCCGTCACATACTTACCACATCAGACTTCCAACTGCGTTTAACAGTTTGGTCACTATTAAACACAGCATGTGTACATGTGCAATGGCCAAAGCATCCTTCCAAGGGTGTTTCTTTTACCAAAGATGGGAAATTTGCTGCAATTTGCACAAGGCGTGATTGCAAGGACTACATTAATCTTCTGTCTTGTCATACATGGGAGATAATGGGTGTATTTGCTGTGGACACATTGGACTTGTCTGATACTGAATGGTCGCCAGATGACAGTACAATAGTGATATGGGATTCGCCTCTCGAATATAAGGTGGCAACTTCGTTTCTTTTGGCTTTGCTAAACCAAAATGATGTGCAGTAAGTTTGTTAAATAATGGTTTAGTTTGAAAAAAATAAAAAAATCATGGTGTGGTTTGATACAGGTTCTAATATACTCCCCAGATGGGAGGTGCCTTTATAAGTATCAAGCATATGAAAGTGGATTGGGCGTAAAAAGTGTTTCATGGTCTCCTTGTGGCCAGTTTCTAGCAGTGGGTAGTTATGACCAGATGTTGCGGGTTTTGAATCACCTGACTTGGAAGACTTTTGCTGAATTTATGCATCTATCTACCGTCCGTGCTCCCTGTTGTGCTGCTGTTTTTAAGGTGATTGTTTGTTAATATATTAGATAGCCAGATATCATGTTCTTTTAGTTTGTTGGATGATTTCTCACCCCCTTAATTTGTAAAATGCCAGGAAGTGGATGAGCCATTGCTGCTTGATATGTCCGAGTTATGTTTAAGTGATGATTTTGCACAAGGCAATGATGGTAAGCATGACTGTTGGTACATTTCTCAAAAGGAGGATTGCTGTTCTTTCTTAACTTATAAAACATTTGCAAACTATGAAAGTAGTGTGCTGTATCATTTGTCCTGCATAAACTACCCTTCTACATTCTTGTTTAGTACTTTAGTATTCTATATCAGGTTCCTTTTTTCCTGTTGTTGGTGTGTGTGTGTGTATTTGCCAGGTTTCATTTCTGCCTTGTGATTGGATCCCTTTACTTTTCTTCTTTCCCCCTTTTTTATTTTTTTATTTTTCTTTCCAAGTAGATGCTTCTGAAGGACATTTCAGAGTTAGGTACGAGGTTACAGAAGTGCCCATTAGTTTGCCTTTCCAGAAGCCTCCTGCAGACAAACCTAACCCCAAACAAGGAATTGGTAAGCCCTTTCTCCCTTTGTACTGTTTTGGTATGCAAATAAATACAAATTTTGTAGACCCCAGTCAATGCAATAGCTCAAACATGAAGATAGGTCTTAAGATATTATCTGGTGTAATTACTCCTGTAATCACTCCTGCAATATATAGCCTTTAAATGAAGCTAAACCTAATCTGCTGAAAAACAATCAAAGCGGTCTTTGTTCTAGCTATTTACATTAGCAGAGTGGAGATGCACTTAGAAATTTAGGCGTTCATAAATGCATCCGCCCAGCCATCAGATAACATTCAATGTCCTTGAGAGAGGCCATGATGGTTGAGCCCAGTCATACTTTTGGACAAATGTTGCAAGTTGAGGAACTTCAAGTTGTGATGTCAAGTTTATTGATTCTAATTGAACCTATATCGGAGTTTGATATAGATATTGCAGTCAAATATGTTTGCATGGGATATTTCCCAATGACCTTGAATACTTTAAGTACCTCATTATGTGGAGTCAGCTGCTTTTATTCATTGACTTTGTGTAAGGACGGACGTCTTCATTCAAAGGCTTGTTCACCTTATGAGTTATCAATATATGTGTAAGCAATAATTCAAAGTTCAAATGCACTTTCAGCATATTTGTTTGAGACTTTCTTTGATTTTTGGCGTATGTATCCTAAAGTGCTAACTGAAAATTTGCTTGAGATTCATTATATGAAAATATCGCTAAAGCTATGAGGTTTGTAGGTCTAATGTCATGGAGCAATGACAGCCAATACATCTGCACTAGGAATGATAGCATGCCAAGTATTCTGTGGATCTGGGACATACGCCATCTTGAGCTTGCCACTATCTTGGTGCAGAAAGATCCAATTCGAGCAGCAGTTTGGGACCCTACGTGCACGCGTCTCGTTGTTTGCACTGGAAGCTCACATTTGTACATGTGGACTCCTGCAGGTGCTTACTGTGTGAGTATCCCACTACCGCAGTTTAGCATAGTTGATCTAAAATGGAATTCGGATGGAAGCTGTCTTTTGCTGAAGGATAAAGAGTCATTTTGCTGCGCTGCTGTTGCTGTACTTCCAGAATCCAGTGAATATAGCTCAGATGATTGAGGCAGCTTGCTTTACCAATATTTATTGAGAAAAGTAAATTGTAGAACTAAGCAATTCAACTTGCTCTCTGTGTATTATATGTATGTAGTTGGGATGTTCCATTTGTTGTAGTTGGAACATCAGACACTTTGGCTACAATAGCGGCCTTTCTCTACCATTTGTATTTAGATCGTCGTTATTGCTCTTGGAAAATTGACCGGCTTTGACTTGCTAAGCCTGCATGACCAATTTGCAGCAAGTGCCTTGGTGGATTTGTTTAGCCCCCCTCCCCCCACCACCACCAAAAAGAAAATATGGAAGTGCACTGTCTAAAGTGACAATTACTGCTTTTGAGATGATAATTTTATTCTTAGGCTAAATTACGTTTTTGGTCATCGAAGTTTGACTCATTTTTCACTTTGGTCCATGTTATTTTGGATTTTGACATTTTTTGTGATGTAGTTTGGTTTGGTTTGTAATAAGTTGAAATCACAAATTTTGATGAATTAATAGATGAAATTCGAGGCGATAACAGTTGCAATCATCCCAACACGAAAACGAAAGAATTCCATCAAATTTTCTGAACATTGTTAGTTAAACTTGAAGGACTTGATGCATAGACATTTTTCACGTATTTTTATATTTTTCTTTTTTTTCATAATATTTCATTAATTGAACTGAAGAATCTATTGAAGTAAAAATTATTAAAGTACAAATAAATCATTTTAAATTGCCACGTTATTCAACAAATTTTAATTTAAAGTGTTTAATTTGCTACTACTATTGGAGATGCTTTTAATTGAACAAAACTACGTGATTAAACAATTTAAATTATTAGAACCAAAGTGCAAAGTGGCCCAAAACAAAAGGAACAAGAATGTTGACCAAACCAAACTGAGAGTTTTCTAGACATGAATTCAATTCAATGATCTTGAAATTGTAGGGCCTCCTTATTCTTTATAATGGATAATCCATATACTAGTGCCAACGCATGTGGTTGATTAATAATTATGATACAACTGCCACTCAAAGATGCAGCAACAAATAATTATGGGCTTAATGGTGAACCAACCACAACCACTCAAAGATGCAGCCACGTCGTTTTCCAAGTTAGTTCTGTAAATCCAATGATAGATAAAGGACCAAATTGTCTTTTCAAACAATGTCCAAATTGCTGCCCTGTCATCACCTCCACCCTCTCCTCTTCTCTTCTCTTCTCCTCTTGTTGCTGCTTGCTAGAGGCAAAGTTTGCTTGGCTTCTTCTGGAATCTCAATGCGTGAACATGTTAAGTGATAATTGAGGTATCTTAAGAGTGATTTGAACTTATTAAATAACTTTAAGGCTGAATTTCTCACATATGGAGTGACTTAGAAGCCTATATAACCCAAACATTTGATGAATAAATATAATTTTTTTAATAAGGGTTAAGTTGCTAATATCAGGCAAAATCATAAAGCTCATCTATTTTAATATCATACATCAACTAGAGGATTTTTGTTCGCCATTATCATCACATTAATTGTCATTTTGTGTGTGTAATTAATCTACATGTTACACAAAATCAAAACACAAACTTCTCTAAACGACAATCAATGCATTTTTTTAACCTGCATGCCAATAACTTTATCATTGAGCTATGACCCCATTGTTAGTTAATGATATTATTGAACCACATAAAGTTCTATAAATGAGAGTGTCTATTACTTAGTGGTCTGGTTCGATCCCACATTGCAATGTGTGTGGAAATATTCCCTCTTCAATGACCAAAAAATACGAGTAATGTTAGGTTTACCATATTTTTCATACCATAATTGTACCACCTTTCTAATAAAGATGGAGCCCACCAATACAATGAGGCTCACCTCTATTAGAAAGGTGGTATAATTGTGGTATGAAAAATGTGGTAAGCCTAACATTTTTGAAAAAATATATATATTATTAACCATATGCAATTTATTTTGATCAAAATATTGAATGCTACATTGCTACTAAACACTTTAAATATTTAAAACAATTACATGCGTAATAATATGAGATAAAGACGAAAATGCCTGTTTTTATAATTGATATAATTTATCTCTTCCAGTGTTGGAATGTCGGTAAAGAAAAATAAGAAATCCCATGGTCTTGGATATTTCGGGGGAAATTACAACTGACCCTTGTCCCGACCATTAATGCCCGCAAAGCAAAAGCCGACGCGTTTCCGAATCTTAACAAACGCGTTGTAATTTGCAATAAATAAATACTACCCTGCTGCTGATGTTATAATCTTTTTATTTTTAGTGTAAAAAGATAAAAAAAAGAAAAATGAATTTGCTTTTATATTTATTTATTTATATCTAAGAAAGCGGGTAAAAAATAAACAAATTGATTTTCATGCATTATTTAAAAAAATCCTTTTTAGGAAAAACCATTAGAAGGAAAATTAGTTTCCTTCGCTGTCAGGTTTCTTCCTTCCGTTTCATTTCACAGTCTCTCAACCACCGAACCAGCTGAAGTGGAAGAAGCTGAGAACATAAAAACTCTCTTCTCTCTTCTTTTTCCCTTCATTTACTTCCACAGCTTTGCCGATCGTCTCTCTACAACTCGGCTATCGCGTGTTCTCAGTCAATGCCCATAGCCGGGAAGAAGATAGCAGCAACCATGCAAAACGGCGTCGTAGAGAACGGGGTTTGCTCGTCCGCGTCGGTGAATGGGTGTCACGATGTCTGGAGTTCTAATGAGTCCGATTCTTCCTCTGCTGACCATCTCGTTGTCATGGTCCATGGAATTATGGGCAGGTCTGGCCTTTTCAATTTCATCGTTTGTTAATTTACTTCGAACAAACTTGATTTCATCAAGATTTGATTTCTGTACGATAAATTTTATTTCTTTATGCTTTGGATATTGACCAATTCTTCAATTATCGGAGGATTGAGAAGGTTTAATGGTGGCTTTACTTTCTTTGAAAGAAAATTTTGTATTTGAAATGATGTTATCGACAAATTGTTTACCTTTTCATGGTTTTGATGATTAATTTGATGTTCCGTTAAAATTGTTAGTTCCAAATGTATGCTAGATCTACTAAAACTTTGTTTTTTGTCCATCGTTTTGATTAAATGCTTACTTTACAAATGTATGTTTGTCATATTGGGCAAAAAATATGGTTTTCTGTTTAACTTTCTTTTCTTAAATTGGAATTTGTCTGCTTTGGTTGTGTGTACGTTAAATTGAATCTTTTAGCATGACCATTAATACTTCATTTTGTATTTTGGGTATTTGAAACTCGTCTGCTGGAAAGTTTTACTCTTGTTGAATGTCGATATTGTTCTTTATTTGCTCGTGCAGTGCAGCAGATTGGAAGTTTGGAGCGGAGCAATTTGTTAAAATGCTTCCTGACAAAATATTTGTTCATTGTAAGGACCATTCTTTTGCATCATGCATTCAATTAATGCTGATACACTTACTCGAATAAGGCTTTGTTGGATTACTTATTAAGGAAAAAGGCTTTGTTGGGTTGAGCTCTCTAATACCTGCGATCCTTTTTAGTTCTTCCTCTGTTTTTGGTTACCATTTTTTGTATAATTTAATTATTGATTTAAAGAGCCAAAAATGTGCCTTTTTTGCCCGAACTTTATCTTGATTTTTTACCTGTCACTCATTTCATTTCTTCTTAATGTTACTAATCTCATTTAAGAGGAGATTGGTTGAAGAAAAGAATCATTAAACCGGAGAAAGGTGGCCCATACATATGATCATCCTTCTGCTTATAGGATTGGACAATTTTTGCATATTTGGCTTTTCTAGTCTATAGTTAATTTGAGTTCCCCGGAGTTGAGTTTTGGATTCTAGTGCCCTTGCTTTCTATATATTTAGTTCTTTTTATTTGGAAGAGAAATTTTTAAAGTGGAATTAGAGAAATGTTGATGTGATCAATGGCATTTCATATTGTTTGCGGACAATATAAGTTTGTCCAGTCTAATTAAGTTGGTTGAAATTCGTCTGCAGGTAGTGAACGGAATGGTTCTAGGCTGACTTTGGATGGTGTGGATGTAATGGGGGAGCGATTGGCAGAGGAGGTTGCTCACTTCCTATATATATTGTGGAAATGTTTGAATCTATTTCCATATCCAAACAAAACAAAAAAACAAAAAAAAACGCATCCACTTCCTATTCTGTATCACTTGTTAACCAAATTTATTAATTTTAGGTTGTCGAACTGACTCAAAGAAAGCCAAATCTACGTAAGATCTCATTCATTGGACATTCTGTGGGAGGACTAGTGGCAAGATATGCAATTGGGAAGCTATATAGACCCCCTAAAAGTGAAAATTCAGAACATTCATCTCCTAATGGGAGTGAAGAGGATCCAAGGAGTACGCTATGTGGCTTGGATCCTATGAACTTTATTACTGTTGCTACACCTCATCTTGGTTCAAGAGGTAACAAGCAGGTAACACAATTGCCTTTCCACTTATTCATTCAGAATGTACTTGACTTCCTAGAAGTTCTTTAACATCTCAAGCTTGAGCAAGTTCTTGGCTTTCATTGGTTTTATGACTTTTGGTGTACTGTATAGGGGTCATGGGATAAGCTTTCTAAATGTCTGATTCTGTTGCTTATGTGGTGGAAAACTTTGTTAAGGCAGGAGTGAAAAAATGTTAGGCTGATCTTATGTTACGTTGTTCAGTGGTTAGTTGGTACATGCATTTGGTATTGTACTTAATGCATTAGTTCACCTTTTGTAGGTACCATTTCTTTTTGGTGTGCCTGCCTTTGAAAAGGTTGCTAGTGCGGTCATTCATTTGATATTTAGGAGAACAGGTAGGCATCTTTTTCTTAATGACGACGACGACGGAAAGCCTCCGCTGCTTAAACGCATGATAGAGGATTATGATGAATGTTACTTCATGTAGGTTTAAAAAATTCCAATTTTAACTTTGAGATTCTAAGTTTCATGAGCTTTCCTCTCTGAGTTAATTTGAATATGTAATTATAGAATTTTTTGTTTGACAGGTCTGCGTTGCGTAGTTTTAGACGTAGGGTGGTGTATTCAAATGTGGGCTATGACCGTATCCTATTTTCCGTGATCAATATGGATCTTATTGTTGTACATTTTCCAATTTGAAGTCTTTATTAACCTTTTGTTTTCAATAACAAATAATACAAAGATATCGTTGGCTGGAGAACATCATCTATTAGACGTAACAGTGAACTGCCAAAGGTATTATTGCCATATGCATAGTTTTGTAATGGTAGGTTGAGTTTGGAATCTTCTGGTTGCCATTTAATGTAATGAATTTTCTCCTTTATCAGTGGGTGGACACTGTTGATGAAAAATATCCACATATTGTTTATGAAGAACATTGTAAGGCCTATGATGCTGAGCAGTGCGAGCCTACTTCAGTGGAAAATGATGGCTCTGACAAGCTTGAAGGTTTGCAACTTCATTTTCTATTTGTTTTCAACTTTTGGTAGTGATTTTTTGACATTTGAGTTAGATGTAAATAGAACTTGTTGTCTATGCTTGTAGCTATTCTGGTTGGTTATACTTTGCTAATTTTGCTTACATCTTATGTTTACATTTCATTGCTCTTGTATCCGTTTGCATCTGCGTGTTACCATTTACTTGAGTATTGTTGTATTGTTGTGGTGTGTTACTTGCATATTATTGTTTCTCCCTAAACTATTTCTGCCTGAACACCTTTGTTTTCTCCGGAGTTCAGTGATTTCTCAACTTTACAACATAATAATTGGACTCTTTGTGCAGTGGAACTATTGACAGGCCTATCTCGTGTGTGCTGGGAAAAAGTAGATGTTAGTTTCCACTGCAGCAGACATAGATTTGCTGCTCATAGTGTCATTCAGGTATATCTCTCTTGCTTTCTCTCTATCTCTTACATACAGACACACACTGACGTCTAAGCGCTCACACATGGACCTTATGCTTGAATGCACTATAGTAACAAATTCACACACTGAACATTTTACAGGTCAAAGATCAAAGCGTACATATAGAAGGTGAAGATGTCATACGTCATATGATTGATCGTTTCCTCAAATAGAACCTAAGGACCACGAGATGAATTGTCAATGCAACCTGGGCCTGACTCTGCGGTTATTTCAGTGATGGATGCTACAATGAGTAATGCTGCTGCTGCTGAGTGCTGAGAATTCCACGATCTGTGCACACCATTAAATTGTATCTGAAAAATTACCAGCCGAAAAGCAAATGTATCTGAATTTTATTGCTGGGTTTGCAGCAGGCAGTTGAAGGCAATCTTTCATCTCAATCTCAATAACTGAAAATGCCTTGCACAAAATGTAAAATGTGTTTCCACTGTATATTATTATAAAATGCAAGCGTCACATTCGGAATCTGTTACTCTTGCTTTTGAAAAAACCTCGACGTTGACATATAAATAAAATTTGGAAAAACCACAATTTTCAGAGAGTTCTAAGGAGGGAATGGTATTTTATTATAATTTTCTAGAGGAGAAAAAAAAATAATAATTATTGGTCAAAAGGAAAAATGGGTTCAAAAAGAGCTGCTTGACCTCTTCCTTTGACCTGACAAGTGTCCGTTTGTAGTCGAATTGCACCCTTAAACGATCATCTCAATTAATACCGTTTGGCCGTTACCGCCACCACGCAACGGAGAATCAAAACGCAGCTCCTCCCAGAGTTCGCCATTGGCACGCTTTCTTCAACATTTCATTTGCCTTCTCATCTCTCTCGTCCTCTGCAAAATTTTCGAGAAGCTTTAAAATTCCAATGGAATCGGCCATTTCGTCTCCGCTTTCCACGTCGTCTCATTTGCTACCTTCGCCTTCCCGTTCATTGCTTGGCTCCAGATCTCAATCTTTCCCGTCACTTCAAAACCTCCGGCATCCGAGTTTCAAATCCAGATGCTTCTTCGGAGTTCCGTTCCGTTCGCGCCAAACCCAGCCAATCCGATGTCAAAGTTCGAATCAACAACCAGCTAAGGACGACGGCTTTGTCATCGAAGACGTTCCTCACTTGACTGATTTTCTCTCTAATTTACCGGTAAGCTAAACAGCAATTAAGCACCTGTTGAATGTGCGCTCAAGAAAAAGCCTACGCAATTTATGTTTTTTTTATTTTTTAAAGTCGAAGTTTTCTCCTTTCTTTCAGTCGTATCCAAATCCATTGAAACAGAGCCAAGCTTATGCTGTTGTCAAGTACGTTTGTCTAAATTCATGTTAATTTTCTCTTGAAAGCTTTATTTTTCGGTGATATGTAAATAATGGGTTTATGTTGCTAGGCAAACTTTTGTAAGCACTGACGATGTGGTTGCGCAGAAAGTGAGTGATCCCTTTCCACGCTTCCAAAAAGAGAGAAGAAAGTTAACTGCCAAACTTTGAATTTGTTGAATTTGTCTTACTTTTTATTTTGTTGCTTTTAAATAACTGCATCATGCAATGGCTCTAGGTTGTTGTTCAAAAGGATGATCCCAGAGGGGTACATTTTCGACGTGCTGGACCTCGGGAAAAGGTACATTTTCGTCTAAATCACCATCTATATATGACATGCTTGGTGAAAACGAAACTCTAATAACATTATCTTTTCTAATGTCAGGTTTATTTCAAGTCAGATGAAGTGCGTGCTTGCATAGTGACATGTGGGGGTTTATGCCCAGGGATCAATACTGTGATTCGAGAAATTGTATGTGGCTTGAACTACATGTATGGTGTGGAAGATATACTTGGAATTGAGGTTAGTACATTTTACACTGTTGCTAACTCTGTAAAACTCTTTTAGTCAAAGGCTATTAATAGTTCATTCCTATATTCTTTACCATATATTGTCTGACCAACTCAAGAAATGTAAGCATCCCCTTGCGTTGCCGCTGTTGAAAACTTGCAGGGAGGATACAGAGGCTTTTATTCTAAAAATACATTGAGGTTGACACCAAAAGTTGTCAATGATATCCACAAGCGTGGTGGGACCTTTCTTCGAACTTCACGAGGAGGTCATGATACAAACAAGATAGTTGATAACATACAGGACCGAGGAATAAATCAGGTGGAAATATTATATGCTCTTGTTTCCTACATATTTGGGCTGCTTTAACTTATTAATACACTACGGAAAAGCCAACTGAAAAAAAATGAAGTTAATGAGAGGAAGTCGTTAACATGAATTTTAGGTGTACATAATTGGAGGTGATGGCACCCAAAAAGGAGCAGCTCTAATTTACAAGGTGAACATTATCTCTCTAAGATGAATCCATTTCCTTGGCATAGCATGTTGTGACATTAGCATATTTTGTCAAGGAAGTTGAGAAACGTGGTCTTCAAGTGGCAGTTGCTGGGATCCCTAAGACAATTGATAATGATATCGCTGTAAGTTCTATCATCCCTGATGGATTTGCAATATTTAGTATTACTATGCTGTTACTTCCGCATTATGCAATGAAATTTTGATGCCATTTTAAAGAATTTGGGAAGTTCATGATCTCAATATGACTACTATAAATTTTAACAGACAACATATTTCTTCCTCACATATATTGAAGAGCTATATTTAGTCTATGACATGCTGTTCAATGTTAGTCAACATTCATAAAGTTGCCCCAAAATCATACTGGTATTATTTTTGGAATTTGGCTTTAGGTGATAGACAAATCCTTTGGTTTTGATACTGCTGTTGAAGAAGCTCAGAGAGCTATTAACGCTGCACATGTGGAGGTTGAAAGTGTGGAAAATGGAGTTGGAATTGTCAAACTCATGGGCAGATACAGTGGTATGTGCGTTGAACCATATAATGGAATGGATAACACACTTTCATTTTTTCACCTTTTGCTTATCATCTTATGTCAAATGATGAACGGTGAACATGTATTTGTAAGGTCTCTTTCTTCCTGAACTTTATATGTTTTCTTCTGTAGGTTTCATTGCTTTATATGCAACTTTGGCAAGTCGAGATGTGGTAAGAATCTTAGCTCCTCTCCCTAGAATGTCAACCTACTTATGATCTTAATGATTTGCGGAAGAAAACATAGGATAGTTGAAAATATCATATCATACATATCATGTATGCGGATGTTCTAGAGATTATCGGAAAAATATATATAATGTTTATGTTAAGCTGTTATGTGTCTTATGGAATGCGGATTCTACTACCCTTTCTTTTTGAACTGCTTGGCTGACCTTGCTTTTAAGTCTGTGCTTCTCCTTCAAATCTTTATCTTTTTTAAATAAATAAAAATGTTGTTCAATCAAAGATATCCTGATGTTGCTATTTGATAGTAATAAAGGTATTGGTGAAATGAATTACTGGCTGTGGAAATTCAGCGTCTTTCTTTTCTTTCAGGGAAAAATTAGAGAAATTTTCTAATTTTCATATTTCTGTGATATAACTCATATTTCTTGAAGACTTTTCAGAAAACTTTAGAACTGAAAATTTCTAGAAGCTTTATCAGTTCAACCCCCGTGCCAGCCTTCCTTTTAGGGAATGAGAAATAGAGATTTATGCTATGGTACAACTCAAGTGTCTTGGAGATTGCTTAGGAAACTAGAGAACCAAAAATTTTAGAAGCTTTAGCAGTTCCTAAAGAAGAATATGTTCCATGCTTAGAATTTCGGAAAAGTTTATGACCTTTTCAACCACTTTCATACCCCAATTAAATAGATTATTATTATTTTGTAATCAATAAGTAGATTGGTTTGCATAATTACAAGGACTATGAAAAGGATTGAAAAATAAATTAGTTTCGGAAATCATAACTTTGTATGTGCATTTGCATATGATGCAGCAATTCAAATTAGTGAATTTGAAGCCGTGTTCATCTAGCCTGTGTTCTATTTGGCAATCAAGGGTGTGCACATTGTCCTGGTCTAGAGACTATACAGTGATCTGGAAACATATTGGTTTTGATTCGGACTAGCACCACTTTCAATGATATTTAACTTCTGTCCTCCATAAAGTGAAATGTTGCTCTAAAGTAATAAAAAGTAGTAACTTAACTGCGGTGAGATCTCTTAATAGGCTTTTGGATGTAACAGGATTGTTGCTTGGTTCCAGAATCTCCATTCTATTTGGAAGGTCAGGGTGGGCTTTTTGAATTTGTTGAAGAGCGGCTTAAAGAAAATGGACATGTGGTTATTGTGTTAGCAGAAGGAGCAGGGCAGGAATATGTTGCACAAGAAATGCAAGTGGTCGATGGGAAAGATGCATCAGGAAATAAGCTACTCCTAGATGTTGGCTTATGGCTGACTGAAAAGATTAAGGTGTCGCACAAACTGTCAATAATATTTTGAGTAGTTTTGAGTCACTTCCCTTTCATTTTATGGACTGCGAGTTTTTTTTTGGTTCTGCTATGGTTTCTTCTTTTGTTATCCAAATAATATTGATTCAGCTCTTTGTTTATATTTTCCTGTCACAGGATCATTTTACAAAAGTTCAGAAGATGGCAATAAATATGAAATATATAGGTACATTTTGATATAGTGTATAGAATTTTGTTGCTGATCATGGAGAGTTTTGTCTCTACTAATGTTACCCTCAAGAGCCAAGCCAAACTTATATTCTAGCCAAAGTTCAGAGGGGACTTTTCTCCCTTTCTGTAACTGAATCTTCTTTGTAGAGAACATTATAGCAGCAATGAAAGGTTCAAGATCCAAAGTAACTTTTATCCACTCCTTTTTGCTTCTTTTACATTTTTATTAAGGTTTCTTTTCTTTGCTTGCATAAAGTCTAAAGTAGATGTGCTAAGCAGTCAAGATCTTATCATTCCCAAATGATTATTGTAGAAAGTTTCTGGGCACTACATCTCGATAAAATAAATGATTTATCTTTTTATCCAACAGATCCAACATATATGATTCGTGCTATCCCAAGTAATGCATCAGACAATATATACTGCACTCTTCTTGCTCAGAGTGCTGTTCATGGGGCCATGGCAGGATTCAGTGGTTTCACAGTTGGGCCTGTAAACAGTAGACATGCTTATATTCCAATTTCTGTAAGCACTTTCCCTGCTCCTATTGTTGTTATTGGGTGTTTTTTGCTCTAATTTTTGGATATTTTACTAAATTCCTTTCATTTTCTTTATTTGATTTCTGAGTGGAACTTTTAAGAGGGGATAGAAGCTTTAGACAAGAACTAGATCCAGCTTGAATTTACAGTAACAATCATGAAAGTAACTAGAAAAACGTTTGACATAAACTTTTCCTTCTATAGAAAGGAGAGAAGTACATAGATAAACTAACCAACTGATACTCTTAAATGGAAACGGACAGACTACGATTATTTGGACTGAGGTCAACCTATACAATGCTTAAGGTACAACTTATAAGTTAAAAACAAATAAAATAAAACTCATGGACACGACTACAGCCCATCTCCAATGGATCTGAATTCTGAGGCCTGTTGAAACTTAATAAATCTTGAGGCTATTAGCTCTTAATCTGTGTGCTAGTGTATTGTTGTGGATTTTCTCTATTGATAAAGTTGGAGGTATAAGATAGAAATTGTATAGTTATGAATGGCATATGTGGTATTGCAGCGTGTGACAGAGACGCAAAACACAGTGAACTTGACAGATCGGATGTGGGCTAGACTTCTTGCATCGACGAACCAGCCTAGTTTCTTGGAAGGCAATGCGCTGCATGAAAGAGTTGATAAAGAGGATGTTGATGTGATCAACCACAACATGAGAGCCACTTCCATATAAATTTATGAGCTGAGGTCGCATTTATTTTCAAGTGGACACCACAACATTGTTTCTTGGAATTATGCCAACAGGGTCTTACCATTCTTAAGAGGTTTTACACCAACCACTTTCCAAGGTGACATGACTTAGGGCTTGCTTTTATTACACTTTTCTCTTTGAAAAATGAAATTAAAAAAAAAAGCAAACAGAAAGATGGGACATGGAGGATGAGAAAGAGATGAGAGAAGTGAGGAAATGAGGAAATGAAGAGGTGGGGAGAATAGTTAGAATAAAAATTTAGACAGTAAAACAAAACCCATAAAATATCTTAGGCTTTGTATTCTGCATATCAATTTATGGACGATCATTCGTTGGGAAGATTAGGTTTTATGCTGCAAAAGATTTCTTGTTATATAGGTTACACTACTGATAATTTGTTTGTAAAACAATGTCACTCTGGTTATGCTGTTAATAGATTCAACTTTGGCATCATCATCATCATTTCACTTCTTGAAATAATTTGTGATCTTTTCACTGCCTAAATTACCATCTACCCTCATATTTGTGAAGCAGAATAAAATCCTCCTTTGTGGTTATTTCTTTCTTTTTGTGGTATGTAGTTGGTTTATTTTTAGCATAATTTGGATTGAATTTGAAACCATGTGGATAAGGTGACGGCAACAACAAAAGTCGACACATAATATCTCTTGTCCTCCTGTCCTCCTGTCCTGTTTATCTTTAGTTTCTCAACTTGCAAGGTTGTTTGTTTCTATCATGGACCCCAAAAATAAATAAAATTTAATATCAAGTTGCATCCATGCTCGGCTGGCTGTCGTTTATCTGAGAGTTGCGTACTGGGCCAAATTAGGAGACGTGTACGGAACATGGAGACAAGTTTGCAACTTCACAGCTGGGTCGAACAAGGGTCCCACCTTTTAAACCCAAGTTGTTAACTCCGACCCACCCAGCAATCCCGTAATAGGCCCATCATGTGAACCAAATTCACCTTTTTGTTAGGTGCGACACGTGTCCACACCAGATTTTCCTTTCTCTTTTTCTTCTTGAAATAGCAATGTTGACTTTTCTTATCATCTTTTTCATCTCATTTGTCAACACCAGTCTGACCTTTCATATAATCTGAACATGAACATTCTGACTAAGAACGGTTTTAGGTATGAAATTGCACTACTATAATGAGAGGGTCTTTAATAGGCGTTTAATTCAGCGCATAATTATTATTGGACTGTTGGATTTGAACATTTATCCTCGTTTTACATGCAAAATGGACTTCTTCTTTTTTTAATCTGTGTGTATGGACATTGTCTTGTATGAAGTTCACATAAAGAATTTCTTTAGGGGTTATAAGTCAGTAACCCCAAAAGAAATGTTAAATATATCTCTACCATTAAAACAATGCCCTTTTAATAATAAAATAATAGCTTCTCTGAAAAAAAAAATAACAAATTTAACAGCTTGGGACTGTATAATAATTACACCTTGCATTATTTTTAATTACTCTCTATATTTGTACACACACAGTGAATAAGTGACCCTTCTAGTACTAGTAATACATAGAGCATGCATACAGTAAATCAGTAAATCCACCATCCAATCACTTTCCACCACGTCAGCAGAGGAGGATCCTGAATAACGGTGACAGTTGAGCTCCTTGGAGTTCAAGGCTTCAAGAGTTCAGTTTCTGGCAGCTCCTCCTCCTCTTGCTTTACTGATCTCCTCCTCTTCCGAGCCGTGTTCACCGGCGGTTGAGACGACTGTCCAGCCTCCAGTGGAAAATTCAGTATTGCTTTCCTACCCCTGAGCTTAAATGCAGCACAATCATAGGCCTTGGCAGCATCCACATCAGTGTCAAATGTCCCTAGCCAAATCCGAGTCCCTTTTCGGGCCGGATCACGAATCTCAGCGGCATACTTGCCCCACGGCCTGCGCCGGACTCCCCTATAATGCCTTAGCACTTCACCAGAACCCGACACTTGCTGAAACTTATCATCAGGCGAGCAGGGAGTTGTACACTCACTAGTTGTTGTTTTTCCCTTGGTGGGTGAGCTCATATTCAGAGGTTCGACCTTTATGGATGGCGAGATTATGGTTTCGGGTTTTGTTTCAAAATTGCAGGGTTGAGGGTTGTGGCAATGGGGATCTGAAATGGGGGAGGTGGACTCAGATTCAGAGAGGGAGCACTCTGGTTTCACAACAAGTGGTTGAACATCATATGAGAAATCATCATCAGGGATTTGGAAATTGAGATGAGAAAAAAAGCCATCAGTGAAGGTGAAGTCTCCTAAGAGATGCTGGCGAATGAGTTCAAGAGTTGATTCATCTTGTTCTTCATGTGTTGGTGTTGCCATTTTGAAGTGAGAGCAGGAGAGTTGATTGGCATGCATGGTGGAGTGGATATGATATTGGACATTGGCTATGCTATCTTAGTTTAGAATACACATTTTGGGACTTGGGTTGAAGAACTTGTGGCAACTTTATTATATTATATAGGAAAGAACTTTTCTCTTCTCTCTTCTTTTTTTTCTTTTTTTTTCTTAAATCCCTGCGGTCTTATTCATTCTTTTCTAATTAATGATTTGTTATAAAGATGAAGGCAATTAGTCCTTCTGTAATTAAGATTGAAATGAGAGCAGAGCAGCCCACAGTAGTAGTGCAAACTGTGTTCTGCTTCCAGCTGAGAAGGTAGTTAGTTATCTGATGATCCACTTGCAACTAGCCAACTAAACTAATTACTTAGCAGCAAGCTGTGGTTGTATTCATATGGCTTATAGCACAATGCCACGTGGAGGACATCATCGCCGTTCATGAGCTGCAGCCAGCAGGACATCAACAAGTTTTGCAACTAGCAGTAAAACAGGGGACCCTCGGATGCAGCTGAACTCATAATGTCTCGTTCGTCTCGTGTCCAGATACAAAGCTATAAATTTATAAATTTATAATTAAAAAAATGAAACCCAGAAAGCTGTATATCACCAAGTTGAAGAAAAGTTGGAAAGATCCCCCACAGCCACAGCCACAGCCACAGCCACAGGACAGACCCATCATCAACTTGTTGGCTGGCTGCTGACCTCTCTCCCAGTCTCCTACTAACAAGTTGAAAGACAAAGAGAAGACCTCTCTGCTCTAAACACAGTACAATATCTTACTAAATGAATACACCAAAGATCAATTTGACAGCTTCATAGCATTTATTAACCAATTACTGATGATGTGTCAATTCCATCCTCTATCCATCCCTCCAACTTAATTTGCTAATTACATCAACAGAATTCATCTGCATTAGCATGTTTACTAATTCGCAAGACGAATTGAATTGAGGATAATTAGATTCTAGATTCCTATTGAAGTTGTTTACTAAACCATATGGATTGAGGAGAGTTAGATTCTGGATTTCTATTGAAATTGTTTATTAAATCAAATCGAGGTAGAAGTTGTATTAATTACTAAAATTTCCTCATTGTTGGGTTAAAGTATATGACAAATTTAGAATTTTTAAAATTGTGTGATGATATAATGGGTAAAAAAATATGAATTTCTAATGGGTTACTTCTCTATGAATTAGAATACCACCTCCCACCTAAGAATTGAATTTCTCTAAAATCATGAATTCAATTTCTAATTTTGTGTGGGCCCCACTTACTTTTTAAATTCTTTGATGTGAAGTAAACGCATGAATCCTCCATAGGTGGAATTAAATTCCTGATGAGAATTGCAATCCTAATTGGCTTAATTATGTACATGCCCCCTGTGCTTTCCAACTTATCTCAGATTACCACCTGTGGTGGAAAACGTCTCAAAGTACCCCCCAACGTGCAAAAAACTGTCTCACGTTACCCTTTCCGTCAGTTTTTTTGAAGTTCCGTTACGAATGTTACTGTTCATCTCCCCCAAAATTTCAGAACAGTAGCCCTCCCCTTTGTTACTGTTCATCGCTTATTTACCCTCCAAAACTCAGAAATTTCTCCTAACCAACACAACTAGCAGCAAGAACAACTCGAGAGGTTGAAAAATCATACCTGGATCGAAGAAAATGGTGCTCGGAATCGCCCGAACGAGCAATGGAGATTTTGGGTAAAAACCGGCCAATTTCTTGCTTTTTTCGGTGATCCAAACGACGGTTGGCAGCGGCTGAGATGTGAAGGTGGTAGAGGACAACGTGCTGGTTCTTTTGATATCCATGTCGTCGCTTGGGGTGGCCGGAGGAGGCGATGGCAGCCCAAAAACTGGTGCGATGAACAGTAACAAATGGGAGGAGCTGCTGTTCTGGAATTTTGGGGGAGATGAACAGTAACGTTCGTAACGGAATTTCAAAAAAACTGACGGAAAGAGTAACGTGAGACAGTTTTTTGCACGTTGGGGGGTACTTTGAGACGTTTTCCACCACATGTGGTAATCTGAGATAAGTTGGAAAGCACAGGGGGCATGTACATAATTAAGCCATCCTAATTAGTAAACACACCATTTATTCAAGTTCCACTTGCACACCACTTAGTGAAGTTCCGCATGCACACCATATACCTCAAGAAAAGTATAACCCTACTACTTGCTTATTAACTTAAAGCCGTTCATAAATGAATGATGGTCCACAATTGTACCATGGAGCTCCCATCTCTTTCTACATAAATTAAACCGTGCCAATTCATTTCAATCCACATTTCAATCCAGTTGACATAGACATAGAAGACAATACCTGTCTGTGCCAAATGTGCAGCTTCGTCCGACTCTCGCAATAATATATGTGGCTCATAAGAACGTATGCGGGACCGATTGCTTACGATGAAATTCGCATCTCATGTATAATACCGAAAAAATACAAAAATGACTTGGCACTTAAGGATCAGTGCGTCCTTAAATCTTCAATAGGGAGAGAGTTAACTTGGAAATTCAGTTTTATAAGATTCATGTGTTTGTAATTAGTGTATATTTGTTACTAATTAATAAGTTGATTAGGGATTCCTTTAGCTAAATACACATGTTTATGGCAACCTAATGGAGATTGACATGTCACATCAAATGTGGAGCCTCCCCACATATATTATCATTATCCTAAGCAGTATTTTATATTAAGAAAATTGGACAGACCAACAGCAATGAACAGTCTCCAATGACTTGAAACAATATATATACATTGGAGGTTGCGCATACGCAACACCCTGCTTTAAAAAAGGAGTAAAATTCAAGAAATTAAGACAGAAGAGAAGACCATACGAAATTTGTTGAAGCAAAGAAATATATTTGATTATATGAAATCAAGGAATAAACAAATCCAATAAAACACAATATGAATTCTTCAATCATATAATTGAACTGAAACAGAGGTAGCTTAAGCTTAGCTTAGCTAAACTATTTACAATAACCACCCAGCTAATCATCCATCACTCTTCTGTTTTGTACATGGATCATTAACAATTTTATGTAACCATAAGCTGAGGAAATCCCAGGAAAGAAGTGTGCGGAGATAAGGGAGACAGAGGAGGCACACTGAAAATCCCCTGTTCATTTTCTTTGCTAATATCCCAAACTGCCGTCCAACTCGACGGTGTTAATGGACAAACTCCACTGTTACTTGAACTTGAAGAAACCATCTCTTGATTTTCCTTCTTCATCTCTTTATTGCTAATCTCCTCGCTGCTCTGTCTCTCTTGACTATCTGTGCTCTGTCTCTCTTGACTATCTGTGCTCTGTTCGCTGCTCTCTCTCCTCCTCTTTCTGCTGCCACCAACAGTTGTCTGCAGAGGCTGCTCTGCTTCTGCTGTTTTTCCAGCTTCCAGAGGGAAGTTGAGAATGGCTTTGCTTCCACGCAGCTTAAAAGCAGCAAGATCATAAGCTTTGGCAGCTTCGATGGCAGTATCAAAGGTTCCAAGCCAAACCCGGGAACCCCTTCTGTTCGGGTCCCGAATCTCAGCCGCATACTTTCCCCATGGCCTTCTCCTCACACCCCTGTAATGCCTTGCAGCCTCAGAAGCTTCGACCACCACGTTGTTAGAGCTTGATGGGTTCTGAGGCTCATCACCGGACAGAACCGGCGGTGAGGGTATGGCAACGTTTATGGCGGGCTTGCGGTGGCTCAGAGTCGAGTGTTTGGGTGGTTTTGGGTGAGCAATCTGGGGCTTGGTTTCGGACTGGGTGTCTTGATCAATTTCTGGGAGCAAGAAATCAGAGATTCTGAAATACTGATCAGAGCTGGTGGTGGAGTTTGTCTTAGATTGGGAGGGTAAATGGGAACTTTGGGGTTGGGGGATTTGGGAGGTGCAAAGGTTGAGGCCAGAGATGAAGCTGTCCATGGAGGTGAATTCATTGAGGAGGTGTTGCCTGATCAGCTCTAAAGCTGAAGTTTCTTCATGCTCTGTTGCCATCTTAGACAAAGAGAAAGAAAACTTAGACAAGGAGAGTTGGAAATTGAAATTCAAAGTGAGAAGTGTTGAGTGGAATGGAGGAGAGTGTGGATTTGGATGGAGTATATATATATGTATATATAAGAGGAAGAGAAGATTAAGATTGGAAGAGTTGGGGAAGTTGGGGAAGTTTGGGGGTTAAGGCGAAGGTGTGGCCTCACTTGGGTTTCCTGGATGAAGATAGGAAGCATCGTATGTGGGGGTATAAACAAGTGGACTTTAGACTGTGGACTGCACAGCAATATTTACTTTAATATTTTTCAAAGGCTGCACTGCACGTTTTGAATTACCATGCTTCCAGGCTACTTCCAACTTCCAACCCTAACACGTATGATTGATTACGTCTAATCCTGTTTAATCAAATCCAAATAATAGTATTATTTTAATACAGCCCACGTGGTTCAATTTCTAACCTTGTTTATTATTTTATTTCTGTCTTTTGAACTTTTACTAAATAATCTGACTGAATCATCTTTTGTCTTTTTTTGCCATCTACGACAAGTCCATTTCTCTAATTAGCCATCATAATTAGTTTATTTATTTTTTATATTAAATTTATTTTTTTATTTAAGGGAATCAGTGTTTCTAAACTCTCTAGCAAGGTTGGATTCAATGTCAGGTAAGAAAAATTATAATGATGATGTTTAGGCTACATTTGACTTTTAGGCTACCTTTCTTAGTTTCATGTTTTTTCTAATTAATCATGATCAACTTGAATATAAAAGAATATGTACATTGTCTTGACTGACTTACTTCACAACGATGATTTGCATGTGTGAAAATAGATAAATTTATAGCTTATTTTTTCTTCGGTTACAAAATTATAGTTTTATTGATAAGGTTTCATGATCAATTGGCCAATGACAAACTTGTGACGTGACGAGAGCAGTTCCATAAGTGTCGTTGGAAGAAACTTATTTGTCTAGTTTTAATATTCTACGACAATGACGTTCTTATTGTTTTTGGATGAACCAAGGACAATGGCGTTGATCCAACTGATGTATGTATAAGCAAAAATACAAGTGTAGATATTAGTATTGTATCTAAAAGGCACAACAAGACATTAATGGTTATGGTGGTCTCATCCACGAAAAAAATATATCTCACATTTTCCACCTTTTTCGAAACTTACTGGACTTCCCAAATTCATCATCTATCTGAAAATTCAGCCAAATAAAGAAAAGTATCAAATTGTATTAATTGCATATTTCCTTTTCATGATTTAATTACTTATCTTTGGGGTCCATGCATGACTATCGAGGCTGGCGAATATATTGAAAACCAAACTGCCATAAATTGTTTGACAAAAGAAATATCAAACTTGAAGGATCCACCTCCAAAACAATCCAAACAATTATTAATGTACCCCAGTGCAGTGCGTATGTGTTCAATAAGATAACATCGGAATTATTAAAAGGAAAAAACAAGCCTTTAGTTTCACCAATTTTATAAAATATCTTCTTCTTATCTTCACTTTGATATCATCCGTATCTTTGTAGGGAGTTGTTAAAATAGTTTTCCGCGCGCTTATTGAACAAGAAGTCACGGGTAACTTTGATATCACCCGTGCCTTTACAAAGAATTGTTAAAATAGTTTTCCGTGCTTATTGAACAAGAAGTCACAGTAACCGAACTCATCAAATCAATAACCATAATTATCCGTGACTTTTCGTTCAATAAGTACGGAAAGCATGTTTAACAACTCCCTATGAGGACATGTAACTATAATCCTTCACTACAGTGTAGGTTTTAGTTGTCGTAGCGAGCAGATTTGAAAACATTGGTGATTGTCTGACCTTGAATGGTCGAATTCAATGACCACGTGGTGTTCGACCTTGACTCCGTTGTCTCTAAACTAAAATAATCAAACGTAAGCAATGACTTTCGTCCATCGTTTCAAATGAAGCAAACAACTGCATGCAAGTTCTTTGTATCGCAACATTCCACTTGCAAAAGATAATTTGATCAACTTGCATGCTATTATATATGTATATTAATTAATGGATCCCACGGTCCCACCCCACGTAGGCCATAGTTGTACGAAGGATTGTAGTGTCAAGTGTCAAGCAAGTGGGTTTTCTTTTCTCAATGGAGGAGAGCACGAGAAGCAACCGCTTTCGGAATTTTGCTTTCCTGGATAGCTGTGGCTTAGTTGGACCGCTATCGCTCTTGTATTAAACTATGGATAACGACATGATGTGTTTGATAATAATCCTAATTAAATTATATTATATGTGTACATTATTTTGCTGACAAGGATGGAGCCGACATAGAGACTATGATTTGGATCTTTGCGTTTAGTCAAAATTAAATTATAAATAGCATAGCGATTAATTAGTTGTATTCAAAAGACGTTAAACAATTATATTAAACAAGACATTTTATTGAATGTACATATAAAAAATACGTAAATTCGTAGGAAAAAACAAACAAACTATAGGTACAATCTTATATATATATATATGTTTTCTTACAAAGGGTAAGAAGGAAAGCTAATAATTCTATAACAGGTTTAAGGATTCCTTAAGAGAGAGAGATATATATATATATATCACAGGTGGAGGAAGGAGCAGCATCAAGTAATGCATGTGATTGATTCAAAGGAGAGAAAACGAAATTTGTTTGACAAATAAAAAAGAAAGTCGTAAGATGAGAATTTGGATGTCAATGGGAATATTATGATGTATGTTTTATTCATTAAACTAAGAATAATGATGGTGAGCCGACTTAATATATGTTTTGGTGGCCAGCTGCATGCCGTAGCACATTGACAAATATTTATTCAGGGAGGGGTGGGGGGTGGGCAACTCGTAATAATTGTGTTGTGTTCTGTGTGTATGTAAAAGTTTTACGTAACGTAGCCACAAAAGTTGGTCACTTCTTCTTCCCACAAGCTCCCAATTTCAACTTTTATATATTTCAGAGGGATGCACGATTGACTCATACAACTCAAAACCCAAAGTATGGGCAGCTGTCATAATAAATAGGTTGTGCTCTTGCATGAAGAAGAAGAAGAAGACAATTGTGCTCGGTTTTTATGTAGTAGGTGGTGACGGCAATCCACATATATATAACAAAATGTGAACATATATTTATGTACGAGAACAGAATCATAGGACGGCATAGTGGCCGGTTTATTTGATATGAACTTCACTAAGAAGATATAAGGAAATCTAAGGTTTATTTAACAAACTGGAATAACAAAACATAATCTTATTCACGGTTAAAATATGTTTAAATACTCTTGGAAACTCTAGAAATAAACAGAGAAATTAAAATAGAATAATAACAAAGTTTCCAAAAACTGTAAAACTTTAAAACAGGATTTCGGACTATTAAACGATCTCGGATGACCGAAAAAGCCTATATATTATGACGAAGCCTAAATATGCAGTTTGTTTGATTTGCCATTGAACGTGCGTCGTTCTAACTAATCTTCAATTACTTCCACCATCTATTCTGCATCAAATATTGTGTCAACTATTCATATATCCAGCGACAAATGAGATAGGTTGGAATGTGTGGTCGACGTCCATGCCTTAGTTGCTGGACCATCACCGCATGTGAACATAGCCATTACATTATTGCTTGGACATTTCCAAACGTGGGGTCCACCATGCTTGGTATTTAGCTGCTGACTCAAACTTTTCGGTGCTTGCCCTACTTCCACAGAAACATATTCATTCGCGTCAAACCACTGACCTAGATATCTGTGTGTGTAACTCTTAATTTCTATAACGATGACGAGAAAGAGAGCGTTGAATGTTGACCAGATTAAACGTAAATAAACCTGAGTTTGATGATTTGCTGATCCCGGCGGTGATGAAAGTTCATTTTCCTATACTCTGTTTTGTCCAAACAAGTAAAAGTTTTCTGATTAATTAATCACATGCATAAAATATTGTTTGAATATTCTTACATGGATGGGTTAGTCTTCATTATTGTAAAAATTTGACTTCGCCTATCCGATGAAATTGGTAGAGATCAAAATAGTTTCTATATACTATAGCTGTGATTTTGTAGGTTTTCAAGATATGTATATACAAAGAAAAAAGTAATGTGTATATATATTTCAACATATAACTCAAAATGTACACGGGATACTAATCTAAGCGATTCGTATTTGACCCCAACCAATGCATTAAGACTCCCTTCTATTGAGGGACACCATTTAGGATTTTCTACGATCTAAACCATCTATTTTTTTAGGTCTATATTCATAGATCATCTTTGCACCCAAAAAAAAAATAAAACAAATCAGAAACAATTTCGATATCCAATTGTGTCATACAAAATCATAAACACGATGCTTTAAGAAAGTACTAAAATTTCAATAATTCAAATGAGTGGTCAAATGATATCGAATTCAATTGATTTTTTTTTGTAGAGATCATATTTGAATGAGTATATACAAAATAGACAGTTTGGATTAATGAAATGCAATACATAGTGGATCATACAAGGGTGTTCCTCAAATAAGGTATTCCTCAATGAAAGTTATATATATATAGGGGCCACTCCGCGTTATATCCTACTTCTTCCATATATATATATATATATAGCTTCCATTGAGGGATCCCTCAATAGAGCTTATTTGAGGGACACCCTTTGTAGGTCTCACTCCGGATTGTATTTCACTAATCCAAACCGTCTATTTTGTACATACTTATTCAAAGATCATATCTACAAAAAATTACTTGAATTCGATATCATTTGACCACTCGTTTGAGTTATTGAAATTTTAGTATTTTCTTGAAGCACCGTGTTCATTGATTTTGTAAGACACAATTGGATGTCAAAACGGTTTCCGATTTGTCTAATTTTTTTATAAGAATGATCTATGAATGAAGACCTTAAAAATAGATGGTTTGGATCATTAGGAAAAAATTGTAGGGTACCCTAAAGGACACATAGAGCTTTCATTGAGGGATCCCTCAATGGAGCTTATTTGAGGGACACCCTTTGTAGGCCCCACTCCGAATTGTATTTCACTAATCCAAACAGTCTATTTTGTACATACTTATTCAAAGATCGTATCTACAAAAAATTACTTGAATTCGATATCATTTGACCACTCGTTTGAGTTATTGAAATTTTAGTACTTTCTTGAAGCACCATGTTCATTGATTTTGTAAGACACAATTGGATGTCAAAACGGTTTCCGATTTGTCTAAATTTTTGTATGAATGATCTATGAATGAAGACCTTAAAAATAGATGGTTTGCATCATTAGGAAAAAAATTGTAGGGTACCCTAAAGGGCGTCCCTCAAATAAAATTATTTGAGGGATCCCTCAATAGAAATGTACTATATATATATATATATATATTGAAGCCAGAAACTAATAGACGACATTGTGGTTGGTGAATATTGAAAGTTAAATTGAAACCCAGAAACTAATAGACGCCAGAAAAAAGAAAAAAAAGAAGAAGAAATATATAGAGTCTCATTGACTTTAGTCTTTATCTTTTAATATTTTTTTAGGAAAAATTTGAAGAGCAGTATGATGATGACGATCGAAAAATTGATGGGTAGGGAAAATGCATCTTCAACATGTCCCTTTATGCGTTGGCTTCCTGTGCTGCCTCCATTAAACCTATGTAAAGGTACATTCATCCGGACAGTGTGCTTTTTTGAATGTACAGGAGAAAGGAGATAAACAAGGGAGAAATAATAATTAACGACCCCACTAGTTAGACTTTTTGCTTAGTTACTGGTTAATCCATACAAATAATTCCTAGTTAATTACTTTAGTTACGTACCTGTACTGAGCTTCTGTGATTAGAGATTCCTTGCCATCCCAACCAATTGCCCAATTTAGGGTTAACTCTTGCGTTTTGGACTCAACCATAGGGTGTGGAAAATGTTTGAGATTCAGAATTAGGGTTTTAGTTCAGTTTTTAAGTTCAAAATCCAAGAGTTAGAAGTAAATTTTTAATTAAGTCCTTATAAATAAATAAATAAAGGGCCTCTTATTGCATATATTTGCTAACTAACTAAATGTCGTTTAAGTGATTATGAATAAAAAAGAATCACTTTTGGGGGGAGGTGTTTCTCCCTAAAATCACTTAAAACCACTTAAAATGATTATATACAGAGAAGAAGTGATTCTCTACAAATGTAATGAGTATACCAGTGTACACACGTGTAGTAATATTAAACTAGATAAAAAAAATTTCCTTTTATGGAGCTTGACCTAAAATATCTATTTAAAACTAGATAATGAATAGTACTTTTTTTTCTAAGAAACTTGTCCAAGATGCAGAAGCCACGCCAGACTTTTGTTTAAATTAAGAAAAGTACTATAATATGGAGAAATCCCACCCACTCTGACGGCCGATTTGGATCTAGGGGAGACAAAGATGAAGATGACAAATCCCGTTGCCATCCCTACAACAACCTTCAAAGGGATTTCCATGGTGCTTTGTGGGCCAAGTGATTTGATTGATACACTGCACTACGCCCATTAACGCCCAAAGCTTCTTATGCTCCAATGGCGCACGTGAACGATAATTTATTGGCCATTTGGTTTGGTAAAGCTATCTTTAAAGCCATTGGGCTCGTCGCTTTTTCTCATTGCCATCATTTCTTGGTAAGATCAGAAATGAACAAGAAATTGCATCCTCAGAGACGATTGATTGATCATCGACTTTTATTTTTATTTTTATATTATATATATATAATTTTATTGTATTTCACTGATGAAACCCGAGCGTAAGTCGTAAATTAAGACGAAGAAAAAACACTCATCACTTTTTGGAGTGGGTTTGCAATTGCAATTACTGATCACTTTGTAAATATTTTACAATTGCAGATTATAATTACGCGACATTGACCACTTAAAACTCTCATATCATATATCCATTCCCTAGCTAAGCCAGTTCACAACTACTATAATGATCACCTAGCTTACCAATAGTTGCTCGCCAAGTGGCAGCAGACCCATACTATTCTTCTGCCCTGTCCGAAGCACATTTGCTTGATGATGATCATGTTCAGCCACCGAGGAGCCTTTGGTCCTCTTAGAGGATTTCGGCGTTGTTGTTGAAGCATCCGCAGCGGCGGCGGCCTCTGCCTCGGGCTCTTTGCGCTTGCCGGTGACTCTGACAGGCGGGGGCTCATTCAAGCCAATCCGGTGGGGGAAATTGAGCAAAGCCTTGGAGCCACGCATGCGGTATGCGGCTCGGTCATAAGCCAGAGCCGCTTCCTCAGAGGTCTCGTAGGTCCCGAGCCAAACTCTAGCTCCATTCTTAGCCGGGTCCCGAATCTCAGCCGCGAACTTCCCCCACGGCCTCTGCCTTACCCCTCTATAATGCCTCCCTCTGGCCACCCCGGACTTTGGGGCCTTATTCTGATCAGCTGCATCAACTAGTTGCACTTGCTTCTGATCATGATGATGATGATGATGATGTTCAAAGGGCAAGATGATTGGAGCATTATTGACATCATGGTATTGTTGGAATTGGGTGAACAAGTTTGGGAGGGCATGATGGTGATCAAAGGGATCATAGAGGAGGGGCTCGGGCTTGACATATTCGTACAAGCTGTGATCGGGAAACCAGCCAAAGCTAAGAGCATCGTTGAGGGAGTTATAGACAATCATGTCCTCCGAGTCATCAACTTTGAATGGCAAATCTCCCCACTGTTCTGTTAAGCATGGCATGAGAGATTGATTATTATCACTCATAATCATGCTTAATCACCAGCTTGTAATGGCTTAATTGCTAGAGAGAAGAAGAAGAAGAAGAAGAAGAAGGATATATATTTGGAGATTTTGAAAGAGGAGGTAAACAATAAGAGTATATATAGAAGCGGGGGAGGGGAGCTACAGAACCAAGATATTACATAAATATCTTTTTCTATTTTCTTAATTTTGATTTTGATTTGTAAGAAAATGATTTGTGATTTTTTTTGAATTTTCTTTCCTCTTTTTCTTCCTTCGTAATATGAATGGGAATTTAAAGGTTGACAACTAGTAGGCAAATTGGTTGGGACTTGGGAGAGGGAGGGGAGGTGGGGGTTTCTTTCTGTCACGTGACTATATACGCACGTGAGTGAATGGGTCTAAATGCTGATGTCATGGGGTTCCGTTATCCTTGTGCCAGGTGTATGCACGATGACAGGTTAAATTTCTTTCCTTCCGTCATTTTCCACTGTCTGCATGCGTGTGAAACGAGAGACCTGCAAATTTTTACTGGTTAATTAACGGCCGATGACAGCCTATGTGTCTGTGGAGACCGTGTCATGATTTATTTTCTCACAAAGAGCTCCAATAATATTTAATTTTCTGTAATAATATAAATTATAATATGGTTAACTGTGATGCTACAACTGACGTCATTCGAAGCAACTAGTCAAATTGCACACTGAAGAAATGATGGGTCTATTGCTCCCCCCACCTGGACTTATAATATCAATTTTAAATTCCTCAATTTTCTTTTTATTTAACAAACCAAATTCCAGAAAATTATTTATTATTATGATTATTTCATTTTTATATATGCAAGTGCAACTAACCTAATTTATTTTTTGCTTTGTTGAGATGAATATCTGATTTTTCTGGTCCGTGTTGTATCGTGCCATATCTCTACACTGTGTATATGCCAACAACTTTGGTAGCTTGTTTTAATCAAACATGCTGTACTTTACTTGTTTTTTTTTTTAAATGTTTCTACTTTGACTCTCACACATTGAAATTATAGTTTAAAAATATATTTGATGAGTGTGGCCATGGGCAAAATATTTGCTAGTGTTGTAAAATGCAACCATGTGAGCCGTGTAAGTCCAAGTTGGTTCAGTCGTCTATGTCAATTTGTGCCAGAATCGGATTCTTGTGTTGTTATACTCAATCTACCATTTCTTCAAAAGTAAATTTAGGTTTTAGCATTAATTTCTCAAACCCAGCCAGTCCTAATAGCATTAATTACTACAAAACTTGAAGTGTAAGTATCTATATAAACTTGAACCTGAGCAAAGGCCTTGTTTGCCCGTCAAGTTCATTCGTCTCATCACTTTGATTTGATTCTCTATATATCATTTTCAAATTCCTCCTCTTAATTAATTTAATTTGTCAAACTAAGGTGTTGTAAGCAAAAGTAAAGATTAAAGTAAGCTTAAGATGCGTTTAATTTCTACGTGGGAAGACTTGATATAGCTTGACCTAGATGTTGCTAGTCGCCCTTGAATTAATGCGTAGCTCCTAACTGAGAAAGTGAAGGGAACCTTTCTTTCAGCATGTGAAATGATTTGATTCTGAGACGATGCCCATTTCACACCTTGAAATAAAATTACATATTATGTGGTTTGCTAGCAGAGATGGTATTGCCTTTGCATACCTTTTTCAAGTTTCGAATTAATAATAATGAAGTTGACCCAGGATATTTTTTTAGTTTGAGGAGGTAGGTAGAAAGAGAAGAAAAAAAACACACAACGTACGTGCTAAAACTCTTTGTAATTAATTGAACCAATTTTACTTACGATATTTTGAGTCAATACATAAGCCTGGGAAAACATGTGCAGACTCCAGCAATTTTATTCCGTTGTTGTAATACATTTGAGTATTAATTGATTTAGAGGATGAAGAAAAACTGTTGCTAGTATTTATGAGTGATGATGATTTGCGGACTTAAAAAAGGGGCCAAATATTGACTAAATGATAACTTTCTCCAAAAGCTATCATTAATCCATGGTCTAACTTTTTCCAATTATTGGAAAAACAAGGTCACTTTATGTACCCGGATTATATTACAAACAAACCCAAAAAAATCCACTTAACATGCGCGACACATTGCACCGTGGTACAGTACAAATAAAATAGAAAATGCAGATGAGTGCGTGTAAAACATTTCCAATTACATACACAACAATTGGGTCTTAAAGCACCTTTTTTTTATGATGTTGATGAAAATTGGTACATGCACAGGAGAAGTTGTCTCTGATTTTCCATCCGAGTCAGAGCATGGGGGGATGGTGGTTGGTGAGCCCTGTTTTCAGTTAATCCAGCCAAATTAACACCGCTTTATTCAAATTAATTTGGCATTGGTTTGAACTTGAAATAACACCACTTGTTTTATGCATATCTGCTTGCCGCCAAACCCGAGCTATAAGTTATAACTACACTTAAATATATAATTAAGTACTTTTTGACAAAAGAAAGTCATTGTGGTTTTTAGCCTAACTTTAATTCATCTGAGCATTAGGATCAATAGTATAATCGCATCTCAACCAAACTCAAGGTCACTGACTCACTGCGGTAAGGTTTTTTTAAAAGCAGGGGAAAATTTCCTCTTGCAAACAGTTTAGACACTGAATTTAAATCGCCGATAAAATAATTAAATCTTTTGTGAATCTTTTGTGAATGTGACATGCATATGAGATAAGAAAAAAGGGTCAAATGTTACTTTTAGGGCCAATTTCAAGCCATAATATGAAATGAGGAAAGTTTTAGACTAGCTTTTACACGAAATTGACAGAAATACTCACTTGTCATTGAATTTCTACAAATGCAAAACTACAATATGATAATAGAACATTACTTGTTTAGAGTAGATTAGTAACGGTTTTTCTTCGTTTTGGCTAAATTTTAAAGTGAAAGGAATCAAAGTCAGAAACAAGAAAGAAACACCTGGTCAAAAGATTATCTGCAGACAGCATTAAGTTTGATGATCGCGCCTTCTCTTACATTGTGGAATTGATCTTCGTAGTGGAAAACTTCTTTTTTAAAGGTATTTATTAAGAAAGAGAGAAGGTCAAGGTCATCAGGGAAAGGTTTCCATGAACAACTCCATTTAAATTTAAAGTAGTCATCTCTACTTTTTTGAACTTTTATTTTAATTCATAAGAACCCCACTCTCTATAACTTAATTAGGGGAAAGAACTTTTGGATACTGATGCACAACTTTAACCAACTCCATCAAATACATTGGCCTCCCGCAATTGCAAATTCTATGTCCATTTTCTTCAACTTTTGTCCCATTTGATACTTCAAAACACAGGCGATTAAACAAGTTGAACAACTTTTCTCATCTACAGAGGTGATTAAACACATCCTCTCAATTGCTCAACCAAATCCACAGGGTAATTTGGGAAATACGAACTTGATTCAAAATCAGTCCAGTCCAGTATGTGATTTGGGTTGGGTTGGACTGAAACTTATGAAATTTGAAATCAATTGGGGCTTAGCCCAACTTAATATATAAGAGTAAGATGATGACCATTCTTATCTGATGTCCTCGAACTCTCCACACCCTTCCCAATAATCCCAACACTCTCTACTCTTCAACAGATCACTCAGATGACAAACGACGTGTCGCGAAACGAAGCCAGTTCATTACATGCAGCCCCTGCATGAGAAGCTCCTCAACACGTGCCCTTCCTTCCTTCAACACGTGCCACCCCACCTCATGTCCTCGCTCTTATATAAACCCTAACCCACCAATGCACCCAATATCACCAAGACTTGCACATTTTGTTCATAAAATCACACCTAAATTTTTCATCAATTCACCCATCTTGAGAAAATGGCCGATCAGCACTTCCAGCCGCCCCTTCATTTCCAAGGCAGCTATGGCCAGCAGCAACCGCGGTCTTACCAGGTGGCCAAGGCGGCCACTGCAGTCACCGCGGGTGGCTCCCTGCTAGTGCTCTCCGGTTTGGTCCTTGCTGGCACGGTCATTGCGTTGACCATCGCCACTCCGCTGCTCGTCATATTCAGTCCGGTTCTTGTCCCTGCTTTGATCACCGTGGCGCTGATAACGATGGGGTTCTTGACTTCCGGTGGATTTGGTGTGGCGGCCGTCACGGTGTTGTCGTGGATCTACAAGTACGTCACCGGGAAGCAGCCACCAGGGGCTGACCAACTGGACCAGGCTCGTCATAAGTTGGCTGGGAAGGCGAGGGATATTAAGGACAGGGCTGAGCAATTTGGCCAACAGCATGTCCCCTCTGGTCAGCAACAGAGTTCTTAAATACTATCTGCATGCACTGCCATCAAATCCTTGTAGTTGATCATCAGGCGACAATAATAATTGGAGTTTATATAGATCATCAGGCCCTCCCATTGGTTGTGTGTGTGTGTAATTTCGTGTGTATTGAGTTGTTTTAGTGAATGTGTCTCTGTCTGTCTGTTATTTTGTTAATTTAATGTACGTTTATTTCTGTGTCTTTTCTTGTAACGAGTTGAATATTTGGGACCTCTTTTCCTTCCAAAAAAGACCAATAAAATAAAATAAAATAAAAAGAAACGTACGTTATTGTGCATTTTCTATCTTTTCCTACTGCTTGCTTGTGTAGACACAGGAAGGCATGGTTCTACCCCGTTTTGTGGGATTTTGGACATGTTGGAGGTATGGAGAATTCCCTAATTGGTGGGATTTGATTGTGAAGTTTACGAGGGGTCAACTTTGGTGTCAACACAACCCAAGAGTCACTCAAACTATGCCATTACTAGAGGTATGAAAATTCACAAAGTAAACATAACATAAACCAAAAGAATCAAATTTTCCCAAAAAATTAGAACAAAAAGAAAATCCAAAACCCTAATAAACATGAAAGTGTTTTTTTAATTCTCTTTCTCACATCCATTACCTCACCGAAGGAGGTCCCAAAACCCCTCCAACGTTAGATCCGCTGCCTCCACTGTTCGAAGAGCCTCCGCCCATTTCCACCCCTTCTAGCATTTGAAGAGATGGGGCGACTGCCGACATCTTTCCTGCACCACCCATGCCAAAACATGCATACCAACCCAATCACGTGAGCCCTATCAATTATGTGTGCCAAAAGAAAAACGCTATACACCAATTAAAGTAATAGGGTATTGGAATAGTATATACTTTGTAGCGAATATATTTCTCATGCTTCCATTCCATGTCTATATATTTCTCACTCTTGTTAATTATAAAGTATTTATTGTACGTGTGTATGTCCAAACCATAAGTTAAGACTTGTAATCTCGAGTTCTGAAAGAGGTAATAATTAATTAGTCAAGTTTCTGTGTACCTAGCCAATCAGTCAACTACAAGGAAATGAAGTCATCTTCCTTTGCAATTTTTCCATTTGTCTTTAACATCAACTCCTGATTTCTCATGCCCAACAACAACCACCATCTCCAACGGAAGGAAGGAAGCCAAACCCAAAAATTTGGACCTGCATTAATCCATATCCACCATGGTATTCTAAGTATCGCTTCGTTTGCAACCTGCATTAATTCTACCTCTCCAGTGTTAATATATATATTTTGCAGCGGGTGGGCGAGGGGTAGTTGCGGCTTGGTGGTGGTGGTCGACTCGTGAGAGAGAGAGAGAAAGAGAATAGGAGGCGACAATAGGTTTTCTTTAAAGTCAGGGAGCCTGGCGCCTACCCCTAGGCGGTGTCTTCCTGCCTAGGCGGCCTCCTAGGCCCATTTTTCAATAGCCTTCTTTCTAAATGTACCGGCATTTATCCTGCACCATGGGAAGATATATACCACAAATGTCTGTGTTTCTTAACAAAATCATTACTTTTATAAGTCTGATTAATTATCAATTTGTTTGTTTTCCATTAGCCAACTGAAACAAAACTATTCCATTTCAATCCCATTGCTATAAAGTACTGGAAATTTTATTCAACAGCAACATCAAATACCGATCACCCAGTTGCAATATATAATGTGCTAGATTAAGGGTTTGACTCAACTGGTTAGTCACTGTTCATTGTTTTTGTTATGAAAATAAGTCATTCTTATTCTGAAAATTTCATTGCATAAGCATCATTAATTCATTTATGCAGCTCTTCTGATCAACTAGATCCACAAATAACTGGGACAGTGGGAGTTGTTCTATATATGTTATTAGGTTCGTTTTCGATTGTGTTCATTTTTTTTTAATGCAAGTGAGAGTTTAAATTGTTTGAAATAAATCTAATTTATGAAGATGGGATTTAAATTTGGGTGCAATGGTGCGAGCTCACTACCCTCACTTATCTATTGTTTCATTTGTTTCGTTATAATGGTATAAATTCTTATTATATCAGTTAACATGTAGTCCTATTTGAAAAAATAACGATACATGTGAATGTTGTGGTAAATATGCAAACACAATTAGTATTTTTTCTTATGGGGTACAAGATTATACATATACAAATAGAAAATAGATATTTTCAACTAGGAATATCATTTAAAGAAATAATCTTTTTATCTACTACTGGGGGTCTAAAAAGCATTAAAAAATTAACCTAAGTTATCCTGTTTTCTTTTCCAATGAGACAGTGAAGAAAAGTGTCCAACATGCAGATAAGTTAATGGAGCTGCAGAAAGAAGACTGAGAGCGAGAGGAGTGAAGGTGAAGACTTTATCAGCACAGAATGCGAAGCTTCTCTTTTCCATCACAATTTCCTCTCCTTGCTCTCCTCTGTTTCTACTCAGACTTCACAAACAACTTCACTTGAAACACAAAACCAAGCAGAGAAAATGGATGAGTTTGGTCTTCAAGATCTCTTTGCCTCAGAATCTGACCACATGCCCTCACAAAATTCCTTAAGCTGCTCAAAAGACTCAGATTTCTACTATGCATTTCGCCTCGAAGCCATTTCTCCGTTTTTACAGTAAAAAAAATGAAATAGAAGAAGAAGAAGAAGAAGAAGAAGAAGAAGAAAAGAACGCTTGTGAGCTCTGTTTCTTCAGTTAATTTCTCTCTTGCATATTGGTCTAAACTTGTCATAGTTTATCAGGCACAATATTCTGTAATTAAAGAGCTTGATTTTCTTGAATTTGGTGAAGGAGGCGACAGCGCGAGGGTTAAAAAAAATCTATAAATTTTTTTATAAAAAAAAAAAAAAAAAAAAAAAAAAAAAAAAAAAAAAAAACAAAGCCGCCCTAGCCGCCGGGCGCCTAGCGCCTAGGCCGAATTATTTATTATTTATTTATTTATTTATTTATTCTGATGATTCAATCGCCTTTGATTTCTGATGATTCGACGCAGATTTTTGACGTTGAGAGGTTTTAGGAAAGTTGCAAATGCCGTTGCTACAAGCCAGAAATATCGGTTGAATAAGAATCATTGATTCCCTATGCTGTCCATTTCTTATTCATTCAGGGCGCTCGGCCGGTGCTCCGCGCGGTCAGAAATTCATACAGACAATAAGGGGTTCGACAGGAAAGTCGTTTCGATCCAGATTCTGCTAGAGGAAATACCTCATTCTCATTGTACAATACCCTGGTCAACAGGTGAAGCCCATAGAAGTTTCCGTAAATTTTTTTTTTTTTTTTTTTTTTTTTTTTTTTTGTTTTTTTGTTGGTCCGTTTAAAGGTCCGTAAAGGGAGGGTCCTGGTGGTTGTGTGAATCGATTGGAAGATATATATTTTCTCTTATTGTTGATACACACTGCGCAAGTGTGCATTTATTATATGATTAACACACCCAAAAAGGTTCTAGTCAAGATGGTCATGTGGCTTTAGCGACAAAAAGAAAGCAGCATATAGCCGAAGCCGATTCTCAATGTCCCCACTTTGCACCATTATCACACCCTTAGTCCTCATTCTATGACGATGCCAAGCAAGTTGTATGATCACAGCCCCCCACGTTCTCCAATTCGACGAATAATACCTCGCTGTACGTCTGAGCCCTTCATTCGAAAATTTGTAACGAAAATGATCGATGATGTAGTGAAGGCAATTTGCATCCAAACCAAATGCCTCAATTGATTCCATGCAAGTAAATGTTGCTGAAGAGGGAGGAAGTCGACTGCTAAACGGGCGGCGAAGGCACCACGGCAGAAGCTCGTCACCAAAGAAACTGCCGGGTTCAAGTACACTGGTGGCTTGGAACCCTTTGCTGAGGCATTGACTGCGTTGTATGCGTCCACGAACTATGAACATCATTCTTTGTACGGGGTCTCCTTCTCTAATCAACTATATAGTCATTTCATGCCAAAAAGTAATATAATTAAATGAAGGTATATTATAAGTCACAAAACATCATCAACATTAAATTAAATGGAGAAATGCTAAAGTTAGTCATCTAGAATGCATCAACAGTAGACAACTATATATGTATGTATTCACGTAGCAACACTCAAATAAATGTATATATGACGCTATAGTATCGTACCTTTTCACCCTTGGAGTAGATAATTGGCCGTACAAGATCACAGATGTTGTCAAGAATAACATCTTCTAACTTATGAAATAGCGGTACCTAATAATGACTAATTAGATGAGTAATTTTAGAGAGATACAAAAGGTTGAATAAAATTTGTCACAAAATCAAGGTCACGGAAGGTGTTACCTGCTTGACAAGATCTAGGCAAAGGTAACGCTTGATGTCCCTGCGGAGGCCATCGGGGAAATGCTGGATCAACTCAAGCTCATCTAGCCCTTGCATGGCTGCCCAACTGCAACGTTGAAAATGGCGAACTCTCTTCCTCAAATGAGATGGCAACTGTCTTCGCTTCATCCAACATTCCATGTCCTGATATTTCAACTGCATTTTCTTCTTATTTTCCATCACCGAATGCAGAAATATCTAAACAATAATACAACACAACACCATCAACAATCAGCATTAAGTTATTAGTTATTATAATTAACTATGAAAATCTCTGTTCTGGGTGACCTGGATATTTCCAAGCAATGTAATTAAGAGACCCAAGCCCGCAAGCGTTACACAACAAGAGAATATGAGTTCAAGCCAGTCACTTGTAGGGATAAGGTTGTTGGCAAAGGAGCTGCAAATGAATTTATGCCAAGAGGTATCAAATACAACATGCTTTATGATTAGGAGATTATTAAGTAGATTGATAGGTTATTACCCGAGGTTAATTAAACCCCAATATATGGGGTAAAGGATCCGAACGGCGAGTGTGTTGCCAGCATAGACCACGAGTAGGGGTTTATAAATTCCATACCCAAATGTAGTATCTTCATCCAAGCACATTGTCGTTATCTTTGTGAATGTATTGCCACCGGAGAGCTTTCCAGTTGAAAAAACTTGTTTTGAGCAGTAGATAGAGAGGTTATAGTTTCTACTTGCTTCACACTGTTGCTGGAGACATGACATTACACGCTGTGTTGCAAGCACATGCCAACACCCACCTGCAATCTGAATATAATAAACCAACACAGCTTCATTAATATTGGAATTAGTATATATATATATAATATAGGATTAGGGCAGGGTTACGTACGTGAGAGGCGGTTAAGTAGGCAATGACGTTGAGCTTAAAACGCCACCAAATGTTGCCGTATGCAAAGATGTACCCTGTGACCTTCTTGAGTCTTTTGGCCAAGTAAACGCTGTGGTAGAGCTTGGGGATGAATTGAAACAGGAAGGTTACTAAGAGGGTCGTCATTATCAGTCTAGTCTTTTCCTCTCTAAGCAACCTTGGCACAATTAACCAAATTACGGTCTGCAAAACAAATATACATATGAAATTTGAGAGTCAAACTTTGAAACTTAGATAATTGGGCTAAATTTTTGGGTGTTCTGGATACACCACGTGACTGGTGTATCATTCAATAGACGCAGCATATGTGATATGTTTCCAATGCAACTAGTCACATATCATAATAATTCCACTTGTCCTTTATGTATTGGATGGTAAAAGTATCCGAAACATATAAAAATTGTAGATAAACAACAAGAACCTACATGTATTGAAGAATCGAGAACTTTAGCGAATAACACTAGCTAAGTAAAATTATCATAAGATGTACTCCACCAAATAAATAGAGTAATGTTAGTTTTAATTACCACATATCTAATGGCGAAAAAAAATTACCGCATATCTAATCATACAGGTGAGGCCAACTCATACAAAGGAATCTCACTTATATACGTGATATGAAAATACGATACAAATAATAGCACATGTATTAGTTCCATTTCATGCCATCATTACCAAAATTTTCATGAATTTATCATAATCCCATAATTTTCAAGTGATTGGGAATTGAAATCTGGCTGGAAAATAAAAGTATTAATTGAAATGAAATGAAGGGGGGCACCTGAGGAATCGGTAGAATGACAAAGGCATCGAGCCAAAAGCCCCTGAGGGACCGCATGTAATGAAGAGAAATATCACGTGAGTCCCACACCAGCTTCCCGCACCCAATCACCATCGACTCCCTCGACACGTAAGCCAACTTGAACTGAAGCAAGATGTGGGCCACGTGCAACGCGTCCAAGCACGTGCGAACGACGGTGACGACGAGGGCAAGCGCCACGTCCATGTAAAAGCAGGGAGCCCCAATCTGGCTCAGCGCCATGACGTAAAAAAAAAGAGGATCAACGGCGATGGACAGGCCGCGTGCCATGAGCACAATGCGGTTCCACCTTTTGACTTTGCTGCTACGCGGGTCAATGGCGCGAGGCCGGCTGAGGTCCTGAGGGCGGCATTTGAGGTCCGTCGGGATGCGGAGTAGGGTCATGGAAGACCCGGCGGTGCGCTCCCACCGGAGTTGAGGTTGGTAAGTCGGGTCGCAGCGGGTGGAGTGGAAAACCGGAACTCCAACCTGAGTGCAAGCGTAGCATTCTTTGGAATTGAAGATTGGGTCGTCCTGGTCGTCACTGTCATTAATGTTGTTACAACAATGCTTGACTTGATTCAATTTCCACCTGAAAATTCAACCAAAAAGCACCGATAGATTAAGAGCAATTGTAATTCTCATAAGAAGAAAGATTGATGATGAATAACATGTTACCTTGGGAGAGAGGGCATGGCTGAAGATGAAATGGGGATATATTTTTGGAATGAAATGAAAAAACAGGGGGAGTGGATATAATGGTAAAATTGGGAGGATGTGATAAATTGAGGGCACGTAGCAGAGAAGGAAGGTGGCGGTGGCGAAGTGGTGATGAAGCGGGTAGAGGATGTCGGGTAGTTGGTTTAGTTGGACCGGGGGTGGGGCCATGAACGCAGTCCATGTCAGCATATATATATAGAGAATTTATACAGAGGATGATATGAGAAACGTGAGGGGATTTTGGGTGTGTAGTGCATGCATGAGTTACAAGTTTTGATATTATATTTTGTCCATGTCTGCAGCTGTCAACTCGAACGTTACATGCATGATGCATATATATATATATATATATATATACACACACACACACAGTTGGACTACCTACACTAGATGCGTCAAGTAGTAATAACTTTGTGTTTGTGGAAGAAGTTTTTGTGCAGAGAATCAAAGGATTAATCTATTACAATTAATTCGTAATATCAATACTGCATACACAAGTTAGTGACAAGAACTACTAATCCAAAAGAAAAATAAGAAGAAACATCCTAAAACAGATTTAAAATGCACCCAAAAAACACCTTAATCTAAGCCTAGTTTGAATGTTCCAATGGTAAGACCGCGTTTGAAATAAACATGGTGGTCGCCTAGCCCGAGCACTTTAAATGATAAAATTGTGCTCTAAGGAATACTTGTCGCTTAGTTTGACTATTCAAATGGTATGATCACGTGTAAAAGAATTGCTTGTCGTTTAGTTAGATCATTTAAATGGTAAGATCACGCGCGAAAGAATAATTACCGCATGACTCGAGCATTCAAAAGGTAAGATTGAACGTGAAAGAATAGTTTGTTGCTTAGTTTGATTATTCAAATGGTAAGATCGTGTACGAAAAGGAATCATTTGTCGCTAGTAAGATCATTTATGGTAAGATCACATGTGAAGAATGATTGTCACTTGACTCGAGCATTCAAAAGATAAGACCGATTGTGAAAGAATAGTTTGTCGCCTAGTTTGATTATTCAAATATTAAAACCACCCGCGAAAGAATCATTTGTCACATAGTTCGATCATTCAAATTGTAAGATCGCGCGCGAATGAATGGTTGTCGCCTAGCTTGAGCATTTAAATGGTAAAACCACGGTTGAAATAGCGGTTGTCACCTAGTATAAGCATTCAAATGGTAAGGCCATGAGAAAGAGGACATAAATCAAATTATAACTTAAACCACACGTAATATAAGATTTTACCTCAATGTTGTCGCACAAAAAAATTTCCCTCGCCAATTTATTTTTCAATAAACATTATATCTTAACCATTTAATCGTAAAAATTCAAAATTCAACTATAAGTACAAATTTTATCTGTCCAATTAATTTAAAAGGAATACAAAAGCTTTTATTTTTACTAAAATATATTAATTAAATTTGTAGATATTATTGTCTTCCAAGTTAACAAGAACATATAGATAGAAAAAAAAAAAAAGGAGGAGGAAAAAAAAAAAAAAAAAAAAAAAAAAAAAACCAAGGAGCCGCCGCTCCCTTTGGGGCCAGTGGCTTCCCATTTCCCTTCCCTTCCTCCCTCCATCCTTGCTCATGTTTTCCTCTTGCTCCTTTTGGGTTTTATTTGTCCTTTTCTTTTTTGCACACTTGGTTGTGACTAGCTCTGATCTTGTCGATTTTCACAGCAAAGCATGTATCAGAGGGTGGATGAGAGTTAGAACGAGAAGTTTCACATTTAGGGGTTTATTCCTTGTTGAATTTTCAGTATTCTCCCGTGCCTTGGCAAACCATGATGCTTTTCTCTACTCTTAGCAGATTTGGTTGTCTTTGTTATGGATATGGATGGCTGTGGTTGTGCATCATTTGTAGAGCAAAGTGTTGCTACTCCTTTAGTCAGTGTTGTTTGGTTTCCTAGATTTTGTGTAGTTTGTTATTAAAGTCCAGAAACTCTATGACCCCATTTGGTTCAAGGGAAAGGAGGCTTGGAGATGGGAAATTAATTGCTTTCTCATGTTTGGTAAGTCCAAGTATGAGAAATCGTTGCCTTACACATGAGAAAGTAGGGGGAAAGTGAAGCCCATTGGGTTTTGTTTCCCTTCTGACGGGAAAATTTGGAAAAATGAATCAATATTAAATACACATTTTCATGACCATATTGTCCCCATTAACAATTTAGAATTACAATATAGCATTACATGCATTATTTTTTATTTGATTTCATATGGGTGTCATTGGAAAATTAAACAAACATTGTTTTACATTCTTACACAAACCAAACATGTGAAATGAAATAAAGTGGTATTTCTTGGTTACTTTCCTAGGATTACCAAACATGGGAAATGAATCTCCATTTCCCATTTATTGGGAAATGACATGGGAAGTGATTTCCCCTCAAATCTGTTCCGTGAACCAAATAGGGCTTATGAGTTGTCTAGTTTTCTCTTGTAATTCCCAATATTTTTGTTGAATTTGCTGGGTGGTCTAGTTTCTCTGGGAGAGTTATGCCGGTTAGCGGCCATGTTTTGTTCTGATATAACTAACTTGATTTAGGAGAACTTAGACGGTAGATAGCAGTTTTTAGACAAGTTCTTTATGATTTATTCTCTCAAAATCCTTCCAGTTCTAGAGTTGACTTTAGTCATTGGGGACGCTTTATCCATATTCATCGTATTGCTACAATAAATACAATAAAATACTATGACTCTCCAGATACGTTTTCAATTAATACAATAAAATACTATGGCTTGTTTGTTCAAAAAGTTAGCAAGAACAATTTAACCATAATTGGTCACTCCACTTATGTATTTCGTGTTGGTAAGGGATTTATTAAGTGACATTCACTCTTGCACCCAAGATCTTGTTTGATTCCTTGTATTTAAAAAAAAAATTAATTATGTTTAAATGAACTTGAAAGAGTGAATGAATGAAAGTGGAGGAAATTAAAGAAGGAGAACATAATATTTAAACAGGAATTCAGCTGAACATGATTTACATGTTCTTTATTGCATTACATTACACATACATAGCTTCAAACCCACAATATTACTACAACACACGGCACTGGTTGACCACCAGACGACGACGACGACTCGTACATACACTGAAATTCAAACACAGCAAACTGAAAATACATACAGACACTAATCTTCTTCACACAGCGACTCCCATAGTGAGAATCTCCTCCTCTCTCTAATGAGAGAATTATTTACTGCAACAGCTCTGTAACCCAGTCGAACTCCGGCAGCTCCGAAACCGATGGTGCTGCCTCCACCATCTCATAACTATCCATCGCCTCAATCTCGTCTTCGAATTCGAAAGGCTCATCACTCAGCGTCAAGGACCTCAGACTGTTCAGGAAACTCTCCACCTTTTCAAAAGACTCGTCCATAATCTTCTTGTTCTTCAGTATCATCTCATACTCCTCCACGGTTGCTGACCTGCCGCCTCGATGTCCGCCGCCGTACATCCCCCTTCCCACCTGGACCGCCCGGTACGCACAGTTATGCGTACGGTAAGGGCGGCGCGGGTACTGATCGTACGGATGCGGCACATAGAACTTGCGCGGGTAAAATTCGGGCTCGGGGCGGAGCTCGTCAGGGGTGTGCGCGAAGAAACACACCCTACGCATGCAATGCGGCGTCCCATTGCATGCGCGGGTGCGGTACCTGTCTGGGTGGAGCCAGTACTCGAACACGCCGTGCGAGAGGTCGCAGAGGTCCCCCTTGTGGCACCTCCCGTTCCGGTAAGCGGGGCACGCGATTGCGGAGTACGAGTACTGGCGCGGGTCGCGCCTCTGCGCCTTCTCGCCACGGTGGGCGTAGGGGCACTCGGTCCAGTCGTGGCTGCGCATGCGAGGGCACCGCTTGACCTTGTAGGCGTACATCCGGAACTCGTCCGACCCGTAGATTGCAGTGTCCATGATCAGGTCGTTGTACTGGGCCGGACCCATCAGGTAACCCGGATAATACTGGTACTGGTATTGGTACGGGTACTGGCTCAGGTACGGGTCGGGCAGCTCATAGTAACCTTGATGCACGGCTCTCCACATTGTGTTTCTGTTGCTGACTCAAAGAACTTGAGAACTTTAAGACATTACATATCCATGAAGCAGAAGAGGATATGGATATTGGAGTGAGTTGAGAGTGAGGAGAAGAGGAGGTATTTATAGTGGCAAGAGCTCTGCTTGGGTTAAATTTTCAACCAGGTTTAACCACCTTCAATCTAACGGTGACGGGCTTGTAGTGGGGGTGGTGTTGATCAAACAAGTGGGTGTGACGGAAGAAGTTGCGTTTGCATGGCTGGGTTGCTTGCCATGGGGAAGGTTGTGATAACCAGAGCGAGACAGTTGTTGGGTCAAAAGGAGCAGCTTCCGCCATGTCACATTAAAATATAGTTTCCAATTATGCCCCTCGGGCCTAGTGTCGTTAACTTAAACGGAGTGAGCAGTAGTTTGGTGTTACGGCGGGGAATTAAAGGCGGCGATGGGTTAATTTGCATGGCGAGCCACACGTGTAGGTAATAAGGGGCCTGGCTTATAGGGCGATGAAACATGTACGTGCATTGTGTGGAGCACGTGTTGAAGGGTGTGGACTTAAGTCGGGGAGTTTGTTTCAGAGAGAGAGAGAGAGAGAGAGAGAGAGAGAGAGAGGTGTCCTTGAATTTTGCGAGCGTTTTTCACTTTGCAGTGGGTTGGGTGGGGTGGGTGGGGTCTGGTAATTACAAGACAAATCAACGAAACTAACTTGTCGACCATTTGCACTGAAATCGCTCCAGCTAGCTTAGCTTGTCAATCCACCAGTCCAGTCTTGAAGAAAATACGGAGACCGGTGCAACCTGTTCATTTAATTGGAAAGACCTAGAAATTATCCGTAACAATATGGAACAGATTTAGGAAGGTAGCAAGAGATAGATTATGTCTGGTAATTAATCTCTTGTTATGCTTATGAAGACTTGTGTGTGTGTGATTTGTTGATGCATAAACATTAACATTATTCCTTCCTTCCAAGGAAAGGGTTGGAATGAAATGATAGGAGACATGTTCATTTGATGGACCAAATCAAATAGTTACACGAGTGAAAGAAAACCAACTTTGTCATACATAGACATTACATAACCTTTACTATATTCCTTCCATTCAAGGAAAGGGTGAGTGGATATCTTCATTTGATGGACCAAATCAAATAGTTGCATGAGTGAAAGAAAACAACTTGTATATGAACTAGCATTAAAAAGATTGAGTCTCGTTTTCTACGCATAAAACTCGAGACTTAAGCGTGACGAGCTAATATACCATCTTTGGAAGGAAAGACTCCTAAACTTACTAGAAACATAGACATATTCTCTATTGATACTAATTACAATAAAAAAAATTAATACCATTGCGAGGGAGGGACTCTAGTTTGCTTCGGATTGCGATTTCTCGGAAGTGGATCAGGGCCAAGAGTGATGCACCGAGCATTATTGTGGATTAGGGCAGAGGGTGATGCACCGAGCATTGTTCTCGATTCACGGAGAGGAGATGAAAGACTTTTGGACGAAATGTTGCTTGAGGAGGTCAAGAGGCTATTTTCCAAAATTGTAATAAAGTGACTCATTATCTTGCGAGAGTTTAAATAGATCGAAAACTCGAACTCGGACAAGCTTAAATAGTATAATATGCAATAATGACGACACACCTTTTTTACCGGATTCCAACCCTAATCTCGTAACAGAGAGCTCGGGCATTTTGGTAACTCTCTATAACTTTGTCTTCGAATAAATTATCCTAACTATCCCACATAAAATAGAAGGTTAATTAAATTACTTTTAATCACTCCATGGCAGCTCTCAATTTAATTCAACCAATATGGAATTAGACTCAAACAATCCAATCCCGTTCCCATCCAGCTATAAGAGGTATAGTTAATCATAAGTTGGCGTATTAGTGTATGGAAATTTATTACAATTTTAGAAGTTTTGGTTTTGCGGAGAAACCACATACAATTTGAGAGCAAGAAACAAGTCCTAGTAGCTCATTTGCTGAGATGTCAAAAGATGAAACTTCCTGCTGTCTTCACTGATACGTTGCATCCTCTCGAGCAATATATATGGCTTCTGATAACATCTAGAAGTTGAGAGGTGGAGCCTACCACTTATTTTTGGGGCTGGAGTGGGACCCTGTATGCGTGAAGATAATGAGTGGGACCCTGTACACGTCAAGAGGATGAGTGGGACCCTTTTATACCTCAAGAACCACGTTCATAGAGAAGAAAACGACACTGTTTTTCTCTGCGTCGGAGAGCATAGAATGATCAAGCAGAGTAAAAACTGAAGCGCATGCATATTAACACGTGGTGAATTGATAAGTAAAGTAAAGGAACGTATATAATGACAAAGTTTTTAAGCTTCTGCATGTGATGCTGCTCACCTCTCTCTCTTGTCTTTGCCTACGTCAAGCATGCGTTTCTTTCATTGTTTGTTGATAAAACGACGAAACCACCAAACTAACTTCTATTGACCTCACTCGTAATTTTGCTATTTCAGGCCCCTAAAAAAGTTGTTATTTATTTTTCAGATAGAAAAAATGATTTCCTGTAATTTCACAAAATATATAGGGCCAAGTTCTGGAACTCACTGGACTCTTTCCCCCCCCCCAAAAAAAAACAAAAGAATTATGGTTTTATTATCAAATCTAATTTTCTTAATTCTAATCTTGATTCCTTATTAAATACCTGAAAATCTGAAACTAATCTCTTATTGAATGTGCAATTAAGTGAAGCTTGGATAATTGTGATGTAAATGGCTTTCTTTCTTCCATCAAGTTTAGAAGTCGACCTAAATCATCTCTTGTGGAAAGTAAGTTACTTGATAGGAAAGATATCTTCTTGTGAAGATTTTCTAGCAAAAACTATTTTGTTTGTTCCAAGGCACCGTTACCTATGAGTCATTTTCTTGGCATGCAAGTAATAAATTGCCAGCCTTAAATAAGCTTATCGCTAGATGCTAATTAAAGAAGAAAAGAACAAACTGGAGTCTAATATGTCTTAACTACATTGACACCAGTATTTATCTAAACAAATCTAAATTAATTCAGTCATAATTATCGCGCTTAAAAAAGATAATCGAGTGTGCACATTCTTGTGTTTCAATTTCACCACACCACCTTTTTTCTTGGTGATTTACCACACCAAATCTTGTTTCCAATTTTCCCACGTGATTTGATTTTGCCTAACTAGGAAGTCTATCAACTATAAACAAATCCTGGGCGTCCAATTGGTTGAATCTCTGAGTCCCAACGACTCGAGGCAACCAGGTAAGCTTCTACCTGGCTGTACAAAATCACAGGGAGACTTGAATTGAAAATCCAGATTAGCTGTCCTGATTAGAGTTTTGAATATTTTGATCTCCCAAATTAGAGAGCTAAAATTGGATTTTGACCAGCATCAACAAAAAAGCTGGAAAAAGGTGCCCTTCTTTTTTACTTTTTATTTTTTATTTTTGGGTAAAAAGATAAAATTAGTAGCTAGGACCAGGGACGCGTACCGACTTTCCAGAGAGACGCATTATATCATCGCGTAAGACCAGCTTCACGCAGAACTGCATACTACTGCCACGTGGAAGTCGCCCATTGCAGTAAAAAAGCATCAAAGAAGTTTCAATTCTAATCCAACGGCTTACAATCATGTTGACTCACCACTGAACCAATCCCAACCTTTCAATGACTTTCCCAAAATCCAATTAGTAAAAAGATGTATATTTTTTTAGTGAGCTTAGTGGTGAAGGGAAAAAAGGAGAAAATGTTACACAAACTTGGGGTTCGTGTTTGATTGTTATAGACTTATTATAGAAAAGGAAACTAAAAGCCCCATAAATACTCCAACACCTTCCCTTGCACGAAACAGAAAAATTAAGGTTAATTCTTCTCTTCTTTCTTCTATCCCTAACAAATTAATCCACAAATCAATATATCAAGCAAAACCCATCTTCTTCCATCTTCATATAGTTTTCGTTTAAAAGATTTGTGTTGATCAGAGATTAAAGCGAAAAGGGTTGTTATATAACCAAACATGGTGAAGGAATCAATGAGAAAGTGTTCGCATTGCGGGCACAACGGGCATAACTCTAGGACGTGCAACAACAATGGCCATGGCCATGGACAAAATAAAGGGGTTTGCTTGAAGCTTTTCGGCGTAAACATTATGGAGAAAGAAGATGATGCGATGAAGAAGAGTTACAGCATGGGCAATCTGCAGGCGGCAGGCAATGCAGACCACAACAACAACGTTGTTACAATTGATCACGATGCCGGCTATCTGTCCGACGGCCTCATTCACAACAAGAGACACAAAGCCGCCCATGAGAGAAAAAAAGGTACATACAATAAATATTTAATAACCAATTTGTTATTATCAATTTTCAAGTGATTAATTTATGCGTCCAGGCTTTCTTCTTGTTGCTGTTTGATGAATTGTGTCATGTGTTGGAGAATGCATGTTTCTTTCGATGTTTGTTTCTTTGTATAGGCTTTGTTATAAACTTTTGTTAAAAAAAAATGTACTTTGTACAATCTTGCAGTTGTTAATTAAATTAATACTGCAGCAGATGATATAATGAAGCTCTTCAAATTGGTTTTCAAAGCTTATGATAACTAAGTGAAATTTTAAACCAATCCATAATGAAGTAGAATCCTTAATGAGCCTTGCTAATGGGTGCTAATGAACTTCTTAATTAACATTGATGGCTACAAACATATAAGAGCTTTGCATATAGATTCTTCTTCAGGTTTGGTTTTGGCTGAATTTGAATAAATATATGTCCTCAGGGAGGCCGTGGACCGAGGAAGAGCACCGGGTGTTTCTAGCTGGTTTGAAGAAGCTTGGGAAAGGAGATTGGAGAGGAATAGCAAGAAATTTTGTCACCACCAGAACCCCAACTCAGGTTGCTAGTCATGCACAAAAATATTTCCTCAGGCAGGCTACATATGATAAGAGAAAACGCAGATCAAGCCTCTTTGACATGCAATTTAAAGAACTCTCTGTAATTCTCTCTCTCTCTCTCTCCCTATTTCTCACAGATCAATCCTCTATGCATTTTCATTTTGGTTTCAAGTTCTAAACATCTTAATTAGTTAATATAAATGACTTATACTAGATGGACCTGCAGGATCAGGGTCATCAAGATTCTCCAATTTCACCAACAAGAACAGCTACAGAAACTTCATCAGAGGTAAGCCCATCAATTGTGTCATCAAAGCTCATTTCAAGATGAGGCTAGAACCTATTTGTAATGGCTGCTTGTGGTGCAGGGTAGCAGCTCTAAAGTACTGCCACAGAAGATTAATACAGCTAATAGCTCACCACCAAAGGTAAATCCACCAGCTTATATATCGTTAACCTTAAGAACATTAACTTATAAACATGATCTACATTAATGACTTTTAATAATCTTACAGGCAAGCGTTCCGTCTCAGATTCTAAACCGATTTCCACATCTATGTTTGGATAGCCCCCCAGCTGCTCCAGTGTCTCCACCTTGCAATGTTCCAAATTACCCTGCCGTCCCATACATGGTAATTCATGAACATTCTTTTTCCCATTTTGAAGGGAACTGTTCTGAATAATAGCTTTCAAATTGTAAAGAAAAGTTATGTGATTTTAGTTGCTGTTTCTTATGGCTATGTGTTGTTTGCTTCCATTTGAAGTTGTAGTGCCAGAATCATTTATGATGATGATTTTGCTAATGTTTGAACAGATGGGAATTCCCGAAAATGTCCCATACGCCCCAATGATGCACTTTGCCAGACCAAGCTACCACTACATGATCAAAACACATGGTAACTTTGCTACTTGTGCACCTGTTATTTCTCACCCTTCTGGAATTCCATCACCAAGGTCTCTTCCAAGCAGTCCATCTATGGCCGGCCGTATCGGTATAAGCTCACCGGCTGAAAAAGATGCTCTAGAGCTTAAAATTGGGCAGCCTCAACCATCTCAAGGAGCCAATTTGTCTTCCCCTACTTCTGGTGCCATCAGAGTGACATAGAAAATGATATATGTTACAGCTGATTCTTTTTGCAATTTTGATTTTTCAAGCTGAGAGGTAGAAGTATCACGAGAATAATCAATTAAGTCGGTTCATTTTCATGGAAGAGGTGTACAATTGTATAATGCGGATGAAGTTTTCCAAGTGTCCCACAGTTTATGGTAAAATGAGATAGATAGCTTGATTGATGCATTACATAACAAGCATGGCTGGGCTGGCTTGTGTGTATCCTGCTGAATTGTTCTGTATAATGTTTGGGACAATGCTATACAATTCAACTTTTTTTTCCTTTCCAACTTCTCGACTTTTTTTTTCTCCACTTTTCCTTCTTTAACTTACATTTACGAAAGCGCTTTCTACCAAGGTTTTCTTTTTTGGTGTGTTCAAAAGGGGAATGGAGTTTCATTCTACCAAGGTTAACTCGATGGAATAGTAGCTTTACCAAATTATGGTGTGTCAATTCGAATTTGAACCGAGAAATACCACTAAATTAAAAGTTTGTTAGTGAAAACAAATTTATTTATGATAAATTGATAATTTGAAAGAAAGAGCCAGCTTATGAAATAGATAGAGGGGACAAAATTGTCTTATGGACTGGTCTATGCTCCGATCCAGTAATTTAATCCCAACGCAAGGTAAAAGAGCTAATTTGGTTCGCTGTAGAGACATTGAGGACAAATAGCATCTGCAGGCAGTCGACTATTTCAGGATTCTATAACAAATTGGCCACTTACCATATAATAACATTTGAAACGTACAAATTTCCTTTAAGCATCCACATGAAACAATTTAGCAAGTCACTTTAAACAGAAGAAAACAGAGAAATAAAAAATGTAGCTGAGTAGCGGACATCATTTGTACATACCAGTTAAAAGACTAAAAAGAATGGAATTTGTTTTGTTTGTCACTTTATAAAACGTACTGACGAGCAAAGTCATTATATATGGTTTCACATGGCACGAATGGTCCCCTACAGCTTAGACAAGAATGAAGTGAAGCCTTCTCCTATGTGCATGCACTCATGCCACAGAAGACGAGCAATAGAATCGACTAAGAGGAGCAGCAGCCAGATTTCTGGTTGACAGGTTGTCCTCGGATCTGCACTGTCGGTGGCCTTGCATTGTTCATTGGTTGACTTGCCATCCTGCATTGGGTCATGAAAGAAATGAGTGAACTACTGAAGAGGCCAAATTATAAACTTGCAAAGCTGGAGAGCTTTAGAACAAAAATGCACCCTTTCTTTTTTAGAAGAATAGTATCAGAATTTACTTCAACTCAAAGATGCAGCAAACCTAAGCATGACTATTTTTCAAAAGAATCCTGTCCCTCATTCAACCTTTTCTCTTATTACATTACTAGGGTAAAGAAAACACACAACATATACAAAAGTACCTATTCTTGATTTCAGCAGCCATTGCCATGAAAGCTTGCTCCACATTCGTAGCATTTTTTGCACTAGTCTCCATGAAAGGGATCCCAATCTCATCCGCAAACGCCTTTTAACAAACCAATGACAATAGGGAAGAGTCATTATCTAAATATTGAATACTTCAACAGACAAAAAATATGGTAGCAGGAACTAAGGGAAGGTTTTTTTCACCTTAGCTGTTTCATAAGACACAACTTTGTTAGCAGTGAGGTCAGCCTTGTTGCCAACAAGAAGCTTGTTTACATTCTCACTAGCATAACGATCAATTTCATTTAACCACTGCTTAACATTGTTAAAGCTTTCTTGGTCTGTCACATCATAAACTATCTGCCACATGCACCAACATTAATAAATAGAATCCACATTACAAGACTTCAAGGAAAAACTATGACCACAGTAATGAAACAAAAAGGAAAAACTTACTATAATTCCATGTGCCCCACGGTAGTAGCTACTAGTAATTGTCCTAAAACGTTCTTGTCCAGCAGTGTCCCACTACATTTCCAGGAGGAAAAAGGAAAAAGGAAAATATGACAGATAAGTCTTTATAGCTCATTGACTAAATAACATTTCATATGTGCTACAAGAATATTGTGAACATGTACTAGAACTAAATTTAAGCCTAATGATGAGACCCTACGTGTTCCATTGACACAGTACAGCTTTCTTCATAACCTAGGTCAACCAACCAAATGCAAACACGCCACAAAAAACCTCACGAAATAAGAACTTCTACTAAAGTAGTTGAATGTGTTACATCAGACAGTTGCAAAATAAGCACGTGAAGAAAGAAAAAGGGAAAAGAAAAAATGAACCGACAACACTTTGGCATCAACAGTTCAGATACGTAAGCAATAGGTATTCCTCAACTACTGAATGGCTTTAATGCCCACACACTACCATGTTTGAGAGAGAGAGAGAGGCTCACAATTTGAAGTTTAATGGTCTTCCCATCCTGCTCGACTGTGCGAATTTTCTACAGATAAAGAACAAGAAAAGTAATTAGGAGTCGTACTTTCTATAACACCACTTTGACCCAGAAAATAGAGCTTACAAAATCAACTCCGATTGTGCTAATATAGCTGTCCAGATATGAATCATCCTGTATCATACAGAGATAAAATAGTCAGCCCTGAGGAATTGTACAAGTAATCAATATAAATAATATTTCCATGGGAGACAACATAAACACCTGCCTAAGATGAAACATCAGATAATAGGTATTACACGACAAAAACGAATCATGCATATGTTATTTAACTGCATTCGTTGATTTGAAGTATATCAATACTCGATTTTTTTAAATTTTTTAGATAAGGAAACAGCATTTTTCACAATAAAGGATAGAAATTACAAGTTTCTCTTCTAAAAACTTCTGTTTATTTTCACTTGGTTCCTTGAAGCCTTTCTTATCATTTACATCAATGAATTTCCCATTTTTGAATTACACATAAACATCGAAGAGCAAAATAACTGCTAGATTCCCCAAATATCTAACTTTAGTATAAAGCAAAACATTGTATTTCCTTTTCGGCAAGAAACAATCGCATGAGCACAGTAAGGAATAATCAGAACAGTAAAGACTAATCAGTTAACTATAATGGGAGAGGCAAGTAATGGACACAATGAATCGGACAAAAAATTCCAATACAAACTTTAACACGCACTACAATTTCCATATACGAATAAAGGACTAAGTAGTCAAAGCATCAACAACTTACAGCAAACCTCAGAAGAAGACATGATTTGCCGACCCCAGAGTCTCCAATCAGTAAAAGTTTAAACAAGTAATCACTGCAGAAGAGAACATTTGAACATAATCATTCATTTGCAATACTTTAAATCTGAATTCAACAGGTTTAGTAGCAAACTAAAACTTAAGTTATTTGGTTGAGCCAAAAATTACATTACATTTAGCAAATTGCATTGACTAAGCCCAAGAACTAACTGAACATCAAGATCTCAAACCAAAGTTTAGTTGACCCATTAACCTCAAGAACACGATCCAAGCTAAAATTTATGATATCAAAATAAATAAATTACGCTGCTGTCGGTTTCAGTGATCACAATTAAAGTATAAGGCACAGGAACTGAAAGTAACTGGAAATCTATCTTATTGGGTTTCAATTTCTTCAGTTTCTTATGTCAACAAACAAAATTTCAACAAAATTGATAATTTTTTTTTAAAGGAAACACAAATTGACCACACACCCGGTACAATTTAGCCCTAAATCATCACGGATCTAAAGAATAATTGTTGTAAGGACAAAAAAAAAAAGCTTTAGGAGAATCCAAAGGAAAACAGCAGGAAAAATACCCACTTTTATTTTTGAATTTATTTATTTATGGTTCAGATGCAAAGAGGGGCAAAAGTTATGGGCAACAAAGGGGAAAGGGAAAAGAGATCGGAGGCTTACTATTCAGGATTCATGACTGTGACTGCGAGTGGTTGATCTACGAAGAACTCGACCGGGATTGGACCGGTCCAGCCAGAACACAATCTAGACCAGCTTAGATTCTCCTGGAGGGAAAGCTTTAGAGAAGGCAAGTGGAAGAGAAGAGGAGAGAGAGAGAGAGAACAAAAAGAAGAACTGGAAAAACAACTGGTATGACGAAGCGATGATGAAACCGAAAAGTTCGGATTATATAAAGGTAAAACGTTTCTAATGAAAAACAAGAAAAAATTTGGAGCCAAATAACGCTTTTACCGTTTTACATTTGGGCCTGCAGCTGGACATGGGCCAGGATCCTCTCCTCGGCCTGTTAAGTGTAATATTGTCAATCAGCATGAGGCCCAAATGTATTTGCGATCTACAAAAAAAAAAAAAAAAAAAAAAAAAAAAAAAAAAAATTTTAAATGTAAATGTATCGGGGTTGTATATATGAAACCCTATTAAGTTTATGACGTGAATTTTTTTTTGGTTGGAGCAGATGCTTCTATATCACGCGATAATTTACAATCACTGATAAGGCATATTATTTTGTGTGATGAAAATAAAAAACTAAGAGCTAAGTCTTAAATCTTAAGGTTTGAAATAGCGACCATACCCTTAAAAGTAATAAATGATGTTGGGATTAAAAAAATTTATAGAAAAAAAATTACAAGAAGAACATAAGAAATGACTGCCAAAGTTGAGGCTAGAAAGTTTTGCTGAACCGAAAATAAGAACAATTACTATCTAATTAAATTAATGTGTTATGTTGTTGGTGAATAAAATGAGTGGAGTACTTTCATAATCTTAAGATTTTGAACAATTTTTCCTCTATACTTTCCAGCTTACCATACTTCTCTGAATTTTTACTCTTCTTATTTGTAAAGATGTTTAGATATTATTACTATATTATGTAGCATGTGTGGTTAATTATTTTTCATTGCATAAACCTATTGCTCAGTCTATTGGGGGCATTAGTTGGATTGGCTTAGACATTTAGTGTGCTTCTAAGCGTGTGTGTGAGTTTCCTCCTTCCCCCCTCCTAACTTTGAACAAAGGGAGGGGGGGGGGGGAGACTTATAATCCATAATCCAAAAATTATACAAACAATATTCTTCAAGACCAGGAGGTGACCTTTTATACACAAATGGTTAAGGCAATGAGCACACCCCCTTGCATATAATTTCAAATCCCATTTTCTTCGTAGATTAGATCAATTTAGACTATCACTTGTATTTAAAAAAATAACACATGGCAGGTTAATTTAAGAGTGAACCAAAAATTGCTCCAAAATACATCCAAATAATGTACATTATACCAAAACACCAGTACAATGAGAGCGGTATTAGCACTTGAGGAGAACAATACATATAGGAGGAAAATATATAAACCACAAGTTTTTTTTTCTTTCCTAATTTATTAATTTTAATTCTCCCAACGTCCACATAAATTTAAGCCATCACACATGCATCGATGATCATCTAAATCTAATTCACTTTAATTTATGTTTGATTTGCTTTGTTGTTGTTGATTTTGTCGTCGTTGTTTGATCCAAGTCCAGTCCCAAGTCCAGAATGGGCAGACCGCCTGTTTGAGTCCCGTCACTATCATTCTCAATCTCCCCCTCTAACGTCAGTCCTTCAATTCTTGCTGCTATTGGATCCGTTTTAATCCTCACGTCTATCTCTGCGCATTACATATACACCAACAATATATATATATATATATATATTAATGCGAATTTATAAGCAATCTGTATCATCTTATACTACATCGTGGTCTAAAATAGTACAAATGATTTTATTTTTTTTGATTAATTACCTGGATTTGAGAAGAACCACAGAACAAAGGCGCATAGAAGAAGCACAATGGGGATGACATGCACGGCATTCTCAGCAAACTTAACACGAGACCTTTCCTTCTTGGCCAACTCCGCTATGGGATCGTACACCGGCAGCTGATCACCGCCTTGATCAAACGACACTGACACCCGTAGCCCCGACGGCCCCTTCCCCGCTGACGGGGAGGAGTTTGGGTGCATGAAGTACTCATCCGCCCGGCTCCAGCTTGCCGATCTGTGCATCTCCTAATTTTCTTGGAATATTAATGTGTATTAAATTAAATTATTTTATTATTTATAGCTAGTACGTGACAATTAAAAGCTTGAATTGATGTATATCGGTAATGAGAATGATGATCAGAAATGAGTGAAGGAAGCATACAATATTGAGCAAGGGGGTTTGAAAGGTTGTGTATGTGTTTGTTGGATGTTGATTGGAGTATAAAGTGTGAAGTGAGAGAGAGAGAGAGAGAGAGAGAGAGAGAGAGAGAGAGCAAAAGAAATACCGAGGTCAAGGAAAACGGCTAAGATTTTGGATCAGAACTAGTTTTTTGGATCATTATTTTGACTCTGCAATAAATATTCTCATGTCCTTTCTATTAATTCCACATTCACATCCATTCCACATAGATATGGTGGTAACCTGGACCTTGTAGCAGTAACCATTTGGATATATGCTCCCTCAATTTCAGCTCCTCTTTATACCCAATTTAGATGTAGGATCAGTTAAGTATGTCAAATTTTGTAGCATCGTAAATACCGATACTTTATATCACTAATCTTAATCTAAGCTGATTAACTGTAACGAAGCCTAACCCAAAAAATAAAGATTAATAAGGTGCAACACTGTTTAAAAAGATGGTATGTGGTAAAAAAGTTGAGGCTCAAACACCTCCGAAAAACCCTAAACACGCCTTGTCGGGCTAATACACACATGATACAAAGAAAGAAAATTAAACAACATAATATCAGAGCCAAATTCTAAGCCAGCAAATAGTGGCACTATTAAGCTAACTTTGCCCTTCAGTCTGCTACCCTTCTCCGATATAATTAGAGACTCTTAATTTGGTCCCAAAAAAAAAACTAAGAAGTAGTCTTTTCCAAAAACTGAGAAAATAACTAAAATCAACAAACGAAAAAGAGCACTCACTATAGAGCTAGATTACGACTTGAAATTGTTATTTTTCTATATTTTGAGTGTGTTAATGAAGCTCTTCCCCTCTGCTAGATCATTGGTGGAGAGAAAATTCAGAAAATCTTTGAAGCTGCTCTCTTTGTACCTCCCAGGATGCTCCTTGGCAGTCCCCATCTTCTCATCCAATCCCAAACTATGCAGACTTGCAATGGAGATTCTTGTCCTCTCACGGTTCAATGTGGTCCTGTGCACAACGCTCTTGTACAACCCATTGCTTAGCACCTCAAAATGGTCACCCACATGGACTTGTAGGTCACCATGAAGTTGGGGGACTTGTTTCCAGGCTCCTTCCTCAGCGTGCATGATTTCGAGTCCCGGACAGCTCTGAAGGACAATGGTTAAGCAGCTATAGTCTGAATGAGGAGGCAACCCTAGTGCAATTTCAGGATTTGGGCATGGTGGGTAACAGTTGACTGTAATGACTTGCAACCCATCTTCCAGTTTGTTGCTCATGTAGGTTGGGCCTATCCCCAAGCTCTCAGTGATGGCTTCTGTTATCTCCAAGCTTAGTTTCTTCACTTCTTTGCAATACTTTCCCATGGTTTCCCTAGAGATATTCATGTACTAATCAATTAAGATTTGTGATGAGAACAAATTAGTAATTAATAAAAAATGAACTTGTGCAACAATGTTAATAATTGAGGCAGTCAAGTATATGCCAACTCTTTTACAATAACTGATCACGTGATAAAGTAACTATGAGAACTTAAAAGACACATCCTCCCAGAAATTTCTCTAGATGATCCTAGATTCATATGAATAAAGCATTCAAATATTGAAAGTCAATTGATGACGCATGGGGAAAAGAACAAATTGAGTACAAAGATGAAAGCTACATTAGAAATGATTAACTGTTCCTGTTTACCATGCTTGTCAGCGCTAGACTATGCTCCATGACGGTTGATATTTATGAGGATCACTGGATATATATGTATAGCTAGTGAGTGACCATGTTTTATTGAAATATTTTAATGTGAGGCCTCCAGATTGCCAAAAGTCAAGAGCGGCAACTGCCCAAGGATTTACAAAAAGTACGACAAAATAAGACAAGACAACAATTTAGCCGAAGACCATGCTCTTAAATAAGATGTATGGTTAGTTATATAGTCGGCTACGTACTTGTGTTTATTTTAATTTTCTCTTTTTTTTTGGGTTTTGTTTTGTTTTGTTTCTTTTGGAAATACAAAGAAAATATAAGAGATTAAAATATAAGTGTATATACCTATAGTTAAATGGATTGTTAGGCCAGGTATTGATCCAGTCTGCCAAGGGGTGAGCATAATGCTTGAGAAACACCCTCCAAAATTGAATCTTATCAGTTCCATCCTTGAAGCTTGTCCCATACCTCACTGGCTTGTGAACATCATTAGACATGAACTTGGCCTTCTCAGAACCTGGCAACTTGAAAAATTCTGAGGCCGAAGCAAGAGCCTCATCTAACACCGATTGACAGATTCCATGGTTGACAATCTGTTTGCATGTTATATATATATGCATGGTTAGGTTATGAATGGAACATGAAGATCATCTAACCAAAAGAAAATTATAGAGATTAAGCTTACTTGAAAGAATCCTAGTTGACGACAAGCTGTTCTGATTTCCTGGATAACTATTGCTCGTTCATGAGAACCTTGTTTCAATTTGCCAAAATCAATAATGGGGACATTGGCAACGTCTGGAGTCAAACTTGGACGATGTGAAGTTGGAATTACATAGCACCCGGGTACATATGACAAGCCCCTCTCTTGTGCACTCTTCCCGGTTGAAAATGAGCTTGAACAACTTTTATCATCATCCATAAAGTTTCCTCAGCTAGCTAGCAAACTATAGAATTCAAACAGAAGCGGAGAATGAAAAGGTTCATATCTTGTAACACACAAGGGGAACAAGGTAATGGTTTGATGCAAAAAAATATGTAAGGAGGGAGGGTTTTTTATATAGAAAAGTTTTAATACTAGCTGCACTTTGTATATGGGCCTTTGGATTTGTCATAAATCTAGCTAGCTGAAATCTTTGTGCCACAAAACTATCAAATCAAAAGCAGGTCCAAAAGCACTTTCTTAATGTTTAATTAATTGCTTTTTCATGTAAATCTAGAGAGTTCCATGGGGCTACAAAACAAAGGAAATAAACTAGACATTTGTCATATGTGAAGAATAAATGTTGGGGAAAATGGAAACTGCTGAGGAAACTAGTTAAAGTATGAATTTGGCAGATAGTGTAAAATGAATCAGGTCAAATCCTCCTTGTATTTGGCCATGCAGCTGGGCGAGCTCCATCCACTTGTCCCTCAATTTCAGGTTCATAGTTTTTTTTAAAAACTATTCAGGTTTTGGTGCCGCTGTTTTTGCTTGTACAACTGTAATGTAATACCAAGATTTTAATGCCACAGGCCTTTTCCCCCATTAAATTCTGCTAGACTTGACTGGATAAGAACAGAAAAGGAGAACATATACAACCACATTCCCCCATTAGTACTATAATGATCTGTCTTAACCTTAATTTTGAGAAAAAAAGGAAGTATAGGATTGTACTAATGGAATATATGTAATAGATTCCTGTCTTAACCTTATATGTGTTTTATTCCTTGCTGCTAGCAATAGCTTGGCTTCACACCTGAGCTAGCTAGATTTCTTCTCGCTTCTAAAGAAATCCTGCACAACAGCAGTTCATCATTGAATGCAATCCTTAATTGGAAATACGTACAGAACAAGGATGTATAATTGGAAAATACGTGAATTTTTCTGAGTATTTTAAACTTGTACAAAACATAGATGTACAATTGGAAAATACATACATACATGTATAATAAATATTAACCGTGTAAGTGCTAAATTATTTATACAAGTAATAACTTTGGGAAAGTAAAAAATTAAAAAGGAACAATAGAGACTCGGATAATGGCCTAATAGTAATGGATAATGCTATAAACTACTCTTATCGATAAACAAAAATCGGGGAAAATTTAAAAGAAAAAAAGGATACCAGTATATCTATATGTATACATAGAGAGAGAGAGAGTATATAGCCGGTCGGCTATACTTATTATAAAAATTAAACCAAAAACCCCGTAAAGTCGCTCGGCTATACTAATTTTCTAAAAAAAACAAAAAAATTCGCGTATAGCCGATTAATGAAAAAGCAAAACAGAGCAGCCGCATGGCGCCTGGTTACCATTCGAGTCAAAAAAACGAGTACAGCCGTGCGGCTATACTAAAAAATAAAAACCCGCAAAGCGACTAGATGCCCAAGTGTCAAAACCGTATGGCCGCACGGCTATACTGTTTATTAAAAAAAAACCCGAGTATACCGCGCGGCTATACAATTTATTTTTTATTTTTAAAAAAAGAAGGGCTCGTCTAGCGATTAGGCGTCCGCGTGTCAAAATAAGTATAGCCGCCCGGCTATACGATTTTAAAAAATTAAAAGATCGATTATAGCCGGACGGCTATACCATTTACGAAAAAACAAAACAGAGTCGTAGGCCCGTTCAACTGTTTGATGTGATCGAACGAGAGAGAAGAAAGAGATGAGATCGACGGCAGGAGAAAAAGCTAGGGTTTCTCAGTCCTCGCTCGCTCCTCTCAAATGGCAACAAGCAAGGGAGTTTGGGAGTGATGGGAGCTCACACACTTTCAACTCTGATCCCATTTTACCACAACCCCACCAATTCCTTGCCTTTTTTTTTGTCTGGTAAGCCTTTCAATTCTCATTTTCCCATTTCGATTATTTGGATTTAGACGGATCTTATGGCATATAAATAGCGAGAATTTCATAAACCAAAAGAAAATTTTGATTCTGAGATATTGGGATAGTTGGAACTCGGAAGGCATCAATCAGTAGATTTGAAAGAAAAAAACTTTAATCTTCTAGCAAAATATAACCCAGCCATTGATTACACATGTTTGGAATTTGAAGCAGCCGGAAAAACCAATTCTCACAATGATAGAAATCAGAGAAAAATATTATGTTTCTTTATGGATAAACATTGTTGTGAGAGAAAGAATATGTAGGAAAGTAAGTTTTCAAGCATTGGATATGGCATTTTATTTTCTTGGTAAAGTCTTTCCATAGCTTAGTTTTGAAACCTGGTATCAAATATACGGTATTCCCTCCTCCTGCTTCCCTCTTCTCTCTATTTTACATTATGATTTGGATCAGGTAATTAAGAGTCATGAAGACCGTTGACCTCTTTGGGTCAATGATGTGCCTTCCACATAGTTAGCTTGATTTTTTATTGTTCCAATACTTAGTTGGATTTTATTGTACTTAGTGGTTGAGGTTGAGGATGTTCACAGGATTTTAGAGGACATCTTGTTCATCCCCTTTCTAACTCTTTTATCATTAATAAAATCCATATTTGTTACCAAAAAGAAAAAGAAAAAGAAAAAAGGGGCTTACTTTGAGGTTACTACGTGCACCCTCACTCAACATTGACCGAAAGGCAGGCATATGCACTCATATGACTTAACTTACGATCATATTGTTGCATAATTGTGGATTTATTTTTCTGTCATTAGGCAGATAGTGGTCATCACTGCAATGGATGTAGTTTTTGCTGGGCTAATGGAATATAGAATAGCGTTAGTTTGTATGTCTCACTCTTTTACATCATTTGCTTTGTACCACTAGGAAAATAGGATTGCAACTCCAAATTACTAAACTTGATTCAAATAGGATTGCGACTCTTAACATGCAATTCACCACACTAGCTTATTATTTTATTTTGTCCCAACAAGGAAAGTTCAGACATACCGTCTTTTGATCATCGATGACTCATAGACAGTTAGGATTTTGGCCTCTAAATGATTTAGTTGTCATTACTCTGTTGTTCTTTCCATAATAACCTCTGGTTCTTATTTCTTCAAAATTATGATCGCTATACAGATTATGATGAAGGCTTGAATATTTGACTGAGTAGGGGAAGAAAAAATTCTTACGCAAGTTCAAGTATCATTTAGTGCATATCTCACCACTACCCTCGATGGATCAAAGCAAGATGTCAGGTCCCCTGATCAACATTGAGGTATCAGTTCTGTTTTGTGGTTAATTTTATTATCATTAGTTTCAAGTAACTTTCAGATGTCAGTGTGGGACAAAACTATTTTTCTGTATAATGTGTTGTTAGTGTACTTACTATTACCTGAACAAGGCTCGACGAGTGAGCTATTGTGCATGTGAACACTGATCACATAGGTGCACAGGCACAAACATAATTTATCTTTCGTATCTTTCGTATCCTCTGGTTCGCGACGGCTGAAACAGCCGGCCACGTTTTGGCCGGCCGTGCTCTTGTCCGGCCACCAAAGTCGACGGGGCCGGTACCAAAATGACCGGGCCGCCGTCCTCTTCCTACCCCAGCCAGGTCCCGCCGCCAGCCGTCGAGATTTCGCCGGAAAATCGAAGAGAAAAGCTCGGTTTCGCCCGAAACTTCGCCGGCTTCGTTCTCCGTCTTCCGGCCGCCATTTTTGGCGATCAAGGTATGGAAATTCATCCCTTCTACATGATCTAGCTGATGGTTGGGTAGGATTGCATCAATTTGTAGCCTAGATTATCTGATTTTCGAGTTAGGGATCGGCCGGTTTTGGGATCGCGATTCCGGCCACTTCCGGTCGGTATTTGGGGTATGTCCAAGAATAAAAGTGACTCCAAATTAGGTGTATTACCTAGAATAGGAGTCTTGGCTCTTGATTTTGAAGTTTTCCGGCGATGCGATATCGCTTTGGACACCCACGCGCTGCCGGCGCGTGTGGCGGCGCGTGGGCACTGTAGTTGAGGGGCATTTTTGTCCCACTGTGATCCTCTCGATGTCACGAGCGCGTAGGTGTGCTCGGATCTCATTTTGGGTACCGTTAGAGTCCCGAACGGATATCGCATATCGCGTATTTTCCGGGTTCGCTAGGTTTGGACCGTTGGATGGTCCTGGAGTTATAATATGTTGATCTAAGTATTACCAGGATCGTGTAGGATTCGACGGATCGTAAAACGGAGTCCCGGATACTCCGGAAATGCCAACCCTGGGGTTAGGGTTTTAGTAACCGTCCGATCCTGCGATCGTGAGCGATCCGACCGTCCGATCTGGACCAAACTTGCAGGACATGTGTTCTAGAGCTTGTAGAACCTATAAGAACTTTCGGATCAGAATTTGGAGGTTGTGGGCCCCGCGGGCCCGTTTGACCAAGGTTGGGTAGTTCGACCCTGGTTTGTCCGTGGGACTTCCTAGGTAGTATTACATTCCTAGGAAGATTAAAATGACTGTGGTGACAGGTCCTGATGTTATGGGGATTATGTGGGATTATCGGGTGCTAGTTGTTTGTTAAGGTGTTTATATTATTAGAAATTAATGTATAAAATTTATGTGTGGATTTTATAATTGAATGTTAGTTTGCAGTGCTATATGCACTACCCTATGTACCTCCTCGGATGTTGACAGACCCCATACGTGGCCGGGTGCGTCCCGACGTATGAGGGGAGATATGACAGTATGATGGCTGGTGAGAATGTAGCCAGGCCCAAGTGACAGTATGATGGCTGGTGAGAATGTAGCCAGGCCTAAGTGACAGTATGATGGCTGGTGAGAATGTAGCCAGGCCCAGTGTGAGGTCGCACGCGTCTTTGGATTAGCCGGCGTGTTGACAGACCTCATACGTGGCCGGGTGCGTCCCGACGTATGAGGGGAGATGATTGTGTGCGGGCTGGTGAGAATGTAGCCAGGCCCAGTGTGAGGTCGCATGCGTCTTTGGATTAGCCGGCGTGTTGACAGACCCCATACGTGGCCGGGTGCATCCCGACGTATGAGGGGAGATATGATTGTGTGTGGGCTGGTGAGAATGTAGCCATGCCCAGTGTGAGGTCGCATGCGTCTTTGGACTAACCGGCGTGTTGACAGACCCCATACGTGGCCGGGTGCGTCCCGACGTATGAGGGGAGATATGATTGTGTGCGGGCTGGTGAGAATGTAGCCAGGCCCAGTGTGAGGTCGCACGCGTCTTTGGATTAGCCGGCGTGTTGACAGACCCCATACGTGGCCGGGTGCGTCCCGACGTATGAGGGGAGATATGATTGTGTGCGGGCTGGTGAGAATGTAGCCTGGCCCAGTGTTGAGGTCGCACGCGTCTTTGGATTAGCCGGCGTGTTGACAGACCCCATACGTGGCCGGGTGCGTCCCGACGTATGAGGGGAGATATGATTGTGTTTGGTGTGTTGAGATGGATAAAATCCTAGAATGTATGAATTTGCATGGCTGTAATGGTTTATTGATATTAGGAGCCAGAATTGATACGAAAGAGCTATGTGTGGCTTGATCCCTTAGTAGGGTACGTAGCCAGCCTGAAGTTACTAGGTGCAACCACAGATTAGACCCCACTTAGGTGGTCTTATTGAGATTGGTTCGGACCTCGTTGTTGGTCCCGACACTTGGTTGAATTGAGGCTTGTCCGATGGACTGAATGAGTGAAGGTGTGCATAGATAGATTTTGAATTTGTTATATGCATGTTTGATGCATTAAGTTATTTTAAAAACAGTGTGGGCAGTTCTGCTAGAATCATTTGAAGGCCGGAGGCCATTAATGTAAATTGCATGAGATTATATTGTGCGTGCTGCTAGTTGGGTTATAAAATGTGTTTTATGCAGGTGGAAATTTTGGGGAATGTTCAATTTACAAGGGAGATTCTGCCGAAATTTCGGCAGAAAGTCTCGTGCCCTTAATCCTCTTTGGCAAAAGAGGACATAGTTTTAAGGAGTGAACCCGGCATGGGTATGATGCCGAGGTCTCGCAGGATTCGTCTCGGGTTCTGGAAAATTCGGAGCGGGTCCTGTCAATGACCTTTGGTACTCGCGGAAAGTGCATGCTGTTCGAGAATTGACACATCAACAGAGTTGGATTGGGCTTTACAAATCCACGTAGACAGAGTCAATCCACCTGTATTTTGGATGTAGTGTCTCCAGTTAGTGTAGACGAACTAGGGTGTGATCTTTAAGTTCAGTGAGGGATTGGGGGCCAAGAAAAAGGAGAGGAGAGGGCAGAGCGCCAGTCTGATTTTTGTAAATAAAATAAAATTAAAAGCAGGATAGCAGGCTAGTGTAGACTAGCGACTAGGGTGTATCAGGGAAATGCAATGATGATTATTATTATAATAATAGAGAGTCCTTGTCAGGCTGCTGCGGCTTAGAAATCATCATTGCATTTCCCTGATACACCCTATAAATTTTTTCTTAGTAACAATAACAGATATTGTAATTTGTAAATGCAGGTTTATATTAGTTAGCAAATATGAAATGAAAATGCTGTGCATTATTCACATGCCATGATTATAGCATTTACTTTCTTATCTTTATTGAAGTTATTCCCTTTGTTAACAATACAAATATAACTATGCAGCTGCTCTTATTGTAGCAAGAAAGGAAACATGGCGTAGAAGGGAAATTTGGTACACATAGTTGGTCGTTCTAATTAGGCACTATAGAAATTTTTATAGTGCACAACGTTGCAGCTGCTCTTACTGCACAACGTTGCTCCGAAAAACCCACATAAAACTGATGAATCAAACATTTGCAGAACACCAAACGAATCAAAATATCCAAGTGGCTATTACTTAATTAAAAAAATAGTCCATAGCATAGCATTACACAAAAAGGATCTTGCTCATCAGTCCATATAAATCCTAAATCGAATCTAAACCCTAATCACTTTTTGCCGCTTTGCTTCTCCTCCATCTTGACCATCTGCTTCTTGAATTGCAGTATATCCTCCTTCATTGCTTTACACTTTTGAACCGTTGTGTCCAGCGCCTGTGATCAAAAAAAGGAAGTCTCAACAAAAACAAAATATAAAAAGAAAAAAAGAAAAAAAGAAAAAGAAAAACATACAGCCTGCATCTTCAAAGCATCTTGGGCGCCTGCTCTTTTCATCTCCTCCATTTCGACGGACTTCTGCTTCAGAGACTCCTCCAGCTTGTTCACTTTCTGCTTAAGACCAGCAGCCAAAAATGGGAAAGAGCAGCAGCCATCTTCTACACACTGCATTTTTGGCTGCTGCTCTTTCCCATTTTTGGCTGCTGGTCTTAAGCAGAAAGTGAACAAGCTGGAGGAGTCTCTGAAGCAGAAGTCCGTCGAAATGGAGGAGATGAAAAGAGCAGGCGCCCAAGATGCTTTGAAGATGCAGGCTGTATGTTTTTCTTTTTCTTTTTTTCTTTTTTTCTTTTTATATTTTGTTTTTGTTGAGACTTCCTTTTTTTGATCACAGGCGCTGGACACAACGGTTCAAAAGTGTAAAGCAATGAAGGAGGATATACTGCAATTCAAGAAGCAGATGGTCAAGATGGAGGAGAAGCAAAGCGGCAAAAAGTGATTAGGGTTTAGATTCGATTTAGGATTTATATGGACTGATGAGCAAGATCCTTTTTGTGTAATGCTATGCTATGGACTATTTTTTTAATTAAGTAATAGCCACTTGGATATTTTGATTCGTTTGGTGTTCTGCAAATGTTTGATTCATCAGTTTTATGTGGGTTTTTCGGAGCAACGTTGTGCAGTAAGAGCAGCTGCAACGTTGTGCACTATAAAAATTTCTATAGTGCCTAATTAGAACGACCAACTATGTGTACCAAATTTCCCTTCTACGCCATGTTTCCTTTCTTGCTACAATAAGAGCAGCTGCATAGTTATATTTGTATTGTTAACAAAGGGAATAACTTCAATAAAGATAAGAAAGTAAATGCTATAATCATGGCATGTGAATAATGCACAGCATTTTCATTTCATATTTGCTAACTAATATAAACCTGCATTTACAAATTACAATATCTGTTATTGTTACTAAGAAAAAATTTCTAGGGTGTATCAGGGAAATGCAATGATGATTTCTAAGCCGCAGCAGCCTGACAAGGACTCTCTCTATTATTATAATAATAATCATCATTGCATTTCCCTGATACACCCTAGTCGCTAGTCTACACTAGCCTGCTATCTTGCTTTTAATTTTATTTTATTTACAAAAATCAGACTGGCGCTCTGCCCTTTCCTCTCCTTTTTCTTGGCCCCCAATCCCTCACTGAACTTAAAGATCACACCCTAGTTCGTCTGCACTAACTGGAGACACTACATCCAAACTAAGATAACTAAATTAGCAATTTTCTTAAGTAAACTTTATCAACAAGGACAAAAGTGAGATGGAAAAAGGACAAGGGAAAAGGGGGGCATAACTGCTGAATTACTTGTCCTTACACAAGAAAAGTTGGCTCAAAATAAAGTAATTCACATATAAAATGGCAAATAACATCATGCAGACGTCTGAATCAAACAAATTGGCAGAGAGAAAAATCTCCTAAAGTATTTCAAATAACGGGTGTGCTCTATATTCAAATATATATATAGATTGGGCACGAGCTCCGTGGAAGGAAGAGCGCGGTGGACGCGTCCTTTGAATTTGTAACGTGGCGTGGGGTCCTTTAATCAGAGCCGTTGATGTTAATGACCTTTGGTCAGACTCAGATCGAGGGTGTTGGATGTTTTAATCGTGGTCGGCTTCATGACCTTTGGTACTCGTGGAAAGTGCATGCTGTTCGAGAATTGACACATCAGCAGAGCTGGCTTGGGCTTTACAAATCCACGTAGACAGAGTCAATCCACCTGTATTTTGGATGTAGTGTCTCCAGTTAGTGCACACGAACTAGGGTGTGATCTTTAAGTCCAGTGAGGGATTGGGGGCCAAGAAAAAGGAGGAGAGGGCAGAGCGTCAGTCTTATTTTTGTAAATAAAAATAAAATTAAAAGCAGGAGGTTAGTGTAGACTAGCGACTAGGGTGTATCAGGGAAATGCAATGATGATTTCTAAGCCGCAGCAGCCTGACAAGGACTCTCTCTATTATAATAATGTTTCAAGTGAGGCACTTCAGGTAACACTTTGTTATGCATTGTCAATGTTTTGTTAGAATCAAATGCGGAATTCAGTGGATTTGGTCGGTCCATGTCTTGAGTCTGACCAGGAACAAAAGATCAAGTGAATGTTGTTGGCACTTGTTCCGCCATTTAAGCAAAGTTCCATTAAAACTCAAGTTGGATAATATAAAAAAGTACATCATATTATAGCAGCATCAGTCGTCGATGTGAAATGAACCGGCAACGCGGTCAGCCATACTTTGACTTTTTTTTTCTTTTCTTTCTTTTTGTGATTATCTTCCTCTAAAATTGGAACTTTATAATTTTATAATACACAAACTATAGGCGTTTGGTGTGCATAAAGAAACACATGTGAAATGAATTCAAATATCCTTCTCAGGGGAAGATTTCTATCTCAAGTTCGGTAACACTGAGAAAGGACTATAAATATCGTTTTATTTGTTTTCTCGTGTTTGGTTTGTGCAGGAAATGAAAACATAATGTGTACTGATTTTCAATTATACCATAAATTAGAAATATGCAAAAGGTAACTTATGTTAACCTTTACACGTAACTAATAGGGGCAGATTGGTCATAAAATACAATTAATGTTTGCCTTGATTTTTCATGAGAAAGGAACGAGATGGAGGGCATACTTCATTTTTCCTATGAAGCAAAAATGAATTTTCCAAGCGTGATAAATGAAATAATTACTCGTGATAAATGAATTTTCCAAACGTATCCTTCCCAGCAAATTTGGTCATGTATTTGTTGCAAGCAATCCTAGCTGCCTCAAGTGCCTCACTTGAAACATTCTCTTTTTCCCAACTCACAAGATGGACGCAGAAGGGAAACTCATCAACACCTTTCTTCTTCATTCCAACATCATAAATTCTGATCTTAGGATCAGGCACACCGCGACAGAAACGTGACTTCGGGTATGGCTTGTTCTTAATCTGCCTATAACACCTTGCAGGCCCTACAACAATAACAGAGCATCCAAAAAATCATCATAAAAACATGATTATATCAAACTTACAGACAATAATGAATTCACTTTGCCAAATTCAACAATTGAAATTAGAATCTGAATAAAATATATATCAAACTTATACAACATTGACAACGACATTTGCTAAGATTGCCACAACAATTGGCTTGGGCCAAAAAAAGGTTCCAAAATAAACAACTCACAAAAACAATTGGGTCTTAGAAATTACATTTGTGCAACGGTTAAGATGTCCTCAACGTTTAAATTCCAATACCAACGTTAGAAAATAAACCGATAACATACAAGCAAATCCCATCTCTGTATCAAAAATAGCTTGGATAAAAAAACACAGAAACGATTCTTTTGACAACGAAATTCATCTCGCGCCAATAAAACGGTAAACGCAATCAGATCTTTAAACAAAAAATTAGATAGATACATGTATAATACATCAATGGGCGAAGAACGAAGAAATAAATGAGGGAAAAATAAGATGAATGCAAGAGAGAGTCACTCACTCCTCCCCATGGCGAGCTCCTGATTCTCCTCCTCCTGTTTGCGTTTCCGGTAAGAAACCCACGCCAGAAACCCTATTGCGGGCTTTTTGTACTCGGTGCTCCATACATTTCAGTTCGGGTCGACCCAGGTTCTTTTTTTTTTTTTTTTTTTTTTTTTTTTCGGGCTGTCTGCTCATCAGGCGTGCTGGCTGGCTTGGCTTTGCGACACGTGTCAACTAAATCAGACGTGGCGAAATCAGACCATTTTACGGTATTTGCATTTCCTCACCGCTCTCTGTGGACTGTTCAATCAGAAGCCAGAGGTTTCCAGAAGAAAGAGACCATCAAACAACGGAGATGAAAATCCACCACGTTGCTTGCTTAGAGGACAACTACGCATACCTGTGAGCCAAAATCCCTCTTTTCATCTCAATTTCTGATTATCGTTTTTATCAGGGTCTTTCTACTTTCTAGCATAATTAATTTAATTGTAAAATTGTAATTGTTAATGGTGATTATGGCTTGCTGGGTTTGGATTAACAGAATCATTGACGAGAGTACCAAAGAAGCTGCAGCTGTGGATCCAGTTGAGCCTGAAAAGGTTCTTAAAGCAGCTCAAGAACATGGCGTTGATATCAAGCTCGTCCTCACCACTCACCACCACTGGTGTGTAAATGTTTGCACGTTTTCATCAAATTTACCATTCAATCACTTATATTCACACCCGTGTGCTTTATTTCTGCATACCCATTACTCATATTCAACTGCAACATAACATGTCACTGCAAAATTATTATATGTATTATATTTGTTTTGGATATAAGTGCCAACAAATAGGTACTTGCGGTTCATATCTTACTTGGGTAATAATCTGACAGGCCAAGATTGTATTGAGCATCTTAGTTTGGGTAAATGTAAAGATTAGACTTATGGGTTAGTTGCCTCTGTTTTAAGTGTTTTTGCTGCTGCATTGATGTGGTAGGGATCACGCTGGTGGAAATGAGAAGATAAAGCAGCTGGTGCCGGGGATTAAGGTATATGGTGGTTCTATTGATAATGTAAAGGGCTGCACTGATAAGGTGGACAACGGTGATAAGATTTCTCTCGGGGCTGATGTTCATATATTGTCTCTTCACACACCTTGGTATGCATCTTCCTTGCAGATTTGTCTTTCATTAATGTGTAATGTTCTTAAGTCTGCTATACGACTGATATTTTTTTAGTCTCTTTGGAGTTTGGACTAATCCGTTACCTCTTTTTGGACTGTAAAGAGCAACAACAGCATATTATTGCCTTTCTGGCACACAAATGTTCTCAAGTTTTTCTTTTGTTTGGGATTAAATGCATCATAGTTCTTTAACAAAAGATATCCTTGATCCTTTATAGCATGATATGATAGAGAATTTGAATCTAAACCTGGCAAGAAAAAGAGGGCTATAGGACCGTGATCATTAGATTAGGTATTGCTTCCATGCTATCTTAGCTTAGATGATTTAACTTTATGTATGTCTTTCCTTTTTATGTTTTTAATTATATTCTTCTCCTGAACTTGCTCTCACCAGCCACACTAAAGGTCACATAAGCTATTATGTGACTAACAAAGAGGGAGATGACCCAGCTGTTTTTACTGGAGACACACTGGTAAGTTGAGTGAAGGAGCTTTACTTTCTTTGAAATCTGAAATCAATGACAGATGTCATGAAAGGCCTCTTAGGGTACCTGGTTTCCGTAGTCTTAAGTTTATTTGAATGTGTTGTGCTGGAGACATGGGTTATTGTCTTGCAGTATGAAGTCGATGTCACATCTGTCCCCCTATGTAGTAATGCCAAATACTTAGAAGTTTGGAATACCGAAACCTTTTTTATGTTCTTAGGAACATTTAGGCTGTAATAGGGTGGTTCTCTGAATCTCTTTTAATTTACTAGATTTATGTCTATTTATAAGGATGCAAGCAGTTAACTGTGGTTCCTGCTCTATATGTAGTTTATTGCGGGTTGTGGTAAATTTTTCGAAGGAACAGCAGAACAGATGCATCAGTCGCTATGTGTGACTTTGGGTTCATTGCCAAAGCCAACACGAGTTTACTGTGGCCATGAGGTAAAAGAAGATTCTGGATTTCTTTGTGTCTTGAAATTTTACTCAATGACGGGACATTATTAATTGATGATGTTTACAGGCCCCAAAGTTTGATGTACTTAAACAATGCAATCTATTTCCTTCTCCTGATCAAGGATGAATTGGGTTGTTTATTTTCCAATTTAGTTCCAATGATTATCATAGTTTATAACTGTCATATTCATTCAATTGTTGTTGTATATGCTGTATGTCTTTCAGTCCGTAAGGCAAAGGTAATGATTTGATTGGTATTGCTCCAGTACACAGTGAAGAACTTGCAATTTGCTCTGACAGTTGAACCAGACAATGAGAAAATAAAGCAGAAGTTATCATGGGCACAGAAGCAGCGGGAAACAGGCCTCCCCACAGTTCCCTCAACCATTGAGGAAGAGATGGAGACGAACCCTTTTATGCGGGCTGATCTACCAGAGCTTCAGGTTTGCGTATTTTCCTATAAGTTGATAACCATATCATGGTTTTCAATTGAGAAAAAAGTAGTAAGTGAATATTTGGAAACTGATGTAGCACAGTTTGTTACTAAATTTGAATTGAAATGATTAAGAAGTTGGTATTGTATTGTTCCATGTTTATACAACTTTCGGTTTTTGCCAACTCTAGCATGACCAACTGCAGCATGCTCGCTTTCAATAGCCAACTCGCGCCATGCATACATACGGCTTCCTTACGTAGATGTTTAACTTGTTTTACAGGAGAGGATTGGTCGCAAAACTGCTGTTGAAGCTCTGCGTGAAATAAGGCAGAGGAAGGACAACTGGAGGGGATAATTTGATGGCTTTAACATATTGCCGTTTGTGCCATCTTTGTTTCTGTTTTTCCTTCCAATGGGTTTGCAGAATATTGTTTAAGAGAGACAAAGCCTTCTGTTATTGTTGCTTGTTGGCTGGGCCAAGAATGTTTCTAACATATGCCCCGTGTGCTTGGCGTAGATAAAAGATAATGCAACTAGTACAGTTCGTGTGATGTGTATTGCCTTTAATTTTTGTTGATTTTGGACAACCGACCGCATGAGATGCCACCCAAGCCAACTTAATTAAACCAATTTCAATGGGTTGGTCCTTGTGCATAATGAAGAGCCTTTTCTTCTCTTACAAGTAAATCATAATTCCGATATTGTATCAAATTATGATTTTTCTTCTTTTGTGTATATATAAAAAATGACCATTACTAAATAAAAGCATACAAACAAATAGACAAGGCTTAGAGCAGTTATCAATGATGAGTCTTCTAAGCAGCAGCAGCAGCAGCATGACGAGCCGACAAGGTGGTGCTCTTCTTCATCTCCTTCCACTACTCCCACATGGATGGGACAGAAATGATGGCTTGCTATGGCAACTCCTAGCCCTTCTGTGAATAACTCTGCCAAGGGTTGATTCAACTTGGTCGTTTCATTTCTCTCTCTCTGTAGATATTATAATAATAATTGTAGGAAAATATCATTAGGAACTTTACATCAATATTGGGGGTTTTACCGGCTCTTTGTCTAACATAATCTCATTCTCAGTACACTTATGAACTAATTTCACTCTCTCTCTCTCTCTCTCTACACATTTTTCTAATTTCACTCTCAAAAAAAGTAAAGCTTTTTATTATTTATACAAAGTTCAGTGGAAAATCAAGGCTCACTCACTCCCTGTTGAAACTAATCTAACGATTTTAAATGATACATGAAACAGATCGAACGGTTTCCATTAAAAATTTCTATAGTGCCTAATTAGAACGACCAACTATGTGTACCAAATTTCCCTTCTACGCCATGTTTCCTTTCTTGCTACAATAAGAGCAGCTGCATAGTTATATTTGTATTGTTAACAAAGGGAATAACTTCAATAAAGATAAGAAAGTAAATGCTATAATCATGGCATGTGAATAATGCACATCATTTTCATTTCATATTTGCTAACTACTATAAACCTACATTTACAAATTACAATATCTGTTATTGTTACTAAGAAAAAATTTCTAGGGTGTATCAGGGAAATGCAATGATGATTTCTAAGCCGCAGCAGCCTGACAAGGACTCTCTCTATTATTATAATAATAATCATCATTGCATTTCCCTGATACACCCTAGTCGCTAGTCTACACTAGCCTGCTATCCTGCTTTTAATTTTATTTTATTTACAAAAATCAAACTGGCGCTCTGCCCTCTCCTCTCCTTTTTCTTGGCCCCCAATCCCTCACTGAACTTAAAGATCACACCCTAGTCCGTCTGCACTAACTGGAGACACTACATCCAAAATACAGGTGGATTGACTCTGTCTACGTGGATTTGTAAAGCCCAATCCAGCACTGTTGATGTGTCAATTCTCGAACAGCATGCACTTTCCGCGAGTACCAAAGGTCATGAAGCCGACCACGATTAAAACATCCAACACCCTCGATCTGAGTCTGACCAAAGGTCATTAACATCAATGGCTCTGATTAAAGGACCCCACGCCACGTTGCAAATTCAAAGGACGCGTCCACCGCCCGCCGCGCTCTTCCTTCCACGGAGCTCGTGCCCAATCTATATATATATATATATTTGAATATAGAGCACACCCGTTATTTGAAATACTTTAGGAGATTTTTCTCTCTGCCAATTTGTTTGATTCAGACGTCTGCATTATGTTATTTGCCATTTTATATGTGAATTACTTTATTTTGAGCCAACTTTTCTTGTGTAAGGACAAGTAATTCATCAGTTATGCCCCCCTTTTCCCTTGTCCTTTTCCATCTCACTTTTGTCCTTGTTGATAAAGTTTACTTAAGAAAATTGCTAATTTAGTTATCTTCTTTCCTAAATTTAAGTTATGGTTTCTAATATGTTGGTTTTTTAAACGTTTACTTTAAATTCGGTGAGGGATTGGGGGCCAAGAAAAAGGAGGAGATGGCAGAGCGTCAGTCTTATTTTTGTAAATAAAATAAAATTAAAAGCAGAAGGTTAGTGTAGACTAGCGACTAGGGTGTATCAGGGTGCTCTCCTCCCACTACTCCCACATGGACTCTCTCTCTCTCTATTATTATAATAATAATATTCGTAGAAAAATATCATTAGGGACTTTACATCAATGTTGGGGGGTTTCATTGGCTTTTTGTGTAACATAAGCGATTTTTGTACTGGGGGGCACACACGTGTACGGTTATTGTGGCAAATAAAATATTAATATATCCTATTATATATATGGTCTTTAATTTGGTGAATTTTGGTCATGCATGTTGTTAGTGGTCCATATGGTAATATCCTTGTATATATATATATATGTGGTCTTTTAATTTGGTGAATTTTGGTCGTGCATGTTGTTGGGGGTCCATATGGTAATATCATCGTTATTTGATTGATATCATGCAGACATAACATAAAGTACGAAGAAAAATAAATTGCGGCCATCATAGAGTCCAATTTTTCTGTTACCAATTTCCTTGTGCCCTCGTGTTTCCTTGTTAGCTTTGTGACATGTGGCACACAACTTAACAGTAATTTAACTCCGTTAAATCTCTTTAACCCATTTTTAAAATTAAAATAATTAAAATACGCGTTTGACAAAAACAAGTTTGCACGGCTCTTCATTTTCAGCCCTTACATCTTCTACACACTGCATCTTCTTTGCTCTGCAAAAACGCATCCCCTGCATCTGGTTTGATCATCTCTTTCTCATTTTTGGCTGCTGGTCTTGGAGCCATCGCATACAATACAATTGCAAAATTGAAGGCTAATCGGACGATCCTGCATATATTATTACAGAACCAGAAAGAAGCAAAATTCTCCTTCAACTTTCAATTCAATAGATGAAGAATCTATGTAATTTATCGCGGGGGAGCATCGCGAATTTTTGTCTCGTGCTCCATTTTATCCCTCAATATTCAGACTAAATAAAACAATAAAATCATCTAGTTCTAGTTCTAAATTAGTATAGTAAACAAGGTATTATTCTCTCCCTGCCTTTCTCGTTGGATGGGTAAGAGAACGTATTAGAATTTAGAAGGGGGGTTACAAGTTATTCTCTCCCTGCCTCCCTCGCGTTCTAACATTTTTTATTGTTTAAAAATAATAATGGACTTAACAGTTTTAGTAGCGTTGAAGAGTAGCGTCAAGGGTTAAGCTACGTGTCATAAAATTAAGGGAGCAACAGGGAGGCACATGAAGTTTAGTAACTGGGAAATTGGACTCCCATCCATATGGGAACATCCTTTTAAATTAATGACTCCTTTTAAATTATTAATTAAATAAGGATAATATGGTAAATTCAAAAATTCAAAAAATGCCATTGGTTAATTTAAATATTAAAAATTAAAATTATTAATTAAATGAGGATAATATAGTAAATTCATATTTTTTTCATATTAAAAAATTTTAAAATTAAAAACAAAATCAGATAATAGATTATAAAACATAACTACCAATATTATCTTTTTTAATTCTAAAAATAAAATTAAACCAATTGGTTAGTGTAGACTAGCGACTAGGGCGTATCAGGGAAATGCAAATGATGAGTTCTAAGCCGCAGAAGCATGACAAGGTGGTGCTCTCCTCCCACTACTCCCACATGGACTCTCTCTCTCTCTCTCTCTCTCTCTCTCTCTCTCTTATTATAATAATAATATTCGTAGAAAAATATCATTAGGGACTTTACATCAATATCCGATTAGGGGTTTTACTGGCTTTTTGTGTAACATAAGCGATTTTTGTTAAGAATTATCTTTGTAATATATTTGTAATATTTACTTACTTGATTTAGTCTAGATCAAATCCCACCAAAGGTGGATCACGAATTCCGAGCCTTAGAAATAGGTGTAATTGAATGTTGTATTTGTATATATACCTTGTATTGTTGACAATGAGAATTATTCAGAAAATCATTCACCCAATTGTCTATTATTCAAACCCTAGTCAATTCGTCCTTTTATCTTCCCTAGTCTGGTTTCTTAAGATGGTATCAGAGCACCATCCTGTGCCTGATTACTCTTTTCTCAAAAACACCATATCAAATCAAAACAAATTTTCTGTTGCCAGAAAACACAAAATTCAATTTTCAAACAACATCTCAAATCAAACACTTCCAGAAAAGACAAAACCCAATTCTCAAAAAATTTCCACGGCATCAAATGCATATTTGACTAATCATCAGATGCATCACCATCCAAAGCATGCTTCCAGCGCGAACCACAAGGCGCTTGCCTTCTTACATTCTGCCAACGCAGCAAATGTCTCTACATGTCCAGCCCAGATTTCCAATTGGGGTCAACAGTCTCAAAGCTTTCATGCGCCGGCCCAGTTCTCCAATTCACGGTCTTCACAACCAAACCCATCAAATGGGCGTTCTGCAAAGGAGCTTCAACAACCTGCTCATGCCATATCTATAATGAATGCAAACCGTGTCTTTGGTAATAACAATTCTTATGCAAATGCTTCAGGTCTGTCATCTTCTACATATGTCTCAATTAATTCTGCCTTCACTAAACCTTGGATTTTGGATAGCGGAGCCACTGACCACATCATTTCTGATTCTACACTTTTCACTAAGACAGAATCTTGCCCAATGCCCATTGTTAATTTACCCACTGGATCCACAGTCCCAATCACTTCCACTTGCACCGTACCTTTCAACTCAGACATCACCTTAGACAAAGTTTTATGTGTTCCTTCTTTCCGCTTAAATCTCATGTCTGTCAGTAAAGTCACTAATTCTTTAAACTGTTGTGTCCTTTTGTTTCCCACTTTCTGTGTCTTGCAGGACTTGGCTACGGGGAAGATAATTGGCTCGGGTAAACAACGTGGTGGTCTCTACTACATGTCTCCATTACAGAGCACACCCATCTCAAATCAAGTTTCACACCCCACCAATTTGTGGCATATGCGACTTGGTCATCCGTCATCTTCTCGTCTCAAATTGGTGACTCCATTCCTGACTTCAAAAATATTTCTTTTGATGATAATTGAAATATTTGTCCCATGGCCAAACCTCATTCTTATTGTTTCAATACGTCAAAGCTTCTAAGTTCCATACGCACACACAAGTCCAAACGAACTTTTTCATTGGGATTCTTTATTTGGTTTGCTTTTGATTTGGGCAAAACAAAGTAATTATGATATGATATCGTAATGGTACATGCATACAAAGCCTCAGCCGCATAAATTCAACATTTGGTCTCTCTTTTCTCTGGGGACATTTGGTGGGGTCCTCTCTCTCTCCCCTTTGTTTATCCTTCCTATTTTATTATTCCCTATCTCTGAATCTTTTTAAATCAATTATATACTATTACAACATATATGATGATCTATTTGTACATGCCGTATATGAAAATACAAAATATAAACATAGTGCCCAATTATGGGTGAATGAAGCACTAAAAAAATGTGTTTATTATTATTGTGTGTGGTTGTGGTTTTGCCCCTCTAAATAAGTGATGTTGATCCAAAAATCCGCATCAACAGGTTGGATCGGCTCATCACACCTCATCCATATTTTTTCCTCACACCACGCATTATCTTTTTGGATAGGTTGATGAAGTAGTAAGTTGCACAACTTCCTTGCAATGTGGATCAACAAAATAAAATAAAAGATCAAAAGTTGCACAACTTTTGGGTCATATTAGTCTGTACGTATAGGTAGGTAGTGTAGGGGACCACTCCTATATGCTTTCTTCCTCCTCTCTTGCTTCAACGACTTGCTCCCCCCACAAAACTCCAAACGTCGTCATTGGGATTTTTGCCTTTTGATTTGGGCAAAACAAAATATTTGGTGTGCGCCCTTGAGAAAAGGCACGTGACTACCTAGGGCACCACTCCTAAACGCTTTCTTCCTCCTATCTGCTTCAACGACTTGCTCCCACCGCCCATGTTTTGCCACAGATAGAAAGGTCCCTTTTGGAATGGTCTGCATATCCTCCTCTTACATAAGAAATAATTTCACTGCAATGAAATGAAACAGATATTAAAAGTTGGAGTTGGGCATTAGATCATCGACATGCATTTGAAAAGGTTGAGCATATGGTACGAGTTTGTGCATCAACCTCGCAAACCTCATTGGGATGCTGCTTTACGGATCCTTAAATACATCAAAGGTACTCCTAGTCAAGGTTTGTTTTTTCCTGCCTCCAACAATCTTGCCTTGAAAGCCTTTTGTGATTCAGATTGGGGAGGTTATCGTGCCACTAGAAGGTCAGTTACTGGATATTGTGTATTTCTTGGAAACTCTCTCATCTCATGGAAGTCTAAGAAACAAACCATTGTTTCTAGATCATCAGCAGAAGCCGAATATCGAGCTATGGCTAACACATGTTTGGAGCTCACTTGGCTGCGCTATATATTACAGGATTTAAAAGTCCCACAAAGAGCTCCAACATCATTGTTCTGTGATAATCAGGCAGCTTTGCATATTGCAGCAAATTCAGTTTTCCATGAGCGTACGAAACACATTGTCACATAGTTCGAGAAAAACTGCAAGCTGGAATGATTAGTCCTTCATATGTACCAACACGATTCCAGTTGGTAGATGTATTCACAAAAGCCTTGGGGAAAGATCAATTTGTGACACTACGTGACAAGTTGGGACTTCATAACATTCACTCTCCAACTTGAGGGGGAGTGTTAAGAATTATCTTTGTAATATATTTGTAATATTTACTTACTTGATTTAGTCTAGATCAAATCCCACCAAAGGTGGATCACGAATTCTTAGCCTTAGAAATAGGTGTAATTGAATGTTGTATTTGTATATATACCTTGTATTGTTGACAATGAGAATTATTCAGAAAATCATTCACCCAATTGTCTATTATTCAAACCCTAGTCAATTCGTCCTTTTATCTTCCCTAGTCTGGTTTCTTAAGAATTTTTGACCAAAAAGGCTCGGGGACCCTTAGTCTTTTGGTCATGTTCGTTTAGAAATTGATAACAAAAGTTTTGTCTTCTCTCTCTAAAACTTCTAACGAATAAAAGAAAGAAGAAAAAAAAACAAGGCACAGCACGTGACCACCCTCTTTTATATATATATAAATAATATTTTACATCTACAGTAGTACAGTACAGTCTTTCACGCATCCCAACGCCAAATGGGCTCATTCATCAGGAGATTTCTTCTAACAAAACCAAAGCCAGGAACACCGAGAAAAACTCTCGACGCTTTCAGAAACACATACGGTACAATAGATGCTGTCGCCGGAACTTCGAAGGCCGTCTATACTGTGGCAACAGTGGGACCCCTTGCAGCTGCTGCAGCGGCATTGGAGAATTTTAAATGGGAGTCTGAAATCGCCCTACTGAAGGATAGAGTTACGAATTTAGAGGCGGCACTACAAGAGACTCAGCAAGGATACCATCATCTGCAAGCGGTGGGTGGGCTTTTTTTGTTTCTTTGTTTTAGTTTATATGCTATTATTTGTTGAGCTTTCTGTCTTTGGTCACAGGACCACACGGAGCTGAGCAAAGAACATGAAGAAGTTATGAAGAAGGTGAAAGAAATGAAAGAGCTGTCCCAAAAGATCAACAAACATAAACCCTAGTCCTAACATAAGTCTGCCTGCCATTACAACAAACATAAACCCTATGGCTTATTTCTAGTTCTACTTTTTGGTATTCTGCTCCTACTTGATCTTCTGGGACAGCAGACTTATGTTAGGACTAGGGTTTATGTTTGTTGATCTTTTGGGACAGCTCTTTCATTTCTTTCACCTTCTTCATAACTTCTTCATGTTCTTTGCTCAGCTCCGTGTGGTCCTGTGACCAAAGACAGAAAGCTCAACAAATAATAGCATATAAACTAAAACAAAGAAACAAAAAAAGCCCACCCACCGCTTGCAGATGATGGTATCCTTGCTGAGTCTCTTGTAGTGCCGCCTCTAAATTCGTAACTCTATCCTTCAGCAGGGCGATTTCAGACTCCCATTTAAAATTCTCCAATGCCGCTGCAGCAACTGCAAGGGGTCCCACTGTTGCCACAGTATAGACGGCCTTCGAAGTTCCGGCGACAGCATCTATTGTACCGTATGTGTTTCTGAAAGCGTCGAGAGTTTTTCTCGGTGTTCCTGGCTTTGGTTTTGTTAGAAGAAATCTCCTGATGAATGAGCCCATTTGGCGTTGGGATGCGTGAAAGACTGTACTGTACTACTGTAGATGTAAAATATTATTTATATATATATAAAAGAGGGTGGTCACGTGCTGTGCTTTGTTTTTTTTTCTTCTTTCTTTTATTCGTTAGAAGTTTTAGAGAGAGAAGACAAAACTTTTGTTATCAATTTCTAAACGAACATGACCAAAAGACTAAGGGTCCCCGAGCCTTTTTGGTCAAAAATTCTTAAGAAACCAGACTAGGGAAGATAAAAGGACGAATTGACTAGGGTTTGAATAATAGACAATTGGGTGAATGATTTTCTGAATAATTCTCATTGTCAACAATACAAGGTATATATACAAATACAACATTCAATTACACCTATTTCTAAGGCTAAGAATTCGTGATCCACCTTTGGTGGGATTTGATCTAGACTAAATCAAGTAAGTAAATATTACAAATATATTACAAAGATAATTCTTAACACTCCCCCTCAAGTTGGAGAGTGAATGTTATGAAGTCCCAACTTGTCACGTAGTGTCACAAATTGATCTTTCCCCAAGGCTTTTGTGAATACATCTACCAACTGGAATCGTGTTGGTACATATGAAGGACTAATCATTCCAGCTTGCAGTTTTTCTCGAACTATGTGACAATGTGTTTCGTACGCTCATGGAAAACTGAATTTGCTGCAATATGCAAAGCTGCCTGATTATCACAGAACAATGATGTTGGAGCTCTTTGTGGGACTTTTAAATCCTGTAATATATAGCGCAGCCAAGTGAGCTCCAAACATGTGTTAGCCATAGCTCGATATTCGGCTTCTGCTGATGATCTAGAAACAATGGTTTGTTTCTTAGACTTCCATGAGATGAGAGAGTTTCCAAGAAATACACAATATCCAGTAACTGACCTTCTAGTGGCACGATAACCTCCCCAATCTGAATCACAAAAGGCTTTCAAGGCAAGATTGTTGGAGGCAGGAAAAAACAAACCTTGACTAGGAGTACCTTTGATGTATTTAAGGATCCGTAAAGCAGCATCCCAATGAGGTTTGCGAGGTTGATGCACAAACTCGTACCATATGCTCAACCTTTTCAAATGCATGTCGATGATCTAATGCCCAACTCCAACTTTTAATATCTGTTTCATTTCATTGCAGTGAAATTATTTCTTATGTAAGAGGAGGATATGCAGACCATTCCAAAAGGGACCTTTCTATCTGTGGCAAAACATGGGCGGTGGGAGCAAGTCGTTGAAGCAGATAGGAGGAAGAAAGCGTTTAGGAGTGGTGCCCTAGGTAGTCACGTGCCTTTTCTCAAGGGCGCACACCAAATATTTTGTTTTGCCCAAATCAAAAGGCAAAAATCCCAATGACGACGTTTGGAGTTTTGTGGGGGGAGCAAGTCGTTGAAGCAAGAGAGGAGGAAGAAAGCATATAGGAGTGGTCCCCTACACTATCTACCTATACGTACAGACTAATATGACCCAAAAGTTGTGCAACTTTTGATCTTTTATTTTATTTGGTTGATCCACATTGCAAGGAAGTTGTGCAACTTACTACTTCATCAACCTATCCAAAAAGATAATGCGTGGTGTGAGGAAAAAATATGGATGAGGTGTGATGAGCCGATCCAACCTGTTGATGCGGATTTTTGGATCAACATCACTTATTTAGAGGGGCAAAACCACAACCACACACAATAATAATAAACACATTTTTTTAGTGCTTCATTCACCCATAATTGGGCACTATGTTTATATTTTGTATTTTCATATACGGCATGTACAAATAGATCATCATATATGCTGTAATAGTATATAATTGATTTAAAAAGATTCAGAGATAGGAGATAGGGAATAATAAAATAGGAAGGATAAACAAAGGGGAGAGAGAGAGGACCCCACCAAATGTCCCCAGAGAAGAGAGATACCAAATGTTGAATTTATGCGGCTGAGGCTTTGTATGCATGTACCATTACGATATCATATCATAATTACTTTGTTTTGCCCAAATCAAAAGCAAACCAAATAAAGAATCCCAATGAAAAAGTTCGTTTGGACTTGTGTGTGCGTATGGAACTTAGAAGCTTTGACATACTGAAACAATAAGAATGATACTCCCACTTTCGTGCCCCCACGCCCACCCTAGGGACCTGCATGCTATCCCGACTAATAAGACAGTCTACATCTGCCCACTCCTCTCCTTTTTCTTCCCCATTGAAGATCACACTAATCATCTGCCTCTCCTTTCATGGTTCCCTAGTCTACTAGACTACTTTTTATTACTCTCTCTCATCAGTTTATTGTCCATTTATTTACAAAAATGAACATTGTAACTCATCATAAGCACACATGTATGGTTTTTGGATCAAAAGATGAAAGCTTTCAAGATAATTAACGTAACATTTTAGAACCCATAGGGCTTCTTGATGTGTGTATTTATCATTTGAGTTGGTGTTATTATTTTGATGAAATTTATGGTAAGTTTGGCATTTTTTTAATTTCTTAACTTTTTTTTATCCTAATAAAAAATTCAGAACTCTATGACCCCATAGGGTAACAATCCTGGATCAGCCACTGCTCACAAATACAAGCTAGATGATAGATTTAATTCAACAGGACTAAATCAGGTCAAATAACAAAGCATCATCATACAAAATTAACAAGACGAGCACAACCCAAATTTGTAAATATACTGTAGCAGAAATGAAGACTTGTCACAGACCTGCATGAGTTGGGTGGCACTGTTGAGGGTCTAATTGCAGTCACATGGAAACCAGATTTCAACAAACTCCTGTTCATTGATGATAAACAAAGTTAGATACAGTTGGTATTGGCATAGCAGTTGAAAATATAAAAGACCGACCTCTAGATTGTATGAGTTTCTTCCACCTTTTGTTGTTCACAGTTTCCCTCCTTATTTAGGATAGTTCAGAGAAATTTAGTGACTCAGGAATAGCGCACAGCGTTTTCATTTCAAGAGTTAGAAAATAAAACATTGATTGTGGTTTTCTTTTGAAGATAAAATAAAACTAGAAAAATCTAAAATCTGAATAAAGAAAATGACTCAAGAGTTAGAAAATAATTCATTGGAAAAATAAATAAACAGAGGCGATGGTGTAAAAGATGGACATGCAAAGCTTTGATCGAATGGAGAAGCACTGCATTCCGATCATCTCTGAGGTTTTCTTCAAACAAAAACAAGAAACAGATGGGATGTGATCGTGTTAATGGGAAGGGGAAATGGGAGCTTTTGGTGGCTCCTGCGGCGGATGTGAGGTAATTTATAAGAGACGGGTTGTTAGGGTTTGTAAAGGAGAGGGAGCGAAGTGGGTTGGCCAATCATCACCGTCGGATCAAAGATGGTTTTGATTGTCAAATGTAGGGACAAAACAAAAAAAGTAGGGCTGTTCACGGTTCGATAACCGTGTCTTGGAGGAGTTGCCGACCACCGAACCGGAGGTCATCGGCGCACCTATTTTGGAGACCGCCGCCGCGCCGAGGAGATGCAAGACCGACTACAATCGGCACGCCGAGAAGTCGGTGCGGTTTGGTTTGGTTCGGCGAGCATCGATGGCAGAGGATTGAACTGAGATTAAGGACCACTTCCTGGTTGAGGGTATGGGGAGGAAGAAGAAGAAAAGAAGAAGAAGATGGAGAGAAGAGGGAAAGAAGAAGAAGAAAATGCAGCTATTTATCAAACAAAAAAAAAAAAAAAAAGAAGAAGCAGCGGCGGGAGGAAGAGGAAAGAAAAAAAGATGGAGAGAAACAGAAGAAAGAAGGGATGTCGGCTGGGGTGGGAGAAAAGAAAAAGAAAAGGAGAGTGTGTGGGGCAGGGAAAACCCTAACTTTAAAAAAAAATGTTTAGATTGTAATAAATAATACAATTATACACACATTACACAAGAAGGCACATCAGTCCAGTGGTATTTGGACTTTATATATTAACTGTGAGCAGAGATCGATTCCCCATCATGGCATTTGTCTAAATTTTTAGGCAATTTAATGAAATCGGTCCGGTTCGGGTTTCGCCGGTTTAAAAAAATTCAAACCGGTTCAAAACCGGTTCACACTCGGGTCGGCAGGCTTTCCAACCGATTTCAATAATTTGAATAAAAAAACCGGACCAATCCGCCAAAACCGGTCCGGTTCGGTCGGGTTTTCGGTAATAATGTGCACCCCTAAAAAAAAAGTAGGAAAAAAGAAAAAAAAACGTGTATAGCCGCGCGGCTATACTATTCCATGTTCAAAAATAGGACGCCAGGGTATAGCCGCACGGCTATACTATTCCACTTCAAAAACGGACAAGGCGGCGCGAGAAAGAACAGAAGAGTCCGCGTGAAATTTTTTATTAGGGTTGTAAAACGACGCCGTTTCACTTTCAGCCTTTTTAAAACTGAGGTTACTTTAATTTTTTTTTTTAATTTTTTTAAAAAAACTGAGGTTACTTAAATGAAATGCACGTTCTGTGTTGTTTCTTTCCTTTTTTCTAATGAAATTAATATATTAAGTTAATAATACACAACAGTGTATTGTATATATCAATTGCAGATTCGATTCTACTTACCCTTTTTTTTTCTTTCTAAATTAATATTATTTTAACACATGGACCTATATATATATATATATATTGTATAGTACAACCCTAATTTCTACCCTTACCCAATAATCTCCATCAATTTCAAGAATTCTCTCCTTTTGGTATGAATAAATATTTTATGTTTTGGAATTGATTATTATGCCTAAATGACAATTAGTACTTATATTTGATTATATATTTAAAAGATCGTTAAGAATTAGTAGTACAATTTAATTGTGTTGTATTATTTATAAATTTTTCCTATTAAAATAAATTAATGTTCGAAAGGCTTACGTCTCACATAGCGTGACTAAAACGCCTTGCATCTACGCCTCGCCTTCATCAATAACTAACAAAAAGCCATGCACTTTGCGTAGCTTCACAAGCTCAATCATTGATGCAAAGTCTCCGTCCATACTAAACAAGCTGTAGTGAAAGACAAAAACAATTCATAAGAAATATAACAAATAAAATCAATAGGAACACTTTATATGAACGTGAATTTGATTCCAACTGAAATGATGGTACAGAAAGTAGTTTAAAAATAGTGGCACTTGCCTATCAGTCACGACGACTTTCTTCCTCATTGTGCAACTTGATCTGTCACAACACAAAATGCATTTCTAAGCTATGGACAGAAGGAAGTGCATATCCAATAAGAATAGGCACACAAATTCAAAACAAAAAGTTTAAGACCTACAACAATGCATTAAGGTGAGTCATGTCGCAATGTCTATAGATGAATATCTCTACAAATTTTTGTCGTTCAGCAAGACGAATACCATCTATTATTGACGCATGGTTCAGTGCATCAGAAAAAAATGGCAATTTTTTCATTAGTTAAAGGTGTTTTTCCAGCAGCCAAGGGAGAGCCAACATTTCCCAAAGCTACCATCAACGCCATATTGGCTGAAAATCCTGTGGGACAAAGAAGGCAATCCTAGGGGATAAATTTGAAACAAGATTGCATCAGTTTTCACGTTTGAGCTAAAAAACCTAAAAAAAGGTATTTCAATAAACAGACAAAGTATTTCAATAAACCAGACATAAAGTCTAAAAAAACCACACAATTAAACTTCGTCTAGAAATGAAAAAGGAAATGATGTTCATTGACTGGGAAAGCATGTGTATATTTCTGACAGTTAAAGCTAGCATAGTCTAAATCCAAGTTTCTACCAAATGACCCTTGACACCATGGGCCATGGCCAATAAACAGGAAGAAGAGAATGAATGACAAAGTTCACATAAAGAAGTTAAATCAGCAGAGTATAATGTATAAACAGAGCAGCTCATACCTCTTTCTTCTTTAAGTCTGCAATGCATGACTCGAGTTGCCTATGGTAATCGGTATATCCGCAGATTAAAGCAGAGCCCCTGGGGCCCATCCCATGTTCTAGGGCTGCCTGGTTGAATATAAATCCTATTACATGGTAACTTAAAGATGCAATCTTTACAAAAATTATGCAAAAAAGACAACCTTGGAAGCAGCTTTTCCAATGGTAGGATGTGAGCTCAAGCCCAAATAGTCATTCCCAGAGAATAGTATAAGCTTTCTGAACTTATGGGTACCTTCCTCATCTCCTGTGAATTCCATAAACGTAATGCAAGTTCAAAACGGAGAAAATTCCACAAAAAGCAAATTGGAAAATAGTTGTTGAATTGAGCCGTACCGGAACTGGGAATGTCGTGGAGCCATTTCTGGAACGTGGGTTCAGGAATGTGGACCTCCACAGAGGATCGGCTGCATTTCATCGAACACACGGAATTCATCTTCGACGGGGTTTTGGGCTTCACGGGTTGGTCCATTTTGGAGGTAAATGGGTCTGAGAGAACGGAGGAGTTGCAGGTGTTCAAGTTTCTGAAGAGCTTCTTCGGCCCAATGATCCCACCACCTCAACATCTCAATGCAGCTCACTTCTGCAATTTGCATAGCAGATAGAGAAGAAGCCGGCGGGCGTAGTTGGACTGTTGGAGCGTAACGCCTTGAGCAGAGCTAAAAACTCGGAAGAGGCAGGGTTAACCACGTATGTCCTCAACTGCAAAAGGACCAATTGGCAATTTGGGAATAGTTTCGAAGGATAAAAGACAAGACACGTTGGGGTCAATTCGTGAATAAAGATAGATAAGCAATCCCGTTTTCACCCTGCTAGATTACAATACCATTAAGGCCATTATTGATTTTTCACATCTCATTTGTGTTTTTTTTTCTTTTTCTTTTTGGTCAGAACATTTATTTTAATTTTTTATATTTGGAATATATATGTATTTTTTTCTTACAAATATTCATAAACAATCTGAGAAGACAAATTTCACAGCGATCACTCTACGTATTCAAATTTCATCACTCATTTGCATTGATATAATTGACTATATGCATACATACATATATACATACATATTTTTTTCTTACAAACATTCGTAAACAATATGTAAAGACAAATTTGACAATGATCACTCTTGGACAGAAAATAAATAAAATATTACCATATTTAGTTTATGCCTCTAGTATTATTCTTATGGTAAATTAATTGATTCTTACTAGAGTTATCAAATTTTGGTATCCAAACCAATCAAATCCTAAAGCCTTGCATAACCATTTGAGTCATAGATGCGAAGTTCTTGGAAATCAACACAACAAGAGAGTGCAACAGTGATTCTCTCAATGTCGTCCCTTGTGTGCCTTGCATTCAGTGTCACTCGTAGCCTATATGTCCAAACAAAATTACAAAAAAAGATACAAGAATGTGCACAAACAAACAACATATTACAATAGTATATAGATCTTCATTTTCCTAGGTTTAATGAGTTAGGTTTCAATTTCCAAAGGTACAATCAAAACTAGTAAATGCTATAAACTACTCTTATCGATAAACAAAATCGGGGAAAAAAATTAAAAGAAAAAAAGATCCCAATATATATATAGAGAGAGTATAGCTGATCAACTATACTATTTATTTAAAAATAAAAATAAACATAAAAACCCAGTCAAGCCGTGTGGCTATACTATTATTTTTTAAAAATTTAAAAAATATAGTTTATGAAAAAAACAAAACAGAGCAGCCGCGTATCGCCTTGTTGCCCGTGGCTATACTATTCATATTTCTTTAAAAATAATATAGCCGCGCGGCTATACTATGTACGGAAGAAAAAAAAACAGTCGTAGGCCCGTTCGACGGTTCGATGTGATCGAACGGGAGAGAAGAAAAAGATGTGATCGACGGCAGGAGAAAAAGCTAGGCTTTCTCAGTCCTCACTCGCTCCTCTCAAATGGCAACAAGCAATGGAGTTTGGGAGCGATGGGAGCTCACACTCTTTGAACTCTGTTCCCATTTTACCACAACCCCACCAATTCCTTGCCTTTTTTTGTCTGGTAAGCCTTTCAATTCTCTATTTTCCCATTTCGTTTATTTGGATTTAGACGGCATATAAATAGCGAGAATTTCATAAACCAAAAAGAAAATTTTGATTCTGACGTATTGGGATAGTTGGAACTCGAAGGCATCAATCAGTAGATTTGAAAGAAAAAAACTTTAATCTTCTAGCAAAATATAACCCAACCATTGATTACACATGTTTGGAATTTGATGCAGCCGAAAAAACCAATTCTCACAATGATAGAAATCAGAGAAAAATATTCTGTTTCTTTATAGATAAACATTGTTGGGAGAGAAACGAAGGTTTTTTTATGTGTAGTGAATGTATAATTGTATATGCCAACGTGTATAAAATTTTCTCTGGTTATGCGTTTTTAGTGTCTCGTGGTAGAATTGTAAATTTAAGGACTTGTAGGAATTGATTTTGGTGTAGTTTGGAGGGAGTTGCTCTGGGGAGCTTTTGCTGGGCCATTTGTGGCAGGGATGGGGTGTATCTGGTTGAAACCGAAATACTGGGGCCAATCTTTTCTTTGTGCAAGTCAGGTATGATAATAGAGTAAAGATGTTATAGATGTAACATCCATGGCTGATGGTTACAACTTTTCTCAAAAGAGACAACATTGTGCTTTTGTTTGGACTTTTTGCAGGGATGGGATGCAACAAATAAAAGACAGTTTCCCTCTTCTTCCATTCTCATGGGAATTGGGAAATTGAACTTGTGGATCATTACTTTCTTCCCCTTCTGTATGCACATTCACTGGAATACGGGAACCAGCAATTTCTCATGTTGGTGCTGCTTCAGTTGCAAATCAGACTATTGAGGGTCCCTAGTTAATGTATAAATCCCTATATTATTGGACTGTTGGAACTAAAAAAGAGTGGTGCATTATTCCATAGTTATGATGAGAGTCAATGGGGAGAAGAAAATAAATATTATTTTGACTGTATTTTCTTATCATTTTGAAGAAAAATCTACAGAAACACTTAATCACATGTGCAATATGGAAGCTGCAAGATTTGTGTTGGGTGCCTGCACAAGCAAACTAATTTCTCATCTTAATTTCTTGTACAAAGCAAACAAGCGTATATGTCGTTGGCAAAGTCAGCAAAATGGAGATTTGGAGTTGGAGGTGTTTAACTGCTCACCAACTTGCTTTTGAGGAACAATATATGTACTTTGAATTGATCAAGAATGCAAGTCATTCTCACAGTTGAAGTTAGGTCATCTAATAATAGGAATCCTCCAACATATAAATCTATAAAATGAAATCCCCCTCTTATGTTTTATCTCATCTTACATTACATTCTCATTCTCCATTGAAATGGGAAAGCTGCTTCCAGTTCTTGCTTTTGGTCTTGCTGTCCTTGGATTTGCATTGACATGCACTGCTACAACTTACACAGTGGGGGACACCTCTGGCTGGGACATAAGCACTGACCTCAGTACATGGTCCAACGACAAAAAATTTTATGTTGGCGATATTCTCTGTAAGTGAAAGTTATACTATACATTCAATTTGAATTAAGCAACTTGTTGTCTTTAATTTTTGTTTTGTTTTGGGTTTGTTTCTGGTTGCAGGGTTCCAATACTCATCATCTAATAGTGTTAGTCAAGTGAGCAAAGAAAGCTTTGAGAGTTGCAACACAACCAAAGTTGTGGAATCATATACAGGGGGGAACACAACGGTCACATTGACGCATCCTGGTGATTGGTATTTTGTGAGTGGTAACAAGCTATACTGCTTGGGAGGGATGAAGCTCCATGCAGAAGTAGAAAACAACCAAGCTTATGCGCCGGCTGGCGCACCACAGGCAGCAACTGGTTCCGGCCAAGGGGATCATCTTCCACAACCTACTTCTAAGAGCAACATTCCTACTTCAAGTGCATTCATCAACTGTGGACCGAATGTCTTTCTGTTGGCTATCTTAGGCCTTATAGCTTCCATGCTATATACGGATGTTAAATTGTGAGTCCTTGTATGAATATATATAGCAGCTGCAGCTATATAGCCTGCAGTTTTTGAAATAACACAAATTTCCAAGTCTCTTTAGTTTTAGTGTGCTAATTTAGTATATGATTGTATTAAATCAGGAAAGAGAGAATCTTTGATGAACAATAGATATAAACTTTCGTTTTCTACACAAAGAAACGGGTCAAATACAACTATAATTTATTTTATTATCATCTAATCTGTAGTTGTAGCTACATTAACCACTACCAACAGCATGTCATTTTGGTTAAACCGACATTGCTTACATCAAACCAAAGCTTTGACTTTCTTCTACTCGCCAACTTGTAAAGAAAGAAAACCCAAAAAGAGTTGTAAAAGAAACAGAAACCCTGAACAATGCTTTGGAAAACCTTAATATTATTTGGTCTCTTTTTTTCTTGATGACAATGTGATTGTGAAAGTAATGGTCTCCCAACATTGTTTAAAAGAGGAAACTTGTTGCTTTTTCTTAAACAACCTGTATTTTCCGTTCTTATCCTCCCGCGGTCCCACCTCATGTGTGTGGGTGGGTATGTACCCGCCAAGTTGCCAGAAGGCGCCACACAATTCCTAAACAGAAACAAAACAATTAAGTTGAAGAAAATCTTGGAGAAGAAGACCAGCATTTTAATTTCCATAGGCCAAAAAAGAAAGCAAAATATTCTGTATAATTTTCATTTTCGATTAAAAAAATAATTGTGAATAACTACCTCCCAAGACGGAACTCTCACTTTAGCCCGAAATAAAACCAACACGTCACACCCGAAAATGCTCAAAACCTTAGCCACCATCTCCACCACTTCACCACTCATCTCCACCGCCATAACCACCCCTAAACTCTCTCTCTCTAAGCCCTTCCTTTCTCTCTCTCAACTCCAAAACAAACCCACCTCCCCCTTCCCACAAACCCACAGACCCATCTCTTTCAACAAGCCCCAAATGAACCTCCTCAACAAGCTCGGCTTCGGCCCAAAGACCTCCGACCCCACCTCCGATTCTTCCTCCATCCCTCTGGGCCCAGACGACGACGTTGCGGCGCCAGGTCAGCAGTTCGCCCAGTTTGGAGCCGGGTGCTTCTGGGGTGTCGAGTTGGCCTTTCAGCGAATACCTGGCGTGACCAAGACAGAGGTTGGGTACACCCAAGGGTTCTTGCACAACCCGACTTACGAGGACGTGTGTACGGGCACCACCAACCACTCTGAGGTCGTGAGAGTGCAATACGATCCTAAAGAGTGTAACTTTGAGACTCTGCTTGATCTCTTCTGGTCCAGGCATGACCCCACCACGCTCAATCGCCAGGTGAGTTGTTCTGAATTTTTTCTCTGGAAATTTTTTATTATAAATTATTTGGGTTGTTTTGTTGGGGTTTCGTTGGTTATTGTGGGAATATGTTCAATTGCTTGTGTGATAGGATCAAGATTTGATTTTAGTAGTTTGGTGGTTGATATGTTTTGTGTGTTTTATTGATGAATTAGGGACAAAACTTTGATTGATAATTTTTGGGCTTTTCTTGTTTTGCCCTGTAGATAACTGTGTCAGTGTGAGAGAAAAGGAGATTGTAATTGACTGCACAACTTCTTGTACTGAAGCAGTTAGTCCTACTTTACTCATCAAATTGAACTGTTTTTATGTTGTTAGAATCCAATGGGTTGCATGTAGCAGCATTGTCAACGAGATCTCAGTTTTATGATTGCAGATCATTGGGATTGACCGGACATTAGTATTTTCAGAGATATGATTACTGAAACAGTAGCCTTGCTTATGATTCTCTTTTTCATAAACCCTAAATCCCTCTTTCTCTAAATGGTTTGTCTTTTGTTGGCTCTTATTTTCTCATATCCATAAGCTACACCTAGAGATTGATTTTATATTTGTAGATTTGTCCTGATTGTTCTCATAGAAATTCGAAATATGTGATATTTGATTTTCTTAATTAGAGTGTGATCCAAAAAGTACATTTGTCTTATGGCTGAAGTAACCATAAGGGTTTTTCCATATGTAATGGGCAGGGGAATGATGTGGGAACACAGTACAGATCTGGAATATACTTCTATACGCCTGAGCAAGAGAAGACAGCACAAGAATCCTTGGAACAACACCAGAAGAAAATGAACCGAAAGATTGTTACAGAAATTCTTCCGGCCAAGAAGTTCTACCGAGCAGAGGAGTATCATCAGCAGTACCTTGCTAAAGGGGGCCGTTTTGGTTTTAAGCAATCTACTGAGAAAGGATGCAATGATCCAATCCGATGCTATGGCTAATTTATTTGCTACTGCCTTGAAAGTAAAACCGTACAAGCCATACCCGGTATTGTTCATAGGTTGGTGCTTTTGTCCATATGGGTGACTTGTAACTAGCTTTTACGTACTCTGTCTAGTAAGTAAGCATGGTGTTTCCATGTTGTGAGCTTGGATCTGTAATAAATTGTAGTGTTGCATGAACCTCATCTACGACCATTGGAAAATTTGGAACTTAGCTGTTGTCTCCACTGTTTTGTTTTAGTTATGTCTGGCAATTCGTGTTGTTAGCACTGTTACCTGTTCCAGGTAGTCCTCTGGTTTATTATTATTAGGGCCAAAGCTATGCAATCTTTTCTCTGCAAGTCAAACTAATAGCACCAATTGTCTTGTTGCATCATTGTGGTTTCCAATTCTATTATGGAGCTTTTGAAGCTTTTAACCTGATCAAATTTAATTTCTCTAAGATTGTTGGAAGGAGCATTGTGTGCTTGGAGGCCAGTGAGGCTAGACACTATATTTGAGCCATGTCAACCAAAAGAACACATAGCCTCACATGGTCGCATACGGCATGCCATAGTCTGCCCCAGTAAGGACGGCATGCCCTAGCCTGACCTAGTCGCGACTCGTGTATAAAGGTGAAGAAGGCGAAGGGACCATAGAAGATAGTCTCATGCATGATGCATCTGGGTAAGGAGCTAGCTACCCTGCAAAATCAGAACCTAAAAGTTAACTGGAAGCATGGATAAGTAGAAACATGGACTACATGTTTCATTAACATGTGAGCACGGGCTTGCTAAGATTCTGAATAAGTGGCATGTTTCTGTATGACCAATTCACACATTTCTCCCTCTATTTGTGGAAAACTCTATTCAAAGTGGATAGGTACAAGGTCACATTCTAAGGTACATGAGACCCACTCCTACCCCATAAATGTAAGGTATGAAAGCAGCCACAGAGAGAGAAGAGAACCCCATCTAATCTAAGTGGTGTTCAATTCAATCACAATAAAGACTAATAAAGGATCCAGTCGCTTATATTTGTATTTGAGTAAGTATTAGTAGAATTGGTATGCTTGAGAAATCATGTGTTTGCTATTTGAATTAGCAATTAGGTGTTGGTTCACATAAGAAAGAACACATGGTTGGTGAAGGGGCCACATTCTTTGCCCTTCCCTTCCCTTCCCCTTTCTTTCATTCATGAGTCTTAATGTCTTAATATTATAAGCATCCACAAATTTACACTCCACCCCTGTTGTATATATAGTAAGAAAGACTAACTTTGCAAATTGCACCTATAAAATAAACATTAAATAATACGTTGTGTTGAAACATTTATTAAAGATTTTATGTTCGATTCCCCCTCCTCAATCTCGCTAATATCGAAAATACATTGTTTTGAAACATTTGACAGTTTTATAGATGCATGCGTACAAGTTACAAATCATCCAAATTATAAACTAAAATCAAAACTGAGTATGAAATCAACATGCGTTTTGAATAAACGTGTCGGCACGGCACGGTCATTGCAGAGATCAAAACAGTGAGTGCCAGCATGTTAATGAGCACGAACAGACTTCCCTTTTTCTTTTCCTCTCTTTCTTTCTTTCTTTGGTCAATCCTCTTGCTACGTACCCTCTTTGTTTATTTAACAATTATTTGATATCAAATCAGCATCATGGTCGATCGTAATTGGGCTGGCTTGGCCGGGTCTACATGAAACTTGAAGGCAAGATTCTTTTTTTTTGTTTTTTGCTGCAATAAATCATTCATCAAGTTTGGTGGTTATTGTTAGGAATTACTGCAATCACACTTCACAAATAATGGGGTCATCATATTATTTTATTATATATATATTGATGAAAGCTTGTTGCCATTTTTATATTTTGATTTCTGTTTGCTTGGCAAGGGAAGCTGGCAATTGTTGTGATGATTAAAGTCCATATCCACAGTGGAAAAAGTCAGTTTTGTTCAGAATTATTGTAGCTGGAAATTACATAGGAAATTGGCCTATGTCTTCACCTTTACTTCTAAAGATTATGCCATTTTAAACCACCCCAACCCCTAAAGACAAAGAAGTGAAGTGAGGGACAGCATGAACTTTATTGGATTTAGAGTACACATTAAAAAGACTTTGTGAACCATTTCCATTTCCCCTAATTCTCATTAAAATTTATCTTCGCACTCAAGTTTGAATTCATTCTCTCGCTTTTTTTTGGATAAAAAAAGAAAAGAAAATACTCACTAAAGGCACTTGAAATTCTTCTTCAACCATCATGAATCATGATCCATCACAAATCCCGATTATTTCACACACAAAGCACGTATTTTCTTTCACAAGTCAAGTCATTAGCCCTACTTTCGTGCCCCCACAAACAACTTTTCTGTCACCAGCCAGCAGCAGCAGCTAAACCCATTATTTATGCCTAACATAAACAATCAATGATCACTAAATCTTTTCTAATATATAAACCAGAAGGAAAATGCAAACCCTTCAGACACGTAACAACACAAGCGCATCCTAATATTACATATATAAATAAGAAGCAGCCAACAGAAACAGGGCAAAACAATGGCTGAGCAGGTTGAGAGCACTAGCCCAGAGGCCATGCCAAGAATGATAGACTTCATGTCCTCAGTTCTCGAGCGAGTGGCCAAATCCAACGATCTGAGCCGGGGGTTCGAGCCGACCCAGAGGCTGTCGCTTTTCCACAGCCTCACCACACCCACCATTACAATCCACAGCTACCTCCAGAGGATCTTCAAGTACGCAGATTGCAGCCCCTCTTGCTTCGTCGTTGCCTACGTCTACCTCGACCGCTTCACTCAGACGCAGCCATTGTTGCCCATCGATTCTTTCAATGTCCACCGCTTGCTCATCGCCAGCGTCTTGGTCTCTGCAAAGTTCATGGATGACATGTAAGCCAGCCTTCTGTTTTAGTTTCTTGAATTTGGGTTCTTTTTCTTTTTCTACTTGCTTGAAATGCTTGATCTTCTTGGTAGGATTTTAGTTCTGGGTTTTGCATAGTTAATCAAATGGGTTCCTTCTTCTATGAGTTTCAAGATTCAAGCTTTTTACCGAACATAAGTTTAATTTATAGTTTCATGGTCTCTTTCTCTGTGTGATTATATAATTTGGTCATCTTCTTGTTCAGTTCTTGATTGTTTTGATTGAAACGAATCTCTTTCTCTTTTTTTTTCTTTCTGTTCTGATGAATTATGTCACATATGCACATAAAACAAGTGATGGAAGACTTGGAAAACAAGTTGGTTCCATGTTCTTCCAAAATGAGGTTCATATCCTAATTGTTAATGGCATCACCGTTTGGAAGCAACCACCGCCAAAAAGAGGGAAAGAGATGAGGCATGTGAAGGCCTCCGTCTTTTACTAGACAAAGCCCACCTAAGATGTGGTGTAAATTCCATGCGAGCATGACAGATAATCTGTCATTATTGATGCTAATGACAGCTCAATCAAAGGCCATGTGGATTTTTAGCCAAAGTGTCAATCATTTGCCATAACACAGACGCTTTGCTTCTCAGCTCACTCTCTTTGTTTGCAATGCCAGCAAGAATGTGAACCCATGTGGTGGTCCAATATGACAGCAATGATATGATAGTTGTATATTTAACTTATGGGTTTAATTAAATTAATTACTTTAATTATTCATGCTCCTTGGTTAGAAATATAATTAATCATTTTTATCTACATGGGTTTGTTTGTTGCAGATATTACAACAATGCCTATTATGCTAGAGTTGGAGGGATCAGCACAGCAGAGATGAACCTTCTTGAGGTGGACTTCTTGTTTGGTTTGGGCTTCCAATTGAATGTCACACCTGCAACTTTTTACACCTACTGTTCTTATCTTCAAAGAGAAATGTTGTTGCAATCTCCCCTGCATGTAGCAGAATCTCCTCTGAATTTGGCCAGACGTCTAAAGCTTCATTGCTCCTTCAATGAAGATGAATCCGCCCATCAAAAACAGCTTGCTGTTTAGTCCCTGTCTATTTCTCTCTGTTTTGTAAAAAAAAACCAAAAAAGATTGGGAAATGTGGGTTTATGTATCACTTTTGGTCTATATGGGCTTAAGCCCATTTGACCTGAGCTTGGGGTGTCAAAAGAAGAAGTCAAAGCTTTCTCGCTTGAGCCCAATCAAACTTGTAATGCGCTCAAGCTTTTGATTTGCTTGTGCCCGCATATTTCCTATGTACTTTTCTTCTGATTTTGACTTTTGTTCATAAATTTTAGTCTCTCTTCTTTTTGGTACTCTCGAAATGGTGGTTTGTTGTACATATGGAGAATTTGTCTTTGCAGTTTGGTTATGAGTCACGCAGCGAAACTAACCGGTAACAAAGAGATCTTAAGCGGTTGCCTTAGAAGTTGTGGAATCCACAAGACAATTAAGAGAAACTCTTAAGTTCACTTGAATGGTTCTACCAAATTAGGGTTTGGAAAGAAACCAAAAGGAAAATTATGAAAATAACCATAAAACTTTAAATCTATTTTTAACCTAATAAACGATATTAAAATGCCAAATTTCCCTTATATCGCGGCAAAGCAATATAGCTTGACTTCGTCTTGTCACTCCCGTATCATGAATTCAGACACCAGAAACTTCAAAAATATTATTCACAGTAAAATCACTATTCAACCAAGAATTCCGTCTTGCGTCAAGTTAACATGAATCCTACTTTAGATCAAAGAGTGACCGATATTCTATTGAGTATTTCAATTGTGCAACCTCAAAAAAATAAATTTTTTAATTATGCGTTCTCATGCATAAGGGAAATTAGTTTATCTACTTAATGTTCTTGACACAACGGTAAAGAATCTTGTAAATTAAAGCCATGAGGTCTAATATATGATGGGGAGAGTAGATTATATTGCAACTCATCAAACTATGCACTACATGAACATATTAAATATACTAGCAATGCTTTTATTACATACATATAAAGCTTACACAACACGTGTACCTAGCTGTAATACTTATCATAGTGCACCGGGCCTGGAGGTCATGACAATCATGAACTACTCCCAGCCAATATCTCAGCCATGGTTGTTTCCTCCTCCTCCCCCTCCTCCTCCCCCTCCTCCTCCTCCACCCCAACCAGCCCCGCCCCCGGAATTTCCATAACCAGACCCATAGCCACTACCGTGACCTCCACCACCCCCAGAGCCAGACCCAGAGCCAAACCCAAAACCAGACCCCCTCCCAAACCCAGCGGGTGATCTCCCAGACCCAGACCCATAACCCCACCCGCCTCCTGGGGTGGCGCTCCACCCCCAGCTGTAGCCCCAGTTGGGACCATGGGCCGCGCCGCTACCGCTGGTTGGCGGCCCGTTCTCCGCATTCAGCTCCGAAGACATGTCCTTAGAACCACTGCCCTTTCTTCCACCAAAAACAGCAGCACTAGAAGCCCAAGAAAAGAAGCAGCAGAGATGAAAAGGAAGAGAAAGAGAGTGAATTGAAATGAATTGAGATGCATTTTTGAGTTGGGTGTTTTGTGTGTGTTTGAATTGAAGCTTCTCTTGTAGTTGGAAAAGCTAGCATGAGATTGTGCATGCTATTTATAATGGGGGGTGATGTGGATGCGCACAATAGCGCACCCGTGACACGACATTAAATACCTAATGATAACTGAGTCTCAGAGAGAGAGAGAGAAATTAGGATATGCTTTTGCCTATGCACAGCTATGTTTATGTGGTTCAAAGGTCGGCAGTTGGGACAATTTTACCCACAATTTACAAAAACCAACCACTAAAACGACAGCACAGATAAAACCCACCCACCACCGCCTTTCAAGTTTCAACTAACTAAATTATAAACATGATCAAGTGACCTTATTCTGGGACTTGGAGGAGTAGAAATTAACGTGGGATCTTTTACAAAGTTGGCTTGGTGCCAGGGAGGGCACGTGGCAACGTAAGCATGCAAGGCAAACAGCACCATTGCAATTTGCTTTTAGTTGAGATGAGACTTGAGAGAGGGGAGAGAGAGAGCAGAAGGAAAAAAGGGGCTTTTGGGCTCTGTTTAAACGGTGTAGTGGCTGCAATAACTCTGACTTTCCACATTCTTGGGTTGGAGTTTGGATGAAGTTGAAGCTCATCCTGATCCTTTAAAGAAAGAGACTTGATCTCGACACGTGTACGTCAGATCAGTGATGTCAAAGTTTGATGGGGATCTAAGGGTGGACTTGGGGCTTTGACAGTGGGTGACTCGGTTCTGGTTGTGGGCACGTGACAAAATATCTTAGACATATGGAATGGAATGGACCACATTGTCACTTCACTTATTCGGGGAATTTGAGGTAAATATTAAGCAAAAAATGTAATGTAATGTAAAGATGACTACATACAATACAAGGTTACCTCAAACCAAGTTGAGCGACAAATTTCTTGTTAGCTGGGACTTTGGTTTTGTCTGGAATCTAGAGAGCAATGTTAGTGCCATGCACATATTTTGCACATGCTAAAAGCTCCAATTGGGCCCAATCCCCATTAGTTTGCTATATATATGATCGGAGCTTTGTGCTTATTTTTTTTAATTTATATATGGGCCTTTAAATGTAGGGCAGTCCTTGCGGTGACGCATTTGCCAACGCTAAAATGGGCCTAGTGATCCACAAACACCACTACACCATTGAGGACATATCATATTATTATATCATCAGATATTCTTTCATTCGGATATTTCAACGTTATTAAATGGAGAGAAGTAGGGAGGGAGATAAAAAATACATTGCGTTCGAACAATAATAACATACGAATAACCACATAAGAGAATCTCTGATTATATCATATCAAATCAACGGTAAAAAAACATTATGATTGATGGAATGGAATGACCAAATTGAAAAGTGGATCCAATCAGTTTAAAAAACATTCTCTTTGGCAAAATTCCTATTGTAGTGGGTCACTAATCGAATCCGGATCGAACAGGTTGAACCAATAACTTAGCCACATGACCCAGCCCATGCGAGAAGCACACTCAAGATTGAACCTATTGAGTTTCTATCAAAGTATACAAATGAACAATTTTCTTGCATATATTGTTTCGGCAAACTCTGATGCCAAGTTGAGATTAAACGACCACTAACATCCAAGTTTGCAATAGCGTTTCACAACAATTTGGGCCAATTTGAACACAAAGCAGAATATTAGATTGCCACAACGAAGCATTGACCAGGACCCATCGCATGAATTTGAATTTGAAATCGAATACAAATTAGTTTTTGTAGAAATGAAATCGTTGGGTCTCACCGAATTGTTAATGATGATTTGAAATTACACTGAAAACATCAAAAAACAATTCTTTACAATTCATACACAGCAACCAAGTTCATACTCGTCCGCTGAAATCTCCAAATCAAAACCCTGCACAAGTTCAAAAATCATAGGGGAATATGTGTGTTATTATAAAATAAAAAAGGGCTATGTGAAGTGAATACAAGAACAAATAAGAAAAATCATCATCAGAATGGAAAGTTGTTCTCATCCACAGCAAAATTTATGCTGTGTAGGAAGGTGTCCTAAGATTATTCCATATCTCATCAAATGATGAACACATCTGACTAACCCATCAGAACAATTTTGATATGACACAAAAACACAAAATCAAAAGCAAAACAAGAGAAGAACAATCAACTTAGATTCAGAAGTGTATCAGTTAGCATCACTCGATATTGAATATCTCAGATCAAGTGTTGGATAATATGATTGCTTCATCCCAATCTATGATCCATGACTAACTAGAATTCAAAAACAGAGAGAAAAACAGCAATTACAAACATCAGACAAAAAGTCTCAAGTGGGAAAGTGAAATTAACTCAGTGGTGGCGATATAATAATTAGGTTCGATTCTGCCAGCAATTTTCCTCAACTTTAACTCAGAAGAGGGAGCTTGGTATCCTCATAGCAATTTCCTTTCCCACAAAAATTTATAATTAAAAACAATTTTCACAGAAAATCATAAACTAAAAAAGCATACAAATTTCTAGGCAATCAAATGAGAAAGGGAAAGAGATGGCTCAGTTCAGCGGGGTTGTCGACACGCAAACTTCTCTATGAAAGAGAAGCCTGCATTCCGGTCTGTTGAGCTTGAATTTCATTGGGTCATCACCGCCATCTCTTTCTCTAATCAACTCATTTCAAACAAAAACTAGAAGTCGATACATTGAAACAATTACAGGGCAATTTGGAGGCTGGGAGAGTGAAACTAAACCCTAGATGAAGATAAGGGGCGGGGTTGACTGTGGAATGCAGTCGTTGGGCATCGTTTTATAGAGGCAGAGCTAGGGTTTTCGGCATTCAATGGGCCAATATTATCAACCAAACGCGCAAACTGGGCTTTCAAAAATATAACACTCAACCCAAAACTCAATATTTCTTTTCTGTTTTTTTTTTTTTTTTTTTTTTTTTTTTTTTTTTTTTTTTTTTTCTGTATTTTTTTGTATTAATAGATAATAGAAACAATTTATTTTAATTAGTTGTTATGTTTTAATTATTATTTGCTTATTAAATAATTAGTATTTAAATATATTTTTAAAGAAAAATTTTAAAATTTTAAAAATTATTTATTAAATAATATAATTTGAGAAATACTTAAAACATAATGACTAATGACAGTAATTATACAGTATAGCCGGTCGGCTATACTTTATGAACAGAAAATTTTGAAAGTCTTGCCGCGCGGCTGTAGTCTTTAAAACGAATGCATTAACAGTATAGCCGCTCGGCGATACTCCATAAATAGAAAATTTTAACCATATAGCCGTGCGGCTTTACGCTTTAAATAGAATACACTAAACGTATAGCCGCCCGGCTGTACTCTATAAATAGAAAATTTTGACTGTATAGCCGGTTGGCTAGACTTTATTTTTTTTCCCTAAAGGCATCAGCACATATTGTTTTATATCTGAAGAGTTTAAGCAAGAAAGAAAATGAAGGTTGGCATTCATGGATTAGAGAGGAAGAAACGGAAGAGAGAGGAGGAGTGATGGAGGAGTAACCAAGTAGAAATCAAGAAAAGAGTGGAGAGAGAAGTTGCAGTCCCATTTCTGCTTGGAGTCCCACATCGACTGCAAGAATAAACTTGTTTAATCCTTTAAGACAGCCACTGGAGGTTTGGAATAGGTGGCCAGGCCACTGGAGGTTTTGAACTTTCAAAACCGTTCACAGCAGTTCTTTTATGTTTGGAATAGGCACTGACAAATACATATTTATTAATCTTTTCCTTTTCTTTCTGAAAAAAATAAAACACGGGTTTGCTTTGGTATTTTGATGAAGAAGAAGTACATGGTTGATAATAAAAGACGAGACAGTTTAAAGCTTGTAAGCAGAAGAGGCCTCAGATACATTTCAGTTTATCATTACCGGGAGCTTTAGTTTTAAACCATAATATAGTTTACTAATTTAGTAGAAAGAAATACAATTTAGTCTAATTAGCAAAATGCCAAAAACCAAAATGTAACAAAAATACCATTACAAAATATGAAAATTACAACATATGCCATTTTCAGTATTTAGTTTTAAACCAAAGCTGAAAAACGACATCAAACCAAAACTGAACCAAAACGACATCAACCGAAACCAAAATTGAATCACAACCCATTCACGCGACCTTTCAACTTCACCTCCAGAAACCTCCAGACCGCCAACGATCATCGAAGACCACCAACGATCGAAGCCGATTCTTCATCTCAGTTTCTGGTTTTGGTTTTCTGCATCTCAGTTTCTGGTTTTGGTTTTGGTTTTGGTTTTGGTTTTCTGCATCTCAGTTTCTGGTTTTGGTTTTTTGCAGTTTTCTGCATCGCAGTTTCTGGTTTTGGTTTTCTGCAGTTTTCTGCATCTCAGTTTCTGGTTTTGGTTTTGGTTTTGGTTTTGGTTTTCTGCATCCCAGAATCTGCATCTCAGTTTCTGGTTTTGGTTTTGGTTTTGGTTTTCTGCATCTCAGTTTCTGGTTTTGGTAGAAAGAAATACAATTTGGTTTTCTGCATCTCAGTTTCTGGTAGTTCTACTCTTCTCTTGCCCACCCAATTCCTCATCTGGGTAGCCTTTACTCTTCAAATTGGTGAGGTTGAAGGCGAAGGAAAGAACAAAAATCAAATTGTAATTAAATAAAAACTGCAATGCAGTTTCCAATACTGCAATGCAGTTTCTAGTTTCTAAAAGTCCGAGAGAGAGAGAGAGAGAGAGAGAGAGAGAGAGAGAGAGAGATCTAATCTGATCAAAAAGGGAGACCAATAAATATTTGATAAAAAGGGTATAATTGTCTTTTCAGTGATTAATATAAGGTGGGCCAATGAACTGAGCCTCCTCTTTGGCCTAATCCAAAATACATATTCTTTTATGGGTATTAAAACCCAAACCAAAATACCTAATGTCTCAAATCCAAATTACTAAAGTTAATCGTGTCTAATTCCTAATTTTCCTTTTTATCTTTGGGTGTTAAGAAAAATAAAGGGAAATGCCGTTCACTCAAAATTCTGTTTCCCCAAAAACCAAAGCATTTATGTATTTTCCATCGCTCTCTTCAAATGTTAGGTAGCTTTTACACGGGTGCTCTCCACATTCAGTTTCAGTGCTCAATTTTCTTTTTAATTTTTTGTATTCTTTTTTAAAAAATTTGTCTTCACTTGCCTCGTTCCACACACACAACTAAACTCAGAGAGTTGTTCTCCGCTTTCTTTGGAACTAGTGAAAGCTGAAGAAAAAAACAGAGCTCTCTGCTTTCTGTTTTCTGGGTGCTTCTTAGAAAGCGAGAGAGAGATAGAAAGACATGCTCTGTTCGGGTCGACTTTTGGCGGTTTAGTTTCCAGCAAACCGGTATTTTCCGTACAATTTACAGAGCTCCAGCTCCGGATTCAGCTACGCAAGCCGCAAATCGAGCTCCAGATGGCGATCAATGGCAGCGCGGCGATACTCTATAAATGGAAACTTTAAACGGTATAGCCGAGCGTTTATACTCTATAAGTTGAAAATTTTAAAAGTATAGGCGCGCGGCTTTACGCTTTAAATAGAACTAACGGTATAGCCGGCTATACCTTTAAGCAGAAACTTTTACAAGTATAGCCGTTCGGCTATACGCTATAAACAGAAACTTTTAATCCCGTGTGGCTATACTGTATAAATAGAATATTTAAACGTATAGCCGCCCGGCTATACCCTTTACATAGCATAATCAGAATTTCTCTTCTTTAATTACTTTAGTAGTTGTTATGTTTTTATTATTATTTACTTGGTGAATAATTAGTATTTAAATATTTTATGGAAAAAAAATTAAAAAATTAAAAACTATTTATTAAGTAATATAATTTGTGAAGTTAATTAAAATATTTAATAGTAATTATTCACTAAAGAAATAATAATTAACAAATAATTACTAATGAAAGTAATTAAATAAGGCTAAGAGATGGCAACGGGTTGACTCAAAAATCATGATTGACGCTCTTTGTAATCAAACAACTCCAGATGTGAAGAGGCCTGGTTTCTTTTCATTGGCATATGATGGCCTCATAGTTTAACATGGTTGATCATAAGAGACGCGACAGTTTAAATCTTGTTAGCAGAAGAGGCCTCAGATACATTTCAGTTTATCATTATCTCATACAAATGAGATACTCAAGCAATGTAGGCAAAATATGTTTAAATCATCATTGGCCTCACCTAATATATAACTAAAACATTGATTGTGGTTTTCTTTTGAAGATAAAATAAAACCAGAAAAATCTGAAATATGAAATCTGAATAGAGAAAATGACTCAAGAGTAAGAAAATAATTCATTGGAAAAATAAATAAACAGAGGCGATGGTGTAAAAGATGGACATGCAAAGCTTTGATCGAATGGAGAAGCACCGCATTCCGATCATCTCTGAGGTTTTCTTCAAACAAAAACAAGATACAGATGGGATGTGATTGTGATTGTGTGAATGGGAAGGGGAAATGGGAGCTTTTGGTGGCTCCTGCGGCGGATGTGAAGTTATTTATAAGGGACAGGTTGCTAGGGTTTGTAAAAGAGAAGGAGCGAACGCGCGTTTTGAGTTTGACTCCTTCAAGTGGGTTGGCCAATCATCACCGTCGGATCAAAGATGGTTTTGATTGTCAAATGTAGGGAACCCGGTTCGACCAAAAAAAAAACAAAGGGAAAAAAAAAACCCCCCCGCGTATAGCCGCGCGGCTATACTGTTACATTTTAAAAATAGGAAAACCTTAGTCTAGCCGCTCGGCTATACTATTTATTTTCAAAAAAACATTAGAAAAACTACGTATATCTATTTCTTTACAAATATAGAAAAACCGAGTACAGCCACTCGGCTATACTATTTCTTTAAAATAAAAACGCGTATAGCCGACCGGCTATACCATGCCTTTAAAAAAATAGAAAAAACCGCGTATAGCCGCTCAGTGATACTATTTCTTTAAAAAAATTAGGAAAAATCAAGTATAGCGAACGGCTATACTATTCCTTTTTAAAAAATTTAAAAATCGAGTCGGCTGTACTATTTCTTTTTAAAAAAATTAAAACCGAGTATAGCCTCGCGGCTATCTCAGAGTCGACGACATCCCTAGGGCTTGCCACCTTAGCCATGGCCCCATCCTTACTGCTAACATGGACCGGTGAGTGAAACTCAAAACTCCTCCTATTTTTTTCCTTTATTAATTTCTAATTTGAACTTTACTTTTCTCCTACTTTCCTAGCAACCAAACAGATGTCCTTGCGTGTTATGGTCTCTTTGATTGCTTAATCTTAATGATTGGAACGAATTTTTTGGTATGCGCTTAGGTTTCGCCCGTTGTTCAATGCGTCGCCGAGGTCGAATTTTCTTGTTGTTCATAGAGAAGACGTAGCAAACGGCGGCGGCTTGTTGTTCATTGCATGAAATGGGGGCTGATTAGTTTCACCAAGAAAACCGAGAAGCTCGATCACTATAAGATGGTAATCGCAGTCACATTTGTGGTTGATGCTTTCAAGTGATGGCGGTTCAAATTTGTTGTTTTTCTTAAAATTTCAATCTTGATTTTCCATATAAGCAAGCTTGGATTGCGTTGAGATGTGATTCGAGTTTTAAAAAAACCGGGTATAGCCGTTCGGCTATACTATTTCTTTTAAAAGTAATTAGAAATACCGAGTATAGCCTATTTCTTTAAAAACAATTTAAAAGCCGGGTATAGCCGGGGGCGATACTATTTCTTTAAGTAGATAGAAAAACCAAGTATAGCCGGGCGGCTACACTATTTCTTTAAAAGAATTAAAAACCGAGTATAGCCGCCCGGCTATACTATTTCTCAAAAAACAATTTTAAAAACCGAGTATAGCCCAGTGGCTATATGATTTCTTGAAAAAAAAAATATTTGAGAAAACCTAGTATAACCGCTGGGCCATAGTATTTCTTTTAAAAGAATTATAGAATCAGGTAGTAGCTATAAAGGGCTCATGAATTTGTTTGGAAGGATTAAGCTTCAGCATATATATAGAGAGAGGAATGCTGTGGCGGATTGTTTGGCTACTTGGAGTCACAACTTGAATATGGGCTGCTGCTTTTTCGAGGAGAGTCCTGGGGTTTGGTCTGGGGGTTTTCCCCCTTTCTTGATAAAAGAAAAACATATGGAATCTCTTAGCGCTTAGTGAAGGGCCTTAATCTTTATCAGTTAGTGCTCTTCCTCGTGGAACTGAGAGGAAGCATCGTAAGGGATATGAGGAGGTCATTCCCCCAACACCAACAGCACAAATGAAAACCTGGGGAAAAGCTGGTGGTACCCATTTGTAGTTCCATCATTCTACTTAAGTTTATCATTGCCATCATGAACATTATCAGTGTATAAACTAGCCATAATAATTTGCGCATTTTCTGGTGCTTAAACAAATAGGATTATCCTTGCTTGCTATTTCTTTTATCACCTACTGACCTCTATTTCTGTTTACTGTCTTATGCTGTGAGATTGAGATAACGGAGTTAGATGAATTCTCACAAGCTGCTTTTCGTGGACATAATTCTCTGAACCGTATTCAGAGCTGCATATTTCATACTATTTATTACACTAATGAAAATATACTAGTTAGTTAATGATGATTATGTGAATACCAAACCATTGCAGTGAAAGTGCTGATATGATATGCTTGAATGTGATTTCCATTTACTTGCAGGTCTGTGCTCCAGCAGGAGCTGGCAAAACAAACATAGCTATGATTTCTATTCTACATGAGGTATGAAAATGATTTTGTATTGTGTATGAGTTAATCTGGGTTAATTGCATAGTTAAAATGGCATGGGGACGGCTGTAATGTCATATGTGCTGTTGTTGTATATATTTCTCTGGGAGGGTTAGTGTGTTAAAGATAACAGCTTGCAAAATAAAGCAAGGAAACTAAGCTTTTGGCTGCCTTAGTTATTCGACTCCTTTTATGTCATGGTAATGTACTTATAGTACTTTTCATGTTTAATTCTACCTATTTAGTTTTTGAAAATATTCAGTATGGTAGTATATCATCCATTCTGAGATTTAGATAGTGAGTCGGCATCGTTTGTGGCAGATTGCACAGCACTTCAAAGACGGTTACTTGCATAAAGATTAATTTAAAATAGTATGTTGCACCAATGAAGGTATCCGCCCTATATAACTCTCTTCCTTTTGTTTTTTTTTAGTTTTTTTCTGAGTGGATGGGGTGGGAAAGTAGGCATTGAAATAGTGGCTTGTTACTTATTATCATGTATTTTTCAGGCATTAGCTGCAGAAGTTACATCAACTTTTAGCCATCGCTTATCTCCATTGAATATGGCTGAGAGAACTTACTGGAGACATGCAACTTTCTAAGAATGAACTTGAAGAAACTCAGGTCACTTTTATCAAATTCTGTGTACTCCGTGTGCTTTTAACTGTCACCCAAAAGAGGAAAATGAAAACCTTATGGCTTCACTTTCCTCTTATTCAGATGATAGTCACAACACCTGAGAAATGGGATGTCATTACTCTCAAGAGAAGTGATATCTCACTTTCAACGTTGGTGAAGCTCCTAATTACGGATGAAGTGCATCTATTAAATGATGATAGAGGCCCTGTAACAGTGGCAGTGCTAGTAACCTGAGGGAAACCCAGCTAGACTAAACAAAAAAATTAGAAAAAAAAACGCGTATAGCCGTGCGGCTATACTACGCCCTAGTAAAAAATTAGGGAAAACCGAGTACAGCCGCGCGGCTATACTATTTCTTTGAAAAATCATTTAAAAACCAAGTATAGCCGATTGGCTATACTATTTCCTTAAAGTATCGCCGGGCGGCTATACTATTCCTGTAAAAATTAGCAAAACGGAGTGTAGGCGACCAGCTATACTAATTAGAACCGAGTATAGCCGCGCGGCTATATGATTTGGGTATAGCCGTCCGGCGGTACTATTTTTTGAAAAAAATTAGAAAAATCGAGTATAACCGGGTGACTATACTATTTCGTATAGCCATTCGCCTATTCCTTTTTAAAAAATTAGGAAAACCTGAGTATAGTCGAACGGCTATACTATTTTTAAAAAAAATTTACAAATTCCAAGTATAGCCACGCGGCAATACAGTAAAAATCTAGTCTTGGAGGAATATGGAGAGGAGGAGGAAGAGTTAGATTTAGAGGCCTAGCTTTGAATCAATGCATGTTGAAAGCATGAAAAATAATGGGAAAAAAGAAGGTATGAGAGCATACAGTCCCGATCTCTTGGACTACAGGGGTTCAAAAGATTTGTGGTCACTCACTGTTGGATGTAAATTCAACGGTTCACTCACTCTTGCACTCTTTTTAAGAAACTTTTTTGAACCGTTAGATTAACATCCAACGGTAGGTGATCACAAATCTCTTGGACCCATGTGGTCCAAGAGATCGGGGCTGTGAGAGCATATATGAGAATCATGCATAGGATGGTGGGATTTGTTATGCGATTTGGTGTTTATATCACACACTCAAAAGTCTCACATAACACACAATTTAATGAAATACAGAATCAGTAAGTTTTTTAATGCCACGATACTTTTTCTCATCTTTTATATAGTTCCTAAGAAGGTTTTCTACGGGAATATGTGGGAGCACTCTCTCTTTTTATATATTTTTTATTTTGTTGAAGTATAATTTTCATTCTAGATAAGCAATACAAGATAAAAGAATAGCCCGAAGTGAAGGGAGCGATCTCTCACAATGTTGTGGAGTTCCGTTTTATGTTATTGTGAGAGAATTGGCACATAGAGTAGTCTCATTCTATAATTTATTGAAGTCATGATCTAAACTCTAACACGAAATATGATTCTTCGACTTGAACATTGAATTCTAGACTTTTGGACTTGTATTGCACACATGCAACTCAAACACTAGCGACTTCATATGGATTCAAATTATATGTCATTGTAAGAGAGTTGGCACATAGGAAAGTTTAAAGTTTCTTGTAGTTATGATCTCAAAACTCAAACTCGAGACATGGGTCTTGAAGGTTAAATCGTATACCTTTGGACTCGTAATGCACATGTGCAACTCAACACACTAGTTTCTCCATGTGAATTCAGGCTCTACGTCATTGTGAGAGAGTTGGCACATAAGGCATTCTCGCTCAAAAATTTATTGCAATTATGAGCTCAAAATTCAAACTTTCAAAATTTGAATTGTAAACAGGCGGACTCATAATGCACACGTGCAACTCAAACACATTACCCTAATTCAAGAGTCGAGACTCGAATCATGAACACTAGAATCCCATCATATACTCTATTAAACTTGAACCTCCGAATTAAAACTTAAGAACCTATCCCAAATTTGAATTTAAACTTGATTATAATTTGCAACCCAAACAATAGAATGAATTCCATTTCTCACTTGATTTCATTACAACAACCAAACAACTCCCAAGTGATTGCCAATCAAGAAATAAAGTTCAAGGCTTCAATGAGACAACGACATGAAAATGAAAGTTCTTTTCTCCCATCCATCATCCATGGCATATTTTGTTTTCTAATACACTAATCATTGAGTTCGAATTTATTGAGAAGTTTGGCGTTTCTAACCGAATGATATTCCATGTCCAAGTCTATAAACTTTGGAATTGCATTGTTGGCCAAACAATATTCCATGGTCGTGAATTATTTGGAAAAGTCGAATTGAAACAATACCTCATTTTCCATATATCCATCCATACCATACACATAATGCCTTATCCAGGATAGAATAAACGTACAAAGTCCTTTTCATTTAGCTAACCAAACACACGACACCATGGAGGTACTACTATTCAGTTTCAGTGCTCAATTTTCTCTTTTATTTTTGTATTTTTAAATATTTTTTGGTCTCGACTTGCCTCGTTCCACTGGGAAAACGAAACACACACAACTAAACTCAGAGCGTTGTTCTCTGCTTTCTTTGGAACTAGTGAAAGCTGAAGAGAAAAACAGAGCTCTCTGCTTTCAGCTTTCTGTTTTCTGTTTTCTGTTTTCTGGGTGCTTCTTAGAAAGCGAGAGAGAGATAGAGAGAGAAACATGCTCTGTTCGGGTCGACTTTTGGCGGTTTCGTTTCCAGTAAACCGGTATTCCCCGTACAATTTACAGAGCTCCAGCTCCAGATTCAGCTACGCAAGCCCCAAATCGATCTCCAGATGGCGATCAATGACGTCCGAGCCCGAGTCCTCTTCTTTTGCTCCTTCTATCGACTCCGATCCCACTGATACAAACCCCGCCGGGTACTCTCTCTCTCTCTCTCTCTCTCTCTCTCTTCATGTTTGGCAGTTAAGAATAGGTGGGAAAATAATAACAGAAACTGAAAACTTTAACTTTAGCTTGCAAACAGTTTTGGTGTTTCAAATTTTATGCTAAAAGCCATGTGCCTAATGTGTGTGAAAACTAATGTTGTGGCTGGTAATATATTCATCGTTTTATAATAAGATTCTTGTTATGTGATTGGGTTGTTCTGCAGATTCTGTATCATAGAGGGGCCTGAAACAGTCCAAGACTTTGCCAAAATGGAGTTGCAAGAGATTCAGGATAATATTCGAAGTCGACGCAACAAAATTTTCTTGCATATGGAGGAGGTGGGCTACTCTCTCCTTTTCTCAGTTCTGCTTTGGTTATTAATTTTGTAAAATAAATGAGCTTCAATATGTGTAGGTTCGCAGGCTGAGGATACAACAGAGGATTAAAAGCGCAGAGCTTGGAATGTTAAGTGAAGATCAAGAAAATGAACTTCCTAGTTTCCCATCTTTCATTCCATTCTTGCCTCCCCTGGTGAGCTTATCTCTCTAGACTTGTATTTATATCTTATATGATTAATAAAGGTTCCAGTAACCTTGACAATTTCATTTTCCCCAACTTGTTTCATCCATATTTTGTTGTTTCCTGTTAAAATCACATGGTGAATGCATTGCTTGCAGAGTTCAGACAACCTTAAGCAGTATTATGTTGTTTGTTATTCAATTATTATGGCGTTTATCCTTTTCGGTGGCCTCCTAGCACCCACTGTAAGTTGTTTATGCGTTAACTTTTAGTTATAACTTATAAGAGAGTATATTGGTCAACATTTTCTGAATTTGCAAGTAGAAAAGTCAGAAAATGAGAAACCTATCAAATAAGCATCTTTTTAATTTTCAATTTAACGCGGATTCAATTACGTTTCTAAACTCTTTTTCTACCCCTCCCTTTATATTAATCTTTCAGTTGGAGTTGAAACTGGGAATAGGAGGCACCTCATACAAAGATTTTATAGAAAGTGTGCATCTGCCATTGCAGTTGAGGTATGGCTCATATCTCGCACTGTTAACCCTCCATCACTCTACTAATTATTGTTTTGAAATATCAGATTATCTATCTTGACATGAACCCATTTTGTGACTGAAATGTGGGAACCAAAAGCACTAAACTTTACTACGTGAACCGATATATCTAAACCTTACGAGGATCCCCAAGTTTTGCACATTGGACAAAAAAACTAGGATGTCATCTATCTTGACATGAAGCTAAATTATGTCCATACGACATTTTTAGTTTGGTTTATTGACCTGCTTTGCTTTCACATTGCAGTCAAGTTGATCCCATAGTGGCATCCTTCTCTGGAGGAGCAGTTGGTGTCATCTCCGCATTGATGATTGTTGAAATCAACAACGTAAAACAGCAGGAGCAGAAGAGATGCAAATATTGTGTTGGAACTGGTATAACCATGTCCTATATTTCTGACTTTTACTTATAGGTTTTAGTGTAGCTTTTAATGTTTCTGATTGAGATGTTTGTATTGTTTGCATGTCAACTACTTGGTTTGGACTATCTGAATTAGCTAAATATAGGGCTGCATCTTCAGCTAGGAAGTAGGCCTATCAAGTTTTTCCTCTCCAAGTTGACCATGTCCTGGCTTATATATGCACTTAGTGTAATTTCGTTATGTTTACCTTTTCTATATTCGCTCTGAACGTTCTTGGAAGTTCCCGAATGAATTATACGTACTTCCAATTTAATATGTGTTCACGGTATGATGAATTGCTCGACCAAATAGTTTATTCAAACTCAGAGTGTTTGATAATTACGCAGGATATCTCGCTTGTGCCCGCTGTTCAAGCACAGGAACCCTGGTTCTTACTGAACCAATATCAGCAGTTGATGGAGATCAGCCCCTATCACTGCCGAAAACGGAAAGATGTTCAAATTGCTCAGGAGCGGGAAAGGTTGGATATTTAAAATGTCACGTAATGTTTTTGCGTACTAAAATCCTCTTCCTGTTGCCATATAAGTGTATCTGCCTCATCATACATATTGACTCGCTGCTTGAGGCATTTGATGACTGATATATGTGTGCTATATTTAACACTGTTCTGTGATTTGGCAGGTAATGTGCCCTACATGCCTTTGCACGGGAATGGCGATGGCAAGCGAACATGACCCTCGGATCGATCCCTTTGATTAGAAGCACACCACTGTCATTAGTTGCTCCCTTACCACTTTAAACCTCTTTTTCTTACTTTTGATGCCATACATATATCCTCCATCTGAGTTGTGACATAACCAAGGAACTCTCTGTATATATCAACTGTTCAAGAATATGATTAGACTTCTGAACGCAATTGAAAGGTTTTCTTCACTTGTGCAACTTTGCCATTTAAATAAAATTCATTAGTGATGAGGTCGGATGAGGCATACATACTGATTCAATTGGTTCCCTGATGATAATGAACTTAAGGCCTTTTTTTCCCCTGACAAGTGCGCTTTTGTCAAAAGCAACAAAAATGGATTGTATAATTAACAGTTACACTATTATTCAGAAAATTTACATATTTTATGGGTTTTACTACCAATCCTACATTCGATGCCATTGAATTTACTGGTAAAAAGACATTTCTGTAATGATCCTCCGACTGTAGATCTTCTTCTTTCTTCTTCAACCGCTTGCTTCAGGGAACTGCTGATGTCATCTGATGCCCAAGCTACCGATATATGAGGGCGAGGATCCTGCCATGAACAACATCCAATATTGTGAATTCTTTATTTCTGAGTTATGAGTAAAAATTTTGCACCATCACTTGCTCCAATTAACCAATGCCAACCTTGTAAAATTCAGGAAGATTGTGAAGCTTATACACCTCATTGACAGCTTGAATCTGCTTTGTTATCTAAATCAATTGAAGTTGAACAGTATCACATTTAGAGTTAAGAAGCAAGCAAGCAAGATATCAATGTTTCAAAATCCCATGTTTTTGGCTAACTGGTTCCTAAATTTTACATCTATATAAAAACTCAGAACAATAAGAATTGGATCAAGAGAGAAAGCTTGCAATCATACCTCAGCTAACCCAGCAGCAATAACTTCTATCGACACAAAGGTCCGGGTGTGATCATCATTAACAAAAACCTCCCACTTGCTAAAATCAATCCAATACCTGTTTTACCATAACAAAATGTGTTAGAAACCAAAAATGGGAAATGGGTTACAGCAAATTTGCAGCATTATGTTCAACAAAAGAACTAAAATTCATGCACACAATAGAATGTAAGTAACCATACCGCCTCTGAATCTGAAGCTTCTGCCGAAGCATTGTGACCAGGGAGTCAATCTGGTGCACTCGGATTGGTACAGTTCTTCCCAGACTTATATGGAACTCTCTACCCAAAGCAACCTGTTCAAGCTTGTGCCCATCCTTGCGCAAAATCTCAAGAGGGACGTCAACGTCAACAGCATGGAGACCGGGCACCAGAGAAGCTAGCTTGTTCAAAAATAAGGCCATCTCTTTCCTTGGTGCTGATGGTATAAAAACTGCAAGTACATAATCAAACAAGGGTCTAAAGGCTCTAAGCTCAAAGTCATGTCATTTGCTAATGGAATCTGCTAATGAAACTGCAAGTACTGAATTAAACAAGGGTCTAAACGCTCTAAGCATGAAGTCATGGCATTTGCTAATGGAACTGATAATTAGAGAATTTGGTTACCTGGGATGTAAACATGTACCGCGTAGTTCCCTTCCACGTGAGGAAAGTTCCTCACTCTGCTGGGCTGAGCGCTTGGTGAGAAGTCCAGAAATCCTTCACAGTCAAAACATCAAACACTTGATCGACAACAGAATTGAAATTTCAAAACCATAACAAACAAGGCAAAAAGAGAGAAAATTGATTGCAATTAGTAGTTACCAAAGGAATTGGGACTGTTGAGAAGTGACAGAGGAGGTGGGGGCAGAGCAGAGCTCGATTCTTCGGAGTTTTTGAGCTCTGGACGTGGAGCTAGCGACTCGGAGTCTGAGTCCGACGACGAGTCTCCGTACGAGGCTCTAAGGGCATCCATTTTCAATCTGACGGAAAAACTGAACCACACTCTCGAGTCTTGCTATTAACTTTCGGCAAGTAGTACTAGTAGGCCTGATAGTTGGGCTGCTGTAAAAAGGCCCAATGTTCATATTTCCAACAGCCGAAATAGGAGGGAAAACCAAAACAAAACGGACACATTTTGGCCCCTTTCGCTCCTTCTTCTAGGGTTTGCCTGGACATTACATCAGGCCAAGCTTCCGTCGCATGTTCCGAAACAACAATGTCGACGTCCAAAGAAAACATTCAAACGTACGGCAGAGGAGGACTCACGGAGGAACAAAGAAACCGAATCTCTCTGAATTTCAGAGCCGCCAAGGCCCTCATTGCTCGTAAACGCCCTCGCCACGACGCCGTTTCCCCTGATCACTTTCCCCATAACAAGTAAGACTCACACCCTTTTACTCTTTGTTTGCTGTTAGGGTAAATGATTAATTCAAAATTCCATCGTGTTTTGTAATTCCAGAATTTGTGGTAGAAACGGAATTCAAACACCAGCTCAGCTGAATAGCATCCAGAGAGTTCCTCTTGCTGAGCTACCTATAAACACGCCATTTCCGTCTCCATTCTCAGCGAATTGCTGCAAGTCAGACGGTGGCGAATATAGCAGCGCTTCATGTTCTGGTAGCTTAAGCATTAACCGGATTGAATCAAGCGTATCAGTATCAGGATCAGATTCTTTCACAACTCCAATCAGGCAACCCCAATGTTCAACTTCATTTGATTCTTTCTCTGCACCTCGATTTCTAGACGAAGATGATTTCGATGAGAGTATTTTGCAAGAAATTGACGCTTTGATCGAGCAGAAACCAAGCGTGGAAATTCACCATGAAGATATTGAGAGTTGTGATGGTGATGCTAATACCGCTTCAGTGCTGCCTGTGAATGCTGATAATCAGACAGATTCTATCAACCATGGATTGCCGAACATGCCAGATGAGTATTCGAAGTATTTGCTTTCTCTCAATGAGAGGCAGATCGAAGCGGCTTGCAGCGATATTTCAATACCTTTGATGATTGTTGCTGGCCCTGGAAGCGGAAAGACTTCGACTATGGTTGGCCGTGTTCTGATGCTGCTTAATGAGGTGTTACCGCTTTTCCTCTCAATTTTGAATCTTTTTTTGTTCCCCTCTCTTTTTTTAGCTTATGATCGTTCGTTTTGTTATGTATTCTTAGGGCATTAGTGCATCGAATATTCTAGCCATGACTTTCACTACAGCAGCAGCTGCCGAGATGAGAGATCGAATTGGAGCTGTGGCTGGGAAAGCAACTGCCAAACAGCTTACAATCAGCACATTTCATTCATTTTCGTTGCAGCTTTGCCGATCACATGCTGAGAAGTATGCTGTAGATTCACCTCCCTTGATTTTGATTCTTGAACAGCATGAATATATTGTTGATAACTGAGTCTGACTGATGCTTTAGACTTGAGCGCACACTGGAGTTCTTGATATATGGACATGGACAACAGAGAAGAGCCATTATTGAAGCTGTGCGGTTATTGGAAGATGAAAAGAGTAGAAAGAATCATAGTGTTGCCATAGTTGGCGAAGAGTCTAACAGTATCACGTCTCCACATCATTATAAGGATGCGTCAAAGAAATGGCAGAAGTTTGTGACTCAGGCAAAAGCTTCTGGAAAGACTCCAGCCGAATACAGAAAAATGGGTGATGAGACAGGAGTAAGCTCATAACTAGACGTTTCAGTTAGCTTTTCTTGTACTATTGCTTATGAGTTTTAGCTCTGGATCTGAATCAGGGGAAAATTCTTGCGAACTACAATGATATCTTAAAATCTTGTAACGCTTTGGACTACCATGACCTAATTAGTTACTCTGTGAAGCTGCTCACTGATTTTCCTGAAGGTCTGTATCATCTAAGTAAATTAATTTAATTTATCTAATTTCACAAAAGCTAAGTGTTAATACTTTTTTTTTGTTCTGTTAATAAGTGTTGAAGGAGTGCCAGGATTTATGGAAAGCTATTGTGATAGATGAGTTTCAAGACACCAGTGCTATGCAATATAGTTTTCTGCGGATTCTTGCATCTCATAACCACATAACCATTGTTGGTGATGATGATCAGGTATGCTGTTTATTTCTTGAACTACCACATTATGGCAGTCGAATTGTTTTTGCTCTCTCTCTCTCTCTCTCTCTCTCTCTGAGTTCATTCTAATCAAGATCCTGCCGCAGTCCATTTTCAGTTTCAATGGGGCAGACATTTCTGGATTTGATTCCTTTCGTAGAGATTTTCCAAATTACAAAGAGGTTTGCTTTGCACTTGACTGCTATGTTATGTCATGTCATTCATAGTTTCTTGTTTATTATACAGAACATATTCATATATTGTATAATTTCTAGAAAGAAGTTTTATTTTATGGGTATATGTGGAATTTGATATAACTTTATGATTCAGATTAGACTCAATAAAAACTATCGGTCCACACGCTATATTGTGGAAGCTGCATCTTCTGTTATAAAAAACAACAAGAAGCGATGCCAACTAAAGAATGTTGAGACCGACAACTCTTCTGGATCTAAGGTATTTAACCTTTCCCTGCTCTAACAAGTAAAATTTGATGTCATTTACAATCCTTTTAATTAGTGACACAATTCTAAATGGTTTTGCTGGTAAAACTTAGGTAATTATCAAGGAAAGTCACAATGAGGATGCACAATGTGCCTTTGTTGTTGACAAGATCCTGGAAACTGCATCTAACCGGTCAGATGCAGGGTGCTCCTATGGAAACATAGCAATCCTTTACCGGAGGCAGGTCAAGCTTACTTGCCCTAGTGTGAATGTGAATGAAGTAAATCATATAATACATCTTTGACATATTTTACTTTGTATATTATACTACAGGTATCAGGAAAAGTCTTCCAAACAGCCTTGCGTGAAAGGAAAATACCATTTAATATTCATGGAGTGGCCGTTTATAGGAAGAAGGTAATTAGTACTTTTCCAGATTACAGAACCTATTTTCTCAGCTCTTTATTTATTTTGCCAATTTATTATTATTATTTTTTCATAAGGTAGTTACTGTAATGCACAGCTTATGCTAGTAAGAATGCAAACAAAAACTGTAATTGACGTAAGGTTTTCACTTTTTTTTTTTTTCACCTGAATCTTGGCATCACTGGTCCTTTTCGTTGTTTTTTGTTACTAGATTTTCATTGCCGTTTTAACCTGCTATTCCAACAAGGGTTTGGTATACAACTGTGGAGTAATTTGTGAAATTGATTCGAAGGTTTTGGGTACTCTGTGATTGTAGTTATTGGTTGTTGATGTAGTATGTGTCTTATGGTAGGTAGTCAGAGCCATTATTGCTATGGTCAAAACAACTTTGCCTGATTGTGATGATGGATCATATCGTCAAGTCTTCAAGGCTTTACTTCCTTTTGAGAAAGAGGAAAAGAAGAAGGTATCACAATGAACATCATTTTTAACGTTCTTTTCAGCATTTACAGTTTACTTGCTTGCGCTATTGAGATTTAATCTCCCTTTTTTTCACATGTAGTCTTTAGGCTCATGTCTCTGAATATCTCTCTCTCAGGTAATTGAATATATAGACAAAATTTCGGCTCATAGAAAATGCAGCTTCATATCAGCTGCTTGTGACATCTTTAGTGCAAAAATTTCTGGTACCTTGAAGAGGTGTGTATCACAATATTCTTTAACATTTTTGCATGGTTACCTCTAAATATACATGTATCTTTTTATCTAGTGAGGAAGTACATTTATGTATCCATAAGTTTTGCCGTAAAGTAATTGTAGGTCCAGCAATTTATTCACAATTCAGGCTTATTAATCATTATATGTACTGCTATTTATATATATTTTTGCTCCTCTCTCTTGTCTTTTATTTTTTGTTCTTATTTCATATGACAAGCGTTTAAAATCTTTTGGTTATGTACTGAGTTGTGGTCTCTTTGATTGATTATAGGACTCAGCTTACCCAAGGACGCAAGGTGCTGTTAACACTAGAGATGATTTCAAAACTTGTTCACAGGGTAAATATATTTGGTAAAATGTAGTAGATCTGACTCACTGCTTCTTGTGGGATGTCACCGTAGTTGTTTGTGAATTTTAATATATAGAAAGAATATAGTTTTTAAAAATTCGAGGATAAAAAATTCTTTCTCCTTTGGTGATTTGTAATATGGTCTAGTTATCAATTATTGCAACGCTGTATAGTTTCATGCGACCTTGTTAGATCTATGTTCTTAATTCTTTCAATATATAATGCAAAGTTTTATAGCCTCTGTTAGATCTATGTGTTTCCAAAGAGGTAAAGTTTGTTCTCGTAGTCTCTGTCTTCATATAATGAGAGAAATGTGCATTTAGTCGTTAGCTTTAGTTATGAATTTACGTAGTAGTCTCACTTATCAATGCATACAGGAACAATCGATTTCAGCTGTCATAACTTCAGTGGCAAACATGGTACCACAGGTTTGTCTTACATTTTGCACCCTTGACGTGGTTTTTTTAATCGAATTGTTTCCTTATTAACTTTTAGGAATGAGGAGCACCATTCTATACCATTTTCTGTGTTTATGCTTATGTTCAATTTTTCATTAATAATTTCTCGTTTGACTTTCAATTCTTAGAAGTACCTTCTTGAGCAACGTGCGGTCGTTGATGTTGATGGAGGAAAATTGCTAAATGAAGACAATGACATGAGATCTGTAAGTTTGGTGCTTTATGCTGATGGTAACAGAGGTCAATTACATAATGATTGTGAGAACTTATTTTCTATTTCTGTTCAAGTTAAGTTAATCTTTGTTCTCATATAAATCTTGGTCCATCTGTGTGGTTGTGATGCAATTATTCTCACTGCAGGTTCTTCAGTACCTACTGGATGACATATCTGATTTCTTATCAACTCATTTTGTTGCGGGACAAGGGGATAGAGAAGTCGTAAAAGAAAAAGGTTGTGTTAGTTTACTTAAAGCTTTCATTGACTGCATATCTGAGAGGGAGAGCGAAAATTTTCGTTCCCGAAGACATGACAACCAGAGTTCTGTCACCTTGACTACCATCCATCAGGTTCTTTATCTTTTTTATATTTCCCTTGACTGCCGTCCATCAGCTTAAGAATCAAAGTTCTTATATTTGTGAAAATTTTGCTATTGGTATTCCTCTGGAGTTCTGCAAATATTCTTGGCTTACTGCCTTTCTCTTTCCTTCTCTTGCAGTCAAAAGGTTTAGAGTGGGATATTGTTTTTATAATTAAGGTACTTGCCCTGCGTAATGATTTTATCATTGTCACTTCATTTGTTCATTCAGTTATTTATAGTTGATCTGTTTTTGTCCTTAAGAGATGCTGATGCTACCTAACTGATATTTCTGTACCCTTATATTCATGAAGATATTACAATATCTTCAAAATCATATTAGCTTGCTTTAATGCTCATATCAATAACACAGGTAAATGAATCTGAGATTCCGTTGTTGCATGAATTCAATGGCGTTGCAAAAGAAAATGGGACCTCCATTGAGGTATGCACTAAATATTTCAACATTTCTTCGTTACACACGAATTTTGTATTGTCTTACTCAATGGTTCCACTCTAAATCATAGGAGGAGAGACGCCTGTTATATGTTGCAATGACTCGTGCTCGGAGAAAGCTTTTCATTCTTTATGTTACGATGGATTCCAATTGGCAGGTTTGTTTTAGTTTGATTTTTTTCATCCTTTCTTGTTATGCTTTGACTAATAAGGTGACTCCTTCAGATGCTTCAACCTTCGCGTTTTCTCAAAGAAATTCCAAATCATCTTCGAGAAGTCCAGGTGTGTTTTACTGTTCATTATCCTTAATTGTTCTGACATTTAGTCAAACTTACAAGTAACAAAGAATCACAAATAAGTGTTGCAATGTTTGCAATTAAAATCAACTGATGTTTACTTGCCGCTGAGACTTGCACCTTGCAATGAGAAATCTTAGTCTTTTAACTACTTTTTTTACATCAATGTTTGAGTTTGCATGTCGAAGTGCTTTAATTGTACTTGCCATAATGCTATATCATCTTGAGTCTGGTGTGGATGAATGAAATTTTTGGTTTGTAGGCTGACATAAGTACACAAGACTTGCAATCAAAGAATCCTGACACTTCAAAAGGAACTACTCGGTCTACAGCTGATCTACAACCAAACATCCAACCTTCTGAAGTAGATTCAGTGCAAAATGATTTTCACCATAGTAAATTTGATGAAGCTTCTGCAGAGTTGATAGAATTTGCAGAGGGAAATAGTGGCAATGGTTTCTTAAAAAGGTTTTGCTTCCAATTTTGATGGGTAGAGCATTTTTGGTTGCTTATATTAATGCCTAACTTTATTCTTCTGTCACTGTCTAATAGATTCAGTGTGGATGAGAGATCGATTGTCTCACATTTATTTAATGAGTGGGCTAAGAAGCAAGCATTTCAAGATCCTAAGAGGTTGCTTGACAAGGTAGATGAGAATTACACTGTTTTTACTATAGACTTTCTAACTTTTAATTGGAGTCAATGTGAATGGTAATGCTTAATTGTACCTTTAACAGGTTGGTTTTGTAATAGATGAACGCCTACGAGCCAAGAACTATAAACACAAGGTTTTAAATTTAGTCCTTTAAATTTCAATAAAATGAACCTCTGTTTTTTAGCTCACTTCGTTTTTGTTTGCATACTTTGTGTATACCCTTGTGATGTATCTACTTTGTTATATCACTTATTAACTCTTCTGCAACTCTCAGGATGTTTTGCGCTTGCTGAAGTCTTGCCTGAAATGTGACGATGCATTTCATTATGTGCAATATGTAAGATACTTACCAATTTGTTGAAGAAAAATTTCTGAAATTAAACAAAAGAATATATAAATTTAGCTTTCTTTGTCATCAACTTCTGTTCCTAATATGCAACTATGACTATTTGAATTCAATAGATTTGTGCACAGCTTCACATCAGAATTATACTTTTTTGTCATAGGTTTTGAGATGGCAGAAAATACCTGCTGATCAACGTGCTCATTTGATGCGGGAAAAACAGGTTAGGTTTTAGTTTAAGATAGTTTGCTCTGTCATACATTGTCCCTAAATCATATTTAGTTGTCGTTGTTGTAATTCAACACATGCTTTCAGGAACATTTCCAGAAGTTAAGGATCGAGAACTCAATGGGTTCGTCCATACCAACACCGAAACAGGTAGCTAACACTCACCATTAAATTAGTCCCTTGTTAAACACTTCAGTTGAGCTTTTAAGTTGATTCTAGATGGTTAGGAGACCAAATTCTAAATCCTTTCTCATGTTTGATGATCAGATTTCTTATCTGCAAAATCTGGGATGCACCGTGGCTCCTACATCGCGCCTCCATGCTTCTCGCTTGATTGAGCAGTACAAGTCATTGTGAATAAAGATGGTTCTGTGGAAAGGTGATCATGTTTCTTAACGAGAGTAATGGTGATCATATTTTGTTGAAGTTTCTGTCGTGACTCGTGTTTATTGTAAATACCATCTTATCTTGTAATTTATTTCCTGTTTATTGTAATAAATAATAATATCCTTTGTTCGCTGTTAATATGTGTTTACCACATATCGTTAATAGTTAATTCTGGTATGGCCGATGACTGTATTAACGAGACAGGAACTGTACCCATATCAAAATGGTTCCAAAACGCCGTCACTTCTAAGCATCTCTTGGCTTTCACATAAAAGGAGTTCAATTTATGAAGCAAAAATTAAAGAATTAGGGGAGCAATGGAAGAAAATGACGTGACGAACAAATTTGCTCTTCACCTTGTGGTGATGAGCATGTTCTTGTTTTTGCTTGCCCTAGTGTTTGTTCAGCTGACCATTCATATTCACAGGTCTACCTCCTCGTTTCCTCATCCTCGTCCTCTTCCTCATCTTCCCCTTCTCTTTTTCCGAAGTCTGAATGCATGTCCCGGTCCTCTCCACCCACCACTCCGCTATGATCCTCTTGCTCGTCCTCCTATTACAAGTTGCAAACTCAAGGCACATAGGCATTGCAAACCATGATCCTAATCGATACGAACATTGTTATCAATATATTTATGAAAAATGTTTCGCCTCTTTCTATAAGGTTAAGGCCATATAATATAATGTTTTCTTTTCCCGAACATGATATTGTTGACGTTTTTGTGTTAAGTTGCTCCTTTGTTTTATCCATCAGTATGTATGTTATCATATTTTTGCCAACTTCTCCTCTAAACCTTTTTGCATCTTCTTGCACACTTGGGCATAAATGGAGAAATTAATTATTGTGACAAAACTGATGTTAAGTGTTAATAAAATAATTAACTAGGAGCTTTACATACACACCTTCAAATTTCAATTCTGGTGTGTGCAAGCAATATGCAATAACTACGAGCTTTCTATCCTATTCCTCAATGTGGTTTGGCTAACATCCGTTTTGTTATATAGCTTATAATCCTGAGGACATTGTGAAGAAATATCCAAACGAAGCTAGGGTTACTCGTCCTTCAACACCAGCAGATATGCCTTATTTGAAATAGACGCACTTAAAAAGAAGAATTGCGAGAGAGCTTCAGATTGTCCTTGAATAAGAAATCACTTTAATTTGTTTGCTTTTTATTTATTTATAATAACAATATTAGGTTTAACTTTTTTATATATATATAATAAAAAAAAGGTTTAATCTCTTATTTTTTCAAAAGCAAAATGTTAAACCCTTTTTGAATAAAAACCATAATCGTCTGCACACCACCTTAAAAGTCACTAAAAACACAACTTTTGTTATGACTCATGACTGTAATAGCCCTTCCTCCTCGCCTCCCTTCCCTCTTCCTCGGCCTCGGCCTTTGCCTTTACCTCCAATTCTAAATATTCCGTTCGGAGTACTTATTATGAGAAGTAATAAAATGAATGCATGCCCAGACCGTCCACCGCGAAAGCTTCGAGGTCGCCAAGCTCCTCCGCCAGTTGTCCCAAAAAGAAAACTGTGTGAGGAGCAGGCATACAATGAATGCAAAAGATAGATTATTGCTAATCCGGATCAATTTAAACTTTGTTATGAGGATGGTCTTCGTAGATGCATGGACCTCTACTTGTTGAAGAATACACAAGTCCCACATTGGAAACTTAACAAAATAGAAAGTCTCATATGATAAATGGTTTCACTCTTAATAACAGAGATGTATTTTGTATAAAATCTCACACCTGCTAAACAAGTGGTTAAGTTGGGGACAATATTGATGTTGCTAGTGATGGGCCAAGGGTCCGTCCCTCTGAAATCTTAACATGGTTAATTTGTTGTTTGAGTTGTCACCTATATATCATGGTTTCAAAATTCTCTTTCGTCCTTGTAAATTTATAAAAGAAATAACAAAAAAACTTCAAAGTAAATTCAATTATATTATTCATTTTGAAGTGAGCCAAGTAATTACATACATGAACGGAAATGAAAAATGAAAAATAATTAATGACTCGATATTATGCCATTGGACAAATTATTTAGTGACAAAAAAAATAGTTGTTCAAATGATTGATGAAGCTTTGCATTCGATTAACCAAAGGCTGTGATCTAACCCTGATGATGTTGACAAGTGGCCTAGCACATTTGGCAGCAAGTTGTAGCATCCTAGGCAAAGCTGGTGTAAGCAGAAATAAAGAATACAGCCCTGCACCTGGTGCAACGGTTAGCACTGAACTGCAATAAGTGAAGTACATTGCAACAATACAAACATGAAGCTCCAGCTGCAGAGGGAAATTGGTCGTGAGAATTTTGATCATGTGAAGAGACATCGAAAATCCGATGGAGTTGAAAACTGCAAACGCAATAAAGAAAGCCGGATAGTAAGAACCTGGGATGTCTGTCCCTGCGTAGTGTGTTGAAGCATTGCTTGTGTTGGAAGTTGTCCCGTTTTTGTTTAAAACAGCATCCTGCCATACTCCGCCTGGAGGGTTCGCCGCAACTTGATAGGTTGCGGTAGCTACTAGGACAGTTACAACTAATAGTGCGTTACGTGGGTCACTTGGAGAATCTCTTCCCTTTTTGAACTCGACGAACTCCACCAGATTATCTGGTTGCTGCAATGGATTGGTGTCTGATTCCATGGGGAAATGGGGATGGTTATGGCTTGGAACACCAGAGTGGACTACGTCTCCTGCTCTCATAGCTCCAGCGCCACGAAGGATCGCCTCCATTTCCCTATCACCGGCTTCACTTGGGAAGATCAGTAGCAGATCCAGAGGTGTCAGACCACTATGGTTTACATTATTTACTTCCAAAGGCACCTGCACTATTTCCATTTCCAACTAACCATTCCACCACCTGTGAAATTTGTAGTCAGATGATAAAGTCAATACAAATGACTGTAATGCCAATTTCCTAGCAGCTTACGTTTTTGAGGTTAATGTTTGTCTAATATGAGCATTCAAACTCAATATGGAGCTTTCCCAACTTTAATGACCAGAAGAAAAGAAAAAAGGATTGTTTTTTCCAGCTTGCTAGATGAAGAACTGAATTTCCAAGCTTATCCTTCATATTCAGGATGTTCACCTTGTTCATTTCTCTGACCAATTCCACCAAGGCTTTAATTGCTTCAAACTGGCTGCACTTAACAGCAAGGTTCAAAGCAGTCTCCCCTTGTATGGTCACATCTGCAACACTTTCTTGACAAGACAAAGCCATTTCTCTAATTACATCTACCCTCCCTCTGCTAGCAGCATAATGAAGAGGAGTCCATTCATCCCTTCCTTTCAGCTGAGAAAGTCTTGGGTCAACTTTCAGCAGCTCCCTTACGATCTCCAAATATCCGTTGGCAGATGCAATATGGATGGGGCAAAAACCATCATTGCTCATTTCTTTGGCAAATTCTGTCTTGATCCTCACAATCTCCTTAACAAAGTCAACATGGCCAGCAATGGAAGCAACATGTAAGGGGTTCTGATGCAGGACGCGTAGGACCTAAATTTATTAGTTTCCTAATGTATTTGTTAGTTTCCTAGATTCTCTAGTTTTCCAAATTCTAGTAGGATTTTGACTTTTCCAGATTTCTAGTTTTAAGTTTCCTATTTTATTTGTGTTATGATTTCTGTTTAAGCAAGGGATTTTTATCCTATTTTGTCTAGGTTTTAGTTTGCTATAAATACCCCCATGTAGTTCTTTAAAATTCAGATTTGGATATTGAGTAAACCTTCTCTTAAAACTATGTGATTTCTGTTCTTCCTTCTCGGTTCTCTGATTTCGGTCCTTTCTTTCGTCCCTTCGATCTATATTTTTGTCTCCTCGACCTCCGATATTCTTCTTTGTTCTACTGTTTCTGTCCTTTATCTCGTCTTTTTTTATCTCTATTTCTTCTCCTCGGTCTCTTATATTCTTTTCTACTCTATTGTTTGAGTGCTTAATCTAATACCTACGGGCTGTACTACATCAGGTTCTCTGCAGAAGCTAGTGCAAGAGTATGGAGTAGAAGGGGATTCTCCACCAGAAACTGGTGCAGAAGTTGGATATCTCCTGTTCTAGATGCCTCAAACAGCCTTATATCCATTCTGGTATTGTTAATTGTTAAGCACCTCATCTCTATTGAAGTGACTATATATGCCTGCTCAGGTGAATGAGTTCTTCACTGGATGAAGACTAGCTTGTGACTCAAAATTCAAATGTGCGTGAATCAGGTGTGTTGCAGTGTTCAATGCCAAAAATATACCTATCAAGATTAAATAAAACATAACTTGTGCCTTAAGGTACAAAACCTGGGATCAGACACGTAGCAGAGTAATTGTCTGAACTTTAGTTATCTTAATTCATAATCTGTTGATGAGATAACAATAATAATTCAGGATGACCTTAGAATATTCTCAGTTGGAATTTCCTGTTTTCATATGGTGGAACATCTACATGAGAGTCAACCCTTGGAAATTAGAAACAATATTCAAATTGATATGTATCTTCTGGAAGGAGAAAACTACTGATCAATTTCTTTTATATATTTTTATCTGAGAATGCTATTACAGATGTCTGAATGGGGAGGAGTCTTAGAACAAAGAAAAATAACATTTTACAAAGAATTTGCAGCGCTTCAAGATGAATCAATCGCCATCAAAGGCTTGTTATTCATCTTTAATTGGTAATGACAGTGGAAAAAATGACGTTCCAGGAGTTAAGTTTCTCAGCAAACTAATGCATATGAACCTACGCATCGAATTTACTAGAGGTTCTCTGATACAAAACCAGGCAAAACTGATGTAAACACAAACACAATGAGGACGGCCTTTGTGTTATCTGGTGCAATGATGGTCATTGCAGTTGTGTAATTGCAGTACATTGCAATAATGCAGATTTGAAGCTCCCACTGCAAAGGGAAATTGCAAGTGAGGACATTGATCATGTAAACAGAAACCAAAAACCCGATTGAGTTGAAAGCCACAAACATGACAAATGCGACTGCACTATAAGAACCCATTCTTGATCAAGTCACTACTGTCCTACCAAATACCATTTGGAGGGCTAAGCCCAACTTGAAAGGTTGCTGTGGCTACCAGTACTGCTACAACTAGCAATGCGATGCATGCATTGCTGGTAGAGTCACTGCCCTTTTTGAACTTGAAGTATTCCATCAAGTTATTTGGCTGCTGCAATTGAGGGGTCTCTGATTCCGTGGGACAATGAGGGTATGGTCAGAGTCAAGTGAAGGAACAGCAGAATGGGCTATGTCTTGTGCTCTCGAAGCTCCAGCACCACGAAGGGTCTAGTGGATTTCCATATCACCGGCTTCACTTGGGAAGATTAGCAGCAGATCAAGAGGTGTGAAACCCTTTGGTTTACATTGTTTTCTTCCAATACACCTGGAGTAATTCCATTAATGCCAACTAACCATTCCACCACCTGTGAAATTTCTACATCATTAGATTTTTTCTTAAGATTATGAATTCTGTAAGATTGGTTGATAATTTAGGCATGTGCAGTATCAAACAAGTTATACTCTTCTTTTTATTTTTGTTTCCATAGAAATATGTTGTTGAGTCAGAGTCACCTCTTTCTGGGTTGGATTTTGGTCAAAATTTACGAAACCACTCTGTACATCTTAGTAAAATAATGGTCAACATTAGCTTTAAGGGTGACAAAGCTCACATGCAAGCACTCCATGAAAAATCATTCATCTTGAGTGCGATCAGTTTCAGAGGAAGGTCTGTAAGGCAAAACTAATTGATCAGATTGTACTATACCTGGTGTTTTCTTGTTTTCCAGCCTGCTAGATGAAGAACTGAATTGCCATTATTATCCTTAATATTCAGGATGTTCACCTTGTTCATTTCTCTGACCAACTCCACCAAGGCTTTAATTGCTTCAAACTGGCTGCGCTTAACAGCAAGGTGCAAACTAGTCTCCCCTTGTATGGTTACATCTTCAACGCTTTCTGGGCAAGTTAAAACCATTTCAACAACAACATCTACCCTCCCTCTGCTAGCAGCATAATGAAGAGGAGTCCATTCATCCCTTCCCTTTAGCTGATAGAGTCGGGGGTCAACTTTCAGCAGCTCCCTTACAATCTCCAAATACCCATTGGCAGATGCAAATGCAATATGCATGGGGCTAAACCCATCATTGTTAATTTCTTTAGCAAAATCTGGTTTGAACCTCACAATCTCCTTGACAAAGTCAACATGGCCAGCAATGGAAGCCTCATGTAAGGGATTCTCTGAAGAAGCTAGCGCAAGAGTATGGAGCAGAAGTGGATTCTTCGCCAGAAGTTGGTACAAAAGTTGGATATCTCCTGTTCGAAAAGCCTCAAACAGCCTTATATCCATTGTGGTGGGTTAAGCACCTCATCTCTATTGAAGTCACTATATATGCCTGCTTGGGTGAACGAGGAGTTCACTGGATGAAGAATAGCTTGTGACTCAAGATTCAAATGCATTGCTTAATCTATCAAGGTTAAAGAGTTCTTCACCAGATAAAACATAACCTGTGCCTTAAGGTACAAAACCTAGGATCAGACACGTAGCAGAGCAATTGTCTGAACTTTAGTCATGTAAATTCATAATCTATTGATGAGATAACTATAATAATTCAGGATGACCTTAGAATAATCTGAGTTGGAATTTCGTGTTTTCATATGGTGGAACATCTGATCTGCATCAGGGTCAACCCTTGGAAATTAGAAACAAATATTGAGAATGATATGTATCTTCTACAAGAAAACTACCGATCAAAGTTTGTTTATTTTTATCAGAGAATAGTGGTAAGAGTCTTAGAATTAGAACAAACAAAAATAACATTTTACAAATAATTGCAGCGTTACAAGATGACACGATCGCCATCACAGGTCGTTGTTCATCGTTAATTGGTAATGAAAGTGGAAAAAATGGTGTTCCAGGAGTTGAGGTTATCAGAAAACTAATTCATATGAAGCCTAAGCATTCAATTTGCTAGAAATTCTCTGAGCCTCATGAAAAAGTGCCTAGTCCATTTGGCAGCAACTGGTACCAAAGTAGGGAAAACTGATGTAAACACAATGACGAAGACCTTTGTGTTATCTGGTGCAATGCTGGTCATTGCAGCGTTGTAGGTGCAGTACATTGCAAAGATGCAGATTTGAAGCTCCAACTGCAAAGGGAAATTGCTAGTGAGGACGTTGATCATGTGAAGAGAAACTGAAAACCCGATTGTGTTGAAAGATTCAAAGAAGACAAATGCAACTGCACTATAAGAACCCATGATGGACTTCCCTGCTAAGTTTGCTGGTTCAGCACTGCCAGTCCCATTCTTGGTCAAGCCAGCATTGTCCTGCCAAACACCATTTGGAGGGCTGAGCCCAACTTGAAAGGTTGCTGTGGCTACCAGTACTGCCACAACTAGCAGAGCGGTACGCGCATCGCTAGGAGAGTCTCTGCCCTTTTTGAACTTGAAGTATTCCATCAAGTTATTTGGCTGCTGCAGTTGAGGGGTCTCTGATGCCATGGGGCAATGTGAGAGGGTATGAGAGTCAAATGAAGGAACAGCAGAATGGGCTATGTCCTGTGCTCTTGAACTTCCAGCACGGCGAAGGGTCTCATGGATTTCCCTATCACCGGCTTCACTTGGGAAGATTAGCAGCAGATCAAGAGGTGTGAGACCGCTCTGGTTTACATTGTTTATTTCCAACGCACCCGGTGTTGTTCCATTTATGCCAACTAACCATTCCACCACCTGTGAAATTTCTACTTCATTAGATTTTTTTTTTCTTAAGATCATGAATTTTTTGCTATATCTTGACCAACTACATTGTTTTTTTTTAATCCTTCCTGCCTGTAATCTGTAAGATTGACTAATAATTTGGGCATTTGCAGTATCAAACAAGTTCTACTCCACTTCTTTATCTTTGTTTCCATTGAAATATTTTGATAAGTTGCCTCTTTCTAGGTTGGATTGTGATCAAAATTTATGAAACAACTTTGTATATCTTAGTAAATAATAAAGTCAACATTAACTTTCAGGGGGACAAAGCTCACACGCAAGCACTCCATGGTTAATCATTCATCCTGAATGCCTGCACTCTGTTTCAGAGGGAAGGTCGGTTCATAATGGAAAACTAAATTATTGTACTTTACCTGGTGTTGTTTCTTCCAAGTTGCTAGGTGAAGAGCTGTGTTGCCATGCTTATCCTTCATATTCAGGACGTTCACCTTCGTCAGTTGTATGGCCAATTCCACCACAACTTTAATTGCTTCAAACTGGCTGTTCTTAACAGCAAGGTGCAAGGCAGTCTCCCCTTGTATGGTCACATCTTCAACACTTTCAGGACAAGCCAAAACCATTTCTCCAACAACATCTACCCTTCCTCTGGCAGCTGCATAATGAAGAGGAGTCCACTGATCTCTTCCATTTAGCCGGCACAGTATTGGGTCAACTTTCAGCAGCTCCCTTACAATCTCAAAATAACCATTGGCGGATGCGATGTGCATGGGGCTAAAACCCTCCTGGTTGAGTTCTTTCACAAAAGCTGGTTTCAACCTCACAGTCTCCTTAACAAAGTCAACGTGGCCGGCAGTCGAAGCAACGTGTAAGGGGTTCTCTGTGGAAGCTAGCGCAAGGCTATGGAGTAGAAGTGGATTCTCTGCAAGCAGTTGGTGCAAGAGTTGAACATCTCCTGTATGAGATGCCCCAAACAGTCTTATGTCCATTGTTGTGGGTTCTCTTAAGCTCAATGTAGTGAGTTCTTCCCGAGACAATAACCAAGGTCTGCACTTTCATGGATACAAATCCTTGGATCAGAGTGGACACGTATCAGGGCCATTGAATTGAATAAATAATATGGATTAGAATTTCATTGTAAAATCATTAATTTATTGATGATCAAAACTAAAATAGTTCAGGTGGACCGTTGAAATAATTTGGGATAGAATTCCCTGTTGCGTGTATCCTTACAATATTGGTGTCTTCTCAACAGGGTCAAAGGTTAGAAATTAGAAACAAACATGGAATGGTATATATCTGCTATTAAAAAAATTGGCAACTGCCTTCCATTGTAGTTCTTGTCTTCAAAATCAAGTACATCAATGCACAACTTCAACTTTATACAAAAAAACCATACAGAAAATGAGACAAAAAATGAAATACTTGTTTTTTTTGGCTTTGTAAAGCTAACAAGCGAAAATTTTAACATTGTCGAGTCCCAATACATATTATTTATTGAAACTCCCAGGATAAAAAAAAAGGGAGCAGGAGAGTCTCCACGTCAACCCTTCACAGCCCCGGTATTGATTCAAGATTATACTTCTGGGAAGGTGATTCAGTACGACTATCTAAGAGCTTCGGCTTCTTCATGGCATCAAGACTCTGCAAATATGTGTAGGAGGAACTCCTATTGGACGCAGAGACAGGGTTGCTTATTCTGCTAGCAAGGAACCGACGGATCAGACCCCTGAGAAATGGAGCCATAGTGTCTGGCTCATGTTCCAAGTAGTACATGATTCCTCCCATAGACAAACAAAACAAAAACACCTGTAACCATTCAAAAAAGAATTACCTACTTTCAATTATCTTTCCCTCCACTCTAAAGCAACTACTTTTTTAATCAAAATTCAACAAGAAAGAAAAAAGAAGTAAATATCAAAACTTAAATTTTGATCCAAGGGTTAGTGAAATAACATCTCTTTCTCACTGGTGAGTAGAAGATCAAAGTTGAGGGATAAGTGGCTTGGTAATAAAATAGTACCTCAGCATTCTTAATATCTGGAAGCAGGTGGCGATTTACTAAGATATACCACAAAGAATCTCCTGCTCGCGGAAGAACATAAAGAGCAAGTTCACCACGTCTAGCCTTTTTCTCCAGTAAAACTGAAAGAGCAGATATTCCACCAGCAATCCAATATAGAAGCTTGTGGTCTTTTGATGCAACTTTTCTATGCAAACATATGACACCCTAGCACCAAAAGAGAAACATTAAAAATGTAGCCATGAAGATTATACAGGTAGGAAAAAGAACCAAAAAAAAAAAAAAAAAAAAAAAAAAAAGAAAAAGGAAAAAAAAAGAAAACTGAAAGATCCCCAACAAAAGCAGACAAAAATGTTGTTGAGCGAATAGCATCTTTAAGAGCAACCAAAAAGGTACGAGCAGGGGCCTCCATGAACTAAAGGGCATAAAGTTGAAAAATTAATATAAAGAGACTTCTTAAAAACAAAAAAGAAAAGAAAACTGAGGAAGCATACATTCAGCTCCCTAACTATCCTCTTTTGTTTACAACAATCTCCTGATTAACAAAAATTCTCACTCCTAAAAACAAGTAAAAAGGCTTGGCAATCCACATAATACAAATATCAGCCATGAAAAGAAATCATGACTAAAGAGTGCAATCCAGGAGAAATATTTAGTAGATTATATCCATTGCACAAATATAAGAAAAAGATATTGTGCATGCATGGCAATAAATCCAATATTACGGTCAAAAGCAACTGATAGGTAATTGCAGCATCTCAGACATAGTCATTGTTAAAGAAGCAAAATCATATAGAAAAATGAAATAAATAACAAGTTCGAAGAATTTACCTTCTGCAGGCGGAGAACAACGAATGGTACAAATGTCAAAGAGAAGTAAAGTGGAAACGTTTTCCTAAAGGTAGCTGACGTTGCAATTGCATTGTGAGCTAAACAAGATTTGTGTCTGGATGAATAACAGAACAAGGAAATATGGATGGATACTCTTCCAACTTTATAGAGTCAGATTTCGTTCTCTCAGACAAGTAATCAGATAGTGAGGCAATATCCACAGGGTAACCTCTACAACATTCCCTTATAGCCTTGTACACAGGCTGTGCAACTGGCCCAGTTTTCTGGATAAATTCTTGATAAGATTTTGGCAAGCTCTCAGGACGCATTACAAAAGCATACATAACCTGAAACATAATTTTAAAATAATTACAATCTTGGACAGCATGAGAGAGAGAGAGAGAGAGAGAGAGTCAAAAGGATTTGGCAAACATGACAGACTACAAGCTCAACAAAAAAACAGAGACTAATGTTACCTGTGCACATGCAATTGAAAAAAGTAGAGAATCCCCATGCCTCCAATGGCTTCCCCAAAAGTGAAACTTGTTCTTAGACTTCGCAGAATTATAAGCACACTGATGACGGAAAAGAAATGTCAAAAGATAGGAAAGACCAATAAAACCCTCATTTCACATACTTTTGAAAAACTACTATAGAGATACAATCACAATACACATTAATTTACCTGGGCTAGCCTGGCCAATAAGTACATAGAAAGTGTGCGCCTTCGGTTTGAGTCATTTAACGCTAAAATAGACAAACCAGCAACTGAACCTGCTAAAATTCTGCTCCATCATCCCCTTAAACAAAGTCATATATAAGGAATAACAGTTTCAAAACATTTCAATGCATATACGCAGAAACACATACACAGACATAAAGAAGAAAACTCACGCATTCAATGGTGTCTCTTTCTTTCTCCACTTTCTCAACAAGCATCTAAGAGCATGATAAGAACCACTAAAGCCACCAAAAAATAAACCGATTCGGCATGCTTCTTCTCTTACAATGAGATCTTTTTCTGAGACTAGTTGCTGTAGTAAAACAAAAAAGAAACAAAAATCAATCATTTACCATTTCAACAACCTATAGACTATAGGCATTCCAAAAGCATACAATTTCAATCCTTCACAAGTATCCTATCTGAAATTTGCAAGAGAAATCCACATTCACTGTAGTTAATTGAACATTTGGACCCAATCTTATCACCATTCATCTCCAAGAGGAAGGAACACAATCGGGTACGAAAATGCAGAGTAATTACAAAAACTGCCAATCCATACCTTGAGATCGAGGAGCGAAGAGTACGACTGTCTGCGGGCGAGCTTGAAAGCGCGAAGAAGGATGCCAATTCCGACTCGTACGCCATACGACAAGAGAAAGCTCTGGCAGAGATTGCCAATGGCGTGGGCGATACACGACTCGTCGCTGGCGTGGTCGCAAGGAGGGAGGTGCTGGGGCCCACGAGCTGCGGCGGAGCGCTGGCGGCGCTGGAGCTCCTCGATGGCATCGCGGAGGCGGTCCTCGGCCTCTCGGAGGCGGCGGTCGGCGTCGGAGCCGTCTAAGGGAGGCGGAGAGGGGGGAGAGGATGGGGTTTTGGACGACATTGTGGTTGTGGTTGGGGAGAGGAGAGTTTGGGTTTAGGGTTTGGCATCTGCGAAGAAGCAGACGCTCCAATGGAGGAAGAAGGATCGCTGGGCTTGGATTGGAGATTCTGTATGCCTTATTATTTTACTGTTATAATTTATGATGATGTCATTAATGGTTTCATGTTGGTATTAGCAAAGAAACTCATAAAGTCGCAAAAGGCTGTTATCCGAACCGTCATGGCGGGTCTTATTGATGTCATTTGTATCTTTTCCCTCCCCAAAGTCCTAATGCAATGTGTGACGGATTTTTGGGCACTTCAAATGAAAGGAATATTTCATATTTATTTATAATATAATAACTACTACTAAATGATTATTTTTTCTTTTCAATTTTATGAGGGCCAAAAGAAAAAAAAAATTACAAAACCAAACAAAAGGATAACATTTGGAACAAATTACACCATAAATCTTTTGTACTATCCTATTTAAGAATCTTGAAAAAACAATGCTCCATGGCATGTTAGTGAGCAAGAAACCAAGCTCAGATAGAACCACTTGTCTTCAACCAGATTGTATCCTCTGTCTTGCTCAACTGCTCTTCGAGCGGAGGACCACAAAATTTGTTACCAATAAAGCCAGACTCATCAAGGCTTTGAATTCCGTCCTGTCAAGTTGTTGTGGGACAAGTTTAAGTGACTTAGAAATGTCAAACTCGTCATGCTTTGAGGAATTTCACCATCATGTTGGTTCATCGAAAAGTCAAGAGATTCTACTCGTGTCATGTTCCCAATGTTTGAAGGAATTCTTCCAGTCAAAAGATTTTCTGATAAATTCAGTGTTCGCAGACAGAGGAGGCTGGTCAGTTCCTCAGGGATGTCTCCGGATATAATGTTGTTGGAAAGATCCATGCTTGTTACCAATCCAAGAATTTCTCTGTATTCGACTTCTCTCCCTTTGGTCACCAAGATTGCTTCAACTATGTACCTCCCATAAGAATAAATGTCGTACAACAAAATATTCGGACTGTTTGATTTCGACAATGTGGCCATGGCACTAAATTTGTGGAAGCATCTTGGTATTGTTCCTGAAAGATTGTTATCTGCGAGGTCCAAGATTTGGAGGTTTATGAGATTACAGAATTCAGAAGGAATGCTGCTCTGAAGCTTATTTGAACGAAAGTTCAGAACTAGCAAATCTGAAAGGCTCCCTATCCACAGTGGTAAGCTTCCGTCAAACTTGTTTCCACCAAGGTCAACAACTAACAACTTGGTGCAGCTCTGTAGGGATGAAGGTAATTCTCCGGACAGGTGATTATTTCGCCAGTGCAACGATTTGAGGTTTAGTAAGTACCCCATATGGAGCGTGGAATGTTCCCCGTTAAGTGGTTGCCTTCTGTTGACGCGGAAAAATAGTTCAATAACTTTCCCGCTCAACTTAGTGATGTTGGCCTTCGGTATGCCTTTGGGCCTCGGTGGAGCACGTGATCTGTAAAATAGAACACGCTCGGTAAGACATTGGGCACCTGTGTGGTACCGGCTGAAGGCTCTCCGATGCTTAAGTAAGTACGGAGTTGGAAAGATTAAACTGACAGACCAATAAGCAGTGTGCCGTAAGTTCTGATTACCTCCATTTTGGGGAATTGTAATCCTTTTACAAGTCTTGGGAGGTGTGCTTGTTGTGTAGATTTTCGATGTGGAACTGTAGACATAGATTGTGAGCCTGCCACGTGTCCTGGAGAAGGAGGTTGACCTAATCGAGGAATCGGTAGGTTGGGTGCCGAAAGCCACCATGGTTAGGCACAATCTTTGTCCACGTGTCTGGCCCTCATTGGCTGTTCATTTTGGGTATAAACACCTTCAAAGTTTACAACTGCCAAGTTTTGCCAATTCATCCAGCATTCAGGAATTTTTCCAGTGAGAAGATTTTTCCCTAGATGAAGAAGATAGAGTTGTTTTGGTTCGTGCATCGTATAGCCGTGTGGCTGTACTCGAATAATAGAATATTTTAAAAGTCCCGCCGCACGACTACACCCTTTAAGTAGCTATCTTTTTAATTACTTTGATTAGTAGTTATGTTTTACTTAGTGAATATTAAAGGAAAAAAGAAAAAGGGAAAATTGAATTACTATTTATTAAGTAATATAATTAATGAAGTTAATTAATAAATATAATACTAATTATTCACTAAATAAATAATAATTAAAATATAATTACTAATTTCACTAATTAAATAAGCCAAATATGTTATTTAATTACTAACAACAAAATTTTAAAAAATTAATTAACCTAAACATCCTAAGTTTATATATATATATTTTTTCAAAAAGACCTCTCCCGACGAAATTTCGTCGGCATAGGTATTTTCGTCGAGGGAAACCTAATCTGACAAATTTTGTCGGCATAGACCTGTGCCGACAAAATTTCGTCGGGAGAAGTGTTCTTTTATTATTATTTTTAAGTTTTAATTTTAAAAATATATAATTGGTTTCTTTACTTTTTCTTTTGCCCAACTTCCTTAAATATCTTATCCTTTTTGAATTACTTTAATTAGTAATTATGTTTTAATTATTATTTCTTTATTGAATATTTAAATATGTTACTTATTTCCTAAATTGCTCAATAAATAGTAATTAATTATTTTGAATTATTTTGTGCAATTTTCAAACCTAATTTCATTCAAATTTAAATTGAAAGGATATGTCAAAAACGAAAAAAAAATTAATTGCTTATTCCTGTTTGGGTGTCTTAATTAAATTTCTCCAAAGCCCAAGAGCCCCAAGGCCCAAGTCTTTAATTAATATAATTTTTAGTAATCAGCGCCAAATCCAAAGCGGAGCCTATAGCCAAGCCCATTACCCCAGCTCTCCAATGTTAACCACACTTACCAAACCATCGTAGTTCTTTTTTTTATAAAGATCTTATAGGATTGTGGATTTTCGATGTTGTGTGTTCCTATTTATTAAGTAATATAATTCATGAAGTTAATTAATAAATCTAATACTAATTATTCACTAAATAAATAATAATTAAAATATAATTACTAATTTCACTAATTAAATAAGGCAAATATGTTATTTAATTACTAACAATAAAATTTAAAAAAATTAATTAACCTAAACATCCTAAGTTTATATATATATTTTTTTCAAAAAGACCTCTCTTGATGAAATTTCGTCGGCACAGGTTTGTTATACCTCTCCCGACGAAATTTTGTCGGCAGAGGTATTTTCGTCGGGGGAAACCTAATCCGGCAAATTTTGTCGGCATAGACATGTGCCGACAAAATTTCGTCGGGAGAAGTGTTCTTTTATTATTATTTTTAAGTTTTAATTTTAAAAATATATAATTGGTTTCTTTACTTTTTCTTAGCCCAACTACCTTAAATATCTTATCCTTTTTGAATTACTTTAATTAGTAATTATGTTTTAATTATTATTTCTTTATTGAATATTTAAATATGTTACTTATTTCCTAAATTGCTCAATAAATAGTAATTAATTATTTTGTGCAATTTTCAAACCTAATTTTATTCAAATTTAAATTGAAAGGATATGTCGAAAAACGAAAAAAATTAATTGCTTATTCTCGTTTGGGTGTCTTAATTAAATTTCTCCAAAACCCAAGAGCACCAAGGCTCAAGTCTGTGATAAATATAATTATTATTAATCAGCGCCAAATCTAAGGGTTTGTCTGTGTGTACGTTTGAGGTGTTTCAGCAGGAGAGAATGCGTGTCTGCCCTGGTGCCCGTTGTTTTGATATTGGATATGCTCGGTTGATTATGATATAAACAAGTAAAATGAACCTCAAACACTATACCTTCAAATGAATTATAAGATATGTCCAAAAAGGTAAGCATTTTGAGTTGACCAAAACTTTGTGGGAGAGTTCCATTAAACTGGTTGTTAGAAATGGTTAATTCCATTAAGTATGATAGGTCTCCTAAGGACTCTGGGATAGGACCTGATATTGAATTAGCAGAGAGATGAAGGCGCATTCAATTTTTAAAATTTCCTAGATGCTCCGTTAAATGGCCTGAAAGATTATTGTACCCTAATAGCAATGACTCAATACGATCTGAACTACACAAAGACAGACTCTCCAAGATTTCTGATACATTTCCAATGAAATTGTTGCTCAAGATCCACCAACTTACAAATATTTTCCAATGAAAGATCATTTTCTGTGAGAGAAGAAGAAGAAGTGATATTTTGTTGACGACTAGGAATTGAACCTTGGAAACCACAAGCTCTGAGATGAAGAGAAACTAGATTTTTAAGACTAAAAACCCACCTAGGCACCAAAGTATTAAATTTATTCTCAGAAAGGTCAAGGGTGGAAAGTGAAGTAAAATTTATGGTAGCTAGACCTAGAGAGGGAATGTGATGAAGTCCACAACTGATCATACGTAACTCTACCAAAGAGGGGAGCGTGTTTGTCAACTGCAACCAATCAGAGGCTTTGCTAAGATCAACTTAACTCATGTCTAGGTGTGTCAAGTGAGAGAGACCAGAAATCCATTGAAGATTCTCAACCTTAAACTTTTAAGAGAACCTAAGAAGCTAGGAATCGGTGTACCTGGAAATTTATTGTAACTTAAGTACAAGTAGTTGAGATGACTTAATTGAGCAAAGAAGGATTTACCTTACCACCCAACCAAGTTGATTTATTGTTGAAATCTATCCAAGAGTCGAGATGCGACCACGAGTTGGGATTACGAAGGTGGAGCTCACGGATGCGACCGGTTAAGTTATGACAGACAACTCCAGTCCAATTGCAACAGTCTCCTTCACCAAACCACGATGAAAGCCGATTTGAAGGATCCTTAACATCTTGCTTGAACTTCAGAAGTGCTTGTTTTTCGCCTTCTTTGCAAGTGGCACCCAGATTTTCATTACATAGACCAATACCAATTGTAATGGTTGCAATAGTTAAAAACCTGACAAGTAAAACAGCTTTCATTGTTCTCTCCGTGTGTATGTATGAATAATGAGCCATGGACAATAAGCTATATACCAGGCCAGGAAGGGCATGCATTGCTATCATCCTTCACACTATGCTCCATAAATAAACCCTAACCCTAGATGACACCTCATCTCTTCAATTGCAGTTGCAGAACCCTTCAATCGTCATCTTCAACTGTTCTTTAACAGAGTTCATAAGGAATGTCTGTGATTCTCTTCCACATTCCTTTATTTCTTTGCTTTTAGTTTGTTTGGTTGAATATATAATGAACTTTGATTGTTTGTAAATGGAAGTAATTTTAAATCTTTAGGCATTGTTGTTGGGTTAGGGTTTGCCTTCCCTTGCTTCATATATCATACCATAAACTTCGATTATTGGGGATTAATTCTTTGTTGGATTAGTTTCATAAATTCTGGTTTCTATGGTCTTCGAGATATCCCACGCCTGTATCGGTGCTTAGCAATCTCCCAAGCCTGTATCAATTGCATCATCAATTCTCAAGTCAAAACATTCCAAACGAAAACAAGAGAGAGTCAAATTGGATTACACATAAAGAAACTCAGACTAGTGACTAATATTTTTATAAAATAAAAAAATAAAAATTTAAACATTATTTGGAGATATCACATTCTAATTATGACCATAAATATGCTTTCCAAATGCGCTTTGAGCTGATTGTATAATCCATTGCATAAGTTTCTGAAACCAAGTTTTGTGCTTTAGTGTTTCTACTGGGAAATTGATAGGATAAACTTGGCTCTTGTTTGGATAAAAGAGACCCCAGTGTTGCTCCACTGCTGCACCAGGCTTCATGTTCTCATTAAACATGGCAAACAAGTAGGTCTCTGTGGAGTTCCCCGGCCGCCTTGGAGTTCCACGGGATGATAACACATGGCTTATTAGGTTTGAATTGTAGATTTGAGCATTCTCGGGTGTTGTCACCTCTCTGTTCCCATCGGAGGGCCAGCCTGTCTCAGACACCACCACTTGGACTTGGGGCGCCTCTGCTTTCTCCAATGCAGCATATAATGCATCCACCATGGTGTCAAACAGGTTATCATAACTTAAACCAACGTCTGTCACAACGACCGTCTCAGAAGCGAACAATGCATACGGCAGTGAAATGTCAATTGGGTCTCCAATGTAGGCAAAATAAGGGTACACGTTGGCTAATAAAGGGGCACCAATGTTGTTGAGGTATTGAGCAATAGGCACCATATACTCTATGGTGTCTTCAGAAAAGGCTCCAGCTGAGGGAGGGTAAGATACACCCAAGACTGATGTTGCAATTGAAGTGCTGACCTTGATGTCTCCAGAACTCAATGCATTCTGCAAGTTTTGCATTGCTGGGAGGACATACCGGGCAGAGTTTCCTGGAAAGACCTCATTGCCAACAACTATGTATCGAAACTGGACTTGCGGCAAATAAGGCGTAATGTATGTTGCCACCCAGTTCTCAGCAGCAGAGTAAGAGCCTGCAAGTTGTTGAAGATCCTCATTCCTGACTCCAACTAGGACTTCGATGCCAGAATTGCGAAGAGCCTCTAATGCTTCTGGGTTTGGATTATAGAGTCTCATTCGTCCGATTTGATTCGATTTGTACATATCAATAACTTCTCTTGGTGGTGGCAAATCATCGGCCACCATTCCATAGCATACTCCAATTGTAGAACCGGTTGCAAAATTTGGACCAAGTAGTACTGAAAGCGCGACGGAGAAGATGAGACAAAGCAGTTCAAAGTTAGTGGCCATTGCAAAGATTGCTGCTATTTGAACCGAGAATAGAAGAATCAGGCCTAGAAAACAACGTCTAAAACCAACGAACAGAAGTATTGGAATTCACTCTCAAAAGCTTTATTGATAGTATGAATAATTTGCAAAGTACAATTACAAACTAGGCTTTTATATAGAGCCACCAAACCCTACTTCGACTAGGAAAAGAGGCATAGCTCCTAATTAACAAAGGGAAACTTAAACTAACAAAACGGGAAACTTAAACTAACAAAACAGGATACTTGAACTAACAAAACGGGAAACTTGGACCGAAAAAAACGGGACACTTAAACTAATTGCAGAAGTCCTAATGCAATCTATAACGGATTTTTGGGCACTTGAAAAGAATATTTCATATTATTTACAATAAATAGGATGAATTCATTATTTAAACATAGAGAAGGATCCACTACGAGCAACATTGATACTGTTTTATTATAAAATAACTCGGTTTATTAATAGTAGAACTGCTAACTTATATATTGTACTTCGACCAAAAAAAAGAAAAACGCAACAAGCTCATTCTATGTACAAACAAAGCTAGCTAAATATATTTCACCTCCCAAAAGAAAAAGAAACTTAGCTAAATATATTCAACAATTACACCATAAAGTTTAACTACCATGCTATTTAGAAATCGGGAAAAAGCAATGCTCCATGGCATGTTTAGCAGCAACGAACCAAGTACACCCCAAAAACCAAACATGAACCCCAGTCCCAAGCTAAGATAGAACCAACCGTCTTCAAGTAAATGGTATCCTCTGTGTTGCTCAACTGCTGGTGGTGGTATCACCCCATTTGCACTGCAATTCTTGTCGAGTGGAGCTCCGCAAAGTTCATTGCCGATAAAGCAAGACTCATCAAGGCTCTGGAGCTGAGTGCTTTTCGGAATTTGTCCCGTCAAATTATTGTAGGACAAGTTCAAATAACTCAAAAATGTCAAACTCGCTGTGCTCGGAGGAATTTCACCACTAAATTGGTTCATTGAAAAATCCATAGATTCTAACCATTTCATGTCACCAATATTTGAAGGGATTCTTCCAGCCAAAAGATTTTTCGATAGATTCAGCGATTGCAACCCAACGAGAGTGGTCAGTTCCTCAGGGATCTCACCATATATCATGTTGTCTGAAAGGTCCATGCTTTTTACCAATTTAAGCATTTTGCGACCATATTCTGCTCCTCTCCCTTTTGTAAACAAGATCACATTATCCATTAAATATTCAGCAAATGTCAAGATCAATGAATTTGGAAAGGTGGCCATTGCACTAAAGTTGTGGAAGCATCTTGGTATTGTTCCTGATAGATTGTCCTGTGCAAGATCCAAGATTTGGAGACTTTTCAGATAACAGAGTTCATAAGGAATGTCTCCCTGAAGGTTATTTGAACGAATGTTAAGAACCTTCAAAATCGAAAGGCTTTTCCCAATCCATGTCAGAGGGCTGCCAACAAACTTGTTTTTGCCAAGGTCAACAACTAACAAGTCTGTACAGTTCTGCATGGACAAAGGTAATTCTCCAGATAGCTGATTATTGTGCAACTGCAGTGAGGTCAGCCTTTTTAAGTATCCTATGGAGCTTGGAATGTTCCCACTCAAATTGTTACTTTTTAAGTTTAACATCACCAACCTTTTCCAATTCATCAAGCAATTAGGAATGTCTCCAGTAAGAAGATTGTCCCCTAGATGAAGAGAAGAAAGGTTTTTTGGTTCATCCATCCTATCACAAAAGAAGTGGAAGAGTGATCCAGAAAATGATGAATTGGAAAGATCTAGTGCAGATACTGAGGAGGAAACAAAAGGTAATGAACCATTGAACTGGTTTGAACTCAGGTCAATTGCTGACTGAAAGCCGGCCACTATATTTTGAATTTCACCATGCAGTTGGTTGTGAGAGAGATTTAGAGCCACCAAGTGGGAAGATATGTTTGGAAACCAAGCCGGAATGGTATCTGAAATTCCTGTATTGGGTAGGCTTAGACAAGGATTAAAATATCGGCCATGCAGATAATATCGGGCCTCCAATTTACGGATATTTCGGGGGATATATCGTTATCGTTTTAGGTATCGGGAAAAAATCAACAAAAATGACAAATATAGGCATTGAAACACATCATTTTGGTGTAAAACTTTCATAGATGTTATGTACATTATCAATGAATGTATTGATCAAATAAAACTCAAAATTTACTAATAATAAGATATACATATGATGAAATATAAGTGGTATGTAATGCGCGTTAATGAAAAGTTTGAAAATAAAATGTTAATTAGAATGAATAAACCATGCATAAATCCATAGTTTGTTTAAACATTGGATTACAATTTAGATAAGTGTCAATCTACATAAATGAAGAGCTCCTATGAGGTTCAAATAATGAGAAACAACCATCTAGATTCATACAATAGTCATACCAAGTCATGTAACCCGAGCAGTTTGTAAGCCATGTTTGAACATGGTGCGCATAGGTCTCTCTTGAGCTCCCTATTGTCCTCCCATATATGAGATAGTTAGGATTAACCAACTAGTAGGTCCATAATCTGTTTTATCATTTTGAGCTCCATAACGAGTTCCACTATAATCAGACATGACAACCATAGCCATCATAAGATTCATTTGAGTTAGTACTAGGTTTAGTTCCTATGCTCATAGATCCAAAACTGATCGCCATGTCCTCTTCAGATGGATTGGAGGTATGTAGGCAGCGGACTGTGTATAGATTCTTCATATTAATAAATTATAGGGTTTTGGGCAAGAATTAGCTATTTTTGGGTTTCAATTTGCTTCAATTGCCTTGAAAAATTTTGAATTTTTTTTGGGTTATGTTATGGGTATCGGGAAATATCGGGGATATCGACAAAATATCGGGGATATCGGGGATATATCGTCGATACATGGGAAGATATGGCCTTACCCCCCAATATCGGTGTCGATAGTTGAAAATACCGACATATCGGCAGATATATCGGTGTATCGGCCGATATTTCAATCCTTGGGCTTAGAAGCTTCAATTGCTTTTGATTCTAAAGCCACATAGGAAATTCACGTCCTAGATGCCAATAATCCAACCATAAGCGACTGAGTTGAAAAGGAGGAAGCCAACCTCGACTAGTATTCAGAGCCAATGAGTTTCCTTTTCCAACGAAATCCTTCAATTTTGTAAGGTAAGTAAAATGAACTTCAGACACTACTCCTTCTAATGAATTATAAGATATATCCAAAACAGTAAGCATTTTGAGTTGACCAATACTTTCTGGGAGAGTTTCATTAAACTGATTGTCATAAATCAGCAATTCTGTTAACACGGACAGATTCCCCAAGGACACAGGAATTGGACCTGATATAGAATTAGCAGAAAGATCAAGGTGGCTTAAATTTTTAAAATTTCCTACATGCTCTGCAAAATGACCTGAAAAATTATTAGACCCTAACGACAAGGACTTTAATTTGTCTGGACCACACACAGACAAACTGTCAAAGATTTCTGATACATTGCCATTGAAATTGTTGAATGACAGATCAAGATCCATCAACTCACACAGATTGTGCAATGAAAGATCAAGTTCCTTGAGAGAGGAGATATTTTGTGGATGGCTAGAAAATGAACCTTGGAAACCACAACCTTTGACAGAAAGGGAAACTAGATTTCTAAGACTGAAAACCCACCTGGGCATCAAAGAATCAAATGTGTTTTCAGAAAGATCAAGGATGGCAAGTGAAGTAAAATTTATGAGGGGTAGAGGGGGAATGTGATCAAGTTGACAACCGGCCATATGTAACTCTACCAAAGAGGGGAGCATGTTTGGAACTTGTAACCAGTCGGATGCTTTACTAAGATTAGCACGACTCATGTCAAGTTTTTTCAAATGAGAAAGACCAGAAACCCATTGAAGATTCTCAACCTTAAGCTTGTAACCGCGGAGACCAAGATACTGTAAATTTGAGAGATTTCCCAACTGAGGAGGAATTATACCTTGGAAGCTTGCCTCAGATAGGTTAAGATATCTTAAACTTTTAAGTGAACCAAAGAAGCTAGGAATCTGAATACCTTGAAAATTATTGTAACTTAAGTCTAAGTAGTTGAGATACTTCAAACTGAGCAAAGAAGGATTTATCTTACCACCCAACCAAGTAGAAGTGACATAGAAATCCCCAAAAGATAAGTGGAGATCCTGTTGAGAGTCGGGTTTATTAAGGTGGAGCTCGCGGACGTGACCGGTTAAGTCATCACAGACAACTCCAGTCCAATTGCAACAAACTCCTTCACCTACCCACGACGAAAGCCGATTTGAAGGATCCTCAAGATCCTTCTGGAATATCAGAAGTGCTTGTCGTTCACTTTCTTTGCAAGGCACTCCCAGATTCCCATTGCACAAACCAATACTAATAGTTATGGCTACCATAGTGCTTAGAAACCTGAACAGAAGTAAAACAGCTCTCATGGTTATCTTCATCCAGTTATATTGTGTAAAGTGCATGAACAATAACTTTTGAGTGGAAAATGTTGGGGCACTGACTTATATCATTATTTGATCTTTCTTTGGCCTACAAATCAACCTTTTTCTTGCATCGTTATTTTGACTCTTGATCACAATTTTATCTTTTTGCCATTTGTAATGAGATTCCCGTTCGGCTGCCAAAATCGAATACCATGTCTTCATCAAACGAATATAAAAATAAAAAGAACCAATAGATGACATCGAATGGTGCAAAATTTGAAAATAAAAAAAAGAACTTGTCTTAAATTTACCTTATCAAGTCAAAAGTATTAGGGCAATAACAGACCAAAAGAAAAGAAGAGAGAGTCAAATTGGATAACACATAAAGAAAAACTGAGACTAGTGTCAAAAAATCTACCAATGTTGCATTATTCGGAGACAATCGCATTCTAATTATGACCAGAAACACGCTTTCTAATTGCTCTTTGAGCTAATTGTATAATCGATCGCGTAAGTTACTGAAACTATGATTTGTCCTTTAATTTTTGTTCACAGAAAACTGATTGGATAAACGTGGCTTATTAGGTTCGAATTGTATATTTGTGGCTGGTGTTGTCACCTCCCTATTTCCATCGGAGGGCCAGCCTCTCTCGGACACCACCACTTGGACTTGGGGCTCCCCTGCTTTCTCCAATGATGCATGTAATGCATCCACCATGGAGTCAAACAAGTTATCATAACTTAGACCACCGTATGTCACAACGACCGTCTCAGAAACGAACAATGCATAAGGCAGTGAAATGTCAATTGGGTCTCCAACGTTATAAGAGGGAAAAAAATTAAGCAGAAAATTTGGGGATTGTAAATTAGAATGGTTTATGGATTGATCATTGACCAGCACTGGAGTTGAGAACAAAAATCTAGGTCAAACAAAATATTTAGATTATGTCATTGTAATTTAATACTAGAGATAAACAAACCATTCTGTGGTCCAACTAGTAAGATAAATACAATTTCTCTTGGAAGGCAGGCTTAAATTTTCTTTCCAGTTTGATCTAAAGAACCACTTGTTGCATTTCGATCTATCCACGAAGCTTGCCATTGCTTGTCATAGAAAGTAGCTTCATCAGCTAGCTTCTTTAAGTTCTCAAAATCTTGGGTTTGCCTGACGAATATTATAGCAATGACTGCCACAAAGAACCCTGCCTTGCATATGAAGTTGCCAGTTTGTCCTACAACACCGAGCCCTGTCAAAGCATCTACAACATATGCCATGAAGAACCCAACCATTGCCGCTCGACCTATATCCAAAATAGTTCATGCAGCAAAAGATACATAGTTCTAATTAGAACTAAGAAATATAATAATGCAATGCATGCAGCAAGAATTGCATGCATATTTCTAAGAACTAAGAAGTGCAAGTGTGTGTGAAGTGATTGATGATCGGAACCAACCATTGATCAGCTCAGCCTCCGGGAGATAGGATCTCATCATCCATGCCCACCATGGTATGATGGAGCTCCTAAACACAACCGGGTCATCGTTGGTGGCTGATTCTGGGTGAAGCTCAAGAAACTTCCTCCTCCTTGCTTCTGCAGTGCCAAATTGCCAATACATATAAAATAAACAATTTTTTTAATGCATTGTATAAAAAAGTTAAAATAGGACACAAACATAGAACAAATAGCCTATATAAACATGAATATTTCAATAGAAACACAAGTTTTGTGATAAATCTGAGAGAGACCAATTAGAGCAGAGCACCTGCTAGAATGATGCCATCCAGTCCAACTTGCCATCCTTGGAAAACATATTTAGATCCTATGTCCCTTTCTTCCACTGCTCGTCGTTGAACTTCACAAGAGGCAATTCTGTACCCAAACCATGTTGTGATTTGTAGTCTGCAGCATCCTCTGCCTCAGGCCCATCGATGCGTAAAGCAGACTTCTCTTGCTTCTCTATGTTTAAACCATTTTGAGCTTTCACATCCAGCGCAACAACATGATGGGTGGCCTCTTTTGTCCCCAAAGAGCGAGCAGCTGGTCTGGATTTGGGCTGTTGTTTCTTAGTGGCTTGATGTGAGCTGCAAACTGTTTGCAATGAAGCAGAAATGGCCAAGGAAGCCATGCCTTATCTTAAGGTAGCTCTCCTCCTTTGTTCTTGCTAGTTTGGTGCTTCAGTTTCTTGTTCTTTTCTTTTTTTCAAAATGATCTTATAGATAGAAAGTAGGGAGGAAGCCCATGCTTGGGAATTTGAAAGCTTATCATCCCTTGTTTTTGTCAGTGAAGTTATGGGCAAACTCTTTACTGTATCTGCTGTAACCATTTTCATTTTTTTAAAGAATTGGTAAAAATTGCTAGCAAGAAATTTAATATGCATTTTTCACTGAATCTTTTATAGCTTAAATCACTCTAGACTTGGTCCAAACTATCTATAAAAACTTGGGTGGATAAATTCAGTTGGATTTTCTTTATATTTTATAAACAAGGGAGGCCAAAGGACAATCATTCTTTCAAAGCCAACAATGAACCAGAAATTGTGGCCAAATTCACCTAACTAATTAACTTTAACTAGGAAAAATCTTGAAGACCAGATTGGATTTAATTTCCTGACAATGGTAACAATACTAATATAAGTATAAGAATAGCAACCACCAATTTATCATTTGAGCCACATTGCAACAAGAAAATCATATTTTTCTTCACGAATCACTTCCTCCAATCGATACAAAATCTGCCAAAAAATGCCACAATTAACTGCAGAAAAAGAGAACAGAGAATTTTGGAGGTTACAAAGAATGGCTTCTTCAAGCTGCCTCTTCAGCCCTCGGCTGTGACTGTGTATTGAAGAGATAAAGAAGAAATCCAACAGACTGACAGAAGCTCTTTATGCTTCCCAACCCCTTAAGACGGTGGCACGCGCAACCCGGTTTACACCCAATGTGAAGGCACCCATTCTGAGATTACACTCGTGGGTCTTGCACATGTTCTTGATGTTATGGAAGGCCCGAGTCATGTACCTTTGGAGCTCATTATTGACCTTCTCTTCGTCCCACATAAAACCTTGAATATTCTGTGACAAAATATAATCAAATTTCAGCACGTTAAATTATGTCCCTAATCAAACTCAGAAAAATCAATAGGAGACAAAGTTTTTCCTCTGTCAGTCACCTGAACCCACTCAAAATAGCTAACAGTCACACCACCAGCATTTGCATATATATCTGGGAGTATTATAACTCCTTTCTTGGATAAAATCTGCATCAATTAGAAATCATCCATCAGAATTGTAACTGTCTTTTTCTCCAACTTAAAATCTCAGAAGAAAGAATATGCAGTAATACCTCATCTGCTTCTGGATCAGTAGGGTGATTTGCGGCCTCAACAATGAATTTGGCCTTCACAGATGAAGCATTTTCCCTTTACAGCAGAATGACGGATATAAATAAAATAAGTGGAATTATATAAGTGCAATTAAAAAACTACCTCTTTTGTCAATGAAGGGAGAGAAAGAGAGAGGAGAAGGAAGAGAATTGATAATGCAAAACATAGGATAAGAAACACCAAGGAAAGCAGTGAGTTTGTTGGTAAAGGGGTTAAACCTAACCTGTTCAGAACTCCTCCTAAAGCAGAAGGGATGAGAACATCACATTCATGTACTAGCAGTTCATTAGGGTCCATGTTATCTCCACCACTGAAATTTAATAAACTCCCAGTGTTTTCCTTGTACTTAATCAACTCCGTGATATCAATTCCATTTGGGTTCTTAATTGCGCCAGTGATGTCACTCACAGCAATAACCTTACCACCTCTCTCGTGTATAAGCCTTGCTGCCCAGGATCCCACGTTTCCAAAACCCTAAAAAAGTTCACAAAACAATCATTTTTGATATGATCACAAAACGTTATTAACAAAGAAGACAATGTCAAATGATTCTACCTGAATAACAAAAGTCAAATCTTTAACTGACTTCCCATATTCTGCAAGTAAAGCTTCCGTTCCAAAAACAACACCGCGTCCAGTTGCAGCCTCCCTACCTAGTGATCCCCCAAGATCCTAAAAACACAAACACAAGAGACAACTTAGGTAAGAATGAGAGAATTTCTGTATGTTACTTATGTGTCCCAATTTCAGAGTGTTCAGTACTTACAATGGGCTTTCCAGTCACAACAGCTGGTGAGTGACCGTGAAATTTGGAGTACTCATCCAAAATCCATGCCATTGTCTGGGCATTGGTGCCCATATCAGGTGCAGGAACATCAGTATGAGTTCCAATGAGATCATGGATTTTCTGAGTGAAGACACGAGTCAGACGCTCCAACTCACTTTTACTTAACTCCCTTGGGGTGCATCCAATTCCACCCTTTGCTCCACCATATGGAATGTCCGCCACAGCAGTCTTCCAGGTCATAAGTTGGGCCAGGGCATTTACTTCATCCGGATCAACCTTCAAAAACAAAATAAGAAAACTTTCAATATAGAATTCACAAAAAAGCATATACATTTCTCTAATTTATGCTGCTGGTTTCAAACTTTTTTAAAGGCCAGGCAGAGGTTCTATGTGAAATCATCTCCTAGAAATGTGGACTGGACTAGAGAAATGTGAAACATTGCATTTTGTTGGCGCAAAACAGGGGAAATGATCTGGGATCTGGTATCTGGGTTCTCAGTTCTCATAAAAAAGAAGAAAGGCCAAGTGACAAATAAACAAGTGAAATGACATTTGTCGAAAACATAACTACTTAAGGGACCTGTGCAAAGACAGAACCTTGAATGATTACTTTACACATTAACTGTTTAGCCAAACCAATTAGCTGACTTTTGTAAGCCAAAACACAATACAGATACCCAAAAGCATAATTTATTTTTATTTGGTCTTAAACTATATATTTCTTCATGTAAAATTTATTTATTTTTGCAAATTATACCAATTCGATTAGTGACCAAAAGTTAAGACTCAAAGTTTATATCTTCAATTATTACTCTTCCCTCCTGACCTTTTTGTAAAGTATGATGATCTTTCAGCTTTATCTCAAAAAGCAATCAAATCATTGGATCTACACAGAAAATCCAAAAACCCCCCAAAACCCAAATGACATTATGCAGAACACAAAATAAACAGATCATGAAAAAGAACAAAGCAAAAGACAAAAACCCAACGGAAACAAAACGAAACACATCACCTCAGGATGATATCTGATCCCTCCCTTCATTGGTCCACGTGCATTATCATGTTGCACTCTGAATCCAACGTACGAAACCAAGCTTCCATCGTCCTTCGGAATTGTGCACTCCACCTTATCCACCACAACAGACAAAGTTCAACAATTTCTCGAGAAACAATCACAACTGATCAGATTATAATCAAACTTTAATAAAAAGACCAAAAAGAAACAGCCGATGAACCTTGATCTCTCTGAAAGGGATCAAGAGACTCTTCTCAATCTTAGCATCCAATCCAAGAATACGGGCCGCGTTGCGAAAATTGCGGCTTGTTGCGGCGAGGGCGTTCATGGCTGCCAACAAAACTCAAAAACAGAGACTACCCAGAAAAGAGAAAGTGATGGGAAAACTTTTCAAGATACCGAAGGAGAACTCCAAGCCAAAGGGAATAAAAATTGGGTGGTGGCCAAAATAACGCAATGGGATTTGTGAGAAGGTGAAAATTGAAGACGACAAAGAGAGCTAAGCAAATGGTGATGAAAAAAAGAGTGAAGTGGTTGGTGAGTATATATAGGGAAAGAGTGGTTGAAAATGAAGGTGCCAGCCAGCCACTGTTGGTGATGTTATGGATTTGCTTAGAGATTTTGAAGAAAGAAAGAGAGAGATGTGTAAACACCTAACCACATTGTAGGGATAAGCTTGAGGAGCTCGGTCAATCACAGCACTAAGCTGATGTGTTACTATTGACCTTCAAGGGCATAATGGTAAATATATACAGTAGTCAAGCAAAGCCAGCTATTTTAGATTCACCGTAGCAGAAATTAGGGGGCCAGATTTTCACGTGAAAATTGATGTGCATGCATATAATGACCGTTGTTTCTATGAACAAATGAATTTTTTTTTTCTATTACAATTAATTATTATATTTGGCATCCACGTAGTTTGGAAGAAGGCTTATCTGGGCAGTTCAACGACCGGAGGATGACGTGGCATCCCAATCAATAACCCTCCTACCTTCCCTTGTAACATCTTACGTCACGACAACTCAGACTTAACTGGAGTCAGATGAGCAATCGCTATTCAGTATTATCCACGTGGCGTGGGAATTGACGTGGGCCAGGTTATTAAGTTGGACCACGCTTCGCCGCGTATTGGGGATGAGGTGGACAGATACGCTTTGGAAAGGAAGGTGAGGAATTGAAGAAGATATATGGAAAATTAGAACTGAGCCTGAGAGTATCTGAACAGGTCTCAACTGCAAAAGGGACCAATTGGCAAATTTCCAATAAGACAGACAACAGACCTCGGTCGGGGGTAAATAGACAATGTCGTTTTCACCCTACTAGATTACACAAACAACACTTTGATTTGTGTTGTGCTATCAAAACTCAATTTTGCTTTGGTTGTTCTGCAAGTAAGCAGTATCAGCCAGCGTCTCGAGAAACAATTCATGTTCTGCACAAATCCATCCATAACCTGGTTTTCAGCAAATTAATGTTGTATCTTAGAATCCAATAGAGAATGTTGCTGGGATTTGGTACATCAGCTTGGAGGAGACATTGAAAGAAACACAATTTAACAAATCAAACCATTAATTCGCAAAATGATCTGATCAGTTCCGTCTGCAATTTTGGCTTGACTAAGATGAAAACAGTTTTTCTTGTAAGCCAACCACTTTCTTAGACCATGGAGGAGTTCTCATTGGGAGAAAAACAAAAGGCAAACCAAAATCATTCAACTCAGACCAACAACAAGCAAATTGATTGACAACACAATCAAAGGGCATTTTTGAGTTAGGCACCTCAACGAAATCAAAACTATTCGAGGAAATAAATTATCCTCCAAGCAATCTATTCCAACCATAAGTAGGCAATCTTACAACTTACAAGGTATACAATTCAGTACAAAGATAACTACCAGATTTGTGCTATGATCAGAGTCTCACTGTACTCCCACGTGTGCTCATAAAGTGTCTCAAAGGAACTAACATTATAATGTCAAAATCTCTCTGAAAGATGGAAAGTCCTGCACCTTCAGTTCTTGACCATTCTCCTACAATCAGTGACAAAACTTTCAAAATGAATAGATAAAAGCATGAAATATGGTTTACACATATAAAATGTTATAGAAATACTTATATATATCCCAGCCAAAGGCTATTTCTTCAGAAGATTTCATAATGTTGTGAATTTTACATGTGCCAATATTCTGTCATTGGGTAACAAATATCGCAGACCATCCATAAACCCAAATGGTCAACAAAAACGGTAAGAATGCAATTGCACTTAGAATACATGTGCACATACTTTAATTTGAATGAACATTGTGCAAGACATTTAATACAAAGGACCCCGTTACCACAACGCATTTTCCTAATGTGTAGGCCAAACAAAAATTAAAGTGCCCCCACCCCTACCCCTACCCCCAACCAAAACATCAAAGATTTAAAATAAATAAATAAATAAAACCCAGTCCCTTCCAAAAAAAATACAATAAGCCTGGCAGGATGGTGAAGCTGAAATAAGCATCTTATAATTCACTCCTGCCAAATGGCTCAGATGTTTTACTAGATCTGCTCAAAGAACAACTACAGAGTAGCTGTTCTCATCCTGAGAGGTGTAGTTTAATAAGAGCACATCATCATCGCCATATAAAAGGTGGGGAGGAGAAAGGAAAAAACACTGTAGCATGATGAACACTTAGGAGTGGCATGACATGTTCACAAAGACCTGGCACAGCTGCCCAGTTTGCACCAAAGAAGAAAAAGGGAGCCAGCCATGGAAAGAAAACTTCTTTTGTTCTTTATTTTTTCCCCTGGCATTGAAAAATACATAATTGATCTGATGGAACAAGTGGAATCAGATATACAAGTTACTGAAGACTACTGCTAACCAAGAATTTCATAGAGCATAAAGATTTCATGAATTCATCAATCACTATTAAGGAAGCAAAAGAAAAATGCAGAAAGGGTGGATATTAGACATTTATCATAATGCTATACAATTATCTACCATATTTGAAAAACTTGGACCTTATCATATGAGCTTGATCATTGTATCAAAGAATTTGAATAAGAAATAATGCTAATCTCATAAGCCTGAAGACCAAGAAATTAAAACTTACCTCACCTGATATATTTTCCATTGCTGTTATTATGTATGATATTGTCAAGTTAACCTTCTTTCCTATAGTAATAACCACATGCATAAATCAGGACACTGATCTAGTATGGTTTTTTGGTTAAAAATTGCAGAAAACTTGTGCTTCCACAATGACGAAAAAAATAAAATAAAAGAATCAACATACTTCCTCTTTCTTCGATCAACCCCACTATTCCTTGCTTCGTTTTTTGCAAGAGAAGACCCAGGGGGAACAGCATACTGCATAGGAGAAGGGGCTGGAGCATTTGCTGTCACCGAAACAGTTGTAGCTGGCACAGGAGGCACAGGTTGCTGAGGTGGAGCAGGAGTAGGAGGTGCAGCAACAGGTTCAGGAAGGGGTCTCGGTAATATATGTTTCAAACGGTTGTTCCTATAGTTCTTCCAAAAGTAGAATTGCTGCCTATGTGCCAATTCCTAAAAGTTACAAGAACCAGACGAATTTACTGCTAACTCCAATATATAGCTCCAAACACTTTAAATTTTAAGGAAGAAAAACATCATTCCAGACTCAAAAGGGAACAACATAGAAGCATCAGAAATTGACCTTGTTAACAGGATGGGCCATTGCGTTGCGAAAGTTGGCATTTTGAAGTTGCTCAAGAAAAAATAGGCAATGAGGATACCTGAATAGTTACAAGAAATTATATCAAGGGTGGAAAAAAAAACCTTATAAAAGAACGTAGACCAGTCAATGAACTCAAAATGACCACAAGTTATTTTTTTTTTTTTTTTTTAATTTGACAAAAATGACAACAAAGTTATTATAAGACATGGGTTTTCACTCACATTATAAATTTCGTATACTCAGGACGCTGCCAATATTGAAGATATTTCAAGTACCCAATGAAAGCCTCATCTTCAAAATAACGATTTTGAGCCAAATCTGTAGCAAACAGACAAAGAATAAGGTACTTTTACAACAATGGTGCATGTCCATGAAGATAGAGTAAATGCAAAAAGAAAGAAAAATAGCTAAGTGAAAGGAGAGTACAGTGAATGTAGGTGGGATTTGCAAGACATTGGACGAATTCCAATTCAAGCAAGAAGCGTTGTCGGCCGTCATCTGGGTCCTTGTATATGGTATTTGTCCTGCAATTACCAGTAGAAATCAATCAAATTGAACAACTTCTTTCTCTGTTCCAATCAAATGGGTAAAACGTTTGAGAAATTAATTAAGATAAAATGAACTCCCACGAACCCCAGGAAAGTTTAGGATATCGACAAAAAATCATATAAATCAGAAGAAAAATAAAAGGCAAAAAAATTATAATATTTGAAAGCGAAGAGGAAGAAGGTGGGTTTGCTTACAAGGGTGGAGTATCGGCTGTTTCGTCACTCTCTGTGCCAGAAGCCATTCAATTTCAAGCCTCCCACGCACTCAGATATCAGATTTTGCGAGCGATTTTCTGCTATTCTCCCTCCCTCTTTACTTTAACTTGGATTCTTTATCTAACGAGACTGAACAAGAAGCGCCCCCTTTCTAGTAGTAGTAGCATCCGTAACAATCATAACAACTAAAGCAGCGGAGATGGGCCAAGCCGGCGTTGCCTTGATCTGAGCCCAATCTCAAAATTGCTACTTGATTAATTTTTAAGCCCATAAATAATAAATATTTTTTTAAGGCGAAAAAAATAAAGTTGAAACACTGCCCACCCCAACCTTTCCCTCTCCTTTTTTCCGAATACAAGCGATGGTCTAAACTAGTACAAGGGGAGGGGGAGTTTCTCACACATGCACTACCACCAATTCTTGTTAATTGTCCAATTTTTGCGCTCATGGTATATTGACATTCAGTGTCATTATAACAATTTCTCGAATTTGAGATCCCAGCTGATCGGATAGGATGGTGTTTTTGTTTGCTTGTATCAAAATTGATTTTGAAACAAGAAGATATTGCCATGTAACAACCCACGTTACTTGTCTAGTTTGTTCAGACCTAAACTCATTTTGTGAAGATATCTTGGGATGAGGATGCCTAAGAATGTGATTTAATCTGTTGGAATTCACATCAAGGGCTATAAACAGATCCCATTCATAAGCAATCGACACACAATGTCCAATTTCACAAGCTTCATTCTAGAACTGAGGCTAGAATCAATTTGAAATATTTCCTGTTCTGCACAAATCCTCCACCTGCGTTTATTTTATTGGAAAATATATGCCCACATCATGTCATTTGGACAAACAAACTTTTGTCTTGACCAAAAAAAGACAACTTTATATTGATAATTCACTACTCGAATTCATAAAATTGAATGCATAAACACTTCCTTCAATGTTGAAAAAAACATCCACACTGATCTTAAAACTACAAATCTAGCACAGAATTCTGTAAAAAGGACTCATCTCTAATACAGCATTTGCACATCTGCCTTCTTTCATCCCCTCCACACATGAACTAAACCATTTTGTGCACTACAAATTTGAGAAAGAATCAAGTTGGCCTCTGCCATGCAAATGATGGTTCAACTTCTTTTCTCCAGTTCCAAAAACTATAGATACGACCATAATGAAACATAAATGGCTCTTGCACAATTAGAATGGTATACGACCATAATAAAACATACATGGCCTTCACATAACGTGGCCACCTGGTGATGTTATTCATCATTAGTATGGTCTATATCGCATGGGCCGCCTGAACCTTGGAACCCTCCTGCATACAAGAAAAAACAAATCAATGCATAAGTACAGAAACAGTCTTATTTGTATCTCAGAGTGAGCGAGACAAACAAAAACCTACAGTTTCCAGCAGTGCAGCTAAGGAAATAACACAAACAAGCTGCCAATATTGCAGCCTAGTCAATTTGTCAAAGGACCTGCTGCACAGCCTAGGAGAAATTGACTAGGTGCTTAAGATTGTCATAGTTTCTAGTTTTGGCAGTTTCAGCTTATTCATTTTTTTCGGAAGTGTGTGAGGGGCATGCAAAGTACAATATTACCTTTAGTTCAAATAATACCACTAAAGTCTATATACTCTCAGCAGCACATGTTGTGTGGCCTTATATCATTTCACATATATTTTGCGTCTTATACGAATCTAAAATCTACACTCAAGCACACTAAATGGTCATAAATCAAGTAAAGGATGAATTTGATGGAGACAAATAGTAATTTCCAAATTCTCATGCCTCTTTGACTTCCTTAAAGGCAACCAAGTAGAACAAAGAGATCCTAGGGCTTACCCATAACCATACGCAGGAAAGAAAGGTGCAGCAGGTATGAAGGGCCTCCGAGATCGAAAAAATGGGTTTGGACGCCTTCCCCGATACTGTTTCATTCCAGGAACGTTTGTCCGCTTAGCAGAGACCTGTGAATATACCAAAACCAATCACTATAGCTCAAATGATTGACCAAAAAATTATTACTCTAATTCAAATGAGTATAGAGAACTATCTATATAAAAGAAATCAAGTACCTTCAATTGACGGCCATGCAATTCTGATTCATTTAACAGGAGAGCATTCTGAACAGCATCAACTTCAACAAACTCAACGTAAGCAAATCCTTTTGGTTGACCAAACTTGTCGGTCAAAATTGTAACTCTGTTCACAGTTCCACAAGACTGAAAATGCTGCTGGACTTCCTCAGGAGTACATGCATAGTCGACCTGAAGTTAAAATCAAACGAAGTTCTCACTCTTGGTCTTGAGGCTTCCAGAGACGATATAAATTATCACATATGGTTACAATTTAGAAAGAACGTTGGACCTATTGCAGTTGAACTTAATCAAAACACAAAGGAAATCAAACTAATTTGAGACTGCATCTCAAAAACTACATAGAGCTAACTTAAAGTTGCTGGGGTAAATTGTTTAAAATTGCATTAAATTATACATTAATGAATACAAAATATCATTAAACTTTTTAAGTTTATCAACCCAACTCTATCTACACCAGAAATTATCTAAACTAGTTCTTTCAAGATAGCATGGCTATGGAAGATAGATGGCTACGTGAAATTCAAATCTCAAACTACAAATTAATCAGGCTAAGAAACCTTCAATAATTTGCAGCCCACAGGAAAAAAAAATCTAAAGAAACATAACAATCACAGAGTAAATTTAAAAAAAAAGGGCAACAAACAAACTCTATGGATGCCACTCAGTCCTAGGGAACTCCTAAAGCAACATATAAAATGTCTGCTAGGAAACTGAGTGATATCCTAAACTATGATATCTTCTAATTCTAAAAGATTGATCCCTCAAGAACCAATTTTCATAAGGGAAACGATAAAGATGTAGAGCAGAGCATGCCACACTAAATATAGTATAATGAATTCCAAATTAAAATGAAACAAAGATAGGATTGTTGAGCCTCACATTACCAACATAGATGGATCGAGAATCCACCTCCTCCTTCTCAGCCTGAGTTGCAGAACCACTAGAGGAATCTTCATTCACAATCAAAACACATAAAAACAAGAACTATTAGCTAATATTGATAGATATCATTACTTGAAACAATAAACCTTGAAGTAAAACTTAAAATCTAGCACCATCAAACCATGGAAATCATGTTTTATCACATTTAAAGCATGAACAGTTCAAAACTACTGCTGATAGACATTATAAAAGCCTATTGTATGACAGAAAGATTCTATGAGAACCATTGTATGTATAACTCAAAGGTGCCTTCGATGGGCTGACCAACAAAGAAAATACAAATGACGCACAATTAGACAACAATGGCAGAGGGTGGAGATGCAACTAAGAGAATCCAGTTAGTTATCATATTAGAGACACATAGTTATGCACTAGAAACAATCGGGCTTATATAAAAGGACAGTGACTCCTCGTAAAAATATTCAAGACGGCAAGCGTACAGGTATGCAGAACAAAATCTACAAAATCCCAATTATACAATATGAGAAACCTTGGAACTTGGGCAATTGATCCATTTAATCAGCGACAAACAACTGACAACCAGGGTTGGCGCGTGAAGACTCGAAATAATTAAAATTTTCCTGTCTTTACAGTATCTTATATAAGAGAACAATAACTCTAGTATAACCATTCGAGACGGTACATGTGCATGTGCACATACACACAACAAAACTACCAAACTCCAATTGTACAAAATAAATAACCTTCCAATTCGGGTTATTCAGCCAATTAATCAGTGCCAAGTGACAACGTGGTCGGTTCAATGCATCAAAATTCAAAAGAATCAAATTTCCATGTTCTTTTAAGCTTTTATGTAAGAAGTCACCAATCATACAGCACAAAAGGACTACAAAGTGGATTCTGACCTAGCATTAGCTAAACAGTTATCACTGAGCTCAAACCCACAAAAGAATCAAATGCAGCCTAACCCTAGCTCAACAAATCACGCCCACAATACCTAAAGAAAGCAAGAACAAAAAAGAACACTAAAACTTGGGTTTCTTGTGGATGAATGGGAGGGGATTGATACCTTGAACAGCGCCCATCTCCTTTTCGACCTTGGCCTGCATGTCGCGGAGTGCGCCGGCCTCTTCTTCTATCTCCTTGAGCCGCTTCTTCATGTCCTCCAGCTCCTATATCACAACGAAAAACCGAACCTAAATGAACCCAACCGGTCCAAACAAACAAGAAGCTACCAATCGAGATTTACGAGACTAAATTGCAGTACCTTGGAGTTAGGGTCGTCGTTGTAGTCTTGGTCGTCGTCGGCCCTGGACGACATGTCGACGTCTTCGCCGTCGTCGGCTGGGATCTCGCCGCCGTAAACCTCGTGCTCTTGTTGCTCCTCCATCTCTCTCTCTCTCTATTGTCTGTGTGAGTGTGATTCGGAGAGGTGTGTCTGGTTTTGTGAGGTTTTTGGTTTGGGGATTATATATTTGGGATCGGGCGGTCGATGTGTATGGGGTTGGGGTTGGGGTTGAGGAGAAACGTGGCTCAAATTTGAAATTTTGAGAACCCGTGGGGGCACTTTGGGATTTTGACTTTTTTATCCGTTTGTATTTGATTACCTCATTGGATTCGGAGACTCTGCTTGACGATTGCATTATTGTTTGCGTCGGGCTGATGATGAACGTACAAGATTGTACCACGTCGTAGAAAGACAAGTCTTGCGGTTGCGTTTCGTTTCTTCTCTTCTAATTCATTTTGCTTCAGTTAGCTGCCCTTAGAGCATTTCCAGCAATGCAGGCTGGGCTCAGGCTGGGGGGGTTTGGGGCTTTTGGCGTTTCCAGCAGCAAAAGGGAGCCCGGGCAGGAGGTGGGGGCCAGCAGACTAGGCTGGCCCTCGGTGGGGTTCGGCCCGAGCGCTTGCCCGCAAGTTGAGCTGGCGTCATCGCGCTGAAGTTGTTGTGACGCCAGCACTACAGTGTCCGCCAAGATTATGTGCCATGTGTCGTGTCCTGGGCTCTCTGATCATAATTTTTGCTCCAATCCAACGGCAGCCAATATTTTTGTAATAAAAAATTTAAAAAAATCGGTTTTAGTGCAAAATACGATTTAGGCTAAAAATGATGGCTCATTAAGTCAATATATACTTCATATTAATCCCATAAAATCAAGTTTTCTTATTTGATGTGTAAGGAATAAAGCCGTCAAAAATTATCTTGAGAAAATGATTATTCCGAAAAAACATTTTTCACACTTAGTCAATATTGCACCTCCGCTAAAAAAATTCCGGGTCTGCCAGTGTCTATAAATACTAACCAATACTCTTCACTTTTAACACCAAATCCTCATACTTTTTTTTTTCTATAAATACCAACCAATACAACTAATAAAATAAAATCTTATCCAAAAATATTATTTGATAAAATAAAATCTTGCCTTTCTTTTCTTAGTTTGCTTGCCTTTCATTTCATTGTATTTTTCTGTTTTGTTTTAATAATTAGTGGTCATTCATGTATTTTATTTTATTAGTTGTATTGATTTATCTGAATTTTGAATTTTGAAATTTATATGAAATTTGAAACCAAAAATCTTATTCGATATGAATAGTATTGACACGTAGGAACCCAAAAATCTTATCCGAAAATATTATCCAAATTAATTGTTTAAGTAAACAAAGTTGTGAAAAAAACAAAAAAATAAATAGTATTTGCCATGGCAAGCATAAACTGCTGGAAACACACTTTGCTAAGGGGGCTAGGGCAGCCACTATTCACGTGAATAGTGGTTGCCCTAGGGCACCCCTTGCCATGGCAAGGGGCTAACTAGTGGAAATGCTCTTAGAGCAACTCCACCCATTTGCCCTTAGTCATGGCAAGGGGGGAACTAGGGCAGCTACTATTCAGTGAATAGTGGTTATCCTTGCAAATAGTATTTTGTGTTTCCACCCGTTGCCATGGCTAATGGCAGTTACTATTCATTTTTTTGTTTTTTTCACAAATTTTTTTACCTCAATAATTAATTTAGATAATATTTTCGGATAAGATTTCCGAGTTCCTATGTGTCAAGACTATTCATAATCATATAAAATTTTCGGATAAGATTTTTGGGTTCAAATTTCGGATAAATTTCAAAATTCAAATTTCAGATAAATTTTTGGGTTCAAATTTCGAATGAATTTCAAAATTCAAAATTTAGATAAATTTGGGTTCAAATTTCAGATAAGATTTTCATCCAATCAAATCAAGCCACGTGGCATCCCTATCTTGCCAAAATTTGCTATAAAACCAGAGGCTCAGCTCATACCTCTCACACCACATCTTTCTATATTTTCATTTCTCGGAGTTTAGAATTCATACTCTATTCATTCTCAATGTAAGATTTTAGGAGATGCTTGGAGAGGCATGAGTTAGAAACAAATGAGAGAAACCGTAGAGCAGATGAAATCAATGAGTTGCAAAGAGAAGTCGATGAACAAGTTGTCATAGCAGTAGCTTTGCAAGATGAAGAGAAACAAGGTCGTTGTCGTGGTTCACAAGTCGGCCGCCGCCGGAATGTGGACAGACATAGGCATTCTCGGGGTAAGAATCTTTTGGAAGATTATTTTATCCCAACTTCTTTGTACTCTGATGTTGATTTTCGAAGGCGATTTAGAATGCAACCCCATTTGTTCAATAAAGTCATGTATGATATTTGCAATTATGATGCATACTTTGTTCAAAAGTGTGATGCTGCTGGGGTTTTGGGACTTCTTCCGGAGCAAAAGCTAACATATGTTATACGAATGTTGACGTATGGAGCATCTGCTGATCAGGTGGATGAGATTGCCCGGATAGGGAAGTCCACTACGTTAGAGGCTTTGGTAAGATTTTGTGATGCAATTGAAACATCCAACGGCTTCTACAAAAAGCAGAAGCTTGAGGATTTCCAAGAATAATTGGTAGCATCGACTGCATGCACTGGCAATGGAAGAATTGCCCAACTGCCTTGCAAGGTGATTACGGAAATAGAAAAGGCCAAAAAAGTATCATCCTTGAAGCCGTTGCTAGCTTCGACACATGTGTTTGGCATGCCTTCTTCGAAGTTGTCGGATCCCAAAATATCCCCGGTCTTCAACGATGGTTTGAGAGGCCAAGGCCCCAATATCACCTATCAAGTCAACAATACAGTCTACCATACGAGGTATTATCTAGCTGACGATATCTACCCGAGGTGGACCACATTTGTGAAATTCATTCCAAATCCCCGATCCCATAAGCAAAAATTATTTGATACCTATCAAGAAGGATAAAGGAAAGATGTCGAAATGTGTTTTGGCATCCTTTAAGCTCGGTGGTTGATTATTCAAGGTGCGGCCTGTATGTTTGATGAGGAGATCCTCCGAAGCATTATGATGACTTGCATCATCCTTCATAATATGATTGTTGAGGATGAATACGATTATAATGCTTTAGAGGTCTACGAATCGGATCCAATGAACACGGCCTTGACACGGATTTATGAAAGGCCCATGGGGCCAAATGGAGAACCGTTTGAGCCGGAACCGTTGGTGAGGGATGGTCGTTTCTTGACCCAGATGATAGATTGATATACAGAGATGCAATCTTCGTATATTCATGAAAGGCGTCAAGTTGACTTGATGGAGCATCTATGGGCGGTGAAAGGCAATGAAGATGAATGATGAAGCATAGATGCTTTGGTTATGTTTTATTTAGTTATGATTTGGTTGTGTTGTTTTTTATTTATTACGGGTTGGTTGTAGTTTGTTATTATTATTGTGCCTTATTTGTAGTTTTTTTAAATATTTTAATTATGTTTTGATGTATGGAATATGTTGAATAAAAAGGTATTTTATTGAATGCTTTGTTTATTAAATAAAGAAATCCAATACAAGTCATTAAGAATTACTACTACTAAAATAAAATACATGAATTACAACAACTTTAATAGAAAACATGAAAAATACAAATACATAAAAGGTATGCCAACTAATTTAATGGTTTCCATCATTTAACCAATCCGTGTTGCTAGGCCCATCATCTTGGAAAAGTCTTCTTCGCATAACATCCCTTCGCTCGAGCTTCCAAAATTGTTTTGTTTCCGAGGACATATGGCTTGTATCCATCGCCATGGTTTCCCGATCCGTCTTGTACTCATCTTTTTTGTGCAAATACTCCCTTTCTCGTGCATACTCGGGTTGAATTGCCATCTTGTTACTTTGGCGTTTCTGCTCCATTTCAATTCTTATGGCGTTCTGCCTTGCAATTTCCTCCAAAAACTTTGAATTATTATTGCTCGAATTACCCACTTTCTTTGCCTTTGCAGCCTTTCGGCCAATGGGCCTCGACTCCTTTTCGATGGGTGAGTCTTGACTCATAGGGGAATCGATAGGTGAATCCGATGTCATTGACTCACGGAGTGGTGTCTCGTTTAACATAACCTCGGGACCCGTGGCAATAGTTATGAAGCGTTTGCAATATTTCACCACCTCCCAACATTCATGATGGTTGAAATTTTTTTTTGCCACCCCCGGTTGCACCGAACCACATCTGTGCTTGAATAATCTATTTAACAAAAAAATGGAAATACAAGAAATATTTAAAATATATTGGATATGCAAGAAATATTTAAAATATAATGGAAATGCAATTAACCTTACAAATAAATTGGAAGTGCAAGAAATATTAAGAAACAATTGGAAATTCAAGAAATATTAACAAAATATTTAAAATGAAAGAAATATTAACAAAATATTGAAAATGCAAGAAATATTAACAAAATATTTAAAATGCAAGAAATATTAACAAAATATTTAAAATGCAATAAATATTAACAAAATATTGAAAATGCAATAAATATTAACAATATATATATTAAGACATTAAACTTAATAAAACGTAAATTACAAAATACTTACCTCGTTAGTACGATTTTCCCCGCTTCTATAGTTGTGCATCGCTTTTGCCAAGGCATCTCTCCATTTTCTCATTCTTTATTGAGAATTTTCCACCTACTAGACAATGTCATTTCTGTATGAGTCAACCCCGGACATTTTTCACAATATTCGGCATGAATTTTTTTCCACATATGAAAAAATTTCATCTCATTGCCTGACACGGGATCATGACAAACTTGGATCCAAGCCTTACACAAGGAAACATCTTCCATGGTGCTCCACGCCCCTCCGGTTTCAATAGAAGAAGCCATAAATATAAGAACTAAAAATACAAGGTGAAAGAGAGGAAGATGTTGAGTATAAAGAGTGAATAATAGTAGAAGTAGAAGAAAATGTATGAGGATTGGTGTTGAAAGTGAAAGGTATTGATAGGTATTTATAGGAAAAAAAAATTAGAATTTTTAAATATTTTTTTTAAAAAAATTCGATTTTTTTTTCTTCATAATTTTATTGCAAAAAAAATGCCAGCCGTTGGATTGGATTCGGAGAAGCAGATCAGAGGGCTGGGGGCATGACATGTGGCTGCTTCCCATTGGAGATGCGTAGAGCTGACGTCAGCGCACGCTGGTTTAAATTTTTTTACTGTTGGCGCGTATAATAGAAGTTATATCATGTACATAATTTACAAACCCTATTCTCTTAACAATAGCATGGATAATATGTGAGAGAACATATTATTCTCTTAACAATAGCATGGATTATATGTGAGAGAACATATTATAGAACCAAAGGTAGTGAGAAAAAATGTGATTCATAAAATTTGGTTTGGCCTATTTATAACCTTTCATGTTAACATGAGAACGTTTTTTCTTTAATTTGAGGACAAAAAAGATTCGAACTTTGAATATTATCCAACGAAGTATAAAGAAATATCATTTTATCCATAAATAGTAGATGATTAATTAAGATGGACGAAATACTATACACTAAAAACGTGTTTTATGTTATGATGACGAAGTTAAGGAACCAAAAAATAGATATAGGTAAGTTTTATCTTGTATTATAGGAATTTTCATAATTCAGTGTCTAAATGATTATTTTTTGTACATGCCTATAGATGAATTTTGCCAAATCACGTTGAACTTCAAATCTTTCAGTTTCATGCCTATATATATGTAATGGATGTGCCTTTCTTTTGCTTTGTATGCTAACTGTAATGAATGTGTTTCTACATAAACCTGAAAAGGTAACTATCTATAAATCAAAGCAAAATCCTTTAACCAAATGGATCAAGTGATGAGCCCCAAAATCTTTGTTAGTGGACAAGGCATTGACTTTAATTTCAAGGTGGGGCATTTCAATTTGGTTGATGTTCGTGTTGCCCCACTAGAATCACTGTTAGCATAAAGTGAAGGACTCTGGTTGGTGCATGAGCAGTTAAAAGATGCTTTGATTTGCATTTAAAAACCCAAAAGGCCACCCATCACTCCTTTTTGGCCAGAAATGGCAACCGGGGATTAACCTGTTTGAGGCAAGAAACCAATTCATTATAGTTGGGGATTGTTGTTACTTTTAAAAAAAGTTAATTTTGTTGTGCTTTGAAAGTAATTAGTTGTAAAGTAAAGTAACTCTATATTTGGTAAATAATATTTTTAAAATGTTGTTAGTACAAAAAACAGTGTCAAAACCATTTAATAAATTTTAATATAAAATTGTTGTAACTATAAATAATGACTAAAATATACATGATGTTAAAAGTTATGTACTAATCATGTGGTGGCAATGGTGGTGATTGAGTAGAGGTGGTGGTGGTAATGAAGGTGGAGTTGGTGGTTGTAGTAGTAGTGGTGGTGAGGATGGCAGTTGTAAAGGTGGTGGTGGATGTAGAGGTTTTAGAGGAGGTGGTGGTGATGAAGGTGGAGGCGGATGAGGCGGTGGTGTAAGTGGAGATGGAGGAGGTGATGGTGGAGGTGATGATGGCACCAGATGAGGAAGAGGAGGATGTGGTGGCGGTGGTTGTAGAGGTAGTGAATGTGGTGGTGCAAGTGGTGCAGTTGGGTGTGGAAGTGGAGGTGGTGTCATTTTTAAAAATAGATTATGGTATTTTGGGAATTAAAAAAATTCATTAAAAGTTCATCTCTACTTCTTTTGAAAGCAATTTTGAAAAGCAACTCAGAGTCTGCTTTTAAAAGCTGCTGTCAAAAGACCACTGCTTTTAAAATAATCAAGATATTTTATTTTTACCAAACACCTTAAACTGCTAAACTTTAAAGTGAAGCGGGTTTTTGGCAAAAAAAAGCAATCTCAAACGGACCTTAAAAGCATTAAATTGCATCGCCATAACCAAAACTCAGCTGTGAAAGCATTTGGTTTTTTTTAAATCGAAGAGTCAAGAGACATATTTGATCAATTTGGCTGATCAGTGTGGCAGATTGACCTCCATGGGTTTTCCTTTTCCCCCAAAGAATATATTCCGTCATGTCAGCCAAATGGTGCAAACACACAGATGAAATAATAAAAAAGATTTGGTCTGCTATTTCTTTGTCTTTTACAGGCTATAAATAGAGAGCTCAAAATGCAACATTTTTCATCCCATTGCAGCCTTGCAGGAGGAGTGGAGAGAAAGAGAGGAAGGGAGGCCTAACATGAGAGCAAGAGCCTGGTTTGGTAGCCAAGGATGACTTGCCTGCTCTACCAGAGAGACCAATTCTCCATTGGTGTAACTTTGTTGGATTGGAAGCTTCTGTTTGGCCAGGCAGTCATCCAGGCTAAACTGACAGGCTCTTCTTCCTCATGCCAGGCCTTCTCTTCTTCCATGATCAGAACTGGAGAAATGAGGGTTCTTTCTTGAAGAAAAGGTGTGACCTTTTTCATTTTTATTGCATTATTGCATTATTAGCAATAAGGGTTCTTCACTTCTGGCAATTGCATTGCATAATTGCATTATTAGCAATAAGGTGTTGGGCCTGCTGGGCCTGGGCCTGAGCTTTTAAAGCCCAAGTAAATCCTTTGTCTTTTGAGTCAAAACCCAAGTTCTTGCTCATTATTGTCTCAACAGAAGCAACGGTTGGATTTCTACCATACATAAATCTATTTGGCGGGAGATGCCATTGTTTTAGATAAAGATTTTTTTTTCTTTCTCTTCTTCTTCTTCTTCTTCTTCTTTATTGCCTGGTGAAGAAGGAGTTTGTTTATTCTCTGCATTAGCAATTAGAGAGAAACCAGTTTATAAAAAATGTGGGAACTTCAATCGGATTGGTACTCTCCTATTCGCCTGAACAGCAACCCCATTACTCAATACGACTTTCCGGTACAAATTACTCTATACATTGCCCTTTATCTTCAGCAAGATTTTACTTTTCTGTAACCCTTTATGGCATTCTCTTATACCTTACTGTTGCTTTGACGTTTGGTTGCTGATTTGTTCTTCTTTGAATTTTGGGTTTTGTGCATCTGCAAATTTAGGGAGATCGGTTTATACCCAATAGGAGTTTGATGGATCTTGATCAAGCCCGCAGTTTACTGTCAAACAGGACAACACCAAACCGGAACTCGAATTTCAATGTAAAAATTAATTGCTTTAGTCATTTTTAGTCTTTTCTGATAAATTGTTCATTGGGTTTTAGTTTTTACTTCTATTTGGAAAAAAGAAGAAAAAAGAAGAAGAAAGGACTATCTTTGTTTTGGGGTCTTGATGTTTTTTGAATGTTGCATTTTATCTTCTGCTGAATTTCAAGAATTGGGTATGTCGTAGTAGCATTTTAGTTTCTTGTAAACAATTCTTGAACTGATATCCTTAGTTCTTGGGTCTTCCAGGAGGTGTACAGGAAGAGCATAGAGGACAAACTGACTTTGGATTCAGAAGGGAACCCATTTAGGATGTTGGTTTTTAGGGGAAGTCCAAAATCAAACAGAAAGTCCATTCGTTGTGTTGATCTGATGCGACAGGATGAGGCAAAGGAATTGGATGGTAATGGTAAACACCATCAGCCTCGAAGATTGCCTAAGGTACTGCAAACATATCACTTTTTCCTTCCCATTTCCTTCTTGTTTTGCTCTCTGTGATTACTTTTTTCTAAGTGTGGAATGCTGCAGGGGGAAGCTAGAATTCTGGATGCACCAAACATAAGAAATGACTTTTACATGAGCACCATGGATTGGGGGAAGAACAATGTAATTGCAATTGCTTTAGGCAAAGATTTATTCCTCTGGAACGCAGAGAACCGAGAGGTTCATAAGCTGTTGCAAGTTGATGATCTGAATGATTTTCCATCAAGTGTAGCCTGGTCTCAAGATGCCAAAACTGTAGCAGTTGGATTTAGGCGTTCAAAACTCCAACTGTGGGATGCTGAGACTTCTAAGCTTGTAAAGCTCTCTCAAACACCTTCTCATGCTTGTTAAATTTATTCATTGTTTTGAAACATTTAGTTGATGATGCAATTCAAACCATTTTGTGGTTCATCTTTTTTACACAAAGGTTAGAAGCCTAGAAAACCACAAGGACAGGATAGCAAGCATTACATGGAATGGCCACACATTAACATCTGGCAGCCGCGACAAGTCCATCATCAACCATGATGGTAGTCCACTAAGCAATTCTATTCTGATTCTAAATCATTGATTTAATGGAACAATTCACTGAAGAAGTCTCTTCGACAGTCAGAGCAGGAAGCAATGTGACTTGCCGTTTACGGACACACACTGAAGAAGTCTGTGGTTTGAAATGGTCAGGAGAAGGCAATGTATTGGCAAGCGGCGGCAATGAAAATCTTCTGTACATATGGGACTCTTCCAAAATGAACTCACAGAGATTCTTGTTTCGTCTTAAAGACCATCGTGCTGCAGTCAAGGCCCTTGCATGGTGTCCTTATCAGTCTGAAGTGCTAGCCTCCGGGGGAGGCACGAAAGATGGGTGTATTAAGATATGGAACACAAAAAATGGAACCTGCATCAAAAGCATTGCTACCGAAGCTCAGGCAAGTTATAGGATTTGATCTACATTTTACAAGCTTTCTATGGTTTTCATGTTTTCATTTTTATGATGTTCTAATCAATTAATAAAGAATATAACTCTGCTATATTTCTAGGTTTGTGGACTGGAGTGGAACAGGCATCACAAGGAGATAATGAGTGGCCATGGCTATAGTGCAAGCGAGCTTATCAAGAATCAGCTCTGCCTTTGGAGGTATCCCTCCATGGATAAAGTCGGAAGCTTGAATCGCTACACATCCAGAGTCGTCCATCTTTCTCAGGTTTGAAAACCCAAAATTTCATTTTGCAACTCTTTTGGGTCCTTTTGACTGTCCCATAAGCCCTTGACATGGTTTCTTTTTATTGATTTTTGTTGCAGAGCCCTGATGGGTTGACTGTGGTATCAGCTGTGGCAGATGGCTCTCTTCGATTTTTGGAGGTCTTTGGACCACCAAGCATTGACAAATCAAGGATCTCCCCTCTGGATGGTCTATTGTCTCTTAAGATTTCTCCCATAAGATGATATGAATACAAGATGTAGTTGAGTGTATAAAGAAAACCAAATGTAGATGAGCAACTTTATATTTTGTAGAAAACCACAGAGAAATACATGCTCCCCTAAGATCCTAAATTCTATCTACTCGGGTGCAAAAAATATAGTACAAGCCGCCTAAACTCAAATGACCTCTGTATGTATCACATTTACTGCAAACCAGAAGGCAACCAACCCAAAATTGTTTCCAGTTTATCTTCACTGCCAGCAAAATAAACTGAATTCATTCAGTCTCTGAGTCATCACTCTTGTTGTCCACATAAATCTCTTCAACTTCGCCATCTGATGTTTTCTCCTCTTCCTCTCTTTTCTTCCTTTCTTCTTCTTCCTCTCTTTCAGCAGCTCGAGCCTTTGCGATTTCAAGCCTAGAACTGACTGCTTCCCACGATACAAGTTTCTCCAGAAAGATTGATATGTAATCAGCCCGCCGGTTCTGGAGGAAAAACCAGAGATTCAGTTGTTAGATGTACTTGTATCGGACAGAATGCATAGATCCCTTCTCATAAGAAGGAAATTCATATGTTCAATAAAAGGAGGCTCACCTGAAAATCAAGGTAGTAAGCATGCTGTTGAAACAAAAACAAATTTCCACAGTGATTTAACAATCAGTCAGTAATGGTTTTTAACCAAATCATTATAAAATATAACTATTTTGAAATAGGAAGAAACATTGGTAAATGTCAAATACCTCCCAAACATCAATAGTAAGGAGCGGCTGCATGAAATAAATAAGAAAAGTCATTATACATATTTTCCTATAGAGTACTATATTAATTATCTTGACATGAAAAATGAGTTAGGAAGAATTGAATAAGTCATAATACTCACAGAATAATCCCAAATAAGGGGGTTTACGGCATTAGGACTCTTCACAACTACAAGCCTCTGGTCTTCATCTGATGGTTTAGGATTTACTGCATTTCCAACATCAAGTCTATTCGCTTTATCTGGAAAATAGAAAACACTTGGATATATTAGCGTGCACCAAATTCAATGTGACAGCAGAATTCAATCTTAAAGATGTCAAATGGGAAGGCAACCACTCACATGCAAGCCATGCCCAACCAGAACCAAACTGTGTAGCTGCAGCTGACCTTAACTCTTCAACGAATCTCTCAAAAGAACCAAAATCTCTATTAATTAATTCTAGAAGTTCACCTGATGGCTTTCCTCCACCACCTGGTTTCATTGATTCCCAGAAGAAGTCATGGTTCCAGATCTGCAAACAGGTAAAAAAGCAATAGGTAGTTAACTTCAGGAATGACTCATAGAAAAGACTGCTTCTGTGTGCAGTATATGTATGAGTAGTATACTGATATAGTCAATCTAGTACATGCTTGAAGTTTAAACAAATTGTCACAGACGCCTCAGGTGGATTTCATCCGTATCTACCTTAACATTAAGTAGTTATAACTTCACCAATATTGAATTTAACATTAATTTCGACGCAAATGTACAATTTCAAATTGCGATGCATTTCCCCAAGCACCTCAAAACATTATCACATCAAACAATTCAAGATAATGGTAAGCATTCAATCTCATTGATAGCATACCTGTGCTGCATGGTTGAAAGGCGGGAGAAGATCCCCCTTGTTGTATGTAGCAAGTATGATATCTTCCAATGACAATTCATCTAGTTCAGTTCCTGCTGTTAACTTGTTTAGGTTATCCACATAACCCCTATGGTGCTTCCCCCAGTGATATTCTAAGGTCTCCTTGTTCATGTGCGGCTCCAGTGCATCCTGCTCAATATGAAATATCAAAGCAGTGTTATGATTTAAACAATATTGGCTCACATTGTCATCTGAAGTGAACCAGCGCCCCGAATACTACTGCCCATTTTCAGTCAAAGTTGCTACAATGTTCAGTATATTTGTCCTAATAGATTTCCATTCAATATAGTAAATAAAAGATGAAAGATAGAAACTTGATTGAAAATTTTTATTTGTAACAAGAATTTCTACACCAAGCAGTCAAGTAAGTTTGACAAACGCCAGGGCGGCTAGTAGTAATTAAACTTAACTTGGGCTAACACACACTAAATTTGGAACTTGGTGCATGAAGCCTAAACCCACTGGTAAAATAGTAATTATCTACTCAAAATCAGCTTATGTCTAATAACGTATAAGAAACTTTGCAAAGAGAAACCTCATAACTTTTAGTATCTTACCAGTGGATATGGAGGAGGCTTTAGCTCAAATTGGGCAGTAACACTAGTGCCACCGGCTTTCCTTCTGCATTGTCTCTGCTTTGACATCATTACAATTCCAAATCAAATACAACAAATTTATACATAAAACCAACTCAAAATTTTCAAACTTTTTCTCGATTTTCTCAGAAACCAAAGGAAGCCCATTTATGCAAGTGTGAAACAAAATCAAAATTTCGAAGTAGGCGAACCTGTTTCTTTGGCCATTGCAAGCTTCGAGCTGGTCCCAGACTTCCACGAAGCCCTGCAAATTTAGATTAACCATTAAAATTCAATCAAAACCCATTTGCACACTAAGGAAGAGATGGAGCGGGGAGGCCGGTAATGAGTCTAATGACCTTGCCATGATGGTACCAGTGCGCACGTTAGCGAACTAGGCGTAGCTAGCGCTGTTGTTGCCGCTACTGCAACTGCTACTGGTGCTACCATGTCCAAAAAGTTGAAAACTTTGGATAAAGATGACGCTTTTAACAGGGGGACGGTTTTTATATTTTCGGAGGGGCTTCAATTCAAGTGTGAAATATATCAACTTTGTTGGGTCTTATGTGTCGACATGGTGTCGCTAAATTAGGTCATGTGGCACTGTCAAAAACAAAATTAAGATATATTTCTGTTGATACATCGAGGACAAATTATTAAACTAGCAGCCATGAAGTAGTTCTTGGTTTAGTGGTATTTTATATGTAAAATTTATCGATTTTGATGGGTCGTATATGTTAACATGATGTACCTAAATTAGGTAATGTGGCACAGACAAAAACAAAATTAAGTTATATATTTATGTTTATACAAGCCAGAAGAAATGATTGGGTTCGCAATGACCAACTAACTATTAGTTTAGTGGTATTTATCTTATTAATGTTGAAAGATGTTTTAAATTCAAAACCCCAAATACAAATAAAAATTATTATTAGAGCATTTCCAGCGAAGGGCGCGCGCGCGGGGGGGGGGGGGGGGGGGGTGGGGTGTGTGGGGATTGGCTCGAGCTCTAGCCCTCGTTTTGGTGCTGACATCAGCGCTTCAATGCTGCTACAGCGCCGCTACAGTACTGCTAAAGTCCATGTGTCGCATTCTGGGCTCTCCGATCATATTTTTTTCTCCAATCCAACAGCAGCCAATTTTTGTGCAATAAAAAAAAATTAAATAAAAAAATACCAAAAAATTATTGATTTTTATTTTTCATATAAATACCAACCAATACTCTTCACTTTTAACACCAAATCCTCATACATTTTCTTCTCCTTCTACTATTATTCACTTTCTACTCAATATATTTTTCACTTTCAAGTTTTATTTTTCTCTATCATATTATGGCTTCTTCTATTGAAACTGGATGGGCATGGAGCATGATATCTTATCCGAAAATTTTAAATTTTAAATTTATCTTAAATTTGGATTTTGAAATTTATACTTGTTAATTTGCCAATATTTTCTAAAGTTTCTTGCATTTCCAATTTTTATTTATTTATATAGATTATGCAAGCACAAATGAATAGTATTGACACGTAGAAACCCAAAAATCTTATCGGAAAATATTATCAAAATGAATTGTTTAAGTAAAAAAAGTTGTGAAAAAAAACAAAAAAATGAATAGTAATTGCCCATTGCCATGACAACGGGTGGAAACGGAAATGGCTTTTTGCAAGGGCAACCACTAGTGGCTGCCCTAGCTCCCCCTTGTCATGGCAAAGGGCAAATGGGTGGAGTTGCTCTTATTATTAGGTATCAACATTTCAATGATTTTGGCTGGTATTGTTTTGATATTTTGTTACCTTCTTAGACAATAATTACATATATAAATAGTATAATTAATGGAATTAAGTACATCTAATTACCAGTGAATTAAGTACATCTAATAGCATTGATAAACATCCAATGTTTCTTCAATGAATTTCTTTCTCTCTTCGATAAAATAAAATAAAATTACATTGATAAACATTAAGTAACCAATACTGAAACCACATAACTGTGTTGAATTCTAAAACGACGCGTCTGTTCCACTGATTTCGCACTTCATCTGTCTGGCATCTCGGGAGTTCAAAGCAAACCCAGTGCCATGTGACGAAACGACGTTATGCAGAAGGTGCCAAATAGCCAAAAGATGCAACATTTCACATTTATGCAACTAAGTGTCGAACAACCATCACCAAAACTTACAACCAACCCATTTTGCTTATTCTCTCAGTTCCTCCCTCCATTACAATCTTGGATTTTGGTCTTCAATGGCAGAAGACATGCAGTTTGACCAATCAATTCAATCACCAAACACTGTAATGCCTTCAACACCTCTCCAACTGTCTGGTTTTCTCAGTGGAGACACCATTGAAGTCAAAGGTGACACCGGGAATTTGAAATTCTCAGTACAATTCAGTGTGCAGAAAAAACATACACCTGATCATCAGAACCACAGCCTCCTCAACTCTCTGGATGCAAATGCATGTTACCCAGAAAACCATTTCTCTGAGAATTCAAGTTTTTATTCATATATGACCCCAAATGCTGTTCAAGAAGTGGAAGATCACCAAAGTGCTTCTTGTACACAACCTTCAAAGGGTAATGAAATAATTGAGTCTACTGAGACAAGAAATATTGTGACAAGGCTGAGGAGTGGGGTGATATCTCCTGTCAACTATTTTCCTCCAATATCATCAGGCAGGAGTTTAATGAGGCCTTGTTGTGGTGGGAGTGAGAAATCAAGGAAGAAAAACAGAGGAAAGCTTGATGTGTTTGAGAGAGTGCTTAGAAGGCATAGTTCCCCTATAAAACCCTGCACTTCTTATTCTTTCTTTGTGATGGCAACTTGGGGTGTTGTTAAGTCCTCTTCATTTGGTGAAACAAGTAAGCAACTTAGTCGAATGTGGTGCCAACTCCCTCAAACAGAGAAAAGGGTCTGCATTGCAATCTCTCTCTCTCTCTCTCTGATTATTTTCAATCATGAACAATTCAGCTTTCTTTTTTTAGTTTATTTTGGAAGGAAAAGAGAATTAAAATATGAAAATATGTTTTTGTAGTTGTACGAGGAGATGGCTATGAAGGACAATGCAAGGTACAAGCTGCAATGCATGCAGTTGATGGGAAAGCCACTCAGAGTACTGCAAAAAGGTAGAAGAAGTGGATAGCAAGACATGGCTTCCAGATGTTTATTATAATTTATTATTAGTATTTTTTTACATTTCCCTTTTCTCTTGATATGATGAGATGGTTTTAGCAATTTGTAATGGGGTTTTTCATATGGGATTTAGCCTGTGGTTTTCTGGAGTTGTGGACATTGTGCATTTGCTTATTATATAACAGTAGAGCTAAAACAGATGATAAAAGTCACAGGGAGAATGGCTTCTTCAGCTTAAACTTTTCACTTGCAGTTAGCTGTGGCTCCTGCAGAAAAGGAGATAAATGAAAGTTGAAGATTATGAGGTCAAGTTTATGTAAAGATAACCAAAAACGCACACATTTATTAATCCAAGCAAAATACTGACAACAAACAACAGAATTTCCTATGTTTTAAAACTAATTTGAAAGCATTGACAATCATATGTACCTGTGCAAACCCGGCAGCAAGACTCCCTCTTCTAGTCATATTGAGAGGAGGAGATGTCCCAGTGTCAGTGTCTTCATTCTCTGCATTGCGGATGGTATATTGCATTGAACTCAGGATGTCTCCATATGTAGTTCCATGTCCATGCTCAATGGCTTGTATGAAAGAGAGAGTCATTGCACCAGTTGGAGTAGTATTTGACAGAGCCTGTGCATACAAAATTAACATTAGCCCTATTTCTTTTATCAGTCACTTCTAAGCAGAATAATTAGTTTAAGAAATTAAGATGGTGTCTTAGATTTTTTTCAAGTACTAAAGCATCAGCAGAGGTCTGGTGATCATCACAGCCACTGAAGCAAATAGCCTTCCCACCATTTGTCCCTTTCCAAACACCGGACGGAGGCCGATGGTCCTCCCACAGATATCTCCTACTTCTGCATCCATAAAGCAATACTAAAATCTGGGATTGAACTTAACCACATCAGATTTTAAGCAACAAAGGTATTAAGCTGTGACTTAATTACCTGTCCATTCTACAGAGGAATGGCAAATCTAGAGCAGTACCACTATGGCAAGCATCTATAAATGCATGGAGCTTAACCCCATGAGGAAGAAGTCTGACAATTATTGCATTGATCTCATTGTCTGAAATCAGTTCCCCAGTCTTAAAATCCAACGGGCACAAGTATTCATCATATCCATCCACCTCATCCCCAGTGTTATTCTTCTTGCGTTTTCCATGACCAGAATAATGAAATACTAAAGAATCTCCTGGTTGACAATCTTGCACAAGCCAGTACAGAGCCTTTATCATATTTTGTTTGGATGGATGCCTATTAGGATCAGCCTCTTCTTCTGCAAGAGTACCTCTCAGCTAGAGATTTAAGATCAGAAATAATTATCTGCATAAAAATTTTAGGAACATTGTTTCACATCGAAATTACCGGTGAGCATGAGAATGGAGGACTCTGGGAAGTGAAACCTGTTGACAAGCAAATACCTCATGCAGTTTGCATCGTTAATGCACCCCTTAAGCTCATGCTTGGAGTTCTTATAAGACACGGCACATATCACAGCTCGCTTGCATACACGGGCGAACAGAGGTGGCCTGGGCAGCAAGTGGCTGTAAGGGGGCGGAGGCAGGGCGGTGAGTGGCAGTTGATGAGGTGGATAGTGGTGGGAGTAGGAGTATGGAGCTGTATAGGTGGCAACATGGCAGCACATGGAGGGTGGGGCTGGTGGTAGTAGCTGCACATTTTTATGGCATTTTGAGCACTGAACAGGCATCAACATAGTGAGAGAGTCTGAGGGTAAGGGAAGAGAAGATGTTGTAATCATTGTCCTAAAAATCATGGGACTTTATACATTCCAACTTCCCATGTTAATTTTATTAGATTCGAACATTTTTTTTACTTTCTTTTTACTTTTATCCGTGATGCTTTTTGCATCTTCTTTTTTGCTACAATACTTTACATGTTCTTGGATTCTGTTCTGTTGGAATATATTTATATGCATTTGCCGCTTTTTCATTGTTTTGTTCTCTTTCTATTGTAATCAGTCACTATAAATGACATGTTATACTCCATTATATCTTCACAATCTATGCATATGTGAAAATTCAAGGACAAAGAATAAGAACTTTGTGGAAGAATTCAAAATACATGCCCAAGATCTATGCTATCAAATAATTTGAAATGCCTCAGCTTTTGACGGAATCCATAAAAATAACTGGAAAAAATATATATCAGGTGAAGATCATTCGTTTTGGAGCTGTTTCCATTGTTTCTTGGTTCTGCTTTGCATGATAAGGAACAATAACTAGGAGGAATCGGGGAATTTTTGCGTTTAGATCTTGTTGAAGACAAAGTATGTTCCATCAAAAGGAACTAGGTCAGGGGTTTGCTGGAAATTGGATTTACAAGGTGCACACCCATTCTATAAAATATGCATATTTCTAGCAAGATCTCGGGGTGAGGGGGGTGAGATACCCAAGAAAAATATAAGATTAACAACCAATAGAAATGGAAGCAATCAGATGACAAAATCGGGTTTCCCTGGGAAGAACTGTAAGCACTTCTGGGAGGTCCGGACGCGCTGGATGATTAGAAGATGGAAATACTGTTTCACTGACTAAAGGGAGAAAGGCTTTGTATACACATCAAACGGTTGATTGGCAGTTAGCTGTGGTTCCTGCGGCAAAGACAGTTCAAAGGAAAGTTAAGACTGAAATCAGCTTACTAGACATGAGATCAAGTTTAACAAAACGCAATATGGCGAATACACAAAAATAAAATTTAAGACCTACCAATGCATTTCTCACAGTGCAAAAACAGAGGACTGCACATCTTCTAAAGATATGAAACATTATTTTTCTTTTATATTTTCCTTCATACTGCAGTGTCTAACTAAACTTTTAGGAATCATTTAATTGCTCACAAAAGTTGGCATGCTGATTTTAATCAAACTACTGCCAACAAACATCAGATTTTGTTATATGGTCAAACTGGTGTTTAAAGATTGACAATCATACCTGTCTCAATCCACCAAGACTGCCTCCTGTCAAAAGCATGGAGATAAGAGACGTCACAATACCACCTCCATGATCATTATCTGTGTTACGGATGGTAGATCGCATTGCATTCAACATGTTCCCATATGTATTTCCATGTCCACGCTCAATGGCTTGGATGAAAGCATAAGTCATGGCACCAGTTGAAGTAATCTTTGACAGGGCCTGCACAGATGAAGTGTTAGCTTTGTTCTTATAATATCCTTAGGCTAGAAAAAGGCATGATGGCTAATGTAGTTGAAATATGACTTTACCGAGGTATCGGCAGAGGTTTGATCATCATCACAGCCACTAAAGGAAATGGCCTCCCCACCATTGGTTCCTTTCCAAACACCTGACCGAGGGCGATGGTCCTCCCATACATACTTTCCGCTTCTACATCCACACACAAGAATAAATAGGGAAAGTACATAGAGCAATATTAAGCACAAAACAATACAGAATAACATTATGGAGAGTAAAGAATAAAGCATAGATAACTTTCATATATTCATAATATGGGCAGAGATGGAGAATAAAGATTAGATTACACTATGCAAAGACACATAAGATAAGATATGAAGAAACAAAATATCAAACTGGAGTTACCTGTCCATCCTACAGAGAAATGGTAAATCTAGCACAGTACCACTATGGCAAGCATCTACAATAGCATGGAGCCTAACCCCAGTAGGAAGAGGTCTGACAATTGTCGCATTGATCTCATCATCCACGATCATTCCCTGAGTCTCAAAATCTGAGGGACAGAGTGTTTCATCATATCCATCCACCTCATCTCCAGTGTAGTTCCTCTGTTGTGATCCATGACCAGAATAATGAAACACCAAGGAATCCCCAGCTTGACAACCTTGCACAAGCCAAAACATCGCCATTCTCATATTTTGTTTGGTTGGGCGCCGATAAGGATCAGATTCTTCTTCTGCAAGTTACAGTCACATAGAGATTAAGGTCAGAACTTATCTGCATTACATGCTATGCACATTGTTCAATTACCTTCTAAAATAAACCATGGTGCATCAGCATAACCCCCGTTTTTGACTTTTTACAACCATATCTCATCATTGAAATTGTGGAACAACATGACATACTCAATTACTCATAATACAAAACTCAGTTGTTTACGGAAACATGAGAAAGATAACCCAAGTAAAGATTCTTAAATGTAATAGTAATATCACTTAAATGGTAATTAAAGAATTAGTCATAATATATATAACATTCAAATAAACAGAAACATATCAGTTTGTAAAAAAAGATCGATGCTTTACTACCATAATTCAACGATCCAATTGCAAAAGTATGTAGGATAAGAACACAAGAACTAGTCTTTGCTGACCCATAAATTTAAAGTCTAATTAGAAAACAACCCATAAATTCAAACCAGACGCAATATCAAAAAGACCAAACATTGAAGAAATGAGAATGGAGAGCTACCAGTGAGCATAAGAATGGAGGACTCGGGGAAGCTGAACTTGTTGACCAGCAAGTACTTCATACACTTGGCGTCGTTAATGCAGCCCTTGAGCTCGTGCCGGGAGCGCTTATACGACACGGCGCATATCAAAGCCCGCTTGCGTCCGTGAGCCGACGGAGGAGGCCCCGGCGGCGCGTGGTTGTAGGGAGAAGTGGAAGGAGGAGGTGGGCGGTGGAAGGAGGAGGAGGAGGGCGCAGGAGGAAGAGCGCGCGAGTCGGCGACGCGGGTGACGGCTTGGCAGACGGCGCAGCGGATGGTTTGAGCTCCAGGTGGCAGCTGCAGAGGCGTGCGGCAGCCTGAGCAGTCTACCAGCATCAACATGGTGGGTGAGAAACTGGTTGGTGAGATGAATTGAATTGAATTGAATTGAATTGAATTGAGAGATAGAATGACAGAATGTGATAAATTGAGAATGAGGGAGGTCTTTGTGAAGTTAAGATCTTGACAGAAAGGGAAGGAAAGAGATGGGTTTGATGAAGAATGAGATCATGGGGAGGGAGATTGGTTAAAAAGATGGTTTACCTGTGGAAATGGCTGAGTGGGTCATGACTTGGGTTGGGAGGAAGGAAGGTGACGAGAAAAACGAGAGAAACAAAAAGAGAGAGAGGGAAGACAAGTTGACAAATTTGACTTTGCTTTAATTATTATTTGGACCAACACACAATTGCCAAATAATATTATATTCTTAATTGCCAAAAAATATTAATATTAAAGAATATTTGCATTTTCCTAGATGAATTCACACTTGTCCCACCTGACAGTCGGATACCACGCATAAATATTTTTGGCTTGAGATTGTGGGCATGTTCCGAGAGCAACTTCATCCATTTGCCCTTAGGGCACTTCCAGCAGTCAAAATGTTGCCATGGCAAGGGGGGGTACTATTCACGAGAATAGTGTCTGCCCTTGCAAAAAGTAAGTTGCACTTCTAGCAGCTGCCAGGGCAAGGGGGGGTACTATTCAATTTTTTGTTTTTTTCACAAATTTGTTTACCTAAACAATTAATTTTGACAATATATTCGGATGAGATTTTCTGATAAAATATTCGGATAAGATTTTCAGATAAGATTTTCGGTTTCAAATTTCAGATAAATTTTGTTTTCAAATTTCAGATAAATTTCGAGTTTTCAATTTCATATTAATTTCAAATAGTTTCTTTGATAGAGAAAAATTAAACTTGAAAGTGAAAAAAATTTAGAGTTGAAAGTGAAAAAATTATTGAGTAGAAAGTGAATAAGTAAACTTGAAAGTGAAAAAAATTTAGAGTTGAAAGTGAAAAAATTATTGAGTAGAAAGTGAATAATTAAACTTGAAAGTGAAAAAAATTTAGAGTTGAAAGTGAAAAATTATTGAGTAGAAAGTGAATAATTAAACTTGAAAGTGAGAAAAATTTAGAGTTGAAAGTGAAAAAATTATTAGTAGAAAGTGAATTTGTTGTTAAAAGTGAAGAGTATGGATTGGCATTTTATAAAAAAAATTCAGTATTTTTTGGGGTTTTTTTAAAATTTTTTATGATTTTTTTCATAATTTTTTGCCTTGAAAAATTTCAGGCCGTTGGATTGGATGAAAATTCGGAAATCGGAAGGACCAGGTCGCGCCACGTGGCAGCTGAAAGAAAAAAAAATAATTTGCGGCTGCTGATGTCAACCTGCCTTCGGGCTGCTGCTCGGGCAGCCCCTGCCTTCGGGCCAGCCCAGGCAAGTGGACCCCACACTGCCCGGGCCAGCACTTGCTGCTGGAATGGTGTTTTGGGCTCTCCCCCCCCCCCCCCCCCAGCCCGAGTGGGGCTGCTGGAAATGGCCTTAGCCATGGCAAGGGGGGGGAGCTAGGGCAGCTACTATTCACGTGAATAGTGGTTGCCCTTGCAAAATCCGAATTTTGTGTTTCCACCCGTTGCCCTTGCTAAGGGCAGTTATTATTCATTTTTTTTTAATTTACAACTTTTTTTACCTCAATAATTAATTTGGATAATATTTTCGGATTCCTACGTGTCAATACTATTCATATCTCATAATCGGATAAAATTTTCAATTTCAAATTTCAGATAAATTTTTTTTAAAAAAAAGGCTGGTATTTATAGAAAAAAATTCATTAATTTTTGGGTATTTTTAAAAAAATTTTCCGAATTTTTTCCAGTATTTTATTGTAAAAAAATTGGCTGCCGTTGGATTGGAGGAAAAAATCAGATCGGAGAGCCCAGACAACGCCACGTGGCAACAGGGGGAAAAAAAATCAGTGGGGGTACTGTAGCAGTACTGTAGCGATACTGTAGCGGGGTATTGTAGCGATGACGTCAACAGCCCTCGTTTTGGACCTCGGGCTGAAGCTGCCTTCGGGCCAGCCCGAGTTGGTGGGTCCCACACCCCCCCGGGCCTGGGCTGCTCCGCTGGAACGCAATTTTTTTTCTTTCCCCCTAGCCTCGGGCTGGGCTTGCTGCTGGAGTGGCTCTGATGCTGATGTTAAGAGTAGTTAATCTCCACCTAAACTTTTCTTTCATGAAAAAAAAAATTTAATGTTTGCATTTTACAATGTACCACCAAATTGAGAGATGGTGATTTTACATCTCATTTACACCTCCATTTTAGCTTTAGCTTGAGACGACCAATAAATTGAGATACAAAATCAGATGTAATGTCCAAATAAAATCACATTATAAGTTATATTTTTTGGACTAAAACATTATAAGTGAATTACAAAACATATATCAGATGTATATTTCTTCTAGAATATTAATGTAACTGTAAATCTGACACGCTTTAAATAAGACCAAGCAAGACACTTCAAATTTCAAGATAACGTTTTTAGAGTTTTTCTTTACATTAGGAAATGTTTGGAATCTTCCATTTGGTGGAGTGGTTGGCTGTTTATTCAAATCTTTTCTTTGTTATAAATGTGGGCCGAAGCCCAACAAATCTACACTTCTTTGGGTTATGCACAATTTGAGATTCCTGGAAGAACAAGGAGGACAAAACCTTGACCGCTCTGCTACTAAACACTAGTAAATGTAGTGTGCTTTTCTCTCTGGAGAAAGTGAGAGAGAACAAAAAATGGTGGTGAAGCGGAGCCAAGCGCATTTGAACAAGGATTCAAAGGTGGAAGTTTGCAGCAACGAAGACGGGTACCAAGGTGCATGGTTCCCAGCCATAATCCTTGACCCACAACCCTCAGATGGCACACCAAAGAAGAAAAGGAAGAGCCTTGTTGGCAACTCAAGCAAGGCTCTGGTGCAGTACGAGACTCTGGTCTCCGACGATGACCCAAACAAGCCACTCACTGAGCTCGTTGACGTGTGCTCCATCCGGCCAGTGCCTCCTCCTGACAATCCTGACCAGCCCTTCGAGCCCGCAAACGTCGTAGACGCCTTTTACCGAGAAGCTTGGTGGGTGGGGGTTGTGATGAGGTTAGAGGATGAAAAGTATACGGTGGGTTTCAGAAACCCACCTGATCTGCTTGAGTTAAGGCGCTCCGAGCTGCGGCCTCATTGGGATTTTCTGGACGGCGTATGGGTTCGAGCCCAGAAGGAGGTACTAGTTCTACATTTTAATAATGCATGTGGGTTTGTTTTTTAATACAGGATTTGTACTTGGTTTCAAGATTTAAGGACATGCAGGTTGTTTATTGTACATTGGCCTTGCCTTTGTTGCTCTGCTTTTAGATTCTTCTTTTTTCCTTAAAAAGATTTCTATTTTCCTAAAAAGATGATCTTTTTATGTTGCAAGGCCAACGAGCTCAGTGAGTATCATTATCCGTGTTCATGTTTTTTTAATACCAGTTGTCATGAGTATCATTGGTTCACATGTTTATTCTATCGATTTTCCTGAATTATACCAAAGTTGTTATTTTTATTGCTTGTTGTCGTTGGTCCGAACCAGTTCTTGATATCAGGTTTGTTTGTGCTTTCTAATTTTTTTTTGGGACTTCTCTGATATTGTGGTGTTTGTTAAGTAAGTCCCCTTCCCCCTAAATCGTATTTGGGCAAGTTAAGTTAGACGGATTTATTGTGAACACAATCTTTTACCATGAATTAAATGATTACTAATTGTGTGAACATTTGTACTTTTGAGTATTTAAGTGCTATAGATCGCCAATGATGCGTTAGCCACAGCATCTAGCTAGTTCTAATGTCGTCTTCTTCTCAATATAGATATTTAACTCAAAAGATTTTTTTCTTTCATGTCTTCTTTTGTTTTGTTTTTTGTATTTCAAATAAGGAACTTGTGATTTATGGAGTTTTCAGTTTGGATTTATTGAGGTCTTTACTTATATGTTTGTAAGTTCATGCCTTTTCAGTTCATTCATTTATCTCATTTGCAATGTGTCTGGATTCTTATTTTGAGGGATGATAGAAATTTCTATATGCTGTGCTTCTAATAGAAAGAAAACTGATATTTCTCACCAATGGTTCAAAGAGGATGGCGGGATCATTTTTCAGCCCTGGGACAGCAGTGGAAGTGAATCTCTACAAAGAACATCTATTCTGTGCTTGGTTCCCAGCAATTTATCTTGGTGAACTAGGGGCCAACTATTTCTTGCTTCAATATAAGAGCTCAAACAACTGTGATGTTAAAGTGGTCGTAGGTGGCAAACAGATTCGGCCTCAGCCTCCGAAATTGGCTGAAAGAGATTTTAACTTGATGGAAAAGGTGGATGCATTCTTTGATATGGGTTGGTGGGTCGGAGAGATTATAAAAGTTCTTTCAGGAAAGAAGTATATGGTCTGTTTCAAATTGACAGAGGAGGTGAAGCAATACAGTCAGTCAGAATTGAGGCGTCACATGTACTGGACTGATGGAAGATGGGTTACTATGATCAATGGAAAACGGGTTACTATGATCAATGGAAACTGGGTTACTATGATCAATGGAAACTGGGTTCCTTACTTTAAGGTATGTATATTTTTCTCTTGTTTTATGTTGGGAAAAGGGCCGGTGGGTGAGGGTGGTGTCATGACTTGTTACTTTATGGGATATGATGGCAAACATGGTTGGATCACCCTGTCTTGGAAATATAATAATTAGGATGCAATTTTATAAGATAAGTTTAAGTTTCTATGCTGAGAACATACATGGGCTCAAATTATTTGTGGTGGCTAAATTTTTGGCCTTTAGTTTCAGGAAGGTCACTTTAGCAGGGATTATGAAGTACGATCAAAGCGTGCATGCGAGAGTTCCAGGAGTTCTGAGTTAGCTGCAGCACTTGAATGTTCAGGTGCTACCAAGGATATTAATGAAGAAAAAACACCTTGTTTGAGGATTTCATGGAAGAATCAGTTGGAGGACTTGAGTCCTTGCATTGATAAATCACCTTATGGAAAGACAAAAAGAAACTAAAAATTAATCAGAAACCTAACGATGATGCAACCATTTTAGGTCTTTCCAAGAAGTTAATATGGGGACATTCAGAAGACTCCTTATCTTTTGCACAATTATTTCGAAGGAGCAAAGAAGCCCCAGTTAGAGATGGTGTGGTAAATGAACTCTCACAAGAGTGTTGTTGGTATATATTCTCCTATTGCTGAGTGTTCCTTCGGGATAAACAAAATCATGAGTCAAGTCTTCCCTCTCCGAACCTCATTAACTTGCTCTCTATGAATTTATAAGTTGATAGCATCTGAGACTGCCATTTGAAAATAAGAAGTGCTATATACAAAAAATGCAAGAGATGCATTATTTTTTCCTCTGGTTTTGTTTCTTCCTGAGACCTGATGGTCCTGATTAGAATGCATTTTATTCCTATTGCAGAAGACTAAGCAACAGCAGGTTGGAGGACTGGACAATCAAGCAATAGTTTCTCTTAAACGAAAAGGTAAAGTACGGAATTCTCAAGGTGATATCCCTTGGCTAAGAGTGAGATATGAGGGGAGGGGCAGGCCACTGAAATTGCCTGGTGAAAAAATCAATAGCCAGAGCCATATATCCACACTGTTTACATTACATGATATTATTTCTATATTAACATTGTATGATCCACATAAAACAAATGCGTATAATTTTTTACAGTCAAGAAGGGCAGTGAAATAAGAAAGGCTGATGAAGAAGATGTTGATGATGAGTATGGAGTAGATAACATTGAATCTTCTGGTACAGAGTCTAAACTAACAGGGGGATCTCATGCTGACACATCATGTCTGCTCCCCATGGAGGTATGTCTGAAGCCCGTATGCTCTGTTTCTTCTCTATCTCTCTACATATCAAAACTGCAGTCTACATTAAGCTTTGGGGTAAAAATGCAAGACCAGTGTGCTTTCTATCAAACAAATGTAAGACCAAAATGATGACGGGGAATAAGACTTTTCTGTTCAAAAGAAAGGGATGATTCTCCTGTTAGTTAACTGGGTACATGCTAATTTGGTGATTAAAGTAGCCATGGTTTGAAATACAGAGTGGTATCTTATTTATTTATTTATTTATATTATTATTTAATTTAAATAACTTATATATTAAAAAAATTGTTTGAAATAGTGTTACATAAAACAAGAGAGCTCAATTATACCTCAAAGAGTGCTGTAAAAGTGAAAGGAAGGACTAAGATGGCCCGTGCCCATAATTTTAGGAATATTTAATGTTGACCTTATTAGAAAAAGACAATTATTAATAAAAAAACTATGGTATTTTATTTTAATTTTGTCTATAATTAATTCAAAAAATGTGTTCAACTTTACTTAATGTCTGGAATAAGTACGAATTTGGAGGCATCCTATTGAGATTTATTTCCCTCTAACCCAAATTTGTTGATCATGATATTTCTTATTAATTCATTCAGGAGGTTGAATGGAATGAAGATGGAGCGAGCAGTGAATTGCATGTGATAAAAAGGTTGGAGTGGACAGGTATGAGTGGCTAACAACCTGAATTAAGCACAATGGAATAGAAGACTTGTAGCCTTGATAAGTTCTATTTTTTTCAGGTGAGAAGCACAATGGAACTGGAGTTGTTGCTCAAGTTGAATTGACTAAGACTCAAGTTGCGAATGATAATGGTATGGTACATCACAACCTGGAAAAACCTTTTAGTTTATGTAAAAAGAATAAAGGAACTCATGTGCAATTTAATTTGAATGCTCTCTTCCACTGTTATGCTTTTGCTTTTTTGTTTTAGAATTTTTTGCCGTGAAAAAGATACAAGTTAATTACAACATTTATGGATGATTAGGAAAATGAAATTGGAAGAGTCAATAAATAGAGGTAGTGAAACATAATTAAGAAAGAATGATTTAGCATTTAAAGGAACACAGACTTTTGGTAACACTTAGTGTAGATTCTGCAACTGAATCATGTGTGAGGGAGCTACATTTAGATCCCTTAATATTTTTCTTTTGTTAAAATGAGCCAATAAGAAAAAGTACAACATATTGGTAGATGAACAGAAAAAAAATCTAAAAATATAAAATTGGGATGTAACCTTTTCTCACTTTTTTCCCTGTTGGTAGTAATTTTAATCTTATTTATTGTTATCTGTGTAGTATAAAATTCATACCTTTATTAAAATCTCAGGTTCTGAAGATGCAATGTCCGAAGCAGAAACTGAAGATTCTGCAATGGATATTGAGAAAATAATAGAGGGTTTAAATAAGCTATTGAGAAAGTTTTCAAAGTATTGTTTTGGTTTTGGTTTTGGTTTGTTTGATTAACATGAAGGTTTGTTCTAGGTAACCCTACTGGGATTTCCAACAAACAAAATGAGGTCGGAAGAAGACAGGTTGAAACTGGGGTAACAGGTGACACTGAGCAACAAGACAATCCACTTTGCCTTTCTGAAAAGTTCTCCGGTTGGGAAAAAAATTGTAACCATGGATGTATACTGTTAGACTTAACATGATAGGGATATGCTTATCCTTTTTCTTGTTCTTTTTCCCCTTTGGAAGTACTTGCTTATCCTTTTCACTTTTATCTTGTGTTGTATTAAATTTCATGTCTTTCTTAAATTTGCAGGTTCTGAAGAAGCGATAAGAGAGACGGAAACTGTGGATTCCGCAATGGATTACTTGACAAAAGAAGTTCAGGTGACTGTGACCAGAGTATCTGCAACAGCATCTGCCCATGATCAACCTTCATCACTGTATGTAGATGAAATGCATTCTATAAAAGCCAAAGATTGCTCAAGTAAGCTATTGTGAAAATTTTCAATGGATTCCTTTGGCTGTAGTTAGTTTGACTAATATCAAGATTGTGTTCTCTAGGCAACCCTGCTGGGACTGCCATGCAACAAAATGAAGTTGAGCAACAAGACAGTCCACATTCGCCTTTTGTGAGAAGTTCTCCATTTTGGAAAAGTATTGAATCCATGGAAGTATTCAAAAGATTTCCGCAAAGGCCACATTTTGATCCTCTGATGAAGTGTAAAGCAGTTTGTCGCGAAGGATCCGCTCTTGGAAATATGATAACCTTTGCCTCTTTGGTGGAGAAGACTTCCAAGTTGCAAGTTGGCGATCCTAGAGACTTATTTGATAGCAACTTGGAGGCACTAGTTGACTTGGAAATGTTGGGATTTGATGTCACGGCAGTACGGCATCGTCTGAAGGAATTGATTGAAATGAAAGTTAAGTTGGGTCAGCTTGAGAACCAATCAAAAGAAGTTGACATTCAGATCACGGAGTGTACTTTTGACAGAACCAGAAACAATGAAACAATCAGTCAGATTGATAAGGAGATCAAGGACTTGAAGGAAAAACGGGGGACCCTGATGTCAATCAATGTGGCCAAAGGTTCTGAAATTAGCAAGCTGCAATCAGAAGCAAATGCTATCACTGAAGGCATTCAGAGCATCCATCGTGATTTTGAGAAATTAGCTGCTGCAGCATGGTGCTTGTTGTGATTCTGATGGATGACACCCTTTATATTACCACTCCCTTTGCTAACCTTGGACACTGATATATAATATCTCCCTTTAGATTACCACTCCCTTTGTTAACCTTGGACACTGATATATAATATCTATACCCTTTTGAATGTAATGAGGGACGTGATACCAAACTGTTCTGTAGTTTATTATGACAGCCATTAGCCTTAGAATGCTGGTAACAGACAATTATCTGTATGTACTACAATATCCTGAGTGTTATGAATGTGGGCCGAAGCCCAACAAAACTACACCCATATAGCTTTGGGTCTAGGGACAACCAAAACATCGAAATTCCAATCCAACAACTCTCAGTGGGGGAACTAGCGCTTGTCGTTTCCAACGAAACTTGATCTACACGACAAATCGTTTAAATTTTACGATCCGTCGTTTACCCAGAGATATGAGAGTCTTGAAGCGATGAAACGTTTATGATCGAAGGACAAAAAAAAAATCCTACTTTTCTCCCAAAACTTGACCTTGACCTTGACCGCTCTGCTTAAACACTACTAAATAGTAAATATAGTGTGTTTGCCTCTCTGGAGAGAGTGAGAGAAGACAAGTAAGAAATGGTGGTGAAGCGGAGCGAAGCGCATTTGAGCAAGGATTCAAAGGTGGAAGTTTGCAGCAACGAAGAGGGTTACAGAGGTGCATGGTTCCCTGCCATAATCCTTGACCCACAACCCTCAGATCTCTCAGCGAAGAAGAAAAGGAAGAGCCTTGGCAACTCAAGCAAGGCTCTGGTGCAGTACGAGACTCTGGTCTTCGACGATGACCCAATCAAGCCACTCACTGAGCTCGTTGAAGTGTGCTCCATCCGGCCCGTGCCTCCTCCTGACAATCCTGACCAGCCCTTCGAGCCCGCAGACGTCGTAGACTCCTTTTACCAAGAAGCTTGGTGGGTGGGGGTTGTGATGAGGTTTGAGGATGACAAGTATACGGTGGGTTTCAAAAACCCACCTGATCTGCTTGAGTTAAGGCGCTCTGAGCTGCGGCCTCATTGGGATTTTCTGGACGGCGTATGGATTCGAGCCCGGAAGGAGGTACTAGTTCTACGTTTTAATAATCCATGTGGGTTTGTCTTTTTAAACAGGATTTGTACTTGGTTTATGCTTGCATGCGCTTTCTTTTGTTTATTTATGAATTTTCTTTGGAGCTTTCTACCATTGGTTTTCATGATTTAAGAACATGCAGGTTGTTTATTGTACATTGGCCTTGCCTTTGTTGTTCTGCGTTTAGATTCTTCCTTTTTTCCTTCAAAAGATTTCTATTTTCCTAAAAAGATCATCTTTTTATGTTATTGCACTTTTTAAGAGCAGTTTATCCGTGTTCATTTTATTTTTTAATACCGGTTGTCATAAGTATCATTGGTTCTCTTGACTATTCTATTGATTTTCCTGAATTATCGACCAAAGTTGTTATTTTATTGCTTAGGGAATTGATGATGTGATGATCCGAACCAGTACTGGATGTCATGTTTGTTTATGCTTTCTAATTTTTTTTCTTCTGGGTTTTGTGTTTCTTAAAGAAGCCCCCCCTCCCCCTAAATCATATTTGGGCAAGTTAAGTTAGACGGTTTTATTGTGAACTCAATCTTTTACCATTAATTGATGAAATTTTACAGAAAGCAGATACTTTTAGTAATCTGTCTATCAGTATCTATTTACTTATAAAAGGATCCATGGTTCTGCGTTTGCTATCTTTTTCTTTCTAAAGCAAAAAATGGTGTACTAAAACTTGAATGATTATTAATCATGTGAACATTTTTAATATTAAGTATGGCACTAAAACTTGGGGTATTTCAAATTAGGAACTTGTGATTTTCTGTAGTTTGAAGTTTGGATTTACCGAGGTCTTTACTTATATGTTTGCAACTTCATGCCATCTCAGTTCATTCATTTATCTCATTTGCAACATATCTGGTTTCCTTCTATTTTTTAGATATGATACAAATTTCTATATGCTATTCTTTTGAGAGAAAGAAAACTGATCTTTGTCACTAATGGTTCAAAGAGGATAGAGGAGACAATTTTCAGCCATGGGACAGCAGTGGAAATAAATCTCAACGAAGACAATCTATTGTATGCTTGGTTCCCAGCAATTTATCTTGGTGAACTAGGGGTTAACTCTTTCTTGCTTCAATATAAGAGCTCAAACAACTGTGATGTTAAAGTGGTTGTAAATGGCCATCAGATTCGGCCTCAGCCTCCGAAGTCAGGCAAAACAGATTTTAACTTGATGGAAATGGTGGATGTATTCTATGATATGGGTTGGTGGGTCGGAGAGATTACACAAATTCTTACAGAAGAAAAGTATATGGTCCGTTTAAAATTCACAAAGCAGGTAAAGGAATGCAGTCCTTCAGAATTGAGGCCTCATGCGGAATGGACGGAGAGAGGATGGATTACAAAGATCAATGGAACATGGGTTGATTGCTATAAGGTATGCATATTTTTCCGTTGTTTTATATTGGGAAAAAAGAGAGAGGGAGAGGAGAGGAGGTTGCACGGTTGTCATGGCTTGAGTCTTTGTGGGTATAGTTGTAACAATGTTTGAATCACCCTATCTTCGAAATATAATCATTAAGATGCAATTTTATCTGGTAAATTTAAGTTTCTATGCTGAAAAGCATACATGGGCTCAAATTATTTGTGGGTGGCTAAAGTTTTAGCCTTTCGTTTCAGGAAGCTCAGTTTAGTGTGGATTATGAAGTACAATCAAAGCATGCATGCGAGAGTTTCAGAAGCTCCAAGGTCGCTAAAGCACTTGAAAGTTCAGGTGCTACCAAGGATAATAATCAAGAAAAAACAGCTTGTTCAAGGATTTCATGGCACTTGAGTCCTTGCATTGATAAATCACCATATGGAAAGACCAAAAAGAAACTAAAAATTAATCAGAAACCTAATGATGATGCAACAATTTTACGTCTTTCCAAGAAGTTAACAGGGGGACATCCAGAAGACTTCTTATCTTTTACACCATCATTTTCAAGGAGAACGCGAGTTAAAACATCAAAAAGAGAAGCCCCAGTTAGAAAGGGTGCGGTAAGTGATCTGTAAAAACAAATGTTGTTGGTATATATATTCTCCTATTGCTGAGTGTTCCTTTGGGGGTAAACAAAACCATGACTCAAGTCTTCCCTCTCAAAACCTCATTAACTTGCTCTCATTCTATGAATTTTATAAGTTGATAGCGGTGATAGCATCTGAAGAGTGCCATTTGAAAGTAAGAAGTGCTATATATACAAAAAAGAAAAAGAAAAAACAAAGAGATGCATTATTTTTTTTTTTTTTTTTTTTTTTTGGTTTTCTGGATTTGTTTTTCTTCTTCTGACTGGTCCTGATTAGAATGCATTTTATTCCTATTGCAGAAGACTGAGCAACAACAGGTTGGAGAACTTGACAATCAAGAAATCATTTCTTATAAACATAAAGGTAAACCACAAAATTCTCAAGTTGATTTCCCTTGGCCAAGAGTGAGACATGAGGGGAGGGGCAGGCCACTGAAATTGCCTGGTGAAAATATCACTAGCCAGAGGCATATATCCACAGTGATTAACATTACATGATATTATTTCTGTATTAACATATTCATTGTGTAATCCACATGAAACAAATGTGTATAAATTTTTGCAGTCAAGAAGGGCAGTAAAATCGAAAATGCTGATGAAGAAGATGTTGAAGATGAGTATGGACTGGACAACACTGAATCTTCTGGTATAAGGTCAGATTCTGAGCTAACAGGGGGATCTCATGCTGGAACATCATGTCTGCTCCCCGTAGAGGTATATCTGAAGCTTGTATGCTATGCTTCCTTCTGTATCTCTTTACGTATCAAAACTGCAGTCTGCATTAAGCTTTGGGGTAGAAAGGTCAATATGATGACAAGGAATAAAACATTTATGTTCAAGAGAAAGGAATGATTCTCCTGTTAGCTAACTGGATACATGCTAATTTGGCAATTAAAGTAGTCATGGTTGAAATACAGAGTGGCCTCTTTTTTTTTCTTTTTAATATTATATATATATATATATATTTATATAGCAGTGTTATATAAAACAAGAGAACTTAATTGTGCTTCAGAGGTAAAAGTGAAAGGACGGACTAAGATGGCGCATGCCCATAATTCTAGAATTCTTTAATATTGATAAAGAAAAAACAATGATGTTTTATTTTAATTTTTTCTATAATTAACTCAAAAAATGTGTTCAGTTTACCTAATCCCTGGAATTAGTATGGATTTTGAGGCATCCTGTTGAGATTTATTTCCCTCTAACCCAAGTTTGTTGATCATCATATTTCTTATTGATTCATTCAGGAGGTTGAACGGAATGAAGATGGGGTGAGCAGTGAAATAAAAGGAAAGGGAAAACTGCCTGAATATCTTGTTGAACACCCAAAAGATCCAGCAACAGGTGTGTATAATGTGTCAGAGCTACACTATTCTCGATAGATGTGTATATTTTGAAAATCTAATTTGTAACAGTATATGGGTGAGGATTGTAATGGCGTTGGATCTTTTGCTGCAGATCATACGAATGATATATTTGAATTTCCTGTAATAACAATGTGGGATTTGACAGGTATGAGTAGCTAACAACTTGAATTAAGCACAATGGAATAGAAGACTTGTGGCCTGAATAAATTCTAATTTTTGCAGGCGAGAAGCTCAATGGAACTGGAGTTGTTGCTCAAGTTGAATTGACTAAGACTCAAGTTGTCAATGATAATGGTATGGTACATCAGAACCTGGAAAAACCTTTTGTTTATATAAAAAGAATTACAGGAACTTGTGTGCAATTTAATTTGAATGCTCCCCATGACTGGTATGCTTTTGCTTTTGTATTCTATAATTTTTTGCTGCGAAAAAGATACGAGTCAATTACAACATTTGGATGAGTGATTAGGAAAATGAAATTGGAAGAGTCAATAGATAGAGGCAGTGAAACATAATTAAGAAACCATGATTTTGCCGTTCAAGAAATACACTGATTTTTCTATTGTCAAAATGAGTCAATAAGGAAAAGTACTACATATTGGTAGACGAACAAAAAAAAGCAAAATAATTGGGATTTACTTATCCTTTTCTCACTTTTTAAAATGTTGGTAGTAATTGTTTAATCCTATTTATTGTTATCCTGCATAGCATAAAATTCATACCTTTCTTAAAATCTGAGGTTTTGAAGATGCAACGGTCGAAGCAGAAGCTGAAGATACTGCAATGGATATTGAGAAAATAATAGAGGGCTTAAGTGAGCAACTTAGAAAGTTGTCAAAGTATTTCTTTGGCTTTGGTTTGTTTGATTAACATCAAGGTTGTGTTGTAGGTAATCCTGCAGAGTTTTCCAGCAAACAAAATGAGGTCAGAGGAAGACAGGTTGAAACTGGTGTAACAGGTGACACTGATCAACAAGACAGTCAAACACTTTCCCTTTTCTAAAAAGTTCTCCAGTTGGGAAAAAATTTGAAACCATGGATGTATTCAAAGTGTTGCTAGAACAAAAAAAAAAATGTTAGCTTAACATAGTGATATGATTTTCCTTTATTGTTTTTCCCTTTAGGAAGTACTTGCTTATCCTGTTCTCTTTTATCTTGTGTTGTATTAAATTTCATGTCTTTCTTAAATTTGCAGGTTCTGAAGAAGTGATGAGAGAGACGGAAACTGTGGATTCCGCAATGGATTACTTGACAAAAGAAGTTCAGGTGACTGTGACTGGAGATGAAATGCATTCTATAAAAGCCAAAGAGTACTCAAGTAAGCTATTGTGAAAATTTTCAATGGATTCCTTTGGCTGTAGTTAGTTTAACTAATATCAAGATTGTGTTCTCTAGTTAACCCTGCTGGGACTGCCAAGCAACAAAATGAAGTTGAGCAACAAGACAGTCCACATTCGCCTTTTGTGAGAAGTTCTCCATTTTGGAAAAGTATTGAATCCATGGAAGTATTCAAAAGATTTCCGCAAAGGCCACATTTTGATCCTCTGATGAAGTGTAAAGCAGTTTGTCGCGAAGGATCCGCTCTTGGAAATATGATAACCTTTGCCTCTTTGGTGGAGAAGACTTCCAAGTTGCAAGTTGGCGATCCTAGAGACTTATTTGATAGCAATTTGGAGGCACTAGTTGACTTGGAAATGTTGGGATTTGATGTCACGGCAGTACGGCATCATCTGAAGGAAATGATTGAAATGAAAGTTAAGTTGGGTCAGCTTGAGAACCAATCAAAAGAAGTTGACATTCAGATCACAGAGTGTACTTTTGACAGAACCAGAAACAATGAAACAATCAGTCGGATTGATAAGGAGATCAAGGACTTGAAGGAAAAACGGGGGACCCTGATGTCAGTCGATGTGGCCAAAGGTTCTGAAATTAGCAAGCTGCAATCAGAAGCAAATGCTATCACTGAAGGCATTCAGAGCATCCATCGTGATTTTGAGAAATTAGCTGCTGCAGCATGGTGATTGTTGTGATTCTGATGGATGACCCTTGAGATTAGCACTCTTTTAGCTAACCCTTGAATGGTTTGGAGCTAGGTTTGTCCAGGGAAACTGATATATAATATTTATACCCTTTTGAATGTAATGTAATGATGGAAGTGATACCAAACTGTTGTAGTTTTTTGTAACAGATATTTGCTCTAGAATGCTGGTAACAGTAATCTGTACTACCATATCTCAAAACATATTTATAGACCGGTTTACTTCCTATACCACTCTCTGTTGGTTTCCTATAAAATGTCCTGTCCACAATTTTTTTTCTGGTAGAAAAACTTCTGGTTCCTTTCAGCAAGTTATGAGCTTTCTATCTGCTAGAGAGGCAGATAAACAGCATCGGTCGTAAAACCAGAAAAGTTAAAAGAAAAAAAAACTAACTTTTTAAGTAGGGCTGAGGTTGCTCTTCAGCTTTTAAGCATGAAATTTGAAAGAAGGTACGCGTCCTTGGAAAGCCCCATGACGCACTTCAAATTTTCTATTTAGAAAGTAAATGGCCACCATCCACATATCGATAATGACGCGAAAGAATATGAACTTTTCCACTTAACACTGCCAAAGAATCATGGTGCTCAACCTAAACAAGTTAAATAACCATTATGAACAACCCAGTACGTACAATGAAAACAGGGCTTTTGGGAACTGCCCTGTGTTTTTTTTTCCTTACAAGGGGAAACAACACTGCTTGGACCCCTTTACCTTTCTTCATCAAGGGAAGCACCTTTGCAGCTAAAAGATTGATCATTCCTCCTTGTGGACTTTGAAGCCATATATTCTCCGAACATAATTCTGACTCGCTTTCTGCGGTTTAAGATGGCTGTAGGTCAAGAAAAAAAGGTGAGGAAATGTGGTTCCAAAATATGCCCCATCAATTTCTAAGAGTGTTTGTCAAGGAAACATTGAAGAACTGCTGTTCAACAAAACATAACTGAAGTCATTTGCAAAAGTCATACAGATTTTATTACAAGGATACGATCTTGGTGTTTGGATTGTGGGGCATAAATGTCTTCACACTTGGGACAGTAGATTTTGACAGTGCTTAACCTTGGGATGTCTGACTGGCCAACAGGCAGACATCGTTGTTTATTGCAGTGAATTCTTGGACATCTGCCAAAGTCATAGTTCCTGTACTTCTCCAACTGAATTGCACACTATTCCATTAGGAAGCCTGAAATCCAACATCATGAAAAAACCATATAAAGTTGCATGGTTAAACACCTTACCATTGCAGACAATCCTTTGTTAGTAGCTATGTATCTGCCATGAATTAAACCATAGAGCATCTCTGCTGCGGATTCGATCACATTGTTCTGTTCATCATCAGTTAAAGTACCATCTGTTGTTGATCCCAATGGAGAACAAATTATTATTCATGTTCAAACAGCATTTCTTACAGGTTACATAAGAAGTTATTGATTTCATATTGCAGATAGGCAAATATCTTACCGTTGGACGACTCAACATCCAAAATTAAGTCCAGTGCATAATCATAGAATGGGACTTGATTTCTTAAACCAGAACGGTTGAAATCATCCAGGATGTAGTCATCGTCCACTTCACAAAAAAATTCATTCCCTTTCTGATTGCAGAACCATGATATCCAAGATGTATCTTCATCATCAAGGCATCTAACATCTGAACCTTTGCAACTTGTTCCAGCTGATTCCCCTGCACAATAAATAAATAAATAAATAAATAATCTGAAAGCCACACAATAAAGAAAAGAAAACTATAAATATATTCAGCAAGAATGTAACCTTCATATGATCAAAATGAGAACCAAAATTGTTAAACTAAGATGGGCTAGAGAGAAAACTCTATTTCAACAAAAGATTATTTGGCAGCATGACCAATCAGATGAGAAAAGTCAATAGCTTGACACCAAACACAGAACCTCTTCAAGATATGTACATGAATTAGTCTGTCCAAACAAGTTTAAAACTGATTAGATAAAACATACGAGGAAGTCGAATAACTTCAATAACAAGCCTCACAAATCAAAAGACAGAGTAGAAGAGCAAGTGCCTTTGTGTAAAAACATCATAACATTGTACCAAAACAAAACAAAACAAAAAACATCATATCATAACGTAACATTATACATATGAATTACAGCAAAACCCCAGTATTAGGAAAAATAATAATAATAATTATTATATATGATAATATGATGGATTGTTATGAGGTTTATCATATAATAAATGCATGTTATTATGCATTGAAAGTGAAACTGACCCTGATCATAGGATGCATCAATATTGCGATAATTGGCAGCAAGTGAGGTAGAGGTAGAGGGAGCCAAAGATTTGTCTTTGAGTCGATTGGGATTCAATGCCGGTTCAGAACGTGATCTAATTACACCTCGCTCATCTTTATTTTTCATACTCTCCTCTCTCTCTCTCTCTCTCTCTCTCAAATGTTAATGCACCACTAATTAACCTTCAAAACAAAGTTTGAATTTTTCCTACACTCAAGTTTGGATCATGCATCGATGGCGATTTCAATGTACATTTGGATCTGCCCTGCAGTGGCAATCAAAGAGAGAAGACAAAAAGAAAAAATGAAACAAAAAAAACTTTTATTTATACTTTTTTTAACAAAGTAATATTATAAACTATTATAATATACGAGAGGAGACGAATCAAAAAATTATATGAGTCGGTTGAGTTGGTAAGAATTGTTCTCTTTGCTATCAAGGTCTAAATTTGAGTCCTTCTACCGAATAAATAAATACTATTAAGTAACGTTATCCAATGAGAATACGTTACATTTCAAGTAAAATAGGATCCTTTATAAGTTAATTTGGCCCTACCATTAAGGGTAGTATTGACTTTTCAGTTTTGCAACATGCAAAAGTTTTCGATTGATATGTGTTTGCCTAAGCTGTGATCCCTTCCGACATCAAATCCAACGATTAAAAATCATTCGCAGAGTCAGATTACCGTTCGACGAAACGATTTGACCAAGATAGAGATGGGAGAGATGAGATCGACGGCAGGAGAAAAGGCTAGGCTTTCTCTGTCCTCGCTCCTCTCAAATGGCAACAAGCAAGAAGAACCATGGGAGTGATAGGAGCTCACACATTTTCAACTCTGATCCCATTTGACCACAACCCCACCAATTCGTTGTCTTTTTGTTTGGTAAGCCTTCCAATTCTCTAAATAGCGAGAATTTCATAAAGCAAAAAGAAAATTTTGATTCTGACATCAAGCAGTTGAATTGAAAGAATAAAGTTTAATCTTGTAGAAAAATGCAACCATTGACTACACATGTTTGGAATTTGAAGCAGCCGGAAGCCCTTTTTTGCAATATTGAAAATAACCAATTCACACGAAGGTAGAAATCAAACGAAAAAAATTATGTTTCGTTATGGAAAAACATTGTTGGGAGAGAAGAAATTAAGGTTTTTGATGTTTAGTGAATGTATATTTGTGTATGCCAATGTGTATAAAATTTTGTCTGGTTATGCGTTTTTTGTCTCATAGTAGAATCGTGTAATATTTAAGGACTTGTAGGGATTCCGTGATTGATTTTTTAGTCTGTCAATGTAGTTTGGAGGGAGTTGCTAGGGGGAGCTGGGGAATTTGGGGCAGAAATGGGGTGTATCCGGTTGACACCGAAATTCTGGGGCCAATCTTTTCTTTGTGCAAGTCAGGTATGATAATAGAGTAAACATGTCATAGATGTAACATCCATGGCTAATGGGTAAAGCGCAATTTTTTGGTATGTAATCATATGGATGGCATTGAACTTCATAGAAATTTTTTGTATGAAAGTAAGTTTTCAAGCATTGGATATGGCATTTCATTTTCTTAGTATAGTCTTTCCATAGCTTAGCTTCGAAGCCTGGTATCCAAATGTATGGTATCCCCTCCTCCTGCTTTCCTCTTCTCTCTATTTTACATTATGATTGCGATCAGGCAATTAAGAGTCATGAAGACTGTTATGTGTCCACCACATAGTTAGCTTGAATATATATATATTTTTTTGGTTACAGTAGTTAGTTTGATTATATAGTACTTAGTGTTTGGGGTTGAGGATGTTAACAGGATTATAGATGGATATTGCCTTCATCCCCTTTCTAATTCTTTTATGATTAATAAATTATGTGCTTCTTACCACCAAAAAAAAAACACCGACTTAGTTTGAGGTTGTACTACGTGCAATTTAGTTTCACCGTGAGTCTAATAGTTCACTATAAAATACTGGAGCCTGTTGCATGTGGCCCCATCCATGTATGCACCCTCACACAACACTGACAGAAAGGCAGGCATATGCGCTCATATGACTTATAATCACATGGTTGTGGTGTAATTGTGGATTTATTTTTTCTTTCATTAGGCAGATAGTGGTCAGCACTGCAAGGGATGTAGATTTGGTTGGTCTAACGGTAGGTGCATAGAATAGTGATAGTTTGTATGTCACACCGTTTTCTTTTTGCCTTTACGTCATTTGCTTTGTACCACTGGGAAAATAGGATTGCAACTCCAAATAACTAAAATTTATTCAAATAGGATTGTGACTTCTTAACACACATTCACCACACTAGTTTATTGTTTTGTTTTGTCCCAGCAAGGAAAGTTCAGACATACCGTCTTTTGATCATTGATGAATCATAAGCAGGTAGGATTTTGGCCTCAAAATGATTTAGTTGTCTTTATCTGTTGCTCTTTCCTTTATAACTTGTGATTCTTATTTCTTCAAAATTATGATTATTATCTGCACCATGCAGGTTCTTATGAAGGCTTGAGTATTTAACTGGGTAGGGGAAGAAAAAATTCATACGCAAGTTCAAGTAGCATTTAGTGCATATCTCACCACTCTCTTCGATGTGATCAAAACAAGATGTCAAGTTCCCTGATCAGCCTTGAGGTATCAGTTATGTTTTGTGGTTAATATAATTATAGTTAGTTTCAAGTAACTTTCAGTTGTGAGTGTGGAACACAAGCTTTTGCAAGCATCACATGCTGTATAATGTGTTGTTAGTGTACTTATTGTTACCTGAATAAGGCTCGACAAGTCAGCTGTTGTGCATATGAACACTGATCACATAGGTTCACAGGCACAAACACCATTTATATTTTGTATCATGGAACAATCCTATTGCTGTTTTATCTATGCACCCTTGACTACCATTTTGTTTAAATGTTGTCACATAACAGAGTAATTTTGTCTTGTGGACAAAATTGAGGGGCTATTATCAGAAAATATATGTTGATTGTTATTTCGAACTGACCTTTCAAACATCTTCGCCAATTTCAATTTGTTATATTTGATATGGGCATCACATTCATGTGTTGCATATGGTGTATTACTCATTGGCCGACAGTTGGATGTGATAGCAAAAGAATTTTCTGATTTCAATCTATAATGTTTGTTGTGAACTTTAGGTCGATGAATGCTTGGATGCAATTCGTAGCCTGTGGATGGATGAAGATGCCCAGGGGATGTTCAAAGATAGCAGTCTTTTGGATTACACTCTATAGTCCAGCTTCCGCTCTTACTTTTGCAGCATTTGTGAAAGACCATTCCAAAGGACGGAGAAGAAACAGGAAGTTGCTAGCATGTTAGTAGAGAAAAAGGATCGCCTTCAGATGGGCATGATAAACTTGCACTGATCTATTTTTCCCATCTCTAGTTTGTTGAACTGATTAGGGCATTTCCATGTGTCATAGTAATCATTTGGGCGAGAATTTGTGATATGTTTTCATGTAATATGTGTATATACATACAAAGATATTGAAAAGGAAGTTTTTATGATGTCTTTTTCTATTTTTCCCCACGCAATATCCTGGAAAGGGAAGATTAAAATTTTCTTCCAATATTTAGCGACGGTTTTCTTGTACGATGCTAATAGTAGTTTTAGCAGCAGTTAGCGACGGTTTTTTTCGTGGGTAAAGACGTTTTCCCGTATTGGGACATTAAAATAGTCACTAAAGGTACAAAAACCGTAGCAAAAGATAAAAACTCGTCGTAACAAATCAGTACTGTCACATATTCGCTGATTGAGCTACCTGTGGTGAAAAATATGCATGTTCCTGATGAAAAGATGGTAGCGTTGATCAAGTTTTTTAGAGAGACTGCCCTTAATTCTTCTACAGCTTGACCATGAATTTTTATTTAATTAGTTATGCAAATCATATATAAGTGAGAGGAAAACCACTTTGATTGGCTTTATCATACATCTTTTCATCTCATATGTAGCCTCACTCACTACGATCATCTAAGGAAGCACAGGATTTAACACCCTTCATTAAAAATAAATCACATGTCAGTGTACACGTCCCATATGGATTTAAGTTCTTGATGTGTACGCTAATTGGATTAGCTAGAAAAATTAACGTAAACGAAATTCATCAAGGTATTAATGATTTTCATATATAAATATAGAGATGACTATTGATATCGTTTAGAAATAAAACTAAAACTCATCAGTCACATTATACAAGAAAATAAAGCTGCGCATCGGCATGTCAGGGGAATTGTTGTAAAGTCCTTACGATATCTGAAAATCAAGTGTAAGTGACAATTAAGATAAGATTAACTAAAAGTAGTCTGATTAGGATTCTCTTTGATGTTTTTTGGGTTGATTTTTTGGTATCTATTTATGTTATGTTATTAACAACAGGTAGCGTTTTGCATTTAGAATTTAATAACAATCCTTAATACGCACCAACACCACTCCTAATTACTCCAGAATACAAATTGCATGACTTGGTAGTTTCTTGAGTTCTTGAGTTTTTACGGATATGGGGAGGGAGAGGCAGCCCTCATGAAAATAACACAACATATTTCTTCTTCACAAGAAAACCGAATTAGCTAAGGCAAAGATCACATGGAAAATCGAAATATTACATTATTTTGCCTTCTGTTTGCTGGTTTAGTTTTATTTTTAATGTTCAACCAGACCACGGATGGATCCAAACCACTCTTTGTCTTCCAAACTCACCAATGCCAATCCTCTACCAAGGTAATAAATAATTATCTTTTTGTTTTTGTTTTTGTTTCCGTTTTTGTTCTTGTTGGCTTTTTTCTGTTTTCGTTTAATATGTAATTGTTGTGATTTGCTCAAGTTAATTTGTTTGGGACAGAGCAACACAATTGGCCCTGGAGATGGGCTTGAATCAGCTTTATCTGAGGCTTCCATGGCAAACAAGACTGTGATAATTGCTATTGTAAATAAGGCCTATGTGGAAGGAGACAAGCCAATGCTTGATATGTTTTTAGATGGTTTCTGGCTCGGAGAAGACACAAGGGGCTTGATTTCTCACCTGCTTCTTGTTGCCGTCGATCAAACTTCCTTCGAACGTTGCAAGTTTCTTCGCCTTCACTGCTACAAGCTCGAAGCAGATGGTGCCGATTTTGAGGCCGAGGAACTCTACATGTCGCAAGATTTTATCAAGATGATGTGGAGGAGAACCCTGTTTCTCAAGGAGATGCTAAAGAGAGGCTATAGTTTTGTATTCACAGTAAGTTTTCTCAACATAATCGTATTGCGAAGCTATTCAGCTTCATTACTCGATAAATAATCCGACAACATAATATGTCACTCTCGTAAAAGGGTCCAGTTGATAAACTAAAATGTGAAATATATAATGCCATACTCTGTTATGTTTGATTCGCAGTAATGTTTTTTGGCTGATAAATTAACAAGTAAAAATCACAAATGGGAGTAAATAAAAAAACAATATGTGAGTGGATTATATGTTTGATTCAAAATATTTATATTTTAGTAAGGTGGATCCTAAAAGTTATGATATTCGACATATAATTAGCTTACATATATCCAAAATTTCCATTTACAGGACATAGATGTGTTGTGGCTAAGGAACCCATTCCCAAGGCTAACAATCTTCAATGAAAACATAGATCTTCAAATCAGCGTTGATAAATTCAATGGGGATGAATGGTCTCAAGCCAACCCCATCAACACAGGCTTCTACATGGTCAGGTCCAACAACAGAACAATCTCGCTATTCGAGGAGTGGTACGCTAGAAGAAACAACTCCACAGGATTGAAAGAGCAGGATGTTTTGAACAACATGATGCAGGAAGGTTTTTTCAGAGAGTTAGGCCTCAGTGTGAGGTTTTTGGACAACCTTTATTTCAGTGGCTTCTGTGAAGTTAGCAAAGACTTCAAAGTTGTCAGAACGGTTCATGCCAACTGCTGCCGGACTATAAGTGCTAAGGTGGCTGATCTGACCGCTGCGATTCACGATTGGAAGAGGTTCAAGAGCTTATCCGATTCCAATCAGACATCGACTTTGACATGGACTAGCCATGTAAATTGTGAGGGCTCCTGGAAGAATTTCAACGTGACCCTTGGCTAGATTTCCTAGTCCTAGACATAGTTTTCTTTTTTCGCTTTTTAAAAGTCAGTCAATCCTAACTTAGTTTAATTAGGATTGTATGTTATATGACAATATAGAATTCTGTGTTTGATCTTTTTAGGTGATGTCTCATGAGTTTGTACTTGTGTTCACAACAATATCGTTTTTGTTTTTTTTTAAGATTAACAGCAGTTAATATAATCCCAATGTCACGCCTAATTAGCTATTGATCACAAAAATTGCATGACATGGTCGGTCGTCAGTTTCTTCCAGTCTCCAGTTTTTATGGATAGAGAGCTCTCTTTAAGATTGTTATATATCATCAAATTAACGCTTATAATAGTGTATTAGCTAAGACCTCCAAGACATGGAAAATTTTCAAATTGCCATATTATGCCTTCCATTTTCTAGTTTAGTAGTTTTGTGTATATTCAACCAGAGACCACAGACCAATGCCAACCCTTTACCAAGGTAATTAAGTTTTAATTTGTTTAATCTATTATTAAATTGTTTTAATTTGTTCTAATTAATAGATCAACACAAACAGCAAAGAAGATGAGCTTGAGTAAGCTTTATATAAGGCTTCCATGGGAACTTACAAGACTCTGATAATTGCGTACGTAAAAGGAGATCAGCCAATGCTTGATTTATTTTTAGATGGGTTCTGGCATGGAGAAGACACACGAGGCTTGATTTCTCGTTTCATACTTCTTATCTGTATGAACTCATTTCATACTTATATATATATATATTTATTTAACCTTTCATTCCCAGGACATAGATGTGATGTGGCTAAGGAACCACTTTCCAAAGCTAATTATCTTCAACGAAAGCATAGATCTTCAAATCAGCACCGATAGCTTCAATGGTGATCAATTGTCTGTAGCAAACCCCATCAACACAGGTTTCTACATGGTGACATCTAACAACAGAACAATCTCCTTATTCGAAAAGTGGCATGCCCAGAAAAACTACTCAACCAAATTGAAAGAGCAGGATGTTTTAAATGGCACGATGAAGGAAGGTGTTTTCAGAGAGTTAGGCCTCAGTGTGAGGTTTTTGGACACCCGTTACTTCAGTGGCTTCTGTGAAGTTAGCAGGGACTTCAAAGCTGTCACAACCGTTCATGCCAATTGCTGCCGGACTATAGGTGCTAAGGTGGTTGATCTGACGGCTGTGGTTCACGATTGGAAGAGGTTCAAGAGCTTATCTAATTCCAACTCGACATCGACTTTGAAATGGACTAACCATGTAGCCTGTAATCGGTCCTGGAAGTGCAATAAAGTGACGTGGGGCTAGGTTTTTAATTGCTTCACTTCTAAATGATCATGAAAATAATTAAAGACATATATTTTTTTTAATGTATTGTCACCCTATCAAGATGATTAATTGTCTCAGTGACAAGTGCATCTCTTTCTATAAAAAAAAATTCATGAAAAGAGTTGCTGAGTTTGAGTGGACTACATTTTTTCTGAATGAGACGAATTTCACTAAATAAGTTGGACTTCCTAAATAACACTAAATTCTTTTTTCTAGATATTTGTACTGGAGTGGAGCCCACCCTAGTCTAACTATGGCTCCACCCTTGCTAATTTGTGACTATATGGTGCTATATCCTTAATTTTCAAGGCTATAATTGAGATTTTACATGAGATGGTTAAGATGGTTAAGCAAAACTCTCTTAATTATGTCCTCTTCCTTCCCAAATTAAGCTGCTAGTGGGTTTCTGTTATTCAACTAATGCAAAGTGTGGATCTGAAATCCCAATGAACATTAGCCCCTAATTGGAAACCAAAATGTGCGAGAAGCTCTCCACGTCTCACAAATTTTGGATGAATCCCTCTAAATATGTGCCTTAAGCAGCTCTTGCATAGTGGACTATAAAATCAAATCCTTTTACAATTCTAAATCAATAGCACCCAAAAACATACAAAACCTCAAAACCAAAAACCCAATAAAAATAAAAATAAAAATGGCCAAAAAAAAACAGGCATGGGCGTCAATGCAGCTCTAACCATGACATTAATTCTCTTCACTGCCACCATAACCATGGCGGATGATCATACCCCAGTACCAGCCGACCAATCCCAAGTCAACACATGGTTCAATAACAACGTGAAGCCGTACACAGCACGGCGGGGCACACTTGACCCTGCCCTTGCAACGGCTGAGGCTGGTCAAAAGGTCATCAAGGTCATGAAAGACGGAAGTGGACAATTCAAGACCATTACTGACGCTGTTAATAGCATTCCTGCTGGCAACACCAAACGTGTCATTGTGTACATTGGAGGGGGAGAGTACAATGAGAAAATCACCATTCCGCGGAATAAACCATTTGTTACATTTTATGGCTCTCCAACAAATATGCCAACTTTGACCTTTGCTGGCACATCCCAAAAATATGGAACAGTGAACAGTGCCACAGTGATTGCTGAATCTGACTACTTTGTGGCATCTAATGTTATTATTAAGGTATGTAAATTTATCACATCAACATGTCACATGATATTATCATCACACACAATAAATTTTTATTGACATTCTTTTATTATTTTTGTGAGGGGATTAAAATTTGCGTTGATTTGTAATTGTGAAGAACTCTTCGCCAAGGCCAGATGGGAAAAGAGTGGGAGCACAGGCAGTGGCATTGAGGGTGTCGGGGAACAAGTCAGCCTTGTACAATTGCAAGCTTATTGGTTTCCAGGACACCCTTTGTGATGACAGGGGCAATCATTTGTTCAAGGACTGCTTCATTGAAGGCACTGTGGATTTCATATGGGGAAGTGGAAAGTCTCTCTATTTGGTAATGCCACCCAAACTCTCCCTATAATTCCTCAATGAAAGGACAATCTATTGAGGAACTCTATATGCGAGTCTGGTCATATAATAGTGAACTTCACATACATGTTGTAAGAGAAATGTTATATATGTACAATTAACTCATCAGTATAATTGAGCTTGTTGATGGTCTATATTATGCCATGGTTTTGATGGTTAATGAATTAATGGGTGCAGAACACTGAGTTACATGTGCTGGGGGATAATGGATTAACAGTGATAACAGCACAAGCAAGGGACTCAGCTTCAGAGGATACTGGATACTCATTTGTCCACTGCAAGATTACTGGGACTGGAAGTGGCACATATTTGGGCAGGGCTTGGAGGACCAATCCCATGGTGGTCTATGCCTATACCAGCATGACCAAGGTCATCAACCCTGCAGGATGGAGCGACGATAACCACCCCGAACGTGACAGGTAAGCAAATTAAAAAACATTAATTAAGCATTTTCATATAATTGATTGTTTTTTAAGACTTAATAAATATTGATCAATAATTTTTTTATTTTTTATTTTTGGTGTGTATGTGGCAATATTATAGCACTGTGTTCTATGGAGAGTACAAGTGTTCGGGTCCAGGTTCAAGTGCTGCTGGGAGAGTAAAATACACCAAACATTTGACAGACGAACAAATCAAACCTTTCCTAAGCCTTGGCTATATTCAGGGTTCCAAATGGCTGCTTCCTCCTCCAAATCCCAAAGTGTAGATATTGGATATAGTTTTCTTAACTGTACAGGTACGATTGAGAAAGCCAACCGCAGGCCTCATGCAAAATGTACATGAGCTAGCTATATAGTAATGTATAAAATCAATATTATGATTTAATTTGTGAAGATCTTCCTCTATACAATTTGAGCATAGTTTGTCGATTTGATTGGTACAAAAGACACATTAACATTTATTAATGCTTATGCTCCTAAGATCTATAATGTAGTACAAAAATTAAAAAAAGGACCCCTCCTTTTAATTTTCACTTAAGAAATAAGTCGTGCATGCACAAAGAGTTATTTTAAGCCTTGACTAGATTCCAACTGAACTTGCTTGATGATGAGTGAGATTTTATGCTTTTCTCTTTCTAAAACATCCGGATCATGTGGAGAATAAAAATAAAGTATAATCTAATATAATGGGTTCTACAATTTAGTAATTAAAGTTCAATTCTGAAACATTTGGGATGGAAAAGATTGTTTGTTGACCATTTTTTGGTGCTAACAGAACAAATTGTAATTTATCGATTTGTTATAGATCAAATATACATGTCTGAGATTTTGGGGCTGAGAAACTGTACATGTCTCAAGATTTTATCAACATTATGCAGAGGAGAACTCTCATATTCAACATATTATATATGAGGTCATCGGTCTCCATCAATTGATCAATTGTCTAACAACATAACATATCAAACTATTGTAAAACGAATTTAACTTCAACCCAAGCAAAATGTGATAAATAATATATTACATAACCATATCTACATTACTCATAAAAGATGCCATTAATCAAGTAAAATTTTCTATTGCCAGACTGTGAGTTCGTATAACGATTTTGTTGTATCTGTACGCACGATATTCAGTATGGCAACTCAACATTACTCTTATATATTTGTATAAACACAGTATAATTACATGTAGAGAAAATTAAGAAAGCAATACATTTTTCAGCTTCAATGGCGACAAATGGTACTGAAGAAAACCCCATCAGCACAAGCTTCTACATGGTGAGATCCAACAGCAGAATAGTCTCCTTATTCGACAAATGGTACACCTGGAAAACTAATCCACCAGATTGAAAGAGGATGAGGATGTTGGACACCTTTACTTCAGTGGCTTCTGTGAAGTTAGCAGGGTTCAGAGCTGTCACAGCCATCCATGCCAATTGCTGCCGGACTATAGGTGCAAAGGTGGCTGATCTGACGGCTGTGGTTCATGATTGGAAGAGGTTCAAGAGTTTATCTAATTCCAAGACAATCACTGATGCCGTTAATAGGATTCTTGCCGGCAACACCAAAAGTGTCATTGTGTACATTGGAGGGGGAGAGTACAATGAGAAAATCACAATTCCGCGGAATAAACCATTTGTTATATTTTATGGCTCTCCAACAAATATGCCAACTTTGACCTTTGCTGGCACAGCCCAAAAGTATGGAACTGTGAACAGTGCCACAGTGATTGTTGAATCTGTCTACTTCGTAGCAACTAACCTTATTATTAAGGTGTGTAAATGTATCATGTTACGTGATATTATCATCATGCGCAATAATCTTTTATCAATATTCTTTTGAAAAATTTGTTTCCTTACTATAATTTGTGTTTGTGAAGAACTCTTTGCCAAGGCCATATGGGAAAAGAGTGGGAGCGCATACAGTGGCATTGAGGGTGTCGGGGAACAAGTCAGCTGCCTTGTACAATTGCAGGCTGATCGGTTTCCAGGACACACTTTGTGATGACATGGGCAATCATTTTTTCAAGGACTGCTATATTGGAAGGCACGGTGGATTTCATCTTTGGAAGTGGAAAGTCTCTCTCTTTGATGCCACCCAAACTCTCCCCATTATTCCTCAAGTTCTCTTTGGTTTCAGTTCTCTTTGGTTTCAATTCTCTTTTGTTTCCGATTTTATTAAATTGATTTAATTTGTTCATTCAAGAAAAAGTTTTTTTTTTTTTTTTTTTTTTTTTTTTTTTTTTTTTTTTTTTTTTTTTTTTTTTTTTTTTTTTTTTTTTTTTTTTTTTTTTTTTTTTTTTTTTTTTTTTTTTTTTTTTTTTTTTTTTTTTTTTTTTTTTTTTTTTTTTTTTTTTTTTTTTTTTTTTTTTTTTTTTTTTTTTTTTTTTTTTTTTTTTTTTTTTTTTTTTTTTTTTTTTTTTTTTTTTTTTTTTTTTTTTTTTTTTTTTTTTTTTTTTTTTTTTTTTTTTTTTTTTTTTTTTTTTTTTTTTTTTTTTTTTTTTTTTTTTTTTTTTTTTTTTTTTTTTTTTTTTTTTTTTTTTTTTTTTTTTTTTTTTTTTTTTTTTTTTTTTTTTTTTTTTTTTTTTTTTTTTTTTTTTTTTTAGTATTTATGCCGGAGATGATATAGGTGGATCTGGAATTGGTCTGTTCCGATTCTAATAGCGCACCTGACATGGCATTCCACGATTAAAAATATTTCATTTGGTTGTGGCCCCCAAGGCTCTTGCTACTATTAAGCTCAGCCGTAGTAGAAGGGGGTAGCGGCACTGGGGACGGTCTATCCGCCCTTAAGTGGTATTACTAGCCACTTTGGGGAGCGGTTGATTTAGCAATTTCTAGTCTTCATCTATCTGGTGTTTCATCCATTTTAGGTTCTATCAATTTTATAAACTATCTCCCAACATGCGTGGACCTGGAATGACTATGCATAGACCCCTATTGTGTGGGTCCGTTTAGGGACGCATTCCTACTTTTATTATCGCTCCGGTACTGGCGGGGGCAATTACCATGTTATTAAC